ATTAGGTGTTACCCTTTGCTCCCTTAATTCGTGTAACTGCTGCTCGAATCTGTGGGACATCTCCTTGAGAGATTTGTCGTGTTTGTCCTGCTCTTCACGTATGCACTTTTTGAATGTGCTTTCTAACTCACCTTTTAACTTCCCGACGGTTTGCGTCATCACATCGGTGAGATGCTCAGCTAACGAAAGTATATCAAAACTACGCGCTCCGTAATTTTCATTAGCGGTTCTGCGTCTCTTATTTAAATTAGTATTGAGTCTTTGACTCTGTCTCCTCCCGTGTTGCGACGCGTCGAGATTTCCTCGCGCGTCAGCAGCACCGAAATCGAACGATATATCGTTTAAAAAGTGCTCACCTGTGAATTCGGCGCTTGCGGATTCACTGGGAGGGTTTTTATGCCCCTCCGGCAAATCGGCCGATTTTCGATGATGATCGTCCATCCCTTGACGGAGTAAAATTTGATCTCGTGTTTTTTGGAGAAGTCCCTACTATACATAATAAATACTAGCTATCAAAACTCATAACCATCAGTCGATGTAGCTCAATTGGCGAGAGCGTACGACTGAAGTCAATAGCATTCGTAAGGTTGGGCGTTCGATTCGCCCCATCGACATTTTTCCTCATCCTCAATATAGGATTTTTTTTGTCTGTTTTATTTGTGTTTTTCTAGTATATTTTCATGCATACTTTATGTTTCTTAAATATATTGCAAAGGTGCTTAGAAATTATTAAACGAAATAACCATCTATACTTTTTGTACAAGTTCATTTTCAAGGGTTTCAAATGATTTTTGCTTTTGAGCTTCTTTGTATGCACGACCTTGCTCGTAACCAACTTGTTCAGCGGCTCTATGGGACATGCTGTTTGGAATTAATTTGGAAGCCTCCTTACCAGACAATTTTATGAGAGGTTGACGAGAATCTTGTGTAGTAGCAGACTGAGGAGCTCCTGATTTGTTCAGACGAGAGTTTAAGAATCTTTCTTCAAGTTCGTAACCTCTTTCTATCTCAGTTGGGGCAAATGAAGCTCCATATGCAGCAGCCTCTTCAATTGCAGCTTGTTTTTGAACCTCCAATTCAGCCTTAAGTGCCGAAAATTGGTTTGTAGCGTGAATATAAGCTAAGGAGAGAGATATATTGTGATTGTTGTGAAGATGCAAGCAGAATTTGATCGCACTGAGTTTGTTAGCATCAAGGAAAGTATCATTAGGTAACACTTACTCCTCTGGCTGTGGATTTATAGTCAGTTGCTTAAGAGAAGACCAGCCATTTGGGGAAGCGCAAAGAGTTTCGTAACGATCATCTGAAACCTGATACGACTCAGTTAAAGATCTTGATCTAAATGATTCAAATGGGAAATCCTCATAGAATTGCCGTCTAATCTTGTCAACTGGATAAACGATTTTTTGAGGTTTCCTATCCTCACGCCAATTTGGGAGCTTTCGCTTTGAAGTATTTCTACTACCACTAATGAAAGGCTTATCCTGCTTGAGAATGTCTTCCCTCTCCACGGTTGCGTGCATAGGCGGCAGGGAAGGAAGATTTCTCAGGACGGGCGCATACCAGGCAGGCGGCTGCTGTAAGTAGTTACCCCTTAAAAGTCTAGAGACGCTTGAATGTACCTCTGTTTGAATCCTACGAGGCATTTTATTCTAATTTTTTAGTTTTAATGTGGATGTCCTAAGCAACCAATAGAATAAACGATCAACAACTAAAAAGCGCTGGACGTGAGATGAGCATATTTGGGAAACTGAAACAGCAGCAAAATAACGAAAAAGTTAGAAACTCCTCTTTACCTCAGTCTACGAGACCTAAACAGGCTGCTCAACAAGTTCCACAGCAGATTGGTACTTTGCAATCAAATTATGCTAATACTCCTCCTAATGCAGGCATAGGAGGCCGCATACCCGTTAGACAAGCCTCCAGCCAATCTCAATCATCTTCCCAACCTGCTTCTCAGCCTCAGTCGCGTATACCGTCCCGCTCTTACACACCAAAATCTCACAATCCAGATCGCTACCCATGGATTACGGTATCACTTAAAACAATAACTCAGGCACCATCTCTCATTTATCCTCCTCCATTCCCACGTTATGGTCACTCTGCAAACACCGTTGCAAATCAACGCGGCCATATTTATATCTTTGGTGGTTTGGTAGCTGATTCCGCTATGAACGATCTTTGGTTATTAGAAACTGATGGCGCTCATTATCCAAACGCGAATCCCATCAGAGCACATTGGGTACACACCAATGGTGATTTACCACCACCTAGAGTTGGTCATAGAAGCGCTCTATGGAAGAATTGGATTCTGGTTTGGGGTGGTGACACTTTAAACTCAGATTTAATGGGTTCTGCTGGTCAATCACAAGATAATATCCTTTACGCTTTTGATACAAACACTCGCTTATGGATGCGTGTACAAATCACAGGTGGTTCTCCAGTCGGTAGATATGGTCATTCAATGGGTCTCATCGGTGACAAACTCTATATCCACGGTGGTCAAGTCAACGGCGACTTCTTCTCTGATATTGCAGTATTTGATTTAAATCAACGTGAGATTATCCTTCCTTTCCAAATCAAAATACTAACAATTAGTAGTTTCAACCGCGGGTCCTTGTGCTTGGGATTTCATTGAACCAGTCAACGATCCACCTCCTAAACGTACCGGACACATCTCTGTCACATACCAAGACAAAATTTATATGTAAGTACATTTGTTTAACCATTAAGGTGAATAAACTTACAAGAATTTAGATTCGGAGGTACGGATGGTCAATATCACTATAATGATGTTTGGATGTTCGATTACACGAACAAGCATTGGTCCGAACTTAGCTGCATTGGGTATCACCCAGTACCCAGAGAGGGTCATTCAGCTACCATAGTTAAGGATGTAATGTATATCTTTGGTGGTCGTGGAACTGATGGAAAGGATTTGGGTGATTTAGCCGGTTTCAACATACCTAAAAGAAGATGGTTTGCATTCCAATCAATGGGACCATCTCCTAGCGGTCGCTCTGGTCAGACTATGTCTACATCTGGCGAGTCTGTTTTTGTTTTTGGTGGTGAAGCTTTCAATGCTCCAGATCCTGCAAACAATACAAATGATGATCCTAATATTGTCCATGTCCTTAGGCACCCTCGTATTAATTATCCAAAGTCAGAGGATAATGCCGGTGGTGTATCACGTACACCAACACCAAGACTTTCAGAATCTCCTCAGATCAATCACCAGTCTATACCACTGCAACAACAGAATCAAAGATACGCCCATAAAGCGAACAGCAGTGTACAGTCACAACACTCACAAGATTCTCAATATGCGACAGTTCCTTCAACCTACAACAACAATAACAACATCAATTCGAACGGTCTAGATAAAATTACATCTCCTATATCACCGGCAGGGGTTACTAAAACCACCAATCAATCTATCCCTGCAATTGCTACAAAGAACATACCACAAAGACCCAAAAGGGCAGATGATGGTGATTATGTTGTTTCAAATATGTCTCCAGTTGTAGAGTCGCCACGTAGTCCAATCAGGCCTGGAAACTTAAGGGAGATTCGCAACCAAGTTTCTTTAGATAAGATGAACCAATCACCACAAATTACTCAAGTTAACAAACCTGACGGGTTTAGTCCTTCACAAGTAGGGGAGAAACCACCACTTGATGCGTTTTATTATTCAAATCAACCCCGTAATTCGACAGATGCAAAGCTCGATAATGAGAACCGAGCTCCGACTACGGTTGACTCTGATGAGGTCAAAGAACTTAAGAAACGCGATCAATGGATGAGAATTGCCTTAGAAATGGCAACCAAGAACGGATTTGTTCTTCCTCCAGGAGATGATGTTAAATTGGATAATCTTGGTGAAATTGATGGAGACAAACATGCCTCAGAAAAGAAGAAAATTATTGATTCTCTTATGAAAATGAAGCAAGAACTTTCAAAAGCACATGTGAGTTTAATTTTACTTTAAAAATACTTACTTATATGTTATTAGTCTACGATCTCTCTTCAATCTGAGCAAATCAATGGCCGTAAAGAGGAAAGTGAGAGAGCATATAATGTCATTTTACATGAGGCCTCATTCTTGAAAGCCAAGTTACATGCCTATGAAAATAATGATAAAGATGAAGTTCTGAGATTAGAAAAAGACAAAATGCACTCGGTGGAATCTAAATTAATTGAAGCTTTATCCAAGCATGGAGATTTAGAGAAGAAGTATGCGGATTTAGAGAAGCAGTTGGAGTCATCCAAAGCTGTTCATGAGATACACACTCAAGATCTTACCAATACCATAATGAGAGCGGATACAGCTGAAAGTTCCCATTTGAGTGTTTTAGAAGAGCTTCACGAAGCTCAAAGGAAATTACACGTAGCAGAAACTGCTCTTAGGGATCATCAAGTAGCTAATTCAGCTTCTACTGCAAAGGCTTCACAGGTAGACGAAGCTCAGAAGTCAAGAGATGAGCATAGATCAACTTTAGCTATGCTCAGAGAAGCACTTAACTCCACTGAATCTCGTTCAAGAGAAATTGAAAAGCGTTACGAGGATTTAATTACAGACTTAAGTTCAAAGGATAGGGTTGTTAGAGATTTAGAGTTACAACTGAGTGATCTGACCAATAACCTTGATAATAAGACTAGAGAGCACGAAGAAGCACACAACCACTTGAAAACACTCGGAGAAGAGGCGGAAAAGTATAAATTACTTGCAAATGAAGGTCTCTCGCGATTCCTTGGATCTTCTAGCGAAACGAGAGATGTTGATGCTGACAGCTCCTCTGAAAAGAGGCAGTCGACAATGTTCATTCCTCATGATAAGTATTTAGCAATGGAGCAAGAATCAAGTGTATTGAGAAGCTTGTTGGAAGCAGCGGGAGCTAAAGTAGATGAGACTCACGGTTCATTGGCTGTTCAAAATAAGAGATTCTTAGAATTACAAACTCAACTGAAAGAAGCTGTATGTCAAGTAACGGGTCTCAGAGCACAGCTTAATGCCAAGGTGCATGAACATGACGAATCAAGAAACTTGTCAAAGAATTTACAAGAAGAGTTGGAAATCAAAGAAAGATCACTTGATGAAGTTAGAATTGAGCTTGATGTCTTAAAATCCTACATTGAAGAAGATGATGGAAAAAGAGATAGTGTAGCAAATGAAAATTTGGAAAGGCAGCTCAGTTTGAATCATGAACTTGAGCAGAAGCACCAAATGACTCTTGAAACGAAGAGCGAATTAGAGGCAAAAATTGAAGAGATGACCGCTTTAGTACATGATCTCAAATTAGCTAAGGAAAGGAGTGTTTCTGAAGATGATCATGCTGAAGCTAAAGCAAGAATTGAGACTCTCGAAAAAGATTATAAACAAGCTGTTGATTATGTGAAGGTAGGTAAAGAGCATTGATCACGATAAAACATTAACAATATTATTTTAGGGCACTGAAAAATTTGTATACAGACTTAAGCAAGAACTGATCAAGGCTAGAGAGAGCAACCAACAGTTAGAGAGAGAAATGAAGAGAGGCTCAACTGACTCTTTAAGAAGAGATTATGCGACCTTAAAGGAAGAGTTAGAAAGACAAAGAAAGGAATCTAATGATAAGGTGAAAGATCTTGAAGCAGTGATTAAAGATAGGGAAGGCATGATAGAAGCCCATCAAAGAGAGATCAAGAGAGTGTCAATGGCTACTAAGAATCAAAATGCTTCAAAACTTCTGAAAGAGAACAAAGAGCTAATCGAGAAAAACGAGAGTCTAAGTCAACGCGTACAGACGTTGTTAGACACAATCCCAGACAATTTTGAAGATGATGATTTGTTAAAGTCTTATAATTAATTGTATATTTTGATAAATATAAGTTGTAATTTTTACTTTACTCGTTGGTTTTTGACAAATACCTCAAATATGGCTACAACCTCGGAATTCACAGAGAAATCATTCTCAATAGCAGACGCTGACAAGAATGCAAAGTTTAACACCAAAGATGATATAAAGCCAATCCTTGATAAACTTCAAAGTCAACTTGACGTTGAGGACGTGCATTTTAGCGGTGTATCGATTGGTGTAGAAGCAGCGATTGCACTCTCAGAGAAACTTCCTGAATTGAAATCATTAAGAGTAAGTATGAATTACAACTTTTAGTGAGACTTATAAAACTTCTTAGATCGCTGATTTTAGTGATATTTTCACTGGGAGACTAATCACTGAAATTCCACAAGCTTTGAAGAGTATTTGTGATAGTTTATTAAAATGTCCAAAGCTTGAAGAGGTTAACTTATCCGACAACGCTTTTGGTGGTAGATCCGCTGAACCAATGGTTAACCTTCTGTCAAACCATCCAAATTTACAAGTTTTAAAGCTCAACAACAACGGTTTAGGTATTGAAGGTGGTAAAATAGTTTCAGGAGCTCTTAAATCGCTCGCTTCACACCCAGAAGGTTCAAAATTGAGAGTAGTAGTCTGTGGTAGAAATAGATTAGAGAACGGCAGCTCAGATAGCTGGGCCGAAGCTTACTCTCTTCATAAGAACACTTTACAAGTCGTCAAAATGCCACAAAACGGTATTAGACCAGAAGGTATCACAGCTATTCTTGGTGGTTTGACAAATTGCAATGATTTGAGAGAGTTGGATTTACAAGATAACACTATGACAAAGAATGGATCAATCGCGTTGTCTAACGCTATAAAGAGTTGGTCTAACTTGGAAGTTATCAATATCAGCGATTGTTTAACAGGTGGACGCGGTGGAATTGAAATAGCCAAGTCATTGGCTACAGGTGTATTGAAAGAGCTTAAAACTCTTAGGCTTCAATTTAATGAATGGGATGAACGCTCACTTAGTTTGTTATCTAAGTACATCAATGAATTTGGTCAAAAGCTTACGACTTTGGAAATTAACGGTAACAGAGCAGATCCTGATGAAGATGTTATTGAAAGTATTAGAGAAGCTTTATCAAAACATAACCATGGTAATGCTCTTGATGAACTTGATGAAATGGAGGAATACGATCCAGAGGATCTTGAAGAAGAAAGTGAGGGTGAACAATCCGATGAAGAGGACGAGGGTCAAGGAGAATCAGCGAAGGTTATTGAGGAGATTAAAGAAAAGAAACAAGAAAGCGGTGATGTTGATGATCTCGTTAACCAACTTGCAGGAGCCAAAATTAACTAGATCAATCAATTGCATAATGAAATATATCCATAATCTATTACTAATACAATGATTTACAAAATAGGTCAGAGTGAATGCGTGTGTTGTGAAGATTAAAGCTAATGAAAGCTATGAAAGGTAAATCTGAATACGTTTATAGTTGATGTTTAGTGAACAATCACACCAGCATCAGCTTTCTGGCCATTCTTTGTGAATATAGTGGTTAAAGTCAAACTAATAAATGCGAAGCCAGAACACAAGAAAAGAGCAGCTTGATAACCTTTCATAGTAGCTTGAGGGGTACCTTTCGTGTCCTCAAGTTGGAGTTCTTTGACACTTTGATTCGCAATACTGGTCAATGACAGACCAACAGCAGAACCAATCTGAAATGCAGTGTTGATTAAGCCACCTGCTAGTGATTTTGCTTGTGGGGGTACAGAAGCTACCAACGCAATAGTACCAATGTTATGGCAGAAGCTGGTACCTATTAAAAATTGTTAAAATGCAGCAAATTGATCTACAATCACTCACCAATGATACCAATTATAGCAGTTGGTAAAACATAAGCCCAAAAGCTACCTCCTACAGGGGTAAAAGCAGCTGGAAATGGCGCTGCAACAAGACAAATGTAACCGATTATAAGAACTGGTTTTATCGGAAATTTCTCTACTATCGGACCGACCATCAAGCTAAAGCAGATTCCTACAGCACCCATTGGTATGAATGAGACACCTGTAATCAGTGGACTAAGTCCAACGACTTCTTGAGCAATCAGCGTTTGATAGTATATTTGACTAGCCCACGCGCTATATAATGTGAAACCGGCTGCAAATATACCTGCAAAAGAAGGTTGCTTCCACAGGTATGGAGGAAGAACAGGTGAAGACACTGTCTTCTCTATGAGATGGAAGACAGCAAGCATCACGAAAGACAAAATAAGTGGTACGATTATCATAGGTGTTTTCCAGCCGCTAAGTTCAGATTGTGTAAGTGCAAATACTAGTAAAATCATCGCAGCAGTACCGACAAATGAACCTATGACATCCAATTTCGGTTTAGGTGTTTCTATATGATCTTGAGGAAAAAAGAAGAAACCACTAGCTGAAATAGCGACGAGTACTGGAGCTAAAATGTAAAATAGATAACGCCATCCAATTGTTCCACTTAACAATCCGGATAACACTAATCCGATGACGAAACCAACAGCTCCAGACGCACCAAATAATGCCATAGCTTTTGATCTTTGTTTACCAACAAAGTAATTGGTTATTACACCAATTGCAGAAGGTACACTGCTTGCTGCTCCAATACCCTGTAAGGCACGGAAAATAATGGCCTGAATACCGCTTTTCGATACACCCACAGCAACAGTGAATACTGACATCCATAGCATGCCACCAATGAAAACCTTTTTACGGCCATACCTGTCTGCCAAAGCCTAGTGACTTCGTTAAGATGATCGGTGTGAAATTTTTAATACCTACACCAGATAATAGAAGGAAACCACCGAACGTGAGTGTATACGCAGCTACCAACCAGGTCATACTCTCTTGGGCGATCCCTAAGTCAGAAGCCATCATAGGAAGAGCAATATTAACAGAAGTGACCCATTGATTATCAAAGAATTGAGAGGCACAACAGGTTGTAATTATTGCGATACCTCTAGGTGAACTAAGAGATGTCTCTGATTTATGTTCACTTATACCTAAACTAGAAATCGTTGGTTTTCTCGACAAGCTCTCTGGGCTGTCTGTACCTTCTTTGTAGGATGTAGCATCTGTCTCGATTACTGTTTCACTATCGCTGGAATCACCCTCTTCTTTAATTGCCGGTTCATGGTGAGCATTCACTGACACGATTGGAAGATTATCAATCGAGTTCTCTTCTATTCCCGCGCTCGTAGTCTGACTCCATCGTCTACTTCCTGTAGCTATTGCCGTGGGAGTGATAGCAAACGCTGAGTTACCGGTTCTTACGCTGGATCTACGCCTTACTTTTCCGGGTAAGTCTATTGTTTGATGATGAACTAATTCATCATCTTCCTCTATAATTGCAGAGTCTAAATGTTGCGTTTGAGGATTATTGGACATTATAATAAAGTGTTTATTGTGTAAATGTTCAATAAAATACCTTAATATATGCAACAAAAAGAAAATCGCAAATTTTGTGCGTTCGGTCTAATGGCGGTGATATATTACAAATGACTTAAAACTGACTTTTAATAAGACTTAGTATAATGTTCAATAAGGAAACATTTGAGTGCTTCTTTGTTATCAAATTCCATATTTAGATGGAATTTACATTGACGTCAGTAACATTGTCAGTAAATGACAACATCGACGAAGACTATTAATATCTGTTGAAATATACAAAATAATATGAGTTCGTGATTCCAATACTAGCAAGTATCATTTTTATACTCTTATCCACTATTTATAGTCTTGACACTCAGCGGTCAATATGAAATCTAATTTAATACTAAATTTGATATTATTGGCCTCAACAAGCCTCAGTGAGACGTTTAAGAATAGTTCAATCATTTCACAAGTACCCAGTTATAGTGTACAGTTTACGAGGAGGACATTTGTTACTCCAGACGAAGTTAACGATATTCTCAAGGCTGGCGAAATATCTATTGACGAATATACTCAAGAAGTGAGCCATCCACTTGTTGTTGCAGACGTCGCACTTCGTGAACCCATAATACCTGTCAGTGTATCTTCAAATTGAAGGATATAAATTAACAATAAATCAGATCGATTCTATTGAACCTTGCACACCTCATATTTTCACTTTATACCCAAATTTCAGCTTCATGTGCTTAGTTCCATCTAACAAGATGAGCAAACCTATTGTTGCGCCAGAACCGCAAGTCCCTAATATTCAGGATGTCAGTAAACTTTTGGATCGTATACGAGAGGATTGTGTCCTTTATCAACCAGGTGGTTGGTATGTGTCGCGTTTGCCTTTTCACACTTAACTGATGATCTTTAGGTGGAGTTATAGAATCTGTTTCAATAGGAAAATAGAACAATTTCATGCGAAGCTTACACCTGTCGTATCTGACGACCTTCAACAATATGCTTGGAAGACTGAATTCGATACCAACTCATCATCATATATACTTGGTAGATCGCCCGTTGATAACTCAAAAAATATTTCAGAAACGAAAGAGTTGTCTGCTAATCAAGACAATTCGCCTGCAGATCCTCCATTGAAGTTCCAATCTAATGGATTTCAAAAGTATATAACAGAAGAATGGAAAGGTGGTCAGATTTGTGATAGAACAGGTGATCCTAGGAGTACCACAATCGAGTATTATTGTCTACCTGGATTAAAACAACCAAAAGTCGTGTCAATCCAAGAAATAACTACGTGCAATTACGTTATGCAAATTCAACTCGATCAACTCTGTGAAATACCTGTATTCAATGATCTCAAGATTAAGGAAGATGTAAGAGCTATTCAATGTATACCTATATTGGAGAATGGCAGTAAGTGGCCAGACTTACTTGTTGAAGAAGACCTTGGGTATGATGATTATAATGATGATAATCAACTTGAATCACCTGACGCAAATGAATTGATTAATAATGAAAAGTTGGAAAGTCTTAGTAGGGAAGATTTGATTAGTATCATTGCACGTGCTCAATTACAATAATTAATATAATATATAAGAAATTTAAAGCAGATGTTGTATCTATATTAACAATTGTACAAAATGGAAAGCTAAACTAGTTAGTTGGTAATTGATTTTTCAAGTTTTGATTTGATATGTTCCAGGAAAGCGTCTGTGTTGACAAAATGTTCATCACGGAGGTTTTGGACACCACCTTGGATTGAAACCGCCAAATCCTTGGTAACGACACCGTCCTTATCAATTGTGTCGACGCAGATCTTTTCGAGATTTTCGGCGAATTCTTTTAATTCGTTGTTGTTGTCTAATTTGGCTCTGTGAGCTAAACCTCTAGTCCATGCAAAAATTGATGCCACTGGGTTAGTTGAAGTTGGTTTACCTTGTTGATATTGTCTCCAATGACGTGTAACGGTACCGTGAGCTGCTTCAGCTTCAAGGGTTTTACCATCGCTAGTAATCAACTCTGAAGTCATCATACCCAAGCTACCGAAACCTTGAGCGAGAATGTCTGATTGGACGTCACCATCGTAGTTTTTACATGCCCAGACAAAACCACCTGATGACTTGACTGATTGTGCAACCATATCGTCAATTAGTCTATGTTCATAAGTGATATTGGCTTCTTGGAATTGTTTCTTATAATGATTTTCGTAAACGTCAGCGAAGATATCCATGAATCTACCATCATACTTTTTGAGAATAGTGTTCTTAGTTGACATGTATAAAGGCATCTTTTTAGCTAAAGCAGTTTGGAATGAAGAATGCGCGAAACCGATGATAGACTCATCAGTGTTATACATTGCCATAGCTACACCTCTACCTTTGAAGTCGTAGACTTGTAACCTTTGTGGTTCACCACCTTCTGGTGTATAAACTAATTCAAGTTTACCGGGTTTATCAGCGATTAAATCGGTTGAACGATATTGATCACCGAAAGCGTGTCTACCAATAACAATAGGTTTGGTCCAACCAGGGATAGGTTTTGGTACTGATTGTAAAATAATAGGTTCTCTAAAAACGGTACCACCAATAATATTCCTAATCGTGCCATTAGGAGATCTCCACATTTGTTTCAAATTGAATTCTTTAACTCTAGCGTCATCTGGTGTGATAGTAGCGCACTTAATACCGACGTTATACTTTTTAATAGCTTCAGCTGAATCGATAGTAACTTGATCGTTGGTAGCATCTCTATTGAGTATACCAAGATCATAATACTTGATATTCAAATCAAGGTAAGGAAGGATTAAATCGTTACGTATTTTAGACCAAATAACTCTTGTCATTTCATCGCCGTCAAGTTCAACGACTGGGTTTGAAACGTTAATCTTGTTTGAGATTGATGATGTAGAGACTGAATGGGTTGAGTAAGAAACACTGAAACCAGTAGTAAGAAAACTAAGACTTTTACTCACATTTATTTAAGTTCTTAGACATTTTGAATATATTTCTATTCAAATTGTTGATATGTAACATGGTCGTTGAATTGATACGATATCCGATAATCCGACCCGAAGTTGAAAATGAGATAGTGAGTCATAATTGAACAAAAATAATAAAAATTAAAAATTAGTTTATTACATTTAGAGGATTGTGAAGCAACTAGTGCGTTAGAATCAGTTATAAATGACTTAACAGCGAGGTTCAACGTGAGATTATATAGTAGCAATAAAAGAAATAATTTATTGATGATAAATTAAAGGCTATAGCTAAACAAAAGTACAATCTAGATATAAGGAGTTATTTAGACGATAAGAAGCAAACTATATACACGATCGATGAGAATAATGATAAGTTGATAAATATAATAATAAATGATGAAATAAATAATAAAATGAATAAAACTTTATTCAATCTATTAATAAATAAGGATAAAATCTTCAAATTAAAATCTCAATACATTTCAATTAAGGGTTATGAGCTAATGATGAAGGATTTCAATATAAAAGTTGGTAACTTGATTATAAATAATAGCAAGTTTAATGGTTTAATTGCTCAAATTGACTTCACTGTTATTGATAAAAGTAACTTGGAGGAGTCAATATCAAATACGTTATTAAGTAATTTCAAAATTATAGATTGTAGTTTATTAAACTATTTTAAACAAAATTCTTTCCTTTAACTATTTCATCCATGTTCGATGCAGTAAGGGATGCAGAAAAGGATGCAGACTATCCTGAATATAGACCGCCATCAAATTATAATTTACCACCTTTAAGTGATAAAGATTTTGCTCTTTATAGTAATTCTTTAAATCCACTAAGAGCTTCGTCAAAAAAGAGAAACTTAGATAGTCCACCCTTCGCTAGTGTAAAGCAACATAAAGTTAACCAATATAAAGTTACTAAATACTACAATGATAGACCTGACTTTGGTAAAGATGCTAGACGTCAATCGCCAATATTTAACTTGAAAAATTTCAATAATTGGATAAAGAGTGTTCTTATTGCTTCATTTGCAAGATTTAATCCCCCATCTACCGCTAGAGTTTTAGATATCGGTTGCGGTAAAGGTGGTGATTTGAATAAATGGCTCAGAAGTAATATAGATGAATACTTTGGTTTAGATATAGCCCAAGTTTCTATAAATCAGGCTAATAATAGGTTTAATGATATGCGTAACAAACCTTTCAAAGCTCACTTTAATACGCTTGATTGCTTTAAAGAACCATTAGATAAAGCAATAACTCAGGATTCTTTAGATAAACAATTTGACGCAGTTAGTTGTCAATTCGCAATGCATTATGCTTTTGACTCAGAGCAAAGCGTACGATGTATGTTAGAGAATGTAACAAAATATCTAAAACCTGGTGGTACTTTCATTGGTACAATCATAGACGCTGATGTTTTAGTTAACGCATTAAGTGAAATAGATGATCAAAGTAATATGGAATTTGGGAACTCATTATTCAGAATTCACTTTGATAAACGTCCAGATGAGAACGAAATTTATGGTCAAAAATATAATTTCCATTTAGAAGATGCTGTTGATGCACCTGAATATTTGATACAATGGGATTCTTTTACTGAGTAACTAATCTTTATTATATTATATTTACTAAGATAATATTAATAGATTAGCTGAAAGTTACGGTCTTCAATTAATCACTTACAGACCTTTCCAAGATATATTTTACGATCAGATTCACATATCAGAATTCAAAAGGTTAGCAACTTACTTGAATATTATTGATGATATGGGTACCCCTGTTTTGAGCAATGATGAATGGGGCACAGTTGGTATGTTTTCGTTTTATCACTAATTAATTACAATATTAAATGTATTATTTAGGTATTTATGTTGCATTTGCATTTGAAAAGATATAATATTTTGAAGGAACGTACTAATTTTGTAGTATAAATCCATGTAGTTTTACTATGCCTTGAATGAAGACGATCATGACTACTAATTTCATACATTGCGCTATATGCTTTAAAACGCTAATTAATTTAGAACTGTCCTTTTATATAAGCAATTGTGGTGATATTTTCTGTCATAATTGCTGTCGTTAGTTTAACTACCTATAATCAAGCTAGTTAACTATGGATTTGTAGGTCAAATAGGGGAAGAATGCACAATATGTGATAATAAAATTACTGCGTTAGAGCAAGTTGATAGACAGGAAGTCCATTTTCAATCACCAATCACGTTGAGCGCTTTATCTAATGAGGTCATTAATGTAAGTGATAACCAAACACCAATATTTAAACGTATATTGATATTTATTAAGGTACAATTCCGAGAAGCTGGAAATTTAATTGAATACTATAAAAATAGAACATTAAAACAAAGAGATCTAATCGAAAGGGCAACCAGAGAGATCTCCAATCTGAACGAATTGAAAAGGGAAAATAGTAGTTTGAAATGCGAAATTCAATCATTAAAGGACAGATTAGCATACGTTTATAATAGTAAACCATCCTTCACCATTGATTCATCAAATAACGATAAATATGTGTCAAATTATAAAACAAAATCAAAACCGGCTTTTTTTAGTACATCAAAAATGAACAATGTCAATCGCACTAATACATTAATGAATTATGGTGTTTCAACTAAGAGAAAAGATCTATCAAACAGTATTTCCTCAAGGTCTTCATCATTTACTTTGCCTCAATTTAATGATCAAATTAAACTTATTCCAGGGAGTCGTAAAAAGATCTCAAGTGATCGAGAAATAATTAATAAAAGACACCCTGAGAGATCGGTGTCTCAGTTATCTAAGTTTACATCCAAAATTGGTTTTGAACAAGATATTATAAGTATAGATGATGATTCAAATGGTACGAAATCTAAACCAAACTATGATAAAGGCTCTACATCAAACAGATTATCGTAAGTACGCTAAAGTCATTGCTGTAGTTTTTTTTTATCAAGACAACTAATTAGCTCATTTTCATTCAACGGAAGAGATGATATGAGTAATGTAAGTTTAGATAAACGCATCAAAGTCTAGTTTTAACAGAGCATAGTCAGCAATATCATCTCTTGCCAAGTATCAAAGAGGTACACATAATAAAAAGGTTAAAAATACCAATAATGGAATCTAATATTTTAAAACAAATCCTATACTAATGTTAACCACCATAAACAGGCACGGCACTAACCAGTTTCCGATAACGTGATACCCTGATAATGAAAAAAAAAAATACTACTATTTTCAATTATGCATATATCATTGTACCGAACACTTCTAATGAATTTCTTTTACTTATTGTTTTATTGTGGGACATTAGATCATAATAGAATTTCTATTCAACTTGATGAGAAACAACGAAGTAGCGATTTTATGAAAATTCCTTTATATTAAAAAAAACAAGCTAGTTCAACAAATAATTTAATAGTTTATATTTGGTAATAATCTTTTATCGGTACATTTGGTTAAACGAGTTATATGGACGCGATTATAGGGTTTCCTTTGGATAAAAGGTCTAATTGGACGCCGGGAAATGTTGATGAAACTTGGGATAACTACTTCCAACGTGAGTTAGCTGGATTTTTCAGTGTGACATTGCTAAGATAACGTCAGCGTATCATGAGAAAGTTGGTTTAGGGGTGTGTCCATTTGATTATTAATAATTAACCCAGTTAATGATAATTAGTTTGTTTCAACAGTTGGTCTCATCTCTGCTTTAATGACTTTCGGATTACTCTCTTACATACTTTGGCATGCTAAGTTTAATTACGATGCTCGACACCCACCATCAGTTGTTGCTGCTAATGGTTCACTTCCTACGTTTATAAATAGCGCGTAAGTTATTGAATTCAATTATTTTATTATTAATAATAAGGTCATCAGTCCAGGCGCTTACCTTGTAAGCTTATTCGTTAGTCATTTCATATATGGCGTTGGGTTCGGTGAGTATTTGTAACATTTCAAACATATAACTAATGAAGCAACTTATAGCAATCGGATTCCAATGGGCCGCCACTCAATATATTTCAGTTGGTCCACTATGTGATGTTCAGGGTACATTTTTACAAATTGGTGACCTTGGATATGCTTTCTGGTCAGGTGCAATTGCATACCATACCTTCAATTTGTTGTACTTTAGACAATCGCCACCAAATTGGGTTAATAAGGGCATTTTAACTGTATGTTGGATACTACAAATAATATTACCAATCATTGGACCGGCTGCAGTTGCTTACCCTAATAGATTATATGATTATTCAGGTGGAACGTGGTGTTGGATAAGTGGAAAGTATGATGAACTACAACTAATGTTTTACTTTATACCATCTTGGTTATCAGTGGCTATGTCTTCTATAATGTATATTACTGTATATGTTCACACCTCTCGATTTTTCAATAATCAATCCTTTACGTCAAGTTTATACAGCAGTAATGATGAAGAAGCTATTTATATTGGTACTAAAGTCAGGAGGAAAGCTAGATCATTATTGATTTATCCATTAGTATATGCTATTTTATTAACACCAGTTTCAATAGTTAAGATAGGTTCAATGGCAGGATGGCGAAGCCCTTTTTGGCTAGCGTGCTTAAGTGGTGTAATGATAGCAAGTTCAGGATGGTTGGATGTATTATTATTTTTATACACTCGGCGAGCTTTCCTTCAAGAAGCTAGAAGGGCTGCAAGGATAAGATCAAAGAGTAGAGGTCAAGATGATATGAGATTAGGAGTTGATGGTCCTAATAATCTAGAAGAAGCTTTAGGATTAGGGGGAGTGCAAGCCAAGATAGAATTAAATAGATTAGATAACGGAGCAGAGACGGAGCAATTTGAAAGATCATTGGGAAATCAATCCGACGTCAGTAGTCATACACCCTTACGTTAAAATTTTTGTACAATAGCTTTTATGTATGTATTTGTTTTTGTTTGTTTACTTTGATGATTGAATTAGAAATCAATGAGAAACTCAAAATCATAAATGAAACGAAAATTAAAATAAATGAATTACTGAAATACTTTAATAAATTTTATCAATTAATTTATTTAAATAATAGTTTAACGATTGATAAATTTAAGAAAATAAAATTGAATTTCAGTCTAAAATCTCAGCAATTAAAGGAATTTATTGGAGTTTTACAATTAGAGATAGAGAAATTGAATGGTTTATTGCAAAACTATAATAAACCCATCGCTTTTAAATTACCAGAGAATAATAATTCAAATGAGGATCAGTGGATTTTAGCTAAGATTTTGAACTTTATTGATCAATCTACATTAAACGTTCAAGATGTTGAACCTTCTGAAGACGGTAGTCCAGGACAAGTTTGGAGAACATCAAGTAACTCAATCATAAATCTACCTTCGTTATCATCATTAGATAAGCAAGGACATCATCACTCAATAAATTCATTAGTTTTAGGCTTATATCCAGATACTACATCATTTTATAAAGCAATTGTCATTAAATCACCTGACTCAAATAATCATCAATATTTACTGAGATTTGAAGATGATGACGCACCCTTTCAAACAGTTTCATCCGAATTTGTTGTAAATTTACCCAAAAATTGACTATTTATTCCAATTGTTAAACTATAGTGACTTAGAATCAACTCTAATTCTTCAATTTCATCCAATAACTCCAGATTATTTATCCTTGCCTTCTCTTCATACGGTAGTTTATGTCTAATTGAGTTTAAAGCGTTTGATTCAACTTGGTTATAGCCACATCGTTTTAATCTATCTAATTGATCATTCATTAACCCAGGTAATTCAATTCCTCTTGACTAAGACATATTTAGGTGACAGAATTATAGAATATTTACATACCTTCAAGTTTGATATCATAACTTTACCAAATTTATCATCTAAGTTAGTCATTTCGTATATAATGACTAAGCTTTCTTTGAATTCTCTGCTAAAAGATTCTAAAATTTTATTTGTTGAATCAATTGACATATAAACGAAGACGCATTCTGAAATAATTATAGTTGGATCATCCTTATTCTTGTAAGGTTCTAGTAAGTCATTAATATCAACTTTTCTCAAATCACCGGGTATGAGCTTATATTTGGAGCTAATCAATCTTGAACCGCCTTTCTCTGAAGAAAATAAGCTTTAAAAATGTCTGAAATATGAAAACAGACTAACCTATCTTTATATCATTACCTAATATTGATTTCAGCTCCTTATTCCTATTAATAAGCATTGCCTTCTTTGATGTGACTTCATCAAAATCTATTTCAATGTAGTTGTTTATGCGTTCATCATTCTTTAATTCTTGTTACTTTTTAACCTTTTCAATAACGCTTCTCTTACATTAAATCTCCAAAATCTCGTATCTGAACCTGCACCTAAACTTATTATTTGTACATTATCGAATCCAGATAAGTATTTATTTATTAATTTATCTATAGAATAGACTCTAACATGTGTACCAATGTTAATAATTGGCGGTCTATTTTGATCTTGTGCACGGGCAAGACGTCCAATCAATAATTCTGCATATGGATCATCGAGATAGCCTTTCTTAACTGCTGATAATCTACTGATTGCGGCATCTAAATCTGTCAACCTCGTTGCGTCATCTGTTGTGTTGGTCGTCATCGATGAACAGATGAATACTGTAGAGGATGAAGTTCTAAAGTAAGTGATATCAATATTTTATAACTAAATGTGAAATAACTACTTTATATGAAGATGTAAATACGGTTAGTCAATGTTTATAAAAGATCAGACAGTCGTCATTAATCACGATTAAATTATTTAAAAATCACAAGAAAAGAATGTTTATTTTTTTAATTAAAGGTGGTTTTATTTATTTCTTCTTTTTTCTTGTTTCCCTACTTTTTTATACGATACTTCGTTAGCTTCGTATGATGTAACAACGATTGTGATAGTTGTACCAATGTTATATCTACTTAGTATATTAATATTCATCAATCTCCTCATTTATTCCCCCTGTCATTATAATTCATCCTTGATACTCGTATTTACGTTATATCACACGTTATAAAATCGTACTATTATTTAAATAAGACATAGATTTAAAGGCAAGTTATCTGCGGAGTTCATCAATGACGACATTTAAGCGTGAGTGTCAAATCATTTCTTGTTTTCAAACAATCAGAAAGTCTAATATTAAAACTGAGCTATGCCTTCGGTAGGTAATTAAAATTAAAATTTCTAATCATTTACCTTAAATTTCAAAGTACTCGGATATCATCGCAATGGCTAAAGCCAACTCAGAGCGTGGTGCCAAACATTTACAAGATATGAAGAAACGTAAACAGGAGGAGACTGAAAGATCTAAATTAGAGGCGATACAGAAAGATATTGAAAGAAAACGTGCGGAAGAGGAGTTATCTAAGCGACGTAAGCAAGTTGAGGATCGTAATAGAGAATTAGAAAATCGAAGGAAAGATGAGAGTAGAAGAATTAAAACTGCCATTGATAAAACAAAAGTAAATCCTAACTCTCGGAAGGGTTCGTCTAAGAATGTCAGTATGTTGATATTTAGATTTAATTTACTTATATCTCTATTTTATAGTCATCCGATGTCCTGACGAGAGAGGAGAAACGTAAAATCAAGCAAATGAAAGAGTTTGGTGAATACAATCCACGTAAGAAATTACAAACAGAACCAAAAAGTAAACATCTAGGTAAATCGAACGAGCTTATTCCCTTGAATCAAAAGAAAAGAGATACAAGGACGGTAGATGAAATTCAAAGAGATCTTAAGAGTAAAAGGCATAAGTCTTTGGAGAAATCTAAGAGCTCATCAACAAATCGTACATCACAGAAGAAGAACGAACAATATTCGTCATCCAGTGATCAAGACGATGATCCAGACGAAGAAGCTATAAATAACGACTATGTTGGCCAAGATATTTGGAAACTCTTTGGAAAAGACAAATCAAAATACTTGGAACGAGATTATAATAGTGACGAAAGTGATGTCGGTATGGAGGCTACTAATGAAGATGTCTTGCATGAGGAGCTTAAAAGGTAAATAAATATTTAAATATCTTATCATTAGTATTTCTAACCATCACTCTTTCAGCTCTCGGTTTGGTAAACAAGAAGATGAAAAGGAAGCTGCTGATTTACGGCGTCATGAGTTAGAGAAGAAGAGAAAAAGACTTGCAAGTAAATAATTTTGCGTTTATCGCATTAATTATTTTGCTGGAACGTATCACATGTCTGATTATTGTCATGTACTTCGTCATCACATCAAAATTTCTAGCTAAAACATTTTGGTTTACTTTGTTTCTCGCACGACCGTCCCCAACGGTATTCAATTTGAATGAAAGACACATTAAATGCTTCTTCCAGATAATAACTTTTTAAAACTATATTTCTATAACCGCGCTTGCTAGACGGTTTAGATCGCACTGCTAATAAAATCGAAGATAGGGGTAGTACTATAAGACACCTTGAATCATGGTGCATAAACGGTATATCTATAGCTTTATTAAATGAATGATGTGACTATAATAGAAGTTTTATATGGATCCCTGTGCCGCCAAATAATAATTCAAGGTATATAAGTAGAGCACAAGCATATATATAAACTTTACATAACCATTGTGTATTTACACACAGAAAAGATGCCTTGTGAGATGCTACAATTTTTCCTTGTAGCGCAGCAAGTAAATGAATCGAATACGTATACCTGATGACATTAACTCGATCGAGACTACCACTGTTCTATTATTGACTCGTGTATTTGAGTTATTGTTTTCATAACATTTTACATGTTAAAAATGGCCTAATTACTTTATATTTCGTGGAGGTCTTTAGTGGGTGAAGAGTGAAAACTGCAAAACACTATCTAGACATCTGCAGCAACATCCTGTTACAATTCGCACACTTTTTACATTTAAACAGAATTGACGCTTTACTCCATAAAGAAACCAAATGTATTTAGAAAATAACGAGAGTATAAAAATATCCTAGAATTATAGTTTGTTTATCTAGTGGCTCTAATTACTTATTGGCCCCATAAATGAATAAAGATCTTTTTCTCGGATCAAGCATATTCTTCATTACAATGTTACGTACGATGATATGTTAAGAAATATCCAGTCGTTTATTACTATGTACTTTTTACTGGGTTGTTGGATGAGGTTTTAATCACATCGATACAAACGGAAGCGAGGTACTTATAGATATCATTCAATAGTTCTTGATTTTATGATTTAAGTGTTGACTTCCTCCTCGTTTTTATATCACAAATGCTGGGAAAAAGACTTATTTAATCCAGTAATAATGCAGTAATCGAACTGGTACTAGCATGAGAAAACAATGACTGTCTAACATATCAAGCCCGTCTAGACTATTCAAATGTAGGAAGAAGATTCATGAAGCCTAAGGAAATGACACACTCAATTCATGTGATAGATTGAAAGGGGTTCCGGTCTTTTAATTCACTACCCTTTAAAGATTTTGGGTATCCTGGTATGTGTAATGGTTTCTTATTGCGTTCATTATCGTGATTTATTCACATTTACGCGTAATCTTACGACATAATGTTCATGTATCTATTTCAAGTTATTTGCAATCATTAGCATACGCATAATTTTGCCTAGAGTTTAGTAAACGTGAAAGTGTTCAGTTACATGTTTGACCTAGAACTTTATTTGCTGCATCCAGTTTAAATATGGGTGCACAAGCTCTTCTCTTACACAGCAGTAAGTTATTTTAAACCAACTGAAGTAAAAATGACCAAATAAGCTCAAAATACAATGAAACATAGCTAATGATCAGTTCATGGAAACGTAAGGATCCTACGGAAGGAAGTAGTGGATTTATTTAACCTTCCTCAAACTAAAGGGGCCAGAATAAATAAAAATATATTATCTTTCGCTTATAGTAGAACCTGAGATACTTAAACAAATTCTATTTACGTGCTTTATTGGTGTGATACCATACCGTACAATTTGCGTAGTCAACAATTGGTGTTAGTTTGACCTTCACAAAATTAGTTTCGTAGCTTACATTACTAGTAACAGATAAAATTATTCAGACGACCAAGTACATTGGTCATGGCAATTAGATGACGTCAGCTAAGTTAAGTTTGTTGCTCAGATAAAGATACTTACAATGTATCGTCCAGTATTGAGCAAGCGACAAATTATCATACTAATAAGACACTTGGCTATAACAAAATAAAGATAAACAAAAAAATTACAAATGAAGACTGCAAAGTATATTCCTAAGGTTTACATCGCTTTCCATCTTCTAATAGTACGACGATAATTACGAAATTGACTATTCTTTTAAGAGGAATATTAAAACTTCTTGAATATACCACAATGGGTTTGTAGTGAGCCTTACAGTACCTTGCTGATAGTATTGCAAGTATCCAATTCTGAATTCGACTCACCAAAACACTGTACCCAAAAAGGCAACTAGATATTAAGACCTTTGAAATTTTAAATCTTTTACGCAAAATGTGTAAACCGTAATAATAGCACAAAAGATTACCAACTAATTTTTACAACCTTTAGTAGATTTCCATCTATGAAAACGTGTCGTTGTCGTGATGGGCACATATTCTCAACATGTCAAACGCACAAAGCTCTCGAACAGACAGGTAACAGTCACTTCATCCAGCGAGCTCGTATACCGTACACCGACGTGTTTCGACACACCGGTATTAAACTTGCAAAACGCTGTTCGAGGTTTCAGAACGGTCACGGAACATCTGCATGGAAGACAATACAACCAATATGGCCTAAAGATTTTGAATTTATCAATGCCTTGACGTAAGGTATTACAATTTTACAAATTACCTCTGTATTAAATCCCTTGTAGTGTAATGCCATAATGAACACCTTGAAATGAATTGATTTAACATAAACCTTACAGAACAATGCTTCCCGAACCGTAAAAGTAGTCGCTTTGATATGTTAGGATGGAACATCAAGCTGTGTCTTGTTATTTCAGCAAAACCCTAAATATCAAAGGTGTGCAAACGCATCTATTCCGTAATGTCTAGTTCTAGAATTACCTTACATGGGAAAAACTCTAACAGGGTCATTGTTTTGTGAGCACAGGAGGAGATGGCGAACTATAGTCTACCTTGTAGCAACGTTTGTTCACATCATGTTGAAACAAAGTTCAGGTGCACCCACCTAGTACGGGTGCTCATAGTTTCTACAGGCATTACTTACCGCGAAAAATGTCGTTGTTCACACGAGTGAACATGTTGTATTCCCGAAATAATGTGGTCATCTCCATCTGTGGGGTCTTACTACGGTTTCGAAAAATTACAATTCATTCATTTAATGATGTCCTTACGATATTACCGATCAGGAAAAGACGTTATTCAACTCGGGAGTATCACGCTATTGAACTTTTCAATGGATAGTCTAATCCAGTTTCTTGTTGTTCCTTGGTATCTGAGTAGACCAACGCATTTGTTCACTACCTTGAGACAAGTTACCTAAGCATTTCAGGAAATTAATGCCCTCTCGCGGCCACGAGTCGTTCATGATGTAGCAAATTTTGCTACGTTGTCATGCAGTCCAAGGAATGGCCAGGCGGGAATGAACCTCGCTCAAGTTTGAGAAGTGTTCAGTTGATTCCATTTTATAACCGTAGCGAAGCAAGGTTACGCACGCTTTGTTAGGTTAGGAGATTACCGCCTACTGCTTTTCCAGGGCAGCCTTCATTAAACGGACTCGTAATCGGACTGTTTGGAAGACAACCAATATTGAGTTACCGTATTCTTGTCCAAATCGAAGTTTCTTCGATGACCTGTAGTACGGAATGGTCGTAGTGATACGAGAGTTCATCGTAGAATGTATTCACTTGGTCAGTCTGTGCATGCCCCGACTACAAAAACTTAAGATGCAAGAGACTAAGAGGCTAAAAACCTGTATAGCACTTAAACTCTGGAACAAATATTCCAGATAGCGTTATTGTAACCTGAGTGAGGAACGCCAGTTAGTTAGTTCTCTACCAAAACATAAAATTATTCATGTGTCTGCAGTCACTCTAGAGCGCAGTGAAATTGTCCGCAGTTTTAAAGGCGTTCAGGGTATCAGCAACGCGCTCCTCGTGGTGGCTAAGAGCAAAACGAATGACAAGCACTATCATCGTCATCTGCGTCCCCTAAAAGCTGTATATCATACCTACTCGACTTTCCCATTGTTGTGCTGCTTGATTCCATGGAATAATTAGCTTGACCCAGAACATCTCGCGGTAGCTAAAGGGCATTAATTACCTCAAATGTTGACGCATTGTCTAACACGTTGGAGAAACAATAGTTTTCATTCAGAATCGAAGGTACAAAGGGGAGTTCGTTTACACTATCAAAGGGAAGTTCAACAGCGTGATACTCCAAAATTGAATGTCGCCTTTGCCTGATCTGTAAAAGCTTAAGAACATCATTTAATGAATGAATTGTTCATTTTCGAAAGCGTTTTCCTGAAAGTCACCTTCCTTTTTATTGCCGTTTCTTTAGAGTATTAATATGCCTTGTGAAGATCCATTGCCATGCGAAATGATTTTTGAAAGTACATGAACTTTTCGACATTTCGCCTTTCCCTAGGTGTAAATACAATCATGACCCATTTGAGGCTTTCGTTTTTGCGCTCATGAGATGACACTTCAATGTTTATAAGATATTTCAGCGCATGATTCAGTAATTCACTTTTTTTTGTCTTATCCACGTTGATAAGCAGTAACGTTGTCTCACATTTCCAAAACTCATGTTTCTGCTCAGGGGAATCATTGGCTGTTGACGTGGTTTTATGTCCATGATGTCCCAAATATGACACCCGGTGGTTGTTCGTAAATATTATGATACGAAATTTTATAGACCTTTTTAAAATGGTTTTATAAAAATTTGCATAATTCAATAAGTGTACATAGGCTTTTAGTTACGTGTACCTCTGTAACATGTTTTGTTCAATGTCCTTCAGTGATGTCAAGGACCAACATAGTGCGAGATTGCGTGATACCAACGCGCATTTTATTCGTTGACCAGCTTTGATCAAATTGATTGGAAGGACTAACGAAAATCACAATGGAAAAGATTTTCAATTAGACACACTCCAAGAAGGATGCATCTCTTCATTATTAAAGAGGAGCTCCCTGGACTGATGTCCCACGCGTCTCTATTTGTTCCCTCTCTAGGGAGTAGAGGAACAGATGAAATATTTTAATTTTCAATAATGTATTTAACTAAGTAACTTAGCACCGTAATTAATGACCGTAAAAGATTCGTGAAGTGTTCATAGATTGAATGACGTCTCCAGTCCGAGTACTCGAATAATGAGCAGGCAAGGAGAACATTTATAGTTTTGTTGATTTTTATTGCTCGAATATGTCTTCGACAAGGTGGACAAATTAATATGACTTAAGATTGTTGATCAATTGGTCCCTTCGGCAATTTTAGTAGCTATCCGGTACGAAATATTGTAATATCGCATGGGTATGAAATTCTTGATATCGTGTTGAGTAATCATCGAACAACATTTGCCTTATGTAATAACTCTTCTCATTCCTCAAGTGAACCGTGACAGTAATATGTACTAATTGATACGTACCAAACAGCTGGGTTTGGTCCCACTTAAATAACACAATGTCACATGTTCTGTACTATCTGAAGCAAATATTGTAATATTAATATTGTTTGGTTGTAACAATATTGGCAAATGCAGCACCGAGCGCATGAAGTAAGACTCCGTTGTCCATTCTTCAAATGAGCCACGGCTACAATACGTATTGGAGAACCTAATACGACTATCCTAGAATGAGCAAAGGTTGCATTGGATATCTATGATTACTCATTCTTTGCAGTTAGATCTGAAGTGAAGACTCAGACCAATTGAAGGACGTTGAATCATCAAGAGACATCCGTTGAATATAGCAATTAAATAAATGATACTTCGGTGAAAGCGAATATTCCAGCATTCCTGTCAAAATCAACAAGTTTTGAGTAGTATATAATAAGCTGATTGCTTTGAGATAAAGTAGAATTTCTGTATTCAATAGTCATGATTTTGCTAATAAGAAAAATCTCAACTTGTAATGTGATCTTTTCTTCAAATCCTAAGATAGCTGAAATGATATCATCGTTTGTCTTCTAAGTCCTGAATTGAAGTGTTAGAAGGTAACATTCAGTTAGTGATACATACCAATTACTGCAGTGCACTATTTCATAAATTACTTTGATGGTACGATGGCCAAAGTTCATAAATCTTGCAGAACAGCTTGTTATTGTCCAATAAATTCATCAACTTTTGTCAACGAAGTTTTATTTGCATTTTATTTAGAGTATTTTGTGATATTGCAGAAATGATCATTGTTCAATTAAAAGATGGAAGATGGTTTATTCAAGTGTGAAAATAGGGGAAAATTTTTTTTACTCAATTATAAATATTGCAGTATATTCCTGTTGCATCTAATATGTTCACATTTTCATCTCCCAAAAACACCATACCGGCAAAGTAACTAACACCAGAAGGTTTACACGCTTAGTAGTTCGCATGAATGATACCAAAGTAGACAATATATATATTAAATATCATCTGTAAGACTGTTTAATTTTCGGATAAATTTGAAAATACAAATGACACACTCCTAGATTTTAGTAGTGTTATTCTAAGCCAATAAACGAAGGGATTAATAAATATCCTTGCATTGTAAAGAATGTACTTACGTATTCCACCCCAAAGTGTAAGTAAAATCCGTACTCAGTGAAAGCTGATTGGAATAGTATATCTCAGGTACTACTAACATTTAACGACATCGCTAGTGATCTCACCATACGCATAATTATAATAGATATTTAATCAAAATAGCTTTTCCACATTTCGCTAATCATGATTGAACCTTAGCAGGGTATCAGAGCCTAACGTTATCAATCATAAAGTGGATCGTTCGCAATCACTACCCACTAAGTTTCAAACTGTTGTCTCTTTCATTCTTTGACAGAAATTTCCTACCCATTTTTTTTCTACAATTTTCTTGCTTATCATTTGACATTGTTCAATTGTTATATTTCTCATATGATGCTTTATGACATCTAGAGACGACTGTTGGGGTCCAGATATATTCACTGAAGATAGGGGCTCAATTACTGAGCAGGCTTAAAGCAGGATAGTAACCTTCCAGATTACTCTCTTAAAGTGAATGTTGAACTATAGGTAAATATATATACTAATCATAACATTTTAACTTCCAAAACATGACGAAGATTTTCAGCAATCATCTCTATTTCTTTCTTAAATTAAGCAACTAGATTACAGCTTCATACTCGACCAAATCAAGTTTAAGTTCACAAGCCCGCCAATAATACTACTATATTACTTTAAGAAATGGTGATGACAAAGTTACCAGTTGGATCATATCTCAAAATTCAGGCAGTTTCTCTTTGAGTTAAAGTATATCATAGTAGAAAAATAGTTGAAACATATATGGAAAACCGAGACAGAATTCTGAGAAGGAATACTATTGAGATTTAATGTGAGATTCAATTTCTTTGCTCAATGTTAAATAAAAGATTCCTTATTTATTATAACAATCCTGAATTGAAATGACGCGAACGCTTGTAAATTGACTGTGGCGAAAGAGTGACAACACTTTCGGTACTTGAATAAACTTGTAGTGTTGAAAAGATTATTCAGAAGCATTTAAAATAGCTTTTAGGTATGTACATATAATTTCAGCCATATTATCCAAAAGATGACGATCACTTGAGACTATTTGATCATCCTTCTATAACTTGACAATTGTGTATTTGCAATTTCACTCAGAAGAACGGATAATATTGACTGAAAACCAGCTCGGAAACTTGCTATGAGATTGCCAGAAGAGATTCTACTGATGTGAGTATTCACTTCGTACCTTGAAAATTCTGATATGGCCTGCAGTACGTCAGTAGCAGATCTTAAAAGTTGGAACCTAGTCACTAGAGATAGAATCCATTTAGGCAGACCTTGGATCGTTTTTGGATGATTTATAATGTTTTCGTGGGAAATAAACTCTGTAGCTGTTTTGATTTTGATTTTATCGTATTGCGACAATAAAAGGGAAGTCGAAAGCCAAAGGCGCTCATGCTTTATAGCAATATATTGTAGACTTCAATAAACATCTACTGTAATATATATGGATGACATCAGTATTTAATCTCTTGACAGTTTTATGATGAGAAATACGTAAGTCTTATAAATATACTTCCATTGTTTATTGTGTTGGTCGGATTATATTTTTATTAGATCCTTTCATCAATGCCATCTTCCAGATTAATATGCTAATTCCCTGCTTGTTTAATTCACGATAAACGTTCAGCATCTCTATCTGATTTCCAACACGCCACAAACAAAATTTTAACTTGGTTGAAGTCACAATTCAAACTTAAATGCCAAAGGAACATGCAATTTATTGTAAAAATAGACGTTTCTGTTTCGAATACCGTAGACTACGGAACCAACTTTTGAAAGCATCAAATTACCTCACATCTGATGAGTCCACAAATTATATGATATAGTACCAACTCAACCAAAATAGCTCTTAGTATCTGCTTATGCATTTCTATTTTTACTACATCAAATAACAAATGATATTTTACTGGCGCACTTTTACTTTCATTAAATTTAAATAAACCAGGTTCTTTCTACTGACCTGCAGGTGTTTTAAATCTCTACACTTTGGTTAAAGCGTCTCCCCTGAACATGTTTCGCTGTTTTCTGCCCTGGTTTATGCATTTGAATTTGACTGAAATCGAAGCAACCTGGCTTTTATTTAGATGAAGAGCTTGAACAACTTTAATAGTATGCAAAAGGTAAAGTTTCATGTCGAATATGATGTAACTTGTCATTTTCACGGTGCACTGAACTTTAGTCAACGGTCTCTTCATCGTAATGAAGGCATACCAACTGAAATAGCTACAGATTAGGTGACCATCTGTTTTTATGCGCACAGAAACTTAGTATAAGTTTTCCTTTTCGATCTCTGCCCTATATTAAGTTCTTATTGCATATTGATACTTTTAGTATCGAAGCTAATTTTAGACCTGTACACAGCTCAACTTCTATGGTATAACTTTGCTTAAAGTGCATTTAATAAGTATGATCAGGTGGGACTCAAAATTATTTGGTTCACTGGTAAAATACAATGCAAGGTTAGCAGACAGATCCAAAATATATGTTCAAAGCTGAAATTCAGTTCTACTTTATATTGACGTGTACACCTGTTGTACTTACTCTCTTTTTGATCTACATAGTGTACACTACCATGTACGAGAACACTGGGCGTGAGAAAGCAAGACATGGAAAGGTCAAAGTTGTCAGATTACAGAGGGGAAATCACCAAAACTTTGACCCATATTTTTAGAGTCTGAATTCATTATTGTCACTACCCTTCTGAAGTTGGAAACATTCAGTTTGCTCTTTCGACATTGAAGGGATGTCTGACAATGTATATCCATCTTCATATGCGCGTAAAAATCAACAATAACTCTCTTTAAAAGATATTATAGGCTCTGATTTTGAATTTCTCTACCTGTATGATGATTGAGAAATATTCAACATTTTCAAACACCAAGTAAATGGAGAAGTTGTCATGATTGTAACTACATTAAATATTCGGGATACTGTAAAAGGACTAGCTTAATATACTTTAAAATACAATAATCTTACGATAAAAGTGACAAATTTTTGTTCGCTTAATTACATTCAAACTGTGTTAGATCAGGTCGATAGATAGTGTATTAAATAGTTGTGGGGTTTGCAATGAATTCTAATAATCGAACTATTTATATAATCTAGAAAAATTCATGCTATAAAACTCATATGAATGTTTGAAAAATGCAACTATAAAAAATAAGAGAAAATTGTATGCTTGGATAAAGGGGTTTTTGTTAATTCAAGTGGTATCGTAGAACAAAGTGCTGAATTCAATTATCAACCTCATCATCAAGTGGAAGGTAGGTAAATAACTCCATAACAGTTTTTTCATTCCTTCTTGAAAGGATGACGCATTTTTCTTCGGTAAAGGCTAATCTCCAAATTGATTCACCCCTTTCAGAAAGATCTCTTATACGCTTTCCTGTTTCAAAGTCCCATAATTTTATTCTACCGTCATTACCGGCGGAAACTATAAATCTTTCATCAAATTGAAGTGAAGTAACTGAATTACTATGCGCGTCTATTCTATGCAAGCATTCATAGTTATCAAGATTGAAAACAATAACTCTACCGTCTGATCCGCCCGTTACCAAAATATTGTCAGTCAATTGTAATGTACCGATTAGAGCTGTATGTCCTTGTAACATTGCTAAACACTTTCTTTGAGAAGCTGACCAGATTCTCACAGTGTTATCCATTGAACCTGTGGCAATTAACTCGCCATTGAACGCAATTGAATAGATTTGATGAGCATGTCCTTCAAATGTGTGTAAACATTCACCAGTATTTAAGTCCCATAGCTAGAAGAGGAAAATATAAGCATTATTATTCTTTAAAAGGTTATGATAATAGAGTATAACTTACCTTACTCGTACAGTCATAAGAACCAGAAACGATTTTATCACCCGAGACGTCAATTGATCTGACTGAATGCTGATGACCTTGTAGGACATGTATCAAATTACCGTTTTCAATATTCCAAACTCTTAAAGTAGCATCTCTCGAACCAGAGACAGCTATTGGTTTACCTGGTACAACTTTTACGCATCTAATAGTTGAAGTATGACCAGATAAAGTATGTAAACATAAACCTGATTCAGCATCCCAAACTCGCACATGCCTATCACAACTACCACTAACGACAATGGTTCCATTTTGACCCCAACCTTTGACTGCACCACAAATTGATTTACCATCATTTGCGAAATTATTACCTCTAAAAATTTTAGAGAAGTATTTTTTACGTTGCTTAGATTGATTTGAGTAATCATTCGTAGAGGATTTTGATCTTTGATGTGAACTAGAGAAGAAGTTTGGTTGAGCAAAAGAAGAAGGAAAAGAGTTATGATTTGATAAAGGTGGTCTATCGTTAAAATCGAAATTGAAGCCTAAACCATATTCTTTTTGTTGAGGGGTATTATCTGTTGAAGATTGAGGTGAAGGTGAAGGAGTACTAGGTTCATGAGGAATGTTACTAACTAGAACTAGACACCAAACACCTTGAACGTGACCTTGTAAAGCACATTTCCATCTACCAGTTAAAGCATCGAAAATGTGGATATTAGAGTTTGACATTCCGATTATGATGAAATTATCATCCATAACTAAACTAGTAACTACTGCGTCTTCTGGAGAAACATGCGAGCTAATTAATCTACCGCCTTTCCTCCAATTAGATTCGGTTAGATAAGAATGTTTGAAATGCTTTTTATAAGAGAAATCTTGAGTTGATTGTTGAGAAGTCCAAAACGAATGATCATTATTAAGATCTAAAGAATTCCTTCTAACGATAGAATTAGCTCTATAGAAAGCAACCCTTTGTTGAAAAGAAGAATTGGAAGGCTTATAACGATGCTTAAAGCACATATCTTTCCAATTATTTTCGTCCTCAACGATGTCTCTCCACCACTTTGAAACTTGTGAGCATCTGGCTAGAGTTTTTGGATGATTTATGTAAGATAAAATGTGTAACGATAACTCTAAAGGTAACTCCTTTAAGAAATCCCTTTTTAGACGAGGTGCTAATAAGTTATTAGCGTGTATAACTTGAGGAATAGTTAAAGAAGGCAATATCTTATTTAAAGCTAATAATTTATCATTATGATTCAATTTATAAAATTGATTGAAAATGTCATCAATTGAGTGATCAACGTAATCGAATGAATTATTAGCTGAAGACGGTGTTGGAGGCGTTGATAATAAATTATTATTTGATAAAGATTTTATTGAAATTGGCGTTGTAGATAATTGATTATTTTGTTCTCTGTCGTCCATTTGGTTGGAAGAGAGAGAGTGAAAGAGTCTAAGAGTGAGAAATGGAGATAATTAACAAGAACAATAAATTAATTTTAACTAAAAATGATAAAAAGCTAATTATCAATCATAATAATATAAAGTTTAATTATATTATAAATTATATAAATAAGCATTATTATGATGAAATTCTATTAAATATACTTGAAGGCTTTGAATTAGACTTTAATAATAATGATTTAATAATAAATTACAATAATAAACATATAAAGTTGTCACCTTCGATTAGTTATTTAAGTAAAGACATCAATGACACAAGGTTAGAAAGTGAAATATTATTATTAAACAATAGTTTATTGTTAAACAATGATATACAATCATCCAGATTATCAAATATTCTGAATAATAATTTATCAGATAAGAAGAATTATAGTAATAACAATGACCTTAACGATAATGACAATCAATTAATGGATTTATTTAAGAATGATAATTCGATAGAAACAAATTTTAACTTAATAGAATTTATAAAAAAGCATAAAGATCAAACTTCTCAAACTTCAACTACCAAATGAATCAAGAATTAATTCAAAAATCAATAAAAACTTTAAATAATTTCATAAATAATGATAAAAATTTAATTGATAATGTTGATAACTTATATTTAATAGTCACTTTAAATAAGATGAAATCTCATTCTAATAACAAACCAGTTAGTATTCCAATAAAAAACTCTTTAATCGACCCAAGAAGTGATGACTTATTACTTATCGTTAAAGATCCTAAAAAGACTTCAGTTGATTTACTCGATAGTAACAAAATCAAGTTCATATCTGAAGTCGTTGATTTAAAGCAATTAAAAGGCGAATTTAAATCATTCGAATCTCAAAGGAATCTATTCAGTCAACATAAATTATTAGTTGACCAAAGAGTTTTACACTTATTACCTAGATTCATTGGTAAACACGCTTTCAACAACTCAAATAAACCAATTCCTGTTGATTTGGAATCTAAAAACTTAAAATCTCATTTAGAATCTAGAATAAATAGTTTACATTTCACTCCATCAAAAGGTGTTTGTCAGTCTATTAAATTTAGCACAACCGAACAGTCTCATGAACAACAATTAGAAAATTTGAACTCTTGCATCAACTACTTTATAGAAAACATAGATTCTTTGGAAAACATCAAATCTATTAACATTAAATTATCATCATCAGATTCTTTACCTATTTACATTAATGATTCACTTAAACAATCAACTGAGTCACCTCAACCAGCTCAAAAGAAGTCAAAATCTTCATCAAACAAGAAATCTAAAGATCAAATTATTGGTAAAAAGAAAGTTTAACTTATTTATTTATTATACATTTCTTATCTTAACTTCTTTTCATTGAAAAAGTTTCTCAAATGACTTGACTGCCAATAACAGGCAGCCGCTACTACAATCATTTGTATAATTGACCATGTTATTGTTCTTTTATTTGTTGAATCGCTTATGTCTCTGAATTCTACCTCCCTTTCCCTTTGAAATTCTTGCTCTTTACGTACATCGTTTAACTTTGCATTCAAATCTCTAACCCTATTTGTTAATGTCTGTAAATGATTTAAATCTGCTGATTCGTCATGCTTAACGGCACCTATCGCTATATCTAAGTGAATCCTTAAAGTTGGTTTGCCTTTATACCAACTAACGTTTGAACTATTGGTGGATAAACAAACAGTATGATCACCGGCTAAATGACTAGTAAAAGTGAATGATCCAATTGAAGGTCCTTTACTATTGACAACAGGATGTTTCTCCTCTGTTTCTTCAACTTGAATCAGAACACCAAGGCTATTAGCAGTAACCCATTCCCTCTTATCTTGATCATACTCTTCTGCTTTATATTTACCTTTTCTCTTTATTAGTAAAGATCTTGCTAGAATGGTTATGAATACTGACCACTAACTAAGGTATCAGCTGGCACTTCCTCTAAAAAGCATCTACGGTCATTACTTTCCATATAAAAGTGTAAACATTGAGTGAACTCTATTAAAATTAATAATATTAATAAAACATTGAATTGCTTCATCGTCGTTAATTCTCAAAAGAGTTCCTTCTTGATCTTCTAACGTCAAGATGGGTTCAATTTATTATAAATTTAAATCTTCAAAGAACTCATCGAGAGTTAACATTGATGGTACTTCTTTATCTGTCTTCGATTTAAAGAGAGAAATTCTACTATCTAATCGTATGGCAATAAATAAAGGAAACGATTTTGATCTGGTTTTATTAAGGGATACACCCGGACAAGAAGGTTCGTTGATAGCCACCTCTTTATTCTATCTCAACGTTTTTAAGAATATCATGATGATAATGAAATGATTCCACGTTCAACAAGCGTTATAGTTAAGAGGTCTCCACCTAAAATTGCTAATAGAGGTACGGCAGCTAAATACATTGCTGATGCTCCTTTACTATCTGCAAATGAATCAAATCCGTTATCAAATATACCGAAACCTCCTTTAGCTAGTATGTCTAAAAGGTTTGACGGTAAGGATGATAGTAGACCACAACAGCAGTTGATGCAATCTGTGAGTGCTTTTGAATTAAATCTGTTCACTCCTCAACCTTTACAGTCTGAAAATAATAATCAAGGTTCAGAACAAGATGCTATTTCTGCTATGTTTGCTGCATCTGAACAGCAATGGGAAGAAACTCAACAACACATGTCTATGTAAGTCCTATCGTATTGTTGCTCCCATAGCACTTTCATTAACAAGTTATCAGGGCAACTCCTGTATATAATGTGAGGCCACCTGTACGTAGACCTGCGCCAGCATCAACATCAAACGGTGACAACACAACATCAAACCCATCATCCGTACCTACTCAACAACTTCAATCTCAAGCACAAATGTCCTCATTCACAAGTACAATGCCTACCCCACCTGGATACGTTTGTTATAGATGTGGAGAAAAAGGTCTGCACTTTAAATTGAGTAAATTAATAAATCTAATCTTTCTATCAGGCCATTGGATACAAGATTGCCCAACAAACGGAGATCCGAATTATGAAAATAAACCAAGGTTTAAGAGAACCACAGGTATACCGAAGTCATTTTTGAAAACTGTAGATGCAACAACAGCAGCATCAATAACAAATAATGGTTCAAATGCAGCAGGTGTAATGATTACGCCTGATGGGAGTCATGTTATAGCAACTCCTGATATAGCAACTTGGGAAAAATCTAGAGCTATAAAACCAGTTGCATTAACTGTTAATGATATTAGGGAAAGTGAACCGTCTGATGCAAATCTCAAATGTGATCTATCTGGTAAATTAATAAGTAATCCAATTATATTACCATGCTGCAAAAAATCATACTCAGAAGAATATATAAACCAATACCTAATCGAAAACGACTTTTTCTGTCCAAATTGTCATTCAAATGTTGGTAGTCTAGTTAACTTATCACCAAATCCACCTTTGAAAGAAAAAGTGGTAGAATATATCAGTCAGCAACTATCTTTAGATAGACAAAAGAAAGATGAAGAAGCAAAAAAGAATAACCAAACCGATACAAAGGATGAAGTTGAACACACTAATAAGAAAGGTTTATTTGAAGATGAGATAAATAAAATCAATAAACTCATAAGTGATTGTCAATTTGCTATAATGGCTATAGTTGAAGCTTTAAATAATAAAGATGTAAGTCTTACTTTATTCCAGTTTCCAAGTTTTCTGATTTTTTTAGCTTGATGATAAATTGAAATTTAGATTCCAGACTCAATTAGTACAGCTAAACGTAAGTGTCTTTTTTCTGTGTCGGGCGTCTTCTAATGTCGTTCTATATAGCAAATCTTAAACCTGCATCAAGGTCAAGTAATGATGATGATGAATGGAATGGATCCTAAGGTGTTCGGTATGCCACTGCTTCCTGAATTGGGTTAGTTTAACTTTAATGTTTTGAACATTTAAGCTTATATTATAATAGGTAGAGTGGATCAAAACCAACAAATCAACATAGATGAACCATTGACGAATAAAAAAAGATCTAGTGCTGATGACGATTATAATAACAGCAGGCCATCGAAACGGTGAATAATTTGATATTGATGTTTATCATTGTTATAACATTTGTATGTAATTTACGTATTCATAATGACAGGTTTGTTATTATTACTAATAATATTTAAAATAATCTTTAACATATGCTAAGATGATCATTGTAATACTATATTACTGTTTTATGTTCTAAATATTGGTAGCAAGATGTCTCTATGTTAGGTGGACGAGTGTAGTAATATAACTTATAAAGATGTCGTTATATTTACTATAATTGTATCCAGACACTCTACGTTAATATAATATAACATTACTAGTTTGCACAAAGAAATATCATAGTTAAAGAAAATGGAAATGTATTTAAGCGTATAACTTTAGCAGCAACCGCCAGAAGTCTGCTGATCCAGCTGTTGACCTGATGATAATTTTACACCAGATTTCGTGCCTGCACCTGATCCAACTGAGTTGGTACCCATCCTGTAGATGTTAGTATTTGATAAAATAGATAAGAAAGTGAGCGTAAGCGTACCTATCTTTGATGTGTTTGGCCATTGTTAAGAAGGCTTGCTCAACGTTAGTTGAATCTTTAGCAGAGGTTTCCAAGAAAGGTATATTGAGCTGTTCAGCAAATTCCTACATCTATATGAGTAAATAAGCTGATAAAAAGGACGATAATCACCTTTGCTACGTTAAATTCGACCGACTTCTTCGATTCAAGGTCGTTCTTGTTACCGACGAGCAATTTATTTACGCCTTCGCACGCGTAGCGGTCGATTTCTTGTAACCATTGTGATACGTGATCGAAAGACTCTAGAATAATGGTTAGAACGTGTGTAAATTCTATAAGCGTGGCTCACCATTGTCGGTAACATCATAAACGACAATAATACCATGTGCACCACGATAGTAGCTAGAAGTGATCGTCCTAAATCTCTCTTGACCTGCTGTATCCCACTATAAAAACGTAAGAGAAGTATGTCAAACTGCGTTGAGTGCTCACGATTTGCAGTTTGACTGTCTTTCCGTCAATTTCGATTGTTCTAATTTTGAAGTCAACACCAATGGTAGATATGTAAGAGGATGTGTAAGCTACATATTATATTAGCATGTACTCTAAACCACTGGTTGATTGACGTACTATCGTCAGCAAACCTCAATAGGAGGCAACTCTGAGTAAAATTGTAAGTAATACCCCCCCAAATATTTAGCTTTAAACATACCTTTCCAACGCCTGAATCACCAATGAGCAATAGCTTGAAAAGAAAGTCTAGCGTGTAGCCAGTAAGCGACTAGCTGGAAATATATATAAAAAGATCTCACCATAATCAGGCTGATATATTTTATTAATATTTAATTATATCTTTCTAGAATTCAGACTTACGTTCATGATGGCGGTATCAACTCAACCGTGAATATGGTCAGAAATAATACAAACAATACTGTTAGAGGTCCTACTTCAGCGTTGACATCTTTTCTCAGAGGTAAATCAATTCACTTATTCTCCTCAATAGCTTAGATTTCCATTATAGAGCAGGGTATTACTGGTCCAGCTGGATATCCATACAGGCGCCTAGATCAGCCAGCGAATAATCAGACAACCCCAGCAAATGCTTCAACTTCACAGACGCCGTTGCCACAGGATCAATCATCAGATTCTGAGGATTTAGATAGAGATGATGACATAGAACCATCGTCTAAACGCCTTAAGGTACAGACACAAATAGATCAAGAAGAAGACCCTTATACCGCTCCATCCAGAGCAGAAAGTACTTCTTCTGGTGGCATCGGTAGCAAGACTGCTTGTATTGAATGCCAATCAAAGGTTATTATAGTGAGCCCATACCGTTATTCATCTTTTTATTTTTACTCATTTATATAGACAAAGTACACACCTCCAGGTCCAGATGGAATTGGTGTTCTTTGTCCGAAATGCACAACAGCCCTTGGTATAGATCCATTCAAGCAGGACCAGCCAAAGCGTAAGAAAGCTCCAAAGAGAGAGAAACGAAATGTACCTTCAATTGAGCTACCAAAGAAACCAAAATCACTCTCAGACTACGCCATCAAAGTTATTATTGATAATATTGACCACGTAGAGAGCTTGAACGAGATAGGTATAAACGCATTGGAAACAATAGCGAAGATTATCTCCAAAAATCGCAGTCTAAACCCAAGAACTCTTCAATTATTCTTAGGCAGCCACCAAGAAAGCTTATCGCTTTATGATGCTGCCAATCTTGACACAGAATGTTTAAAAAGTATTGCAGTATTATGCCCACATTTGAAGAATCTGACTATACATTTCGCTGGTCAGTTGTCTGGTGATGTTATCAAAGCATGGACCTCAAAATTTAAGAATCTAACGAGCTTGGATATACACGGCGCATATCTTGTTAAGCCCAATGATTGGGTTGCAATGATAAAGAAATTCGGATCATCGTTGACATCATTTAAAGTATCGCATTGCTCAAAATTTGATGAGAGTTGTGTTGAAGCACTGGGAAACACTTGTGCAAACCTTGAGTCTTTATCACTTTCACAAATTATGATGTATAATCAAGGTATCGATCATTTATGCAAGTTAGAAAAAATCAAACAACTTGAAATCATAGAGATAAATGGAGAAGTTACTTCAGAAGCCATAGTGAATTTGCTTAAATATATTGGAGGTGGTATTGAATTACTCACTTTATCCAAAAATCCAGATTTGGACGATGAAACTTTGTCAGTTGGCATTAAATTGCATTGTCCAAACATCAGGCAACTAAACCTGAGTGATTGTGAATCATTTGAAAACGATGGTTTTAAATCGCTCTTTAATGACTGGAATGCAGAAAATTTGAATGTTTTAGACATCTCAAAAGATTATACGATAGTTGATGATGGTATCGAAGCTATTGTCGACAATGTTGGAAAAAATATTGAAGTATTTGGTATGAACAAACTAAAGAATGTAACTAGAAATCAACTTATAAGTATATCGACAAAAATGCCTAAGTTGAAAGAAATTGATATTAGTTGGTGCAGCCAAACAGATGATTCAGTTATAAAAAGCTTTATGGAGAATTGTCAGCATTTGAAACAAATAAAATGTTTTGGTTGCTTACTTCTTACGCGATTTTGTCCACAAAAGGTAAGTAAGAAAAACGAGGCCGAATATCACCTAATTCAACTGCAGTCAGGAGTCCAGATAATAGGATGCCCAGCTTTATTGATGTTGTAATAATAAAATTTTGATAGTTTTGATATTTATCATCTTGGTAAATGCGCGTCTCTCTTATCAATGATCGATTCAGACTTTGAGAAAGCTGTAAACCTGATACAAGAGCTACCGAGGGGTAGTGCTATTGAGATAAAATATGAGGAGAAACTAATAATGTATAGTTTGTTTCAGCAGGGTTAGTGATTGACATTTAGTTTGATGACGACTAAAGCGGAAGTAAACAGCAACCGAAGGGAATGTAATAGGAAGTAGACCAAGTGTATTTAATAATTTAGAGAGAGTGAAATGGGATGCCTGGGCGAAACAAAAAGATCTGAGCACATCAGAAGCCAAGTTTATGTATTGTCAAACGTTGAAAGGTATTTTGAATAGATACAAAGATGATAAAATAGGTAATGAATTGCTTCAAAGGTTATCAGAAGATGATGATGACGATATCTCCTCTAGTAGGAGTTCGTCCGCGAAGGAAATAGCCAAGGAGCAGAATAACATATTAATTGAGAATATATTAACTATGTCAAGAGATATTCAAGCTTTGCATACTAAATTAGACTTAGTAGTCGACAAACTGTCGACAATCGACGGTATTTTGAAGATAATAGCGAAGAGAAAGAGGTGGAATAGATATATTATTATTCTTGCCTTTTTAATCATTTATTTCTTAAGATATAGGAAATTTAAGTGAATTTAATTTTACCTTGTACTGTAACAATCATGTCTTCTGATGAATTTGATGATCTCGATTTGGTAGATAATCAGGATTGGGAGGGCGCTGGACGTGATTTCACTAAGCAATATAATAAGCTAAAGAATCAAGTTCATCATATCTCTTCTATGAATCAGAATACACCGGAGACCACACAAGATCAGCTTACTTCTCTGACTACCAAGTTCTCCCAGCAAATAAATTTAGCACCATATAGCAAAGATAAGGGTAAAGAGAAGGATAAAAGTGATAGAGCAACCACGGAGCAAGTTTTAGATCCGAGAACAAGATTGATCTTGTTGAAAATGATAAATCGTGGCGTTATCTCTGAGATAAATGGTTGCTTAAGTACAGGAAAAGAGGTATTTATCGCTATTCATCTATCCTTAATGGATTAACATTACCTATAGGCTAACGTATATCACGGCTCAGCTCCACCTTTAGATTCAACTAGTCAAGGTGTTCAATTGGCTATTAAAATCTATAAGACATCCATTTTGGTATTCAAAGACCGTGATCGTTATGTCACCGGTGAATTCAGATTTAGAAAGGGTTATGCCAAGAGTAATCCTCGTAAAATGGTAAAATTATGGGCAGAAAAGGAGTTGAGAAATTTGAAACGTCTTTGGGAGATTGGTATACGGTGTCCTCAGCCAATTGAAGTCAGAGATAATGTTTTAGTTATGGAATTCTTTGGTACAGAAGATGGATGGGCTTCACCTAGGCTCAAAGATGCTCAAATCGCTTCCTCAAAGTTCCCAAAGTTATATGCTCAACTGATGGTCACTGTTAGGAAGATATATCGCGCTTGTAGGCTGGTACATGCTGATCTGTCCGAGTATAACATATTGTAAGTAGTTTGGTTGTATGATTATACAACTAATATCACTTGCCAGGTACCACAATTCCCAACTCTACATTATAGATGTTTCTCAGTCAGTTGAACAAGAGCATCCAGCTGCATTTGATTTCCTGCGTTCAGATCTTAGAAATATTGAGAGCTTTTTCTCAAAAGCAGGCGTTCAGACCCTCTCTTTAAGAGAAAGCTTCGAATATGTTACCCGTGAGAGTCTCTTGAAGAACCCTACATGGGGAGAAAGACCTGCACCAGGTCAAGTCGAAGAAGATGATGTGTTATACGAAGAGTTACATAAATGGTTGGAGAACTCTGCAATGGACGAACAATTAAACAAAGACGATGACAAGGTTAAACAAGACGATGCTGTTTTCCTTCAATCGTATATTCCACGTACATTAGAGCAAGTCATTGATCCTGAACGTGATGCTGAGAAAATTAGAAGAGGTGAAGGTAATGATTTAATATATGGTACAGTAACCGGTGTTGCTGAAGCCAACGAGCTTAAAGGAGAAGTTGAGACCAAAGAAGAGATAAAGCAAATAGACAGTCAATATGAGTCCGATGATGCGTCAGGTAGTAGTGACAGTGAGAGCGAGAACGAGAGTGGAAGTGAGAGTGAAAGCGGTACGGAAAACGAATGGAAAGAAAGGGTACCAAGAGGTAAAAGACACGAAGACAAGGAACTCAAAAAAGAAAGAAAGCAAGCTATGAAGGATTCAAAGCGTGAAAAGCGGAAAAATAAGATCCCTAAATCGGAAAAGAAGCGCAAGGTTAAAGCTTCCAAAGGGAAGCGTTGATTTGTTAACACATATATTATAATATACAATGACATCAGAACACTGACTAGAGAAGTGATAGTTGAAATTTGTAAATATATTATAAGGAATAGAAAGTTGAATTGCATTTTTTAAAATGGACTTATCTGATAAATTTACTTTCCTGGCTATCTATCCCTACCCCTCTCAACTCAGATCAATCAAGGCGGTAGAAGAAATATGGATGAAATAGAGGATGATAATCTATCAGTTAACTGGGATTCACAATCTAGTAATCCGAATAGCAACTCTATAAAGTCATCAAACTCGTTGGTGAACGCCAAGTCGAACAACCCGCTAGATCTAGAGAATATATTTAATAATTTTAAATTCACGTTCAATTCCACGATAGATATACCACAACAAGTGCAGAAGTCACCTACAAAGTCCTTATTTGGACAAACTAATATAGACGCGTTAGTCGATGAATTAGATATCGCTTCGAATAGCTCTTCAAATTCTTTACAAACTGAACAAGCAAAGAAGAAATTGAAATTATCAAATAACGCGTCTTCATTCACAAAGGATGTCTCCTTGTTTGAGCCTCTACACAAATCAGATAGGGATATTCTGAAGGAAGCTAACCAGTTTATGGATTTATTGAGGTTTAACGATAGCGATACATCCCCTTTTAAAACATCCACACCGGTAAATGATGACATAAATAGCTTGAAACTACGCAATAACAATCATTTTAATATTGATAGCATAAAGAAATCAAAATCACATAATGATATCTTCCAACAGATTCAAGACATGAACTCAACAGAGCCATATCAATCGACATCTTCCATTCAATCGCGGCAATCTCAATATACTGCACAAAAAGTTCCTGGCCCTACTTCAATGAAGTTCGTCGAGCCTGATGATTATCCTTACAAAGAAGAGTATGGGAATTACGTCTTTGATAGAAACCTTAAAAAGTGGATGCCGAGGGATGGTTTCTCAGATTCAGATTCTGAATCTGATCCATTTGAAGGTATTGAAAGCCTAGGAGAAGAGCCAAGATCGTCAATACGATCACTCAGGAATCCTCGATCAGCTTTGAAATCTTCCTCGACAAATACACCGGCGAGATCCGTTTCATTTAAACAACCGTCACCCAAATCCCTTAGAAAGAGTAGTATAAAAAACAAACAGGCCCTTCGAGATGTTTTCAATGATAATGCAGCAACGTCACCTGCATCTGAATTTTTCAGGTCTAATAGTTTATCGAAAGCTGATACATCTAGTCTATTTCATAAAACTCTCAGTGAATTATCAAATGAAGAGATTACAATCAATTTTACAACATCAGCCAACCTAAGTAGTAAGAAGATCAACAATCTAATCAAGTTGGGTGTTGAGGCGGACAATTTACAGTATCTAAATCTATCAAAAAATAACATCAAGTCTGTTCTACGTGGGTAAAAGTAAAAATGCGTCTGAAACTTATTAACAAAATTCTTCAAGCGCTGAAATCATTCAAACACTTAAGACAATTGAATCTAGATTTCAATAAAATTGAAAGTTTAGAAGGATTAGATGAGATCAAGGGATTACAGAAACTGACGGTCAAGAATAACCTCCTTTATGCGCTAGATTTTTACAACTATGAATGGTCAAAACTGGAGTTTTTAGATCTGTCCAATAATAATCTAATAGAGATAAAAAGTCTTGCTCACTTGAATAACATCTCATTTCTTTCATTAGACAACAATTCTTTGAAAGATATACAATTTGTTACAGAATTTGATAAGCTGAAGGTACTGAGATTATCAAATAACAAGTTGAAGGAGCTAGATATATCAAAAATTTTAAACGTTAGAACGTTATTTATAGACAACAACAAGTTGAGGTCCTTGCTAAATGTAAGTGCCTTAAAAAAGTTAGAAAACCTGTCATCAAGGGAACAGAAAGGTCAATACTTTGAATTATCTATGAAAGACATCAGAGATATAAAACGGTTATATTTATCTGGAAATAAATTACCAAAAACCTTTACAGCGGAATATTGTTATCATTTAGAGTATTTGGAAATTGCAAAATGCGGATTAAAATCAATACCAGATAACTTCTCAAGGGTTTGTCCAAACTTGAGAGTCTTGAATTTGAATCTAAATTTTATTGACAACCTGAAACCTTTGAAGAATCTCCGGAGATTGAGGAGATTAAGTTTAGTTTGTTGTTCAATTGACAAATTTGACTATGAAATGTTAAAATCACTAGAAGAGTTAGAGATTTTAGATTTGCGGTGCGTATTTATGGTATTGGAGGAAGTTTACTAACATGTTATAGGTTGAACCCACTAACCGAAGGCTTATATTCGTCTGAACTCGAGTATAACTATAGATTATCCTTGCAAAATGATTCAAACTATCAAGAATGGTTAACAAAGGACAAAATATTTACTGATGAAGAGATAACGGATGAGAATTTCATTAAGCGTGTTGCATATAGAGGTTTAATAATGACAAATAGTGAAAGTCTGAAACTTCTAGATGGATTATATCTCACAAATCGTGATCAATTGAAAGCCTCGAAGCTCAGTGAACTGTTTAAAAATTTAAAAATGTAAAAAAAATGTATAATTTATTTGTTTCACCTTCTTTGTTTGAGACCATAATGATTAAATTGAACATAACGAATGAGCAAGTAAAAATAAATTTAAACAAAAAAGAGAATGTACTATTTACAAATAACAATGTTGGTATTTATCTAAAGTGAGGCTGTCTGTAACAAAAGGTGTACAATATCTTACCAATTTTTAGTGATAATAAGGACAGTCAGAGGCAATTTGGATCAATTTATGCTACTAATTACAGGTTAATATACGTAGATAATAATAACCAATCTAAATCGTTCACAATTAACTTAGAGAATATTTCAAAAACTGAATTTTACACTGGATTTCTCAAGAGTTCGCCTAAAGTTACTATCTATTTAAAAAACATGGTCAATAAAGATAATAAAAATGATTGGATCTGTTCAATATGTTCATTTTTGAACCCGATTGATAGCATATCGTGTAATCTATGTGGTGTTGTCAAAGATACCAATAATAGCAACCGTCAAAATGCACGAAATAAGAGCCAGTTCGACAATAGTTGTCCGAAATGCACATTCAAGAACCATCCATTGATGACTAGATGTGAGTTATGTGAAACAACTCTAAAGCCTCTTCAGTCAACGACACCAACGATCACGCCAGAATTTATTAGAGTTAGTTTCAGAGGTGGTGGTGAAGGTCAGTTTTATTCAACTCTGAAATTGGTTTTAGAATATAAAGCTTGGTCTATAGAAGATCCGAATGTGAGTATCTTCAAGGTTGTGACTATATCATCTAACTTCTCTAGGACAAAGTATTACAACGCGATCAATCTGCAGGGATTGGTATGTATCTTTTTACGGCTAGAAGGCAATTTTATAACGGGTCATAGGCGGAATTCTAGCATCTGTAGATACCAAAGTGCAGTCATCTCAATCGAACATTGTTGATGCATTTAAAGACTTGCAAACGCTATTTTTGAAGGCGGATGAGATGGTTTGTGGCGATACATCAATTAAATTTACCACCTCTTACAGCGTTCACTAGGTAAAATGCGCCGACCAATTAGCTTCAAGGCTACCCAAGAATAAAGAGCAAATGACAGATGTAGAAAAAGAAGCACAATACTTTCTAAACTCGTCTTTTAATGATATAAATCTAGGAATTGCACCTACGGCGACCTCGGATGAAGAATCTTTAGCATTTGAGCTGAAAGCGATTCTACACGGAGATAGTGGACTGCTTAGTGGTAACAAACGAAATGTGATCAATTTAGATGAAGTCTGGTGTGCTTGGAATAGAGGAAGAGGTGTTGCCTTACTCAATCCAAAGGTTTTGATTGATATTCTACCATATATAGAAAGAACAACAAATATCAGAAGTCTGAAGCTACAGAGTGGTATAATAGTTCTGCATAATCCATCACATTCACTCGAAGAATTCAATAAGCGATTAGAAAGTTATATTGAGGACTGTCGGGGCGGAGTTACGACAATAGAGATAGCACAAAAGGAAGAATTGCCGCCTAGTTTGATAGAAGATTTTATCTTATGCGCTCAAGCTAAGTTCGCCTCTGTCGTTAAGGATGTGAGCTCAGGCGGTCTAGTGAGGTACTGGAAGAATGAATTTAAAGATTTCACGATTGAGAATGAACTTAACGATTATTTTGTAAACTGGAAATTATGATTTTTTGTTAGAGATCTTCCACGTATAAGTCGTCACTGCGTCTTTCGTCACGACGTCGAGGAGCTATCGATACCAAAATGATTTTACTTGAAGTAAGCGCTTGTTTGATAGTTTAATACATCAGTTAATGTTATATAGCCAGAGAACGTTATCATAAAGAAAGTCGTCAATGAGAAACTACAAAAACCGACATCTTTAGACCAGACATTTGTGGATTTTGATGGTGTACGATACCACATGTGGACACCAAACAGCAAATCTAAAAATGAGATCATCTTGTCGATGTCCGTCGCTTGCTGGTCAGAGTTGGAAGCATACGGTGCATTCCAGGTTTTGCAGCAACATTACGGCTCAGATGTGCAGAAGGGTGTTGAGCCGGGTTACGATGTATCAATATCAGTCGATTTGAACACAATCCCACAAGATTTGGAGCAGCGCAATCAATATATCAATAATTTGTCTTTACTCAAGAGAAATGCAATGAGCGCACCTTTCTTACAAGCATTTCAAACACAAAAGCAACTCGAAGGTACCGATATCCCAACCGATGGTTCTCCAATTCCTCAAGGTCCACTTTTGGAACTCCATTACAGAAATCAAGAAGCTATTTACATTCAAGCAGGTATTGATAGAGTAACCGTTATTTTTTCCACTGTATTCCAGGAGGAAACTGATAAGATATTTGGTAGAGTCTTCTTACAAGAGTTCGTTGATGCCAGAAAGTTACCTTCAATACAGACCGCTCCTCAAGTTCTTTACTCAACGAGAGAACCACCACTCGAAATTCGTCACTTACCAAACCTTATTAAATCTGATGACGTTGGTTATGTCACATTTGGTCAGTATTTACCAGTAGTCGCACTTGTTTAGCTAATGTTTTCTTAGTCCTTTTCCCACGTCATTTTGCAAATGAGCATATTGCTGCATCAACTATTTCACGTATCCAATTGTTCAGAAACTATCTTCACTATCACATTAAATGCTCAAAAGCATATATGCACTCTAGAATGCGTACGAGAGTTGCAGACTTCTTAAAGATCCTTAATAGAGCTAAATTGGATAAGAATGAATCTGAACGTAAAACAATAACTGGACGTACTTTTAGATCACGTTAGATTGATCGATAAATTCGTTCTTCGCTTGTAGTATAACTTTACCTATCATGAATTTCATGAATTTTATTATCTAGATTAATATTACATTATAGAGCTTAGGCAACAAGAAATCTATAGCAAATTGAGTAAGAAATTCTTTAATCCAATTAATAAAGGTATCGAAAGTTTCTAGAAGTACATGAGTATATATCAATTATCATGTAATCTAACACACCTATTCTGTATATCCGTCATATCTCTGAATGCTAGTTCATTGATGCTTTTCTCCGAAATATCAGCTTGATCTCTTCTTCTATTTTCAAGGATGAAGTACACTAACAGCAATGCTGCAACTAGTATAGCGATACACATGGCTACGATAACGCCTATCCAGGCTTTCGGATAATGGCTGCTTGCAGTAGTAGTGTCCACCAGGTAAGGTGAGGCGATATTGCCTACATTGTATCCAATAAATATAATGGACGCCGTCACCTTCTTTTTAGTTGCTCCAGCGACGTTCGAAGTGTTGGTAGCAAGCATCATAACGTAAGGAGCACCAAATATCTTATCAAGTCAATTAATTGCTTAGGCGATAATTAATACCCACAGGAAGCAAATAGTAGCCAAACAAAGGTACACCTCTACTGTTCCAAGATGCTCGCCAAATTATAGCCGCACCAACAATTACTGGCAAACAGCTTATGATCAATAAGACCAATCGAGTGTTTCTACATTTCATAGCTATCCAAGCTGTGATCCAAATCGAAAGAGCCGTTGTAGCGCCTCCAGGCATCGTCATTAGGATCGTTTTGAGAGAAGAATACCCAAAAGACTTAATAATTTGGGCACCAAAAGCTGTAACAGGGCCGTTTACCATATAAATTGCTGTTGAGAGAAGGAAATAAGCATAAACTTGTGGATCGCGGAAGCACTCCCAAACATGGGACCATTTCCATCTCTTTGATTCAATACCAGTCATATTATCTCTTATTCTAGCAACTGCAACTAAACGTTCTTCGTGTGTTAATAAACGCGCTTTAAGTGGATTATCTGGTAAAAGGAAAAGCATGATGAGTGCATGTAACATTGTCCAAGAACCTGCAAAAATGTAAATTGCTTTCCAAGGTTCTATAGTTGAAGAAGGCTTTGATGCAGCTGATCCGATACCATAATTCAAAGCACCTGAGAATATAGTGAAAATACCTGTACTCGAATACCAAATTGCCAGCCGAATCGGTTGTTCGGACTTCTTATACCACATACTACTCAAGATTACAAAACCAGGTGAAACGACTGCCTCCACTATACCAAGAATCAGTCTTTGTACCATTATACCCGGGTAGGAGTGTACTGCAATTGTGACTACCGTGAGTGCACCCCAGACTAGTATCGAAACTGAAAGATATTTTCCGATCGGCAGCTTTTGTAATGCGAATGGATGAAAAAGCAAGGAAGTTATGTATCCCCAATAGAAAACACTAGTAGCATTACTATACCTCTCGCTCGTTAAATCCATGTCCTCTAGCAAACCGAATACAGCAGCATTACCGAATGCTGCTTTATCGAAGAATTGAAGTCCGTAGCTGACGAATAAGAGCGGCATAAGTGTGAGGTCAATCTTCCACAGTAACCTACGCTCTATTGATTTGTCAACCGTCGTTGGGAGCTCATTTTTAACTTGAAAGGCGACATCATCAGACATTCCTTCTTGATCGTCTTTCACCAAGGAGGATATGGAGATTGATAAAGAAAAGCTGAAATCTAACTACGGGAATATCTATTTAATAAAATATTTAAATTCTTTAGATAGCATTACCGTCGATACGCTAGTTGAGATATTAGTGAATACGGGAGATATATACCCAACGGGACGGTTAATTAGGAATTTAACCTTAAAATTAGCTTTGAATTTAGACAATAATGGTATTACTACCGTAGTGAACGAGTTATTATCGAAAGTAATCCACAACAATCTAAACAACAAAGTCAAGGCGTCAATCTTCTTTATTTTGGGTGAAGTCATTTCAAACAACTCGGGAAAGGTATGCTAGCTTAATATAATGTCTTATCTCTAAATAATATCCCAGTTCTCATCAGCTAGTGTGGATTTATATGATATCTCATTGAAATATCTCAGAAATACAAACCTCGTAAGTTTAAACATTTTGCCAACGACGCCATTTATTCATTACTAATAGACTTGTCATCTTCGCTTTCACTCTGGTTTAGTTATCGCAAAGATAATCGCAACTTCCCCTAGTATTCTCAAGGATAATAGAATTAAAGATCTATTAAAATGTTTGAAGAATTACATGACTGACAAGTCTTATCCAATTCAAAGAGTTTCAACAATATGCCTTCTCAATCTCAGTTTATATACCCAGTATCTTTCCAGCAACCAAGACATCGAATATTTTGCTAACACTTGCGTAAAAGCTGCTGAAGTTGTTGACCAGCATACGAGACAATATCATACTGAACTCGTCGCACAGTTGTTAGCATCTACACAATTTAAAATTAAACAACAACCTCAGCAGTCAAAGTTATTAGCAAAAAGACAGACGCAAAAGAAGGCTGACAAAGATGATAATGATAATGATGAATCTGCCAATGCACCTGCTGTTGGGTTGATGAGTACAGATGAAATGCTTAAAATCCTCTCTCCTGTGTTCACGAAGGGCCAGAGAAAGATCAAATTAATCGTCTTAGAAGTTTACGCAAGACTTTTTTTAATAATGGGATCCAGTTGGGTTGAACATAACTATCAATTAATCGTCAATCACTTAATATGCAACTTAATGGAATCAAACTTCAACAGGAATAGCGACCTTCTTACCATCAGATCGTCTTTGATTTTAATCTTTAGAGACACCATAGGGAAAACCCTGCTTAGTGAGCAAGGCCAAGTAATCGCGATGAATGTGTTGCTTGATGGTGTTCTCAGCAAGACTTCAGTAAGTTCACCGACTCAATTTGGATATTCAGACAACTCCCTTGTTGTTGCCATTGAGGAAACTGTTGGATTACTTGACCAACTTGGAAGTGTACCTATTCAGTCCCAAGATAAGCTTCCTGATGTAATGTTCAAGTTAATCGCACATCCTGCATTCAGTGTACAAGTAGCTACATCTAGACTATTTCGTCAATTCCATTACCTATGTCCAACCTTTTTGGAGCCATCACTTAGCAAGATTTTAGATTTGCTTGAAAAGAAATTGTCGCATTTGAGAACTCCTAATGCAGCGTCTAACGTCGCCTTCAACTCAATAGGCTATGCTTGTGCTGTCAGCAGTCTTATAGGCTTGTTCAAACAAAGACCTTTGAATACTCCAATTGAAATACCACACAAAGTCTTCGAATTATCGCAAAGTTTGTTAAAGTTAAGCGGGGAATGTGAATTTGACCAGGCTTCGATCCATATACAAGTTGCGTGGATACTCATTGATTCTTTAATGTCAATTGGACCTCAATTCACGTCATCAATCTTGAATCAACTGCTGTTGCTATGGCGTAACTCGCTAAGTAAAGTAGATCTACAGGCCTCCTCACCAAAAACTCAAATTGAGTGGACCTTTTTGTCTCATATTAGAGAATGCGCTTTAAGTGCTTTACTGGCGTTCTTAAAGTTCAACGCATCTGAGCTATTGACAATGGATTTGTCTAGAAAGTTTACGAATATGTTGATAAACTCCTTGACATTTTCGATTGCTTTCAATAGTGCACACATGGACTTGTTGAATGACCAAATTCCATCAGGGGCATGTGCACATCCTAATATCGGTCTTTTGGATAGAGATATACTAATAAGAAGACGTATATTTCAATGTGCCGTATATTTAGATATTGGAACACAAACCGATTCGCTAACAAGCTTGGTTGAGGCTGCTTTTAATGAGTTTGGCGATTCGAATAGATACGCAGGATCTGCCGCTCAAGCTACTATAGCTTCTAATACAGGTTCCTTTGCATCTATTTGGAATGTTGGCGATGGATACGGCTATGGTTTGACTAGCTTACATGAAGTTGCAAATTTGGAAAGAAATGATGGAATATCTGAGATGCTTCTCAAAGAGGTGCGTTTAGATATAATAGGAACTTTACCCTAACATTTTATATAGTTACGCAGACCTTCACCTACTGCTTATGAGCATGACATACTTAATTTATGGGAAGTAAATGATTCATTGACAACGTCACGTTCGGCACCAGCTACCGGGGTAGTTGACGCTTCAATCACTCTCTTTGCATTACGATTGACCGATTTAGATTCAACGTCTATGGTTAGACTGTTTGACAGCGTTAGAGCATCAGTTAAAAACCCTAAATTAGATCGTAATCCTGGTCGCAAATTATCCATACTCGTTAATACTCTAGTAGCTATTGTCGGATTTTTAAACAATGGCAAAACGCTCAAGTTACGGACAGTGCTTAATGTAGCCCCTATACGCAATACCTTACAAGAATTATTCGAATATGCTATCGTCAATGATGAAGCTTCATTGAGGCGCCTTGGTGCAGAAGCACTGGGGAAGCTTATTGCTCTAACAGCAGATAGAACATTCCTGACATCCCAGTCGAGATATTACATGGATTTGATTGTAAACAATCGTGCACCATCAATTAGATGCGGTAGCGCAATAACGCTTAGTGCAATATACAAGCAGGTTGGTAGTTTAGCAGCTGGTCCTTTACTTAATACGATCGTGGACATTTTGACATCATTATCTTCAGATTCGCATCCTGAAGTTCATTATTATTCATTAGAGGCATTTCAAACAATAGTTGAGGCAGCCGGGTCGGCGTTCAGTCCATACATCACGCGTACATTAGGTTTACTTGCAAGTATATTCAATTGGGAGTCACACGAACCTGAAGGTGGTCAAACAATAATAAGTAACAATATTAGATCAGAATATACATTATACAAAGTACTATGCTCCATTCTTGATGCTATAATCGGCATTCTGGGTCCTGAACTAAATGAAATGACGGAAGTAAGAGAATTGCTATTCTTATTAGTAAAACAAATGATGAAAGAAAAGGACAATGTGGTTAAAGAGAAGGCTTTGAAGTCTCTTCAACAATTTGCAATGTTTGCACCTAAACATACTGATATACCTTTGCTTTTAAAAACATTCCAGAGTGCTTTGAAATCTTCTAACAAGAGTATTCAGAATTCTGCAGTTAATGGTTTGTATCAGATAGCACAGAAATATGTCAAAGAAATTTCACAAATTGGTGGGGATAGTCTTGCGGAAAATCTATTCGGACTTCTCGATCAAGAACCAGGTCACGATGGTATTAAACTTCTTCTTCTAAGTTGGTTGAGGCAAACAGCCGAAATTAATGCGCAAGGATGGTTGAGTATTTGCCAGAAAGTTTTTACAAAAGCAGGTGCTTCAAACAATACAAAGGGTATCAATAAGCAAGATAATAAAGACGCCGACGAAGAGGTTCAAGGCTTAGGCGCTGGTGAGGAAGAAGATGTTAGGAGTTTATCTAGTTGGCAAACTCAGTTATTCGCTTTGGAATGCGTTCATCACCTTTTGGGCAATAAGACATCAAAGGATGCGAACAATCCTAGTGTAGCTGCTAGAAGTCTTCAAGGACGTGTTGCAGAACTAATTAAATTAGCGTTCATTGCATCTACATCTAGAGTTGAGGCTATTAGAATCAAAGGGTTAATCATTCTTCGAGATGTCATTGAAGTTTTCGCTGAGTTTAGAGACAGTCATGATAATGATGCCAGTCTGTTGGAACAACATCAAGCACCAATCACTGCAGCGATTACTCCTGCATTTGGCCAGGATTCAACACCTGACATTCTTGCGCTCGCTATACAAGTTTGTGCAACATATGTGAGGAGTGGAATAGTGAAGGATGTATCAAAAATGGGAAGAATCTTAAAGCTCCTCTCAGGTACATTATCACAATTTAAAGGTGAGTGAGTGTTCTAATCTATAAGTGGTGCTCACAAAGACTTACAGACCCTTCTAATACATCCATACAAATTGGTGAGATGAAAAACCTGTGTATTACAGCGAAGAAGATGTTGAGAGTATCAACTCTGACGGCGTGGGCTGAACTAGTCGCAGCATATCCTATCAGACCACATCTGGGAGAGGTCTTTGAGCCATTCTGGTTTGAATTGATTCCTTTATGGGCCGAAATCATTGAAAATTACGCTGAGATTCGCGAGAATACTGCCAATGATGACGTTCTTGTTCAACAGATACTGTTGCCTTACTACGATCAAAATTGGATGAAAATCCTCAATGCATTCGTCACATCTCTTGATAAGAAACCTGAATTAGCGAAGGAGTTTATTTGCATTGATGGAGCAAAGAAAAGTGGTGTTCAATTTCAAATTATCTATGGATTGGCCTTCTCTACTTTGGTAACTGAATATGAAAATATTCCAAATGCATTAATCGCACTTAATACTATTGGAATGCTAATCAAAACGCCTGGTTCTGACTATTGGATTTTAGAGGACAACTTTTTTGAGGAGCTACTCGAGTTAGTATGGAAATTAACCATTAAATCACCATTCCAAATACGTGGTAAAATACTAGGACTGTTAGGCAAAATGTCTAAATTCTATGATGGAAAGCTTGTCGATAATATTGAAATACCGTCAAGTCCTGATTCTCAATTCGGAAAGAGTCTTCCAAAGAAATCAAAGGTCACAAGGTGTTTACAACTGATTTACTTGATATTGAGTGGGTGTCTTGATGAAAATTCGAGCGTTCTGAATTGGAGCATGGAACATAAAGCATACGTTGCCAAATCTGCTTTTATTACCTATCTGGATGTAAGCGATTCATTAGCTGCAACCACAAGGGTGGAATTATTCGCTGTGGTCCTCCACAAGTACGCTGGTAAGTGACTTATTTGATGTTATGAATTACGTGTTGATAAATTTACAGAGCTTTTGAAACGCGAAGACGGTTCAATCCATATAGCTGCTGTACTCTCGCCTTGTTTGAAAGTAGTATTAGATCATGCAAGTGATTTCACTGGTGATAACCTCAGCGTTCTAAAGAAAACAATTCATGGCTTTATATCATTCTCTCTTCAGACAATTGATGAAATCAAATTGAGGGAAGGACCAGCTATTTCCGCTAAACGGAAATACAATCTGTTAGCCATAGTATCACTCTTAGTATCAACACCTGATCATATTAGTCTCTCAAAGGAAGTTGTCGAGCATTGTTGCGATATTCTCTGTGACTGTCTTCTTTCAAATGACAAAGAACATGAAGGAATGACTGGAGTCGTGCTTGGAAGCTTCAACAAACTATCAGAACCAAGTGAATTGAAAGTGTTACGTTATGCTACTGTTTACCTCTTAAAGAAACTCGTGCAGAAGAGTATGATAGAAGAACTTCCTGATGAAGTATTCGCATTTTTCACTGCAATCATCAAAAATGATAGTTTGATTGGCCAGGAAGCTCAGTTATATAATAATATCATCCCTGCATGTGTGAAAAAGATAAGTGGAACTGATTCCAAAGATGCAGCATCAAATTGTTTGCTCAGTATGGCAAGTAAAGATGCTTTAGCTTTCAAAGCTGCAACGGCTAGGATAGACGGAGAGGACAGAAAGGTATTGGAAGCAACAATGAGAGATACTGTACTCAAACAAACTGGCGTCAATGTCAATGAGGCATCCAATAGCAAATCGCAACCATCGATATCCCTAAAAAGTTTCTCATAATCTAGCTTAATGTGTAAATCATTATAATCGATTTTGTTATTTTAGAATTTGACCGATAATTGTTATTCTTTGTCAGATTGTTTTCTTTCCCACACGATGACCGAAATCACAGATTCCAAGTTTCCAGTGAGTGATTTTATGAGGCAGACAAAATTCTAAAACCCTACAGTCCAGTGCTATCCTTGCTAAGCTGGGCGAGAACCTCAGTAAAGCCCCTGAAACTGACAGAAAATCACAAATCAAGAAGGTAGGCTCTGATATCAGTATACAGATAATAATTCAATCAATAACCAGACAAATGCTGTATTCGAGCTTCATCTGAAGAACAAATCCGGTGAATCTGCCTGGTAAGTAGCCGATATAGGCCCCACATCGGTAATCTGATATAATAGGACTATTGATCTTAAGGATGTGAGTTAGCGGGACCATATTGGCACATAGCTCATTAGTTGTAGAAAGGTGAGGTTTACAAAGGAAAAGCAAAAACGAAAGCCGACGCAATACTCACTCTTGATGAAGGTGGGATATATAGCTCATATAGACCCATATAGCACCATTAACAACTCCCAGACGTTTTCAAGAACTTAGCAGGAGGTACAATCAACGGTCAGAAGGCTTTCATGACAGGTAAACTCAAAGTCAAAGGTAACATGATGTTAGCTACCAAACTCGATGGCATACTCAAGCAGAATACTTCTAAGCTCTGAGCTCACCCTACGAGAGATATCCTTGACGATTATTACGAAATATAATGTATTGTTGTATTTTAAGTGAATTGACATAAGCAACTTTTTGTGTTTCAGCTTTTATGTCCGTTCAACAGACCCTTCACGTTCTCAAGCATCTCTTTTCGCTACTCTAAATTAGTAATGAAACTGTAGCTGTATTGCTACCCACAGATACTGAATTTACTATCATAGACTCTTGAATTTCTTTCTTGCGGCCCCTTCGAGTTATCAAAGCTAGTAGAGCCTCTACCCCCGTATTTTTACTGCCTTCATTTGCTGGCATGAGTTGCGGCGCATAGAATCTGTGCTCCCGAACGACGTCAAAAACCTTTTCCGGTTTCACAGATACGTTAGCTACGTCTAATTCGGATGTTAGCAAGTAGCTTGAACTAGATATTGTCGATTTATACTCCCAGCCATAGATAGCCAGTATAGTGGCGTCTTCACTAGGTTTTGGTTCTGGCATAGCATTGAAAAGCGATTGAACTTGTTCATTTGATAGTGGATGCTTGACTCTAATACTGAAATTCAAGTTGGAATCTATTTTACGAGCTCTTTCTGCTATTACATTTGCAGCCAGATTTGGTGGTAGTGATAGTTCATGTATCCTATAGGTTGAAGATGCGCATTGCTGGTATTTCCAAGGACAATGAGAAGTGTGTTTAGATTCTATTGCTTCCACGTATGTATCGATGAGTTTTTGATAGGCTAGTCATATGTTAGATTGGTATATGAGGTGATAGTGACGTACAGTTCGCTTGACTACCAGAAAGATCTACGATAAAACCCACTTTACACCTGGAACACAGTATCCTATTCCTGTGTGCTTCATCGTGCTGCCAGCCTCTTAATGCAACCGCTGGTGGTGATAGTTCAATGGGTTTTGAAGTGTACGTTCTAAGAGAAAATGATTGTAATCGTAATATGAAATTATGAAAGCTGAATAAATCAGATTGCTCTTTCTTCTTCAGAAGATCACTTGTAGACGTTTAGTATGGGAATGTGGGCGATAGAAACGGACTGACGTTGATTTTGACCTCCTTGATTGTAGATTATGGGTCATAGTAAACCACCGCAGTCTCTCTTCCAGCTCTGCGGGTATCTTTGGCTTCTTCGTCCGCTTAGAACTCTCAGCTTTCACAGAATCCTCTGATTGGAACGCTTTATCTAATCTAGTGAGTGCATCTTCTATTTTACGCCTAGTTCAGTGTTATGTTAGTCTTGTATGTATGTCTTCTCTTACTTATTCATTTGATAGTGATCGTCTATCTCTAAGTTCAACTACGATGTCTGATTGGTTTGGTACACCGGAAAAGCAACGCGCAACAGCAACGCCTACTCAGAGTACACCAAAGATATCTCTTCCCAGTACGTCTGCACTACCAGATCGTCCTATACGTACAGCAGCTATGCAAGATGAACTACGTCAAGAGCGAAAGAGGAGAAAGAAAGAGCGCAAACAGCATAACCAAGTACCATCTACATCCTCAATATCTACTTACATTAACAAATCTGGCGATACAATTCAATCAACAAAGAATGGTCCTTCTACGGCATCTGAAGGAAGATTCAGGCTTAAAGAAGCGCGTATGCGCGAGGAAGAGAAAATCAGGAATATGTCCGCGGGTATTAGTACACCAGTGAGTCTACCCCTCGTCTATCACCTCGATATCTCAACCATACATAGTCAATCGAATATATAGCATTCAACAAATTGATTAACGATGGATTCCATGGTATTTATAAGAATCTCATAGGTGTAGTAGCTGGTATTGCAGGAAATGGCAGGTCTAGAAGTGGCGGTAGGTAACAAACTTTATAGTGACATCATTTAACAAATCAAGACTTCTATTTGAATGTGATCGTCTGCGACCCATCAGCCCCAGATTCATCGAAAGCAATACGTCTCAATATATTCAGTGAAAGCTCTACGAATATACCAGAATGTAAACCAAATTGCATCATTTTGATTAGGCAAGCATTTGTGGGTGTATACTGTTCTCATATTACGATTATTTGACTAGTCACAAGCTGCAACGCTATTCTAACAAAATTCAGGCAGTTGGACGCAAAGGCGATCATACATGGGCAATATTTGACCCCGTAGCAAGACGCATAAAGACATCTGTGGCGCTTGACCCTCCAATTTGTCCCGAAGAAGCTCAATATTTGGATGATTTAAGTAAATGGTGGAAGCTTATCAATCCAGATGTTATCCTTCCCACTAACACCGGTGGTCGGAAAACTGTTACTCTTAGTCAAATGCAGGAGAAAGTATTCTGCAACCTGGTAGCTGAAGTAGGGTCTCTTATTGTTTACTCACGTTTTCTGATCCCTTTAGGTACTTTTTGTCGAAGATTTGCCTCCTCCAGGTGCTTTGGAAATGCTTGTGACAGATTATACGCAAAATGAGAAGGTTAAAGAAACCAGCTTGAGTATACATGGACACAGAGTCATCAAAATATCATTGTACGATCAACAAAGAACTGCTGCAAATCATATTACTGCAGGTAACTTCGTATTTTTCAACAATATCCGTCCAAAAATGAATCCTGGCTTTCTGGAGGGCAACCTCGGAAGTGATTTTGGGAGAATAAACATTCATCGTCTACCTGAAACTGATGAGAGACTTACAGACTTGCTGACGTGGGTATCAATATGAGTATTTAGTCCCTATACTAATTATCTGTCTAGACGTAGGCAAGAGTACGACCAGGATATTGGATTACCCGAGTTCATGAACACACAAGTTACCAATGTGCCATCCTCAGGTATCCCAGGAAGTTCTCAAATAGTGAATTCAACTATTGAGACCCCAGCCAAGCGTCAGAAACTAGATAATGAACCTATCAATCAAGTTACAGAAGAAAACATAGAAAGTATAGATGATGCTGTTGGTCAGGTCTCACCAGCTATAAGAATGTCACAACTACAGAAGACGCCAGCTAAATCCTCACTTTTACACCAGCAAGGAAAAACCATACTTAACATTAAGCAGCCTACTAAGGTGACGCCGCTTAATACCATAAGAAATACTCAGGAAATCCCGAACAAATACCATGTAAAAGCACGCGTTATAGATTATGCGCCACCTATTGCAGATTGGGCTAAAGCCACTTGCACTGGATGCGAGACATTGTAAGTCAACTTCCAAATTTTTATCCGAAACTGACGTTGACTAGACTGGGAACGCATGATCTCGTTTGTAAAGAATGCGATCAAAGCGCATACGTCAATCATAAGTATCACCTCAGTTTGCTTTTAGAAGACGAGAGAGGTGACATACTCCCGGTATACTGTTATGATGAAGATGCTCTTGTCCTTTTTGATGGTCTATCTGCACAACAAGCACGGTCAGAGAAAGGTATTCATAAACTGAAGAAGAAATTGGGCGGTATATTTGGTGACTTGATAGATGCAGAATATCCTGAAGATGTAACACTACCAGAAGTCTATTATGATTTTCTTATCATGAGCTATAAATCAGCTACAAATAACAATCACATTGCATATCGTGTATTTTCTACTAAAATATTATAAAGATAAAACCATGCTGTCAGAAATTCCTTTATCTTTGACAGTGACATCAATGAGTGCGACTAATGAGGTTATCATCCCTCATAAATCAATCTCCGGTCGGAGTATAGCAGCAGCTCACACTATTTTGAGTCTATTTGCATTCACTTCAGCTTTGGTAGTCGGTATTTACTATCACTATCAAAAGTTATGCCGTAACTCAGTCGCTAGGTATCCAGTAGAGTGGTTTCCAAGGTTAGAGATCAAATTCTAATAGCAATATTCTCATTATATATCTAGTGTATCCTCTACCATAGGCGATTTTTATCCTGAACGATCGATATTCCAACTGCTTATCGCTACTACAGCATGTCCACGTTTTTTAATAGTTTTTCTGAGTTGGATGAAGAATATGGAAACTTCTAAACCAGCTGCTAACACTCACGCAATGCTTGGATTGGTTAGGACATTCAGCTGTGGTGGTTTCGTTTACATTACTAGCACGGACAATGGAACAATCCATGACATGTTTATGCTGATATACATACTAGCGAATGTTATTTATATGCCCTTTGGCTCTTATCTAACACAGAACTCGCTTATACGTAAAACTAGGCAGTTGTTATCATTATACTTTATTCTCAGTCTTCTCCCTATGTTTTACATCTATTTTCTACACAAAAATAGGAGAATTGCCGGCGCGTACACTTACTATGCTTTCTTTGAATGGGGATTGATCATAGCCGACATACTCTTTGATTCAATGTCTCTCTTTGATCTGGAAGATACACATATTTATATATCTGACTCAAGCAGAGGCACGGTACTCAATATAAACAACATTCCAATGGGCAAAGATCACCGAGAGTCTGAGAAAGTAATGTTGAAAGAGGATATACCAGCAAAGACACCACGAGAAGTTAACAAGATGCCCAACAAATATATTAAGCAATCGAGTAAAGTCATTTACCTCACTTTTATGGCAGATACGATGTTATCGCTCGTCTGGTGGACTAATTTTACTGCACTACCTTTATGTATTTTCTACTACAGTGTTTGGTCACTTAGTTTTGCGGGTCAAGAAGGTCTCATGCTTGTCACACTTTCTGCAGGACTTATCGGTATTGAAGAACTAGCACTTTTTGCTTCATCTCGAGATGGTAAGACTGTCTTGACATTAGTTTCTTTCTTAGGTTTATTTGCATCGAAGCTGGAATTTCCAGTATTAAAACTAGTCAGTGGTAAGCGTTGACTCTATAGATTAACGCAGTTAACTAACCTATATAAAGTGTCTATGGCTGTGATCGCTCAATCTATCTCTATTGCTTCCGATTGGTATAGAAGTCGCGACAGACAACAAGTGATAACATTTATGCTCGGACTGTTGCTACATTCTACCCTCAAGCTACTTGCGCATTCAAATAACCCTTTCTGGCCTATCGTTAATGACACAAATGGTGGTTATATCAAGACAGGTTTGGTAATGGCTTTTATTGCACTCCTGATTCGCAGGTGTTATGGATCCGATTATTGCACTTCGCCAATATCAACACAAAAAAGATCCAATAGATGTTTGATTATTGGAGCTAGCTTAGGTAGTTATATTTGGGCGTTACATACCTTCTTATCCGATCCGTCAACACTACTTAGTTGGAGTTGGACTGGGTTTCCATCTAACGGTCCTCATCCGATGTACAATTCCTCAATGATTATTGTTGGATTTGCTATTGGCATAATGTCTCCTGAATATCTCGCCATATCAAACATCTGGCATTTATTTGGTACTTGCTGTATAACACTGTGTTATATCTGCGATGACTGGCTTAGTGCAAGTGGAGCATTTGGATTTTCCATTTATCTTCCATCACTAGGCCCAGTAATGATATGGAATATAAAACATTGTGCTCCGGGCAGAACTATGTTAGCTGTATTCGGGACCTACACTTTGCTAATAGTTGCCCATACGTTTACAGTAGCGTATGAGTTTGTTCCATTGGGATTCTTACTAAGGGAACGTACTCATGTCGTTATCTTCACTGCACTAGCATTCATATGGCTGACAACTTCGCGAACCACATTTAATATCACCTATGGAGATAACGATAAAGCATTTAAACGCTATACGAAGCTTTTGCTTGTTGGAATAATATGTGCTGCCCATTTCATACTACTGAATCGCATAAATAATTCAGTAGTACCACAACCATATCATACTCAAGATGGGATTTTAACAAGCGGAATATGGACTGTACATTTTGGTATGGATGACGAAATGTGGGATAGTCAGATAAGAATGCGAGACCTTATTCGGGAAGCTGAAGTTGACGTGCTTGGCTTATTGGAGACTGAGCTACAGAGTGTCGTCTTTGGTAATAGAAATTTGGCTCAATTCATAGCCGAGGACCTCGGCTATTACGTTGATTATGGACCACCTAGTCACAAACACACGTGGGGTGCCGTTTTACTGTCCAAGTTTCCAATTAAAGAGTCGCAACATCACCTTTTACCATCTCCACAGGGTGAGTTAGCTCCGGCAATATCTGCCAAATTAGACTTGTATGGGAATATAGTTAATGTTTTGATATCACATAACGGTCAAGAGGAGTCGCCTTTAGATCGAGAATTACAAACCACTGAAATTGCACGTATCTTAAATACAACTTATCCCGAACCTGCGCTCTTCCTGGGTTATTTGGTAACCACACCTCATCAAAAGCGGCCCGCACCTTACGGTATTCTATTTGAAGATGGCAGGATGCTAGACATAGAGCCACTAGATAGACGGAGATGGTGTGAATATATTGGGTATAGGTCTATGCGGAAAATAGCCTACGCAAGGATCAGTCATGGAACAGTAACTGACACGGAACTTCAAGTTGCAAAGTTTAAATTATATGATACAGATGAAAGTTATCATCCGCAATTTGATTGGTATACCTTCATGGACGAGGAGCATATACCTGATAGTTACAGATTCTCAAATGCATTTGCAGGTAAAGGTAAAGATGGACATCGATTTCACGTCTTTAAAATACCAATATATTATCAAGAAATGTCTGAATCAGATTAATATGGAAAATTCAGCACATTTACGTTCAATGTAAATTATTAACTTCTGATTTACCAAAGAATGTATTTCGTATTTAAATACCTTACAATAAGTCTAAATTATTATCGTACTTTGGTACTGGTATGATCCAGGTATAGATAGGGCTTAGACGATGTTACGTTTAACTGCATCCATTAATGCATCGTATACGAGGATTTGAATGGACGTTGAATTGGCCTGAGGTATTTCTTGGCTAGTGTCGTAAAATATCTTGATGATTTCCGCTTTCGCAAATGTTCACAGTTGTGCCGAACCGCGGCATATCCTGGGAAGGTCCTCAATTACAGGTTAAAAAACGCTTAAAGGGTTTGTGGAGCTTGTGCGTGTTGGTCTGTAGATATCAAACGCGCTTTATTATTGGTTGAAAGGTATTAAGTATAATGTGATCTTAAGTAGATGGCGTTTTTGGTACAAGATATGATTTCTTATATAGTTTTCATTGTTGCCCGAATATCATTGTTGTTGGCCGTACATCCGTTTCTCTTGCCCGTATCCATTGTTGTCGCCCGAGTATCTGTGCGTAATTGCTTCTCCCTTTTTGTCGCTAGTTATTAAATGATGCTGTATGTCCAGCTCTGTATCGGTATTCTGACAGTGCGTGAAGTGTGACGTCGTAAATTTCCAAAATATTAAAATTTGCAATTTGTGTTTATACGGTTTGTACATACGTAATTCGCAGAATGATACAACGGTCGCTTAACTCAGTTGGTTAGAGTGTGGAGCTAATATGCGAAATATCGCTGAGGATACTCCAAAGTCGCAGGTTCGAGCCCTGCAGTGACCATTTATTTCCCAATATTTGGGCGTTTTTTTTTACTACTTCTTATATATTTTTATTAACAGTGAGATAAGCTTGGCGGCTGGCTAGTTTGATAAAGCGTATGTAGGGTATTCAAATCCTAATCAATATTGCAACTGCTATATGAGAAGTTGGAAATCAAAGGTGTAAAGAGCCTAGTAGTTTCTACTGATTATGATTAGACGATGTTGGCAGTTTTAGCTTGTGTAAATGAATACTGCACTAACGAATGTTAAACTAAGCTCAGAACATCCAACCCAGAATATTTTGCAGGGTGGTATGTTCAAGTCAATAGAATTGGCAGGAGTGTATGTGTATAATTATGTTAATTACCAACATTAACAGTTCTTGGCAAAGTTGGGCCAATCAACTCATATAGTCTTGGTAGTACAATTCAGAATGTGGATAACTGAGTTCTTTTATTGCTATATAATTTCGACTATCGAACCTTCCAGTCTACATAGTGTGTATTTCCCTCAGCTTCGTCGGATCGGCTATGTCTTCCAACATTCTCCAGTGTAGTGATTCTCCTCCATTTATTGCTTTCCCTGAGTAAACTGTACTACGGTGATAACCGTTATAGCTTTTAGATCGTAACTGCCGTTGAACTCAATATAGTACCTTTGCAATCCATAATGTTTGCCGAGCGATCATATAGTTAATAATGGTATTTGAGTTTCTAACTAGTCCAGCTTTAAAATGGATGTAGTGTGTTGTCACTACTGAGGGAATGATGATGATACGGACGATTTAGTTAGTTGAAATTTTAGGTCACTGTATTGGGTCTGTTGATGGTGACTTCGTTGTCTTCCTTGAAGGGGTGACATTGATACAATCACACGCATAATCGACTGCGTAGTATGCAGCCCACCTGTGAATTACTCGTGCGTGTGTTACTCATCTCATCTTTAACTCTATACGCCTATGCGTGACTAAATGAATAGCGTTGATAGAAACCTCATACGTCTAGAAGCGATATAAAAACACAAGACACTTTCAGAAGACAATTATTTTAATATATCTCCTCTTTCATAAGTAGGCATTATCTTCAATATCACTGATATTATTCTACTTCCAGTAGTTATGATAGCGAAGCAAAGTGCGAATACACCGGTAACCATCAGATCTCATAACTATCCAAGAATACTTTGCGATCATATTGAGATGTGTCGGACTGGCAGATTGAAGAATCTATAGATACGTCATCACTGTTTAAAAGCAAGATTCTGAAGTTAACCAGAAAGGCGTTGTGGTGGGTAATATCTAAACTAGAGCCTGTTTCTGGTAAAATTAAGCTTCTTATAAATCGCTTAATATTAATAAACATCGTAGTGATAAACCAACGAGACTTCCAAATAAATTTTACAATATTAAAACATTTAATTGTAATATATATTAATATACTATTTTATACATTTTATCTTGCTTCTGAGATGGCAATTTATACTACAACAGTATTACTGTCATCCTGTTTTGTTTTCATTTTTTTCATTTCATCGACGTTGAAATGTAAATCAACAGGCGTTTTAGAATAATTAAACAGTAGGATTAAGTTCTTTCTATACGTTCTATTTTAAAAAGTGATTGTGAGATCGCACAACCATCTGCAGTATAGTATATATCAAATGAACCATCAAAAGATAGCGCTTGGCAATGATGAGTACCAAACTCCATAAATTTGGAAGCATATGTAGAAAGAGTGCACGTATTTTGTAAAACATTGTAATCTCAGTTTTTTTTTATCAAGTTATTAATATCAACGTCTGCCAACTGTTGCTTGCGCATACGATGATCTCGATAATTGAAGCTAAATCATTATGATACAATATTCTAAATAACACTTCAGGAATTAATTTACCACAATTCGTCAGCATATACTTAGTCGGCGCTCTCAAATATCCAGTGTATGCCATTCTACTGTATTTTCAGACAAGAATAACTAACAGACAAGAGATAGAAGCTACCATAGAATTAAACACTTTAATGACCCAAAGTGAACATGTGTGCTCGTTGTAAAGATGATAGGAGGGTGTGTGTGCATTCGAAAGGTACCGTGGTTGTTTAAACATATAAGAGAGAAAATATTGATGAATATATATTGTACAATTTTAGTTATTTTAGTACATCTTTCATCATCATTGTTCATTGTTTCATGGTCCCATTTTTATTTTTTTATTTTAAGGTAGTGACGTTCCTGGTTACCATTATTATTCCACTTCGTTGCCATAGCTTAGTTGCCAGCGAGATTCCGCTGGTTGGCTTGATTGACTTGGTTGACTTGTTGAGTACAATCGACGTGTAATGCGTAACATTGTCTTACTATTGCACTTCTGTTCCTGATCGTCGTATACGCGTCCTGCGAAATTTTGTGGTAATATTTTTATTTTTGGTGTCTTCCATTTAATGCATGATGCGAAAATCCAAATGACTACCTGAGCCTCTATATTGTACTCTATAATTGTAATTGTAATTGTAATTATTCTTTAAGCACCATGAGCGTGTTTAAGATTGATACGAAGTAATAAATATATTAGTTATAATTTGTCCTTTCCTCAGCTATCTTTTCTATCATTTTTCTTGCTTACAAATTGTAACCGTGTAGTCTAATCGATTACAGTGAGTTTGACTGGTGAATTAATCGAGTTGTACGATCAGAGATGAACTTTACGATAAGATTCCAGAGCTTAATACCTAACCCAAGGGAAAGATGTAGGTATTGTAATATATGTGATCTTCCGGTGGATATCATAACTGCACGTAATGATTGATTACCTGCGTCAAAACCAGCTGACCCTTACAAGACATACTGAATCCAAAACGAGCCCTTCAAGGGTAATGTTAACTGTAATAGTTAGTGGTGTAACTTGTGTGTTTAAAGGGTATTTGTTGTCTCCATCTTTTCCAACCAAATATCTCGATGCATCACCATGTAGATATGGGTGAATACTATTAATAATTATCCAGAACCTCGTATATCTATTTCTTACGAGATTTTGAAATCTTACAACTAATTTCTGATCTCATTTCCACACCATTGGGTAAGTATTTTAATATCTGTAACACTACCTTTTTTCAACATATTGATAGGAATGATTAAATGCTTAAGTGGTCGTCTTATTAAACAATGAAAGATATGAATGGGAATCAATGCATAAGTATAAAAATTAAGATCTTTCTGGAGTAATGCTATAGCATAGAACAACATCATCACCCATTTGATTTTTCAGTATCCCTGAGTGAACTCCAGATCAATGAGAATACTAATTTGAAATTGGGAAACGCAGGAACTGCATTACATTTAACTGATGTGCGTATCTTCACGAATCTAATTTGCCTACCTAAACATTACGTATGTATGATTCGAGACATCTTAAAACTCGGAAATAGATGATTCTAACAAATAGCATGTATTTCTATTCCTTGATTACAATATTTGTTGTGATGTTGAAATAGTATATTTTATACTACGGTGCGATTGTAGTTCTCAAAGTAGCATCACGATATCATAGAGTGCATTGACTATATTCACCTACTTAAAGATATTCCAATAAAGCGACTGATTTTTATACAAGGTCATGTCACTTTTCCTTCATAAATTGTAGATCTGGATCATAGTTTAGAGAAAAAGAATGCATTCTACATAGCGAGTGCAAAGAGGATTATGTGCTATTTAATAAAATAAGCTTAGTAATACCATATTTACATGCTATTTTTATCCTCCTCAAAGCTATAAAAGTATTAGAGTGTGTGTCTGCGTCATGTCAACAGAACGTAAAACACGAATTAAAGTCAAGACAAATGATGAGAATAGTTATTTAAATGCATCATATTTAGAACATTATACTTTTGTTATAAAATTTTGGACAACCTCAGCAAAGCCTTCAGACGAAACAACGTTATTATGACCACCGTTCTCAGTAATAAGGAAAGCTCTCTTGAACGGATGATTTATGTAATTGTAAACACCCCATTGTTGATTTGTTAACGTTGTTATGGTACGTGTCGCAACTTCGCCAGGCTGGCTTTTAAAGAGTGATAGTGAGTGGTCAAGGGGTATTTCGAGGTCATCTTTCGAATGCGCGATTAGAATAGCAGATGATATCGATTGAATATTCTCCATTGTGTTATACTTGTGTTTTAAAAATGTGAACAAGTAGTCTAAGCAGTGTTTGTATGAATATAAATTGACTTAAAGTGGGAAACCTACCTCGAATTTGTGGGAGCGACCTCATTGGGCTAAAGAGTGGGAATAAGCCACCTATTTTGTACGTCTCAAGTAACTTGGATATAGACGAGAAAGGAGCTGCGAGAACAACAGCACGGACTCGTACACCTGCATTTATTTCAGGAACAATCCAAATATAAAGACGCATATTCACCTTGATCAGAGAGCTTCTTCGCGAAATTGCTCATAACACCTGTGCCGAGTGACTGGCCAAGGAGGACAATGTTTTCTGGTACAGCGCCCCTACTGATAGCATATTCGTATGCAGCCGATGCATCCAAAGTTAGGCCATCTTCCGAAGGTAACCCCGTAGAATCACCAAAACCTTTACCGATGTCAGCACTTTATACTTTGATATAAAACAAACATACCACGATAGTCAAACTAAGGGACTTAGCTATTTAGTTGTGCATAACTGAATACTTACTGCTATAACATTTGCATCTAACTTTGTTGAGAGTTGGTTGACTGTTGCGACTCTGCCCTGCATCGCACGAGTTGCTGCGTTACCGTGTGCAAAAATAACCCTAATGAATGTCAGGATGTCGTATTTGAATAGAAGATCATGACCGACGTCAGATGTGACCTGAAGGCATCCTCGATAAGCTGTTCTTCTATACTGCCATCAAATTTGACGAGAGATTTTGGCAATACTTGCAGGTATTAGATATTAGCTTTTATTGGACGTATAAGCTCACCATGCCATGCACCTAGAACTCAGATTAGTTGATACACAAGAAATATAAGATAATCTACCAAGATGCTCTCCATCGGACGTGTTTAGCTTTACATTCAACGTACTGTAAGGCGATAGCCCAAAGGCTGCTGGGTTTGATAGCGTCGACTCATCGACCATTCTTACATTGCGGAGATAGAGTAATTCCTGTTGAACGAGTGGATGTACGAGCGAAATAAGAACAGTAACATATGCAGCTCCAAACCACACCAGATATTTGTGTGCTTTACTGAGTACGCCCATCAATGATATCAGTCAAAAAGTAAATGATACAAAACTATAGTTAAAATTCATCCATAATCCTCTCCAAAATACTAACTGCGTCGTAGACTTCTTTGAAGCTGTTGTACAGTGGTATTGGTGCCAATCTGATCACCTCAGGTTTACGGTCATCACCAATTACGCCATTCAGTTGCAGTTGCTCATTGTAAAATAGCATGTAGTCTTTATTAAACTTGAGCGAGAGCTGCGCACCTCTTTCGTCTACATTGCTTGGTGTGATTATTGTAAACTGCTTGTGATCAAGTTGATCGTTATCTGTATAGTGGTTTGAACTTTTCAGGAGTCTCTCCATGTAACCTGTCAACATAATGCTTTTAGCTCTCAAGTTATCTATGCCTGCCTCATCGAAGATTTGGAGAGATGCGTAGAGTGCAGTGAGTGTAAGCACAGGCGTATTACTGACCATCCAGGCTGATGCTCCAGTAGAGGGGGTAAAATGTGGTCCCATTTCGAATCTGGTCTCTGGATCATGTCCCCACCATCCTTCCATCCTCTTATGATCTACTTGAATATGCGTTTGTGTCAGCAACTCGTGAATGAATATACCAGCGATACCACCAGGCGAACTATTGAGGTATTTGTAGCTACACCACACTGCAAAGTCAACACCCCACTCATGAAGTTTCAATGGGACATTTCCAACGGCATGAGCGAGATCCCAACCAACGACAGCGCCTTTTGATTTAGCATGGCTTGTAATGTGACCGATATCAAAAAATTGACCTGTGTAGAATTGAACCCCGCTGAACATTACCAAGGCGATGCTATCATCATGCTCATCTAAAGTTTGGAGTATATCCTGAGTTCTCAAAGTAGATTCACCCGCTCTTGGTTTTACTCTGACGAGTGCATCATCTGGATTGATGTTGTGTAAACGGGCATGCGATTGTAGAGCATACTAATATGTCTTTTAGTTGAGACGATATCGCATGAGGGTACGTACGTTGTCGCTTGGGAATGCATTATCCTCATAGACGATCTTGTAACGTTTCTCGGTTGGCTTGTAAAAACTGATGAGAAGTTTGTGTAGGTTAGAAGTTAGCTGGCCCATAGCGACGACTTCATCCGGTTTCGCGCCTTTGTTAAGTGTTTAGGATGACGTTATGGGTACATAGTAATGCTCACCGACGAGGCGTCCTAAACTAGGTTTGACAAGTTCATCACAGCTCTTCCATGGTCTGTTATGCGGGTGATCAAAGTGTCCCTGTACAGCGTGAGATTTCCAAACGTCTAACTCCTCAATGAGAAGATTCTGAGTGCGTTTCGGCATTAAACCAAGCGAGTTACCGCATAGGTAAATAATCTGACCATCTATTGAGTCTTATTAGGAGAGTAACAAGATGTGTGAAGCTAGATTACCATCTTTGGCTGGAGTGTGGAATTCGTTCTTAAAATTGCTTAAACTATCCAAATCGTCAAGTAATTTGTAGTGCTTTTCATCTTTTATATCTTCAATCCCCTTAAAGTAGTCTATAGTGACACTCATCAAGGTTAATAACAACGGCGAAGATGTCAGATAAAATACAGTCAGCGATTGATTTCTTGAATGATTCTAACACACAATCAACCAGTTTAGAGTCTAGACTGCAATTCTTACAATCTAAGGGCTTGACTGAGGCTGAGATCAATACCGCATTAGCGAGTGCCAACAACAATCGCCGTAATATTTATTTGGCACAGCAGCCTGGTTATCAACTAGAGAGAGACTGGAGAGACTATTTTGTGGGTAATACGACAATCTACTTAGTAGCTCACTCATCGGTTACTTAGATAATGGCCGTTGTATCCGGTGGCTTGGTATACGGTATAGGTACATTGGCTAGGGTGGGTATTTCTTAGTATTGTGTGTTTCCCTTATAATATACCTTAGAGATACTTATGGCCTCATTTGCAACCACCTACGTCGACACAGTACGAGTCAGATCTAGAGGCCTTGAATAGCAAATTCGACCAGGCGGAATCTACAATAAATGAATTACGTACTGACACAGCCGCTATCAAGGATTCTCTCGTTGGTCAACAGGAGAAGGTAAACGAGACAGTCGTGGAGATAGAGAGAGCAATAGAGGTATAAATATATATATATAATGCCTTAGTTTACTGACTACAATACAGTCCATAAAATCAAACGAAAAGCGTTCAAGAACTGAAATTGATGGTGTCGTCAGGGAAATTGCAGACATAAAAGCTCAAATACCGAAACTAGTTGAATCACAGCAACAATCTCAATCTAACACCCTTTCTGACTTACAATCTGAGCTTAAATCTCTCAAATCTCTCATCTCATCAAGGCAGAACACAGGTGCAACGTCACCAAGCTCGTCTATACAAATAGGCAAACCGCAAATACCTGCATGGCAACTGGCTACAGCTAATGGAGCGACATCTCCATCAACGAACTCCCAATAATTTGTACCTGTATAAATAATTTTCACCGTTACACTTCATTTCAAACGACGACGCGTAGTTTGCATTTATTTAGAGATGGTAAGGGTATATCTATCTATTTGTAAACGCGTTCAATATGACATTCAGTTCTGGAAGTATGCCCTCTATTCTACCATTCTACAGCTTCACTGATATCGTCCAGTACTGAGCTACTTACATCAAGGAGAAATGGTTATGGCCTCGCGTGGATAGCTGCTACGTTATCAACGAGGTATGTATCTTGATATACACTATCAGCTGCATTAAAAACACGAAGAACAAACCTCACAAGCTTCAAAAAGCTTTCAAAGAAGGATATACTGAATTTTTCGATACCAAGCTTCTGTCAAACACTACAAAATCCACCTGAACCATTAGCTTTGCGTCTTTCTTCAAATTTATTAATTGGCATTGTTAGGATATACGACAAACGTACCATGTTCTTCCATCACGATGTACAACAAGTACACAATAATCTTGTCAAAGCTACTGCAAGTATCGACAACAGGAGCAAAGGTGAACGTGTAAATCTACTACATGATCGTGCTCGAGCTGAACATATCACTCTTGATGTGAACCGGCTTCACGGGCCTGATGATGTCCAAGGCCTCGATTTACGTCTTGAATTAGCTGATATGGTAGGTATTCTCTGATCTCTTCTTTTACTACAAATTTTGCCTCCCTCAGGATATCAATAATGACGTAATTTTATTCGAGGATAGCTACCTGGCTTCATTGACTGGCTATGACAGTCATTCGAGTGAAATAGGTAGAGCACGTCCAGTTCAGCAAGAATATCTATTCGATCCGCTTATTGCTATGGACTGGAGTGCTTCCAGCCACGCTTTTGATCCCGTAATATTAAGTACAGAAATGCCTCAACAATTCGATCAGTCTGTATCACAACATTTCGTGCAAGATAAGCCACCTTCCAAGCGAATTGCGAGAACTACTGACGATTGGGGAATGCCGATTGACAACATACCACGCGATTTTTTTGATGATGTTGCTCAAGCTGGGAAAGAAGGACCTCTTGGAGATAATTTCTTTAATTTTGAGTGAGTGGAGAATGTTTTAAGATGGAATTTGACGCATTACTAGACTATCAGCTGGTGACCTTTCGAATCATCCTGAGCAGGTCGTAGGAGGTGAAGTATGTGAGATTTAGCAATTGTTGAGACATTGATAAAGTCGTACAGAATACTAGAGAAGAAGATAATGCTCAAGCTGGACTATCCTCACCATTAACTTCGATTCCTCAGAATCCAAGACCACTCAAACGCAGGAGACTCATGATTGATGCAAGAATTGAGTTGTTTGATAATGTGAGATCGATTTAAATTGATAAATAGGCAATTAATGTCCATAGGAAATCAAACAATCACGTGACAACTACGTTGAAAATATGGAAATGTGAGAGATTTTATTAACTCGTGAATAACTAAACATCACTCAGTGAAAAGGCGCAATGCAGTGAACGCTCATGGTTTCGCGAAGAGGAAAGAATCGCTCGTGCATTGGTGACTGAATTACCATTCAATAGTATGTGCCTTCTGCGAATAGAGTAGCCTAACAACCACCTCAGTCCGCAATAATAGTTCGCTTGTTCCTTTGTTCCCAGACTCAGCTATTATTCATGCAGGAAAGACTCGCAAATATGAAATACCATTAAGATCGTTTCCCTCATTAGTGCACCAAACAGAACATATGAGTAGCATAGACGGTTGGCAGAGCTCGTTGCAGGGGGTAGACTTCAACTTTGGTGCTACATTAGACCAAACGAACGCAATGCAAGGCGTACAAGCTGAAGACATTGAGGTTGGACGAGCCATGACTGCCAGTCCACGCGATAGGTTGCCTTGGGAGCGTTCTGCTATTGATATTGGCCTCGGCAGACCATCAACCGCATCACCTGTCGCTCCCAGTCTTCATAGAAGTGTATCTATGAAGTCAGGCAGCAGAAGGTTCAGCTTGGATCTCGTAGGTTCAACTCAACGTAGGCCATCTATACGTTCACCCGCTGGTGGATCAATAACAGCCGGTGACTTCCTTTCGGGTCTCGATCAAGAGGCATCTCTGGCAGGTCTTGAAGAAGCCCTTCTTCCAGAACCTGGATTGGATAGTCAAACTAGTAGCTTTTTGAGATTCACAAGAGATCTCTGGGATAGTAATGGGGGTACTGGACCAATCGATGTACACACGGGTGTACCATCCTTGACGATGAACGATATCTGCCCCAAGACACTGACAACTCGTTACGTTGCAGCTAATGCATTTCACAATTTACTTGGTGGGCGCTGTATAGGATTATGAACCCAACTAACACCTTTAGTGCTTGCTGATAAGGATATGATTAAGGTGGAAAATAAAGATGATTCAAAAATGTGGTCTATTAGGTTAGTCTGAAGTGCTATTGTATGAATTTTCCCATGAATCCACTTGTTGATCGTTTAAAGAAATGTCTTCTCAAAACTTCGTTGACCTAAAAAAATGGTCTCTTTTTACTGCCAAAATTGTAATGATACGGTAAAGAAACCAAAACTTGCCGTTCATATGAACCGCTGCCAGGCCCCAGTTGATTGTATTGACTGTAGTACAACATTCGATACTCAAACAGCCAAGTGAGTTTAATATACGCGGTAGAATGGGCTAATGAAATGAAGATCGCATACTAGCTGTATGACTGAAGAGCAGAAATATCAAAAGAATTTATATCAGAAGCCAAACAAAGTGCGTTTTATCTCTTTTTAGCAAACCATCGCGAGATTGACCGTAAAATGAAGAGTAAAGATGTAAAAATGCAGGAAACTACAGCAGAGGAGCCTGAACCTACACAAGAAAAGAAAAAGAAGAAGTCAAAAGCTGAGAAAGCTGAGAAGACTAACGAGAGTGTAGAAGATGGAGAAAAGGAGACAAAGAAGCGCAAGAAGGTAATTATTATAGTATGTTTATAATCACCACCTCTCTAATACGCCCACAGTCAAAGAAGAAATCAGAAGACGATGACGATGGCGATAAGACCAACGATAAAGACGCAGAAGAGCCATCAAAGAAAAAGAAGAAGTCAAAGTCAACAGGAGACGATGACGAAGAGAAGCCAAAGAAGAAGAAGAAGTCAAAACGTGACGAGGCTGAACCAGACGTTGATACTGACACAAATGAGGAAAAACCAAAGAAAAAGAAAAAGAAGTCAAAAAAATCTACTGATGATGGCGCTATAGATGATTCGCTATTCACAGAGGATGACGTTCGCCAATCAATCCGCACGGTATTGCAAAATTGCGAGAAGAATACAAAACTCGTCTTCCCAAAGTTAATAATGCTTGTTTTACAAAACCTGATCGAGCTCAAACAATCTCAGAATACCGATGTTAGTGAAGAATCTCTCACAGCTGCACATAGACAAATCGCAGACTCCGTTCTTCGTTCTTTATCTTTCGTGAAATCTGACGATGACGATAAGATGACACTCCAAGTTAACTAAATTATCAATTTAACAAATACAATAATTATTTATCAATCACTTATATTTATAGTAGTTTCTGGTGATTCTGGTACGCGGAAGCGTACATCCGCACAACCAAGTTTGGTATCACCATTGTGGATGTCTATATTGACTGTGTAGTTTGATGGTGAGCTATTGACAATATCAGAGTCGCTTGAGAAGTCTACTTTATAAGATCCTTTGCTTAGTGGGCAATCGATGTCACTCTTGGCTCTATTTTTGGGTTACAATTGAGACTAATAATAATGTTTCACTTACAAATAAGTACAGAAATCTCCATCAAAGCTCAGAAGGGTAAGACCCTGCTCAATAATAGAGTAAGTAAGTGCAGCACTATCAATTGGTTCTGAAATTTTCATCGTAACGCTGCCAATATCATCACCTTGTGCATTTTCGAAAGTAACCGCTGAAGTTGTATCACAGTCCTTAACCTCGATGACCTTGGTGTCGACAGGTTCAGAGGTGGTTAAACTGGCATTATTATTCTGTGCCAAAGCTATACCCCCGAGTGTAAAAAGCGTATAAAGTAATTGCTTCATTATGGTTAATTAAAATGAGCAACCTTCCAAATACAGATAAGTATGTTTCAAAGGGAAAAATTTCAAACGTATCTTAATCACGGCTTTAGTTACATATGTAGTACAACATGAGCGTTTTAAAAGAGAGAGCCTAGTCAAATACACTTAAGAATGGTAAGAAACTTAACCTAAAGTTGAGACAAGCGAGTGGTGTATCGTCTACGGTATTGGCTCGAACTTGAAGAGTGTATGCGGCTAAAGGGATTTGTTAGAAGCCATTATAGGTAAGCATTACGATATTCACCTGGTGGTATGTGTGACGGGAGCTCAACGTTTTGCGTAATCGCACGTTCACCTGCTTCAACTGGGCATTGGATTTGAGCATCTGCGTCATGTCTAGAAGAAGTTGAGCGACTATCTAAGTGTCTGGAATACTACTCACGCCTCTTTACAAAGATCAAAACGCGTGTGGTATAAGGTGATGTAACCAAGTTTAACTGATACATCGGCGTATGCGCCCTCCTGTATGTTAATTAGTAAATTAAATAGAGAAATAATCGTATAACGAACGGCTATATATCTATTGACGATACCTGCGGCGTCGATAGTGAGATTACGACCAGATTGAGGGGGATCCGGGGAGACGTCAATCTTTGTGAGCTTGAGAGCGTCATCATTGCCGCCACAATCATTCCAGGACCACTTTGATAGCGTGTGTACGTCTTTCTGAGTCGCGTCGTCGCCGAGATAGACGATTGACTGATCAAATGATAAAACGTCGAGATAATTATCCTCAAATGCGCTTATAGAGGCTGATACCGCGGTAGCTGCTAATAAAATGGTTGTCGCTAATTTCATTCTTTGTCGTTCGTTGTCAAGATTGCTAGCGTCTCTTTGATTGGATCGATCAAGTGCTAAAATGGAGATAGAAGAAAATTGTGAGAGATCGTAGAAATATAATAGAGATCTATAGCTAACTATGTACTATAGCTACTCCTTCAATGTCTACATCAATCTCCTCAAGAAATATAGCAGAGCCAACGTCCTACACAAGGAAGGAGTTGCTCAGGCTATCAAAATCCCCATTAGTGAGGGTACCAGACAGCTTGGAGCCTTTCTCAGTTTGGTTTGGGTGCGTATAGCCTTTATAACTTTTGGTTTGCAACTTTTGACTAACTCTCTTGACAGCGAGTATACCGCTCCAACTAGTACACCTGCGAAACCCTCAATCACATCTCCAAACGCCTCTAGTCCAAATTCAAGCAATACATACAACAAGTTCGTTCCATCTATACCTTCCTACATTTCTGACATCTGGAAGCAGATTTAGACGCAACTACGAAGATGCTGACTCTCCTAGACCATGTATGTTGTATCTTTTTTTATCAAAATTCAGGCTAAAACCTTCAATAGCGAAATTTAAGGCGCCATTTGAAAGATCATCAAGTTACAATAACCAGCCATCTACTTTAGGTGAGGCTATCCCTCAATATTGACTTGTTTAACCCCTAAAAGCAGCCTACAAAAGTCCTGGTTCAAGACACCCAGAAGCTCGTCCTTACGACCGTGAATCTGAGTATTCAAAGAATAAAGTGAGTTCATTAGATTGTTGAATAGCATCCTATTGACACAGCTGCTAGTTCTCTACCGATAAATCTAGAAACCATCGTGAAGACCGTCCAAACAAATACCGAGCAGATGAGAAATCCCTAGGAAGGAAAGATAGCTCAAATACCATACCAGACCCATTGAAATCGAATGATGGTGACTGGAGAAAGGGTACATATGGTCAAGAACGGCAGCGTACCCGCAGAGGCAAAGATTACACTTTTGAAGACGATTCATCACCTGCTTGGATGGATGATACCGCTCCTCGAGATGACTTTATGAATAGACCAAATTCTGGACCATTTGGATCAGGCTCTACAGGCGTAGATAGCATTCAAGCCTTTAAAGCTCAAATGCGCGAGAAGGAAAGACGAGAGAGATTACTTGAACTTGGTATAGAAGAACCTGAAGCTGAATTTGGAGCAACCATCCATCAACCATCTAACGTACTTCCAGATGAAGATCAGGTTGATGCCGCCAACGATGAAACTTTCGGTGCTGACGCGCCATTAGAACCTGCAATGTCGGGTTTGACAATGAATGATGACCCAGCTATTCTCAATTCATCCAATTTGACATCGCAAGCTCAATCTCCATCGAATAGTCAACCTAAATTTTACACTGAACTTGGCTCCGCTGGTGGTGCTGCTGGTAGCACTGCTTCATCAGAAGGTACACCTAAAGTTGCTGAGAAGACAACCGCTGCTAGTAGATTTGCTAAATTCTTCGATGCCAAGCCAAAATCTCAACAACATGCTATGGATGCACAAGCAAAATGGTTAGATGCCCAAAGGAGAAAGGAGGAAGAACAAACACAACCAAGTATGCCAAATGAGCAACCTGATATGCAAAGGGTTCTCGCAATGTTACAAACATCCTCAAATCAAGGAAGTATCTCATCAACACCGATACCACGTCCAGCATCAGTTAAGGATATAAGTAGACCAACATCGGCAGCATCAGCAGGAGCTGATTTGACATCAATTTTGCAACAGCAACAGCAACAACAACAACAGCAACAAGCAGCTTTCCGTAATCAGCAATTGCAACAACAGCAACATATAATAATGCAACAGAGGAAAGAACGTGAACAAGAACTCCAAAGAGAGAAACTTCAAAGAGAACATCAAGCACTACTTCTCGCACAAACTCAGAGAAGGCAGCAATCACCTCAAGACCCTGCTATATTAAATGCATTATCACTTGCTCGTGCTAAAGGTAGTCCAGCAGCGATGTCACCAAACGTAATGCAACAACAAGCAAGAGTAAATCCAATGAATGACCCACGTGCGGTCGCATTACAGGAATACCAAATGAGGCTGGCGTATGAAAGACAAAGGCAACTTCAGCAAAATGAGGTACCTGAGGTACAACCTGAGGTTACGCAACAGAAAAAGTTACAAGAAATGTTAATGATGCAACAGCAACAACACCAATTGAGACAAATGCAACAAGCTAATGCTATGAGAGGTGCGCCCCCGGAGCATTTAGCAGCTCTTATTAGAGGGGGTGGAGGAAATTCACAATCACCAAGCAATGCGTCTAACCCTCAAGCTAGTGCATTATTGATGCAACAGATTCAACAACAGCAAGGTCAAGTTCCTTCAACAATTAGCCCATCACAACCACAACAACATTCACAAGCTAATGAGATGCTTCTCCAGCAACAGCGTTTGCTTGCACAACAGAGAGGTATGCAAGCTGCGCAAGCACAAGCACAAGCACAGGCTGCTGCTCTTGCCGCTGCTATCCAACAACAACAACAGCAGCAGTCCCAGCAACAACAGCATATAGGTGGTTTCATGCATCATCAATCTCAACAACAACCACAACAACAACCAGACATTCACAGTCAATATGCCAATAACTCATTCGAACAACTATCAAAGATGGGAGGACTACCACAACCTCATATCATGGATGCCCAACAACAAAGGCAAAAGCAGGCACAGCGTAAGTCTATATTTGTGTTTTAAGGTAATTTCATTAACCTATACAGTTATGGCATTGCTTAATGGAGGACGTTAAGCCATAGCAGATTCTCAAACTAGCATCTTTTTCCTTTTTCTCAATATTCTTGGTATTTCACTTTGCTGTTTCTCTAATTTCTATAATCCTAATATTATATGCATATATATATTCAATCTTCCGATTTTCTTATCTTCACATGCAGGGATGACTGCGATGGTGTACGAATCCTTATCAGTTTATCAAAATGACTTTGTGACATTATAAACATTTCTTTACAACAACTTTTTATTTTTATTCTAAATAGCTCAGTTACGAGTTTTCACAAAATAGCGCGCTCGAACCCGAAATTGCTCAATTGAAGTTTCGTCCACAACTTTATAGATGAAAATGAGCTAGACTTATATGGACGATACTTATTTAACTAAATAAGGCATTAAAAATTTAATAGCGCAATCTTATACGCCTTGGTATATTTATTAAGAGCTCTAATCAATGGCGGGATTTTTCTATCATACGAAACGTCAATTAGATGGTATTTTGAAATAGTTCTATTAGTGTTACATAACACTACCGCCGGGAGCAAAATGTATGTTTTTTCAATCACATTTCAAGCGATGGTTATAGCAGTCGTTTATGAGCTTATTAGGACGATACGCTAGCACTATCCGCAATACGAGATTACTCTCCATCTTTCATATATGACGACTTATCACGGGTACATCTAATACAGGAGCAACAGCAGACGAGCCACACACTATCGTTCCATCAGTCGCTGTATTACTTCACGCCCACATCACGAACATCGATTCAACTAGGATAACGATCACACATGTCACATTCACTGCGGACGAGATATTAATTAGTACCTCAATCTATTTAGAAAGCACCCCAATTATGGAAGTGGTGAAAATATGTATGAAAAAAGATAGTAAGAGTATATAAAGTTCCAAATGAGAGTGGTGATATCCTATGTATTTCGTCTAGCTCCTGGCAATAGATTGTCTCGCTTTACGGATAAATTGAGAGAAACGTTTAGAAGATGAAAGTTTTCTCTTTGGTACGTTTTCTTGTTCTTTTTGCTCGACAACTAATGCTGATTTGGTAGTCAATTGTGAAGATGATGAAGAATGGCTGTTTTCCAAGGATCCGATTGTTCTTTCAATAGATTTACCTTCATCGATCCATCTATTGATACCACCGCGAATGGTATACGATTCAACGCCAAACTTGCGAAGAATACTGTTTGCACTCCTGGATGAACCACCATGCTCGCAAACCACTAAGATCTTTTTACCTTCGTATTCCTGAGCAACCTGACGAAGTTTTTCATCAAGAATTGGCCATTGTCTTGCCATTTCACTTGCATTGAGGAATGGATTTGGTGCACAATTTGGATATATATCCTCTAAAACTGGGATGTTTAATGAAGAAGGTATACGGAACTGATTAAACATGTTGCTACTTCTAAGATCCAGTACTCGAGTCAGATCTTCTTTGGCTAACACTATTGCTTCGTCTGGATGTAATTCCCATGCGTCCAAATAAGGATATTTATCTACGCCTAACAATTCACTGTTATGCATTGGTGCGAAGAATGATTCACCGAGTTTCTCTTTGTATTCGTTGATGTAGACGTATGGCAAGTCACAACAAATGAAAACACAATTGACGAAACCATCTTCACTTCTGAGCTTGTCAAGATCATTGTTATTCTTGGCGCGTTCGAGGTAGTTGTAGAGACCTTTCAAGTTCTACAAGACAGTTGTCAGCTTTTATTAGTTAAAAAGGAGGATCAACGCACAAATCCAGATGAAGGACCAGCCAGTAAGCCATTCCTGGACAGCCACAAGGACAATTCGTAAGAATCCTTGCTACCAACTTCTTCAACTGTATCAATGGCACTCCTCCAGTCATACCATGTAACGGGCTTTAACATTGATAAAGCTCTTGGACCTGGTACTCTATCACCCGCGGATGTACATACGCCGACGTTGATAATATCTGGTTTGCTAGCTGATATGACGAAATTAAGACGAGATCAAACTAAATATCAAGACAACTCACCTTTCAAGGCGTTACCGGTTCCAGTCATAGTTCCAGAAGTACCCATTCCTGCACAGAAGATGTTAATATCAGGTTTCTGTTTGAGGATCTGAGGAGCAGTCCATCTAACATGAGCATTTGGATTCTCATCGTTAGCGTATTGGTCTGGGTTGTAAGAGTACTCTTGCTTTCCTCGGTTGGCGGCGTGGTAAATCCCACCGTCGACGTCCTCGCTTAGAGGTTGGCTTGGTCCAGGGAAAAATGTCAACTCCAAGCCGAAGAAGCGCAATAGGTCAATCTTGCTATTTGAAGTTTTATTTGATAAGTTGGCAATCGTTGAGTTAATCCCCATTCTATAAGAGTTTAATCATATGTCAATTTATTCTCGAATCAACTCACTGTCTAGCAATCACACCTAAAGACATAATAGTACTACCGGAGCTGTATTCAACAATTTCCTTTGTCAAACCATCTTTTATCATATTCGTGCTCTTGGCCTTTTCGAGCATGTTGAACGCCGGGAACGCTTTGACGTTAGATAGGGGATGGGCAGAGTGTAATTTAGCCCAAATGCGAACTTTATCATTTGAGAACTGATGATTGGGTAATTCAACCAGTGGAGTAGGAGGTGTCCTGTCAGGGTGGAGATAGTTGTAGATAGCGTCCTGACCGCTATAGACGTTGTTCTCTTTATCGACCGACATTGTTGTTTTCTTTCAAGAGAAGACTTTGGAGTTTATGCGATGACCTGGAGGGTCTCGTTTAATCGATGGAAGACAAACTTAATTGAACCCTGAAATGACTGTGCGGTAACGTCTGATGGACTGTACCTCAATCCTCATAGTTTTATTAAAACTGTCATCACACTCGTTCTTTCACCCCGAATATGGACAGAGATCAGAATAGTAGCGTACATCGTAAGTTTATCATATCTCTTCCCATATCACCGTCATCTCACTTCATCAAAATAGATTCCGAATCAGATAACAGCATCAAGAAGGATATAATAAATGAGGATAGCCTAGCTCGTTCGTTCTACTCTATATTCCCCTTCGCTGCTTATCTCCGACTTTTTCCAGATAAACGCACCGATGCAGAGAAACAAATAACTGATCAGACTAATTACTTGCCAAAGTCTAGAATAATTATGGTAAGTACATTCCCCTATCCTCTAGCTTATTTGCTTACCTTTCGTAGGTTTTCATCGCATGCAGCTCGGTTGACTTTCTAGCTCTAATGGATCAAACGAATGTCGCTGTAGCTTTAAACACAATCGCTAGCTCACTTGGATCCGGTAGTCAATCATCTTGGATCGCCTCCGCCTACTTTCTGACATCCACCTCATTTCAACTTTTATATGGAAGATTCAGTGATATATGCGGAAGGAAAACTATTCTTATGATCGGTTTATTTATTTTCTTTGTCTTTACTCTTGGTAGCAGTTTGTCCCAGACTATGACGCAATTGATCGTATTCAGAGCACTAAGTGGGTATCATCGGTAAAGATTAATTCAAAATAGCTGATGCATTTTGTAGCCGGTATGGGTGGTGGTGGATTAATGTCACTCTGTCAGGTTATTGTATCCGATGTCGTTAGTCTTAGAGACAGAGGAAAGTATCAAGGTATTTTAGGAGCAGTCGTAGCATTAGCCAATGGTGTTGGACCCGTAATCGGTGGTGCGTTTGCATCATTCCAATGGCGTTGGATTTTCTGGTTGAATTTGCCAATTTGCGCCGTCACATCCGCGATGGTCTGGTTTATTATGCCGTTGAAGAAAGTAGAAGGAAGTTGGAAGGAGAAGCTATTTAGAATTGATTTCTTTGGTGCATTCCTCACTTTACTTAGTACAACACTTATCATTCTAGGTTTAACCTGGGCTGGTTCGGAGTATCCGTGGGACTCTGCTCATGTTTTGGGTACATTGATTAGTGGAATTGGTGTTGCAATAATCTTTATTGCCTGGGAGGGTCTTTTCGCTCGTATTCCAGTTATGCCCCTTTACATCTTCCGTTGTCACCGTATGGTTAATGGTGCATGTCTTACACAATTCATTAACGGTTATTTATTCTTAACACAGACATACTACCTTCCTAAATTTTATCAATTGGCATATGGTTACTCTGGTGTAAAATCTGGTGCTATGCTTCTACCATTAAGTTTAGTACAAACTGCAAGTAGTACTTTGGGTGGATTACTTGTCACATGGATTGGTCGTTATAGAGAGATTGTACTCCTTGGTTGGGCATTATGGGCTACTGGAATGGGTTTATTATCCACGCTCGACGATCATACTGGTGTTGACAAACAAGTCGGTTATTCGATTCTTACAGGTTTTGGTGTGGGTTTGACACTCCAAGCGAGCTTGGTTGGTGTACAAGCTGCGGTTGAACGCAAAGATATGGCAGTTATCACTTCGGTTAGAAATTTTGTCAGAAACCTTGGAGGTACACTCGGCTTGGCAATTTCTGGAACGACTTTGAATACCGTTTTTAGAAGCTGGATGCTTGCAAACGGTCTCTCTGAATCTTTGATAAAAACTCTGATCAATAATCCAGAAGAAGGTCGTAATAATCTCGATGAAGATACCACTGACTTAGTTATATCTGGATATAGACAGGGATTTAGGATAATATTCTTAACCTGTGCTGGTTTAGGTGGTCTCTCATTTATTTTGGCCTTCCTTCTTATGCCTCAGATCTCACTGGACCGTGATGATGATCAAAAATTGAAAGATGAAGGTAGAAAGTGGGTTGAAGAAGGCAAGAACAAGAAGAGAATGAAGAAGGAGGGTATAAAGGATGAAAAACTTGATACAGACACTCAAGGATGAGAATCTGGACGAGAAGCAGGATGCTAATCGAACAGTAGAAGTTGATAGTTTGGTTCTAGAGGAACATAAAAAGGGGGATGAAGTTTCAAACCCCAAAGTAAAATAGTTATATATCATGCATATTATTATTAGTCGTATCCTTATCGTAAGTGTGCTCATCAGTCGTTTAGTCGATAGTGTCGACAGTTTTGAAATATAGCGGTATAACTGCCTCACCCCAGCCTCCCATGAGCTCTGTCCTGCAAATCTGAGACAATTAGTTTAGCTTGGAAGTTCAAAAGAGCAAAAAACTCACTGGACAGGGTCCTTGGAAAATATGCTCAGGTTGCCCGGATTGTGTGTAGTTATATGCGGCTGTATTCTCCTTCGTTCTCGCTTTTCCGTTTGTCTTTTGACATCGCTGTCGTGCTTGCTGGATATTACGAGGTTGCCTAATATAGTTAGCTAATCAAATATATGATAGAGAGAACGCACGGCATTCCATCATTCTTTGTACGCTCAGCTTCAAAATAATCAAATAGGCAATTCGCACAAGCGATATGTCCCTATGTAAATCAGCTAAAGGCGTGATATAATAAAATATAGACGCACACAAGCTGTAGTCGCTGCATTCGACACCAGATCAAAGCAAATTGGACAGGTAAGTTCATTAAGAACGGGTAAACCATGAACTTGGGGATGTGGACTCGGTTCTTTCGATTTCGCTTTTGTGCTAACGACTGAGGAGGAGCGTGTCGATGGCGTTGACGTTCTACTGCTACTTGTGGCTGACTTTGAGCGCTCACCAGAACGAAGTCTCTTGCGACTAGGACGTTCTTTAGATGTATGGGGTAAGGGAAGTGCGCTGGTAGAAGTTGATGGTATCGCAGCCTCGTCATCACTCTCATTTGTTAAATCAATAACTGCGCTCGTATTTCGTTTGGCCATCGTCGATGTCAATCGAGAAGTTGTTCTTTAAAGTGAACAACCATCTAGCAAATAATAATAAATAATAATAATTAACAATAACATTATACAATGGAGCATACACGTTCAGCTGTCACTGCTGTAGTCATATTCTACCTCACAGCAGCCATTATCATGGTTCTCGTAAATAAAGCGGTTCTTAACGTTGAGAATACACCACCACTCTTTTTCTTATTCGTACAATTAGCTATCGCTGTTATCTTATTACTCGCTAGCCATCTCTTCCGTTTGGTGAGATTGCCAAAGATCGAGAGGAATGTTGCACGGGGATTGTGGAAATTGATCATGATAAATGTAGCTGGACTGAGGTTTGTAATGCTTTATCATACAGTTATTCATCTCACAAATCCTCAGTTTTAACAACTACTGCCTGAAATACATAGACGCATCTTTCTATCAAGTCGCACGTGGTCTTGTTTTACCAATAACAGTAGCGATAAGCTATATTTTCCTCAGAACACGTCCAAGTCCATGGATTTTAGGCGCTTGTGTCATCATCTGTCTTGGATTTTTCATATCTGTTCATCCTGGAGAGGCAGATCTTAACGCGACTGGTATTGTTTTTGGATTATTGTCAAGTCTTACAACAGCCGCACATGCTGTTATCATCAAAACTAGTTTACCAGTCGTAGGCGGATCAACTATAGATCTGGCCTATTACGTCAATCTTTTCTCTTCAATTCTATTCATACCATTATCAATTCTCGTAGGTGAGATACCAACAATATATGCACTCTTCTTCGAGACTGATAGCAATGACATGATAACATTTGCTATTGGTGCTCTCATAACTGGTGTTGTCGGTTTCCTTATCTGTATAGCTGGGTTTTTGAGTATAAAAGTTACTTCTCCAATCACACATATGGTCAGCTCGGCTGTTCGCTCTGCTTTAATGGCCATTCTTGGTGTTGTCTTTTTCCATGACAACCTGACTACGGAGAAGATCATAAGCATTATCGTTATCGTTATCGGTAGTGTATTTTATACCTGGATAAAAGACAAAGAAAACAAGCCAGCAATGACATATAACAATGAAGAATATGAACAAGTCGAACAACAACCGTTAGAAACGATACACATTGATAGTGATACCAGACGGAATTCTGAAGATATCCTTTTTGAGGCTCCACCAGAGTATAGTGAGCAAGATGCACATAGATAAGGATATCATGTTCATTTAAATTTTTCTTTATAATACTCTAAGGGGTTGGTGCAGTGCACCATCATGCATAGTTTTCATTAATTTAAGTTTATAATTTACGTTTTATCTTGTTGATTATTCTATTCAATGCGTCATCACCAAGACTTGTCAGATCATGACGGTCGATGAAATCCAACAAGCGCTTGCAGTCATCATAACGACGACTTTCATAGAAGCCCTTCATAAGAATATAAAGCGTGCCCTTGGTTATGTGAACATTAGGTTCATACTGCATTTGCTCGAGGAATACCCAAGGCGCGTAAGCATTTTGACTAGCCAGACTAGCTTCAATAATGTAATTGAAGAGCACAGGTGTGGGTGACAATCCACGAAGTTTCATACGTGCCATCAACTTCTGTGCTTCTTGTAAGCCATCCGATGAATGGAGGAGGTAGCCACTGATAACGGATGTGTAAGTAACTGATGTAGTCTTCACGCCTTCATCTTCTATTCTATCAAGGAGTGTTATGGCCTCTTTCAACTGACCCTCCTTCGCGAGAATATCTATCATTCCCGAATAAATGTGAAGATCTGGTGTGACACCACAATCTGTCATTGTCTTCATAACTACGTTGATAGCTTCTCCATGCCCTCTTTTGCGAAGGTATACCAATAACATCGAGAAAGTATGTGCATCAGGCGTGATTCCCCTCTCCCTAAGCTCTCGGAGAAGATTGATAGTGGTAGCATGATCATTTTTGAGCTGCAAAAAAGAGTTTTAGCCATATGCATACACAAATAACAGTTGACTTACGACTGAATAACGTATGAGGATATTGTAAGTAACAATGGAAGGTTCCTTTATCTGTTTGAAGACGTCTAAAGCAACATCACTCATTCCAACCTTGGTCAGCCCGGACAAAAGAGCATTGCAAATCTTTGTCGGAACGCCCTGGCCACTGTTGGTATACATCTCTTGAATAGTGTCAAATAAAGCCATCCCGGCATCTTTCCTGTCTTTGCTTATCAAATCAGACACCAAAGCTGAGGCGATATCTTCATCTGGGAGGACGTTCTTCGCATTCATCGCGTTTAGAATATTGTTAACATTCGTTGTACCTGTAGACCGAACGAAGGCGCCTTGAAGAGCCGCGTTGAGTGATTTCGGACCGAGTTTTGAATAAGGTTTATCAAGCACATGTGCAGGTAATGGTGGGGAGCCTCGTTTAGATGCACTAGTGAAAGCTTGAATGAATCTGGCATATATTTCATCATCTTCTAGTGTTGCAATATCTACTGCCGCATAGAGATCTATTAGATGTTTTCGCATGGAGTTCCCACCTGCATTGTCTATCGCTGAAATAAGATCTGCTTTCGTTTTTGTATCGTGATAGAATCTCAATTTACTAATGTAATCTTGCGCAAGAGCAAGTTTATCATTCGTCAAACCCGTATGAAGAGCAGTATTCTTAGGATTGAATGTATAACCAGGTTTATTGGCGTTCTCCACGGCTGTTTGCGCACCACGGTAGTTCCCGATGAGAGAGTATGCAGCTACAACGCAGAGGAGGGTGAGTGTGTCTACGCTATCCTTATCTAAACGTGTATACATATCTATAACCTTCTTAGAATCACCGGAAGTGAGTGCTCTCTTGAATACCTTCAGTAGGGCTTTTGGTTGCTGTCTTCCCGCCAAAACCAAGCTGAGTTCATCTAGTGAGCTTGATTGAGGGAGTGTTACAGCTAATGCTGATAAATTTTGTATATCCTCTTCATTAATGTTACCTAAATTAACATTTTTGAGCTCATTCTGAAGTTTGTCGAGGTCTCTATTACGTATTGCCTTTACTAAACCAGCTGAACTATTAAATCTGACTAATGCGGGTATTAATTTCGTTGAAGTCCCTATCCTTGGTCTCAATAGACACAACTTGATAGAGTGCATGTCGTAGTTTCCAGAAAAGAGCACATAGCGTATATAATAAGTGTATCTAGATTAAAATATCTGTGTAACGTGATAGATTTAATATTTTACCGCAGTTTCAAATATAGTTTTATCCGTAATTTCGTCAGATTTCATCGATCGTTCTTAAACATTTTACCCTGACGTACCCGTAGTTTGGTGTGACAAAAGCGTCAGTGCGTGACAGCACTGCGGAACGGGTAGGAATAGGAGAGAAATAAAGCGGAATAGAGCAAATTTATAAATATAACGTAAGTAAATGTATAAATTGGGCGTAATATATACTTGTTCGTACAAAATTCTAAATAGAGAAAATCTTCAAACAAAAGAAGAGGAGTGTAAATATAAGTAAAAGACTTTCCAAAAGTTGAAAACCCGATTAAAACGTTTAAAGGAATGAAGATTCTGTTGATACATTGTCTAAATGATTCATAATTGGGTATCTAAGATCTAATGAGTGGATGTGATTTGATTTGAGTGAAAGGGTTAGCTTGACTACAGCTAGCATAACCGACAAGCGGTGATCTTTGATGAATTGGCGTTGGTGGCGGTGAAGGATATGCAGTGCCGTAATACAACTTTTGTCTCTTGAATGCAGAAGGAGTTGAAGGAGGAGTTTGATAAAGCGCAGATTGGAACGATTGTAAATGATAACTAAGATTATCTATTTCCGATTCATTCACAGTAACTTGATATCCCAAATGAGCGAATAATTCCCTCTCCATTTGGTTGATTTCTTTAAGAGTAAATTGACCTCTAGCGACGATATGCCATGAGCTGTTAGCGAACTAAAAAGACCTGTTAGACCGTGTGATAGTGATGTAAAGTATGCTCACAGTATCATCGTTGTTGACCTTACTAGAAATCATCAATGCAGCTAAATATAAACGCTGTCCAGCACTACCAGTGGCGTTTGGAAATTTTGCTTTCAGCCTGTGTAAAAGGACCAATGCGGATAAGCAAACGTCAGCTGATAGCTGAGTTCTGTACATTGCGTATGCTATAAAGTTATCTAAACTCGGGCTATTGTAGTTTGTTGAGTGCAATGGACAGTTGAATAAGCTGAAAATGAACGCAGCAGATAAGCTGGCCAATGGATTTTGTTGGGGGTTTGGTAGATTATTCAGTTTAGACTGTCTAAGGTTTGATTTGTATATTGGTGAAGGTGGTGTTAAAATAGACATATTTTAAGTTAAAGAGTGCTTGATATTCAAAGTTGAACTTCAACCACTACTTTGGCACGACCCGAACAAGATCAAGAAGTGAACCGTCGCTAAGATTCAATGAGGTACATTCGATCAGATGGTTTCAGGTGGCATAAATTTTTAGCCAATAGACGGACGTCCATACTGATACATCGTTATTAATTTCCATTTACACACATTTATTTACGGGCTTTTTAACGGACGTGAAAATTTTTTTTTGACAGCTCAGGATTACGTGGGGGGTGGGGAGCTAAGAAGGTTGTGCGTTTGATTAAGATGTGACATAACAGTGTTTTGTATTTTTACGTCTGAAATTTTCTATTTGAATGTACACTATGCATAACTTTCTCTCCTATACTAAATATAATGGGTAATAAGCAATCCAAGGTAGATGAAATTTTATTAGACAATAAATTACAAAGAGATAAATTAAACAAATATAAAAGCAGTTTAGACAGGCTAATAGCTTTAAATTTAGATTTAGCTAAAAATGCTTTAAAGATGAATGACGTCACCCAAGCCAAAAAATTTATACAAATAAAAAATCAGAATATACATAAGCAAGAAGAGATAGAGAAGCAGTTAGCTAGCTTAACGGGTTTGATATCATCTATAGAGACTCAAGTTGCACAACAACGCTTGGTTGAACAGCTAGAAAAGGGCAATAAGTTATTAACTGGTTTGCACAAGGAGATGAGTATATCTCAGGTGCATAATATAGTAGATAATCTATCTGATCAAATAGAGTATCAAAATGAAATTTCTAATTTAATCATCACACACGATCCCGACCTTGATCAAGAACTTGATGGACTGAAGGAGGAGATCAGACTACCGAACGAGCCAAAGACTGAATTAAAGGAAGATGTACCATCCGGACAATCAAGAGAAGATGCTCAGCCAATTGCACTTTAGTAGATTGCCTTTAGATATCAGTTTCAGAGTCTGGCTTATGTTTAAACCCCTACCTATTGAGACGCAGCAGATTGATAAATATATCTACGATTTTAGTAGAGAATATTCAAAATATAATAACTTCATTAGTCTAGATAATATATATATACTCAGCTTTAGCTTATTGCTTTTAAATACAGATAAATTCAATAAATCTAATAAACATAAAATGTCGAAAGTTGATTTTATTAAAAATACAAACTATATTGAAATTGACGACCTCATCTTGGAGTATTTCTACGACAATACCTGTTACACACCATTTATAAAAGCACTCGATCTGGATAAGCTACCTAACAGTCACCCGTATAGTTACATTCTCAACAACAATCTTGATAGATTTAAATTGGATCCAATCAACGTCGAAAACAATTACACATTATCAACTATTTACTCACACCACAAGTTAAACAGTTTATTTGTCAACGCACCTATTATTAGATTATCTACAAATGAGTTTCTTAGATTGACTCATTATAGTAAAATGAATATCAAATTACCTAAAAATACCCTTTGGAAAACCTACATCGTCATTCTGACGGGCTCTCAACTTCTGCTTTACAAAAATTTGAACATTCTGAACAATTTAAAGACCGAAATACTTAAATTTAACAACCTAGTTAAACATCATCTCACTAGCAACTCAACGCATGCTTCTCTCAATTTGCGGAACTTGGATACTCCTTCACAACACTCGTTCAAACCAGATGATATTATACACTTGGATGACACCATCGCTTTAATTGACAACAATTATAAGAAACATCCTCATACCTTTACCTTATTTTCTCGTAATAAAAAATACCTGATACAATCTCACTCTGATGAAAATCTACACCTATGGATCAACTTAATCAACTACTCTGCGGCATTCAAGTATTCTAATATTAGGATACGTGGTCATTCTCTTTCGGATAGTCATTTATATTATGCGGGTATAAAAGCTAAGCAACGGAATACTCATTTAGCACCACCTATCACCCAAACGGGTTCTATGAATAGTAGTTCAACTGATGCTAGCTCATCACCGTCTCTAAATAGAGTTTCGGATTTCAATAATGCCATTGATTCTATCAATAGTCATTTAAACTCTTCTGTAAACATACAATCACGATCATATATCCTTAAGGTAGGTTAATGGTTTCTAAATATAACACGTCTAATACCCTTGACAGTCAAAGATAAACCATTTAAAGAGTGCGCTGGACGCTTTATCAACTGATTTAAACAACACAATAAACTCTATTAGATTAGTTAGCACTTTAACACCATTTAGAAGATCAACCAAGAGTAAACTCGTGAATGATTATCTACCAAGTTTATTAAAAAAATTAGATACCCTTAGAATCGACGAGTTCAAGTACATTTCTATAAAGTCAGCCTTAGAGTTGGACTTGGTTGTTGAAGAAAAGTTAGAAGCTCGTATGATGAAGGTTGGTTTGAGAGCAGCTGCATCTCATTCGGAAGCTATGAGAATACGTTCAAAGTCTCAATCTATGTATGTACAAGATGAGCAGCCGTTATCAAGCGCCGAACGGAAATTAACAAAGAAAACGCGATCAGCTATGAGTCTCAATAGTTCAAATTACATCAACAACAGTTTACCAACAACGGCAGATTTGTCTACGAATAACAATACAACAAATTCAATTGATTTACAACCAACTCAAGACATAGGAGTATGTACATCTGATATTGAAGAACGTAGAAGATCTAGATGTGCTTCTGAAACTGAAGAATATTCAAATAGGTCGCCAAATTATGGTCATATATCTTTAGTCAAAATGCCTGATGCTATACATAGACACGCAAGGAATTGGAGTTTGGGAGGTAGAACAAGCAAGGAAATTGTATCGCCTAGTAATACGATATCATTGAATGATTAGAATTTTACTTTAGAAAATATTACATATAATTGCGATAAAAAGGAAGTTTGCATGTTTTATCTAGATGTTATAAGCACGCACACCATTTAGTTTGTTCACCCTAATAAATAATACCTCCCCCTTGTGAATTGTTGAGAATATCAGATAACAAATTGATGCGAATCGCTCTACTTGTAAGGTTCAGGTTCTGAATTATGCATAACGTCGTATAGGAGAATGAACTCACGAAGTTATTGAAAAATATAGTGTATTGATAATTCCCACTGATTGACAAATACTGCCAAGAGTTACATCCAGAAATCAAAGACGCTATTATGACAAGATCGGATATTTGGGTGTTTGTATCCAGCTGCATACATCAAATAAGAATATATCATTCTATAATGCTACTACACTTCTTAATCCACTACACTCATGAGAGATCATCGTGATGATCCTAGATATACGCCTACACCAACGAGTAGTACAACAGCGAAGCAGAATAATGCGCTAGTTATACCAAAAACTTTAAAAACATCACTCAATTCGCAAATCGTCTTATCTGAAGAAGCCTACACCAAAGCCTTAAGTGACATAATAAAGAGAGATTTCTTCCCAGATCTCAAGAAGGCAGATGATTTGAGCTACGATATTAATAATTGGGTGGGAAATAAAGCCGCAGATGAGGAAACAGACTCGCAACATATAGAGTACGATTACAGTAGGATGTCACTAGAGCAGTTCCAATCGAAATTCACATCAGAGGATAATGCCAGCTTTAGCTACCTCCTTCATAAGGCTAACCTCAAACGTCGTGAACGCTATGCATGGGCATACAACGCAGAATTACTCGCCAATCAACGGAGGATAGAAAGTGGCGACAGGCTTTCACGGCAGATCGAAGATGTCAGTTCAATCTTAGCAGATGGTGAGAAACGATTGCTAGAGAGTAATATCGGCGTGAACGATATCAGTGATTTTGGTGGTGAAGGAAACGAGCAGGCACTCGTACGGAGAGAAAAAGCTATCAATCAGCAAGTACAGTTGGGTCTAGAGAAGGCTCCTAAAGAGGGCATGTCTCTTGTACCTTCTTCTAGCAAAGATGTGCGTAAAGCTGGCGTAGATACGTGGGGATTTACGGCTACAAACAACCTGATGTTTAATCCAGATACGAATACACCTAACTATCTTGCTTTGGTAGACAAAGAAGCTGAAAATAGGCAGAATAGAGTGACTAATTATGCCGCTACGAGGATGAGTAATGATGATGACGATAATATGAGTAGCAGTATGGCTAGTACAGCACAAATCAATGCTGCCGTTAACGCTACATCTTCTACTTCTTCGGACGCTGGTTCAAGCACTCCTCATATTGGCGGTTATAAGTTCGTCGAAAGCATGCCTTCACCACGTGCACATCAGTTACCGTCTTCGAGTATTAACTCCATGATGGTGAGTGGAACGCTGTCGGGTACACCCAGACGACTTGATGAGGAGGATGAATATGACAATTGTAGGTATTATGCTTATAAAACTATTCAAGTACTCAAATTACCTTCAGCTGGCGATTTCAAGATACCAAAGATTAGTAGGCGAGACAGACTAGGTCATCAACTGGCTTCCCACGTCAAGACGAAGCAGACGCCAGCTCAATCAACACCAACTAGTAGGACACCCCGAGGCGTTTCACTTAGCCCCGCTGGACACGCTCTGCTAGAGAAGACCAAGAGGAGACGAACAAATGCAGAAGCAACACCATCATCATTTCGCAGTGTCCGTCAGTCACCAGATATACGACGGAAAGACAAAGGCTGGACGCCGACACCTCAACGGTAGAATTTGTTGTGATTTCTATGCATCTATTTCATTTATATGTACAATTGTTCTCGAAAAAGCAAACTAATTAGTCTTGAAACGCTGGTAAATTTGACCAAATTGTCCGATCGCTGATGACAATGGATTTCTCTTCTCCTGTGACATCTCAATTGCGACTTGAACAAGATTTTCAACAGCTTCATCAGTAATTTGATGGTGTACGACTATTCTGTTGGAACTAATCGTTATTCCAGCCCGATCTTTGACGCGTTGAATGAATTCCTCAAGGCTGAATCCAATTGTTGAGCTATCAAAGAAAACCATGGATGTTTCAACAGGTGATATAATTCTAATTTTAGCTTGTTCGAAGCCCTCTGCTATTCTCTTAGCTCGTTCGTGCGTCTTTGGTAAAAGTGGGAAATGATTCTCGAGAGCAAAGTCAGCAGCCTCCGCAAGAAATCCAGATTGACGGATACCACCACCGAAAAGCTTTCTAAACCATTTTGCCTTTGTGATTACTTTTTCACTTCCGACAAGAATGGAACCAATAGGTGCACCAATACCCTTGCTTAGACAGAGACTAACGCTATCGTATGGCTGGCAAAGTTTATCGATAGATAAACCTGTAGCTGCGCTAACATTCCATATGCGCGCACCATCGAGGTGCATAATCAAATTGTTGCTGGACGCCCATTCAGATATCTTTTTTGTTTCACTTTGTGGGAAAACCAGACCATTCTTGGTATTTTCAAGACTAATTATACGGGTTGGAGCATAATGTATATCATCTTCGAGTGTCGCATGGGCTTGTATATCATTAAGCTGTAAATGATGCCCATTTGTGGGCTCAACTGGTGTAATTTGTGCCTGAGAATGGAAAGCAAGACCACCAGCTTCATACTTGTAGATATGAGCGTGTGCATCGCAAAGTACGCTATGTGGTGGTTGATGCAAATGGGTGCGCAATCCAATTTGATTAGACATAGTACCAGAGACGCAAAACATAGCAGCAGGTTTACCAGTCATCTTCGCAATCTTCTTCTCAAAGTTACTAGTACTTTCATCCTCCTATCAACGTAATCAATTAGCGTTCTTCAATGAGTTTGTGAGACTCACGCCATAAACGTCATCACCACGGCTAGAGTGTTTGACGGAATACGCAAGCATTTCATCAGTCTTTACTATTATTAGTTACTCGAAAGATTGGTTTTATCACTCTTACTGGTGCTGTTATCGTGTCGGCTGTAAGTTATCAGTTATTGATATTACTATGAGTTATAAAGGGCTCCTCACTCCTGAAATCGCGTCCAAGACTTTCCAGTCTACGTGCATTAGTCGTTATTGTTCGTATAATGTTCCTCATGGTATGAATCTAACGTTCGGCAATCGACTGTCTCGTTTATATCCTGTGAGCAACCACATTGCCGGCGGGCTATCGTAGACATCAGCAGTTGATTTAATATACAAACACTATCGTAGAAGGCTCGTGCGCGATGCTCTGTATTTTATTTTTTCCGCCTTCAGATAAAAAAAACTTGCCTTCTTCTCTCTTTAAGAAGACAATCTCAAAAAATGTCAGGCGTAGATAAACGTGTACCAATTACTATCGTTTCAGGTTTCAAATCTAACGGTAAATCTGAAGCTGTACGTTTTTTCTCTTTCTCTGTAAAGCTAGCGGCTGATTTCTCCACAGGTTGCAAACATTCTCAAAAGCGGTTCAGATTTGAAGACTGTCGTACTTACACAGGATGTACAAAAAATTAAGGATTTAGCAGACGCTAATGCTGTACAACTCGCAGAAGATGACTGCATTCAACTCAAAGATGGATGTGTATGCTGCAGCCTCCGTTCTGAACTTATGGGCCAAGTATACGATCTCGCAAAGTCTGAAAAATACGGATACATCATCGTAGAAGCATCAGATGCAGCAGACCCAGAAGAACTCGCTGAAACATTCTCTGCTGAAATGGAAGATGACGAAGAAGACGATGAAGAAGCAGATGAAGAAGGTTTAGAAATCGACGAGCACGACCGTATTGCTTCCGAGAAAGTAAAGCAAATCATGAAGGAAGGTGGTCTTAACAAATTTGTCAAGGTCGATTCAGCTGTTACTATCGTCAACGCTGAAACAGTATTGAGCGACTTCCACTCCACTGAGTTCGTCGGTGATGGCTCTAAGAAGGACGACGAGGAAGATGAAGAAGAAGAATCTACCCTCACAGATGCGCTCATCGCCCAAATCGAATTTGCAGACGCCATTTACCTCAACAACGCTTCAAAGGCTAGCGCAGAAGTTAAGCAACAAGCTCACGGTGTCATCAAGGCTCTCAACAAGCGCGCTAAAGTTATTGAAATTGATAACTCAGCTATCGAAGCTAAGGATGTTATCAACGCTGGTTTGTTCACCCCAGTAGAATCATTCAACCCAGAATGGTTAAGAGCAGTCAAGAACTCCGCAGGTGGTGACTCATACGCTAACAACAACGGTATTGAATCATTCGTCTACAGACGTAGAGTACCATTCCACCCAGCACGTCTCGCCAAATTGTTCAAGGAGTCATTCCACTTCATCCAACAATCTGAAGCTCAAGATGATGAATGGGAAGACCAAGAAGAAGACGCTGAAGAAGATGAAGGAAAGGGTAAAGGCAAGGCTGTCGCTGAAGCAGAAGAAGAAGCACCACTTGATGAAATCACAACTGAGAACCTCGTCGATGCATCATCAAGAAAGCAAAAGGGTGTATTCGCTTCCCTCCTCAGAGCTAAGGGTAGCTTTTGGATTGCTTCAAGAGTCGCCGTCGGTGGTGCTCTCCAATCTTCTGGCCCTGTATTGAGCGCAGCTTCAGGTGAAATGTGGTACTCAAAGATCCCAGAAGAGGACCTCGCTCAAGTTACTCCAGATGAGCAAAAGTATGTCAGAGAAGTTGTCTTTGACGGTAAATTCGGTGACAGACGTCAAGAGATCTTTATCGTTGGTGGACCAAACTTCAACAGAAAGGAGATCGAACAAACTCTTGATGCGGCTTTATTGACAGACGATGAGTTCAAGACCTACACTTCAATCTTCGACAAAGAATTGGGTGTCTTGGAGAAGGATGAGGAACTCGCAAAGGCATTCGAAGGTGACTCTGAGTTTGTCCAATGGGCTGACGACCTTATCATGGCTCTTCTCGACGAAGAAGAAGAGGATGACAACTAAATTGTCTCATCTTTATAGATTTCTTTTTACGTGGTTTTTCCTCGATAATTATATACCAAATATAATATATTAATTAATTATGTTCTCTACATAAGATATTTACACTCATTTATTTAATTTTATATCTTATCTTTAACGTTGATGATGCAATGAAGAGAAGTACGAATAAATACGATGATACAAAGCCAACGATATTAACACTGCCTGATGAGATTTTATTTATTATAACGGAAGATGCAAGCAAGTTATCACTCACCTGTCGACGCTGTTATCACTTACGTTCACATCCTCCAATGAAAGGTATAGCGAGTCATAATGCACCTACCTTTGATTCATTTAATATGGAAAGGATACACCATGCTACACTTAAACGATTTTCTCAGTTTCTGGTTGATTTTGTAAATGATACATCAAAATCTAAGCATATCATACAATTACGATACAAACATTACGGTAATACCACAAGCGTGGAATTACAGACGCTTAAAGCTTTGTTAAAGTTACCAAATCTTGAAAGATTAGTCTATCAAACAGATAAAGCTAGTTGCATCAATACACTTGCTAGACTTTGTGACCCTTCGTTAAATAGACATCTAAGGCAAATTAATATAAAAGTACGAACTATACCAGATTTAGCACTTTATTTGAATCGATTATTACAATTACCTCATTTATCTCTACTCACGATCGATACTACGTTTAACAATATGTCGGTTATTAAGCATCAAGTCTATAATCTAATCGGTCTATTCGATTTATTTCAACCAAATCCTGATGTTAAAGTTATAACAAGGTTCATTCATTCTAGTAACTGCGTTCACAATAATCTCGATTATGATATTGACAATTACGTCATTATATGGAAGAAGTGTGTCGTATGTCTCGATCATTTTACAATTATCCGGTCATTTGATTCTTTTAACGAGATACTCGCTAAGGCTTATCAATGGCCAGATGATTCGCATTACATTAGGGAAAAACTTTTAGAGATTCACGACAAATAATAATGGAGTAACGCAGTAACGCAGCAAGACAGCAACGCAATTTGCAGTAAATTTTAATATTACTTTGTAAAGGAAGGTAGGAGTAAGTAAAGCATACCGTTATGTCACACCATGGAATGATTTAGCTTAACACCTTTGTTCATTAATATACAAATTAAATTACAATTTCGTCAGTTTGTCGAGTGCACTTGAGTACATTAGTTTAGTTGAAAATAGCAAATATTAAATACTTACTTTACGCTTTTAGTTGCATATTCTTTGTTTAACTTGAGGAAACTCTTGAAACGTTCGTCTGAAGAGTCAGACATTAACTGGAAGAGTACGGTCTCTGAAGTCGTGATTTTACCACCTGCTTGCTTAATTTGCTCAATTGCTGTTTTCTTATGTCCTGAGTGGGAACTAGAGACACCATCGAGAATAATTTGGACTTCGTATCCATTTTCAAGTAACTCAAGGGACGTTTGGAGAATACATATGTGTGTCTATGTAATTGAGTGGCATTACCTTTCTTAAGTTTCACTCACCTCAATTCCAACTAACAATACAGTCCTTATACCGCTCGTTTTGAGTGCAAAGAGAACATCATCATTGACCATAGAGAATCTAGTCTTTGGAATTGGTTTCTCTGTTAGCAATCTCGACTCATTGAAGTTAATTTCCGGTGCTGTATTTCCTAGAGCTGATGGTAGATGTTCTTAGCTTATCGGAAGAAACAGCTAGCTAGACGTACAAGATGGATTTTGCTCTGATATCAAAACAGGTAAATTGAGTATCTTCGAAAATTGTACCATTTTATTCGTAATATCCATCACAGCATCAAAGTTCTTGATGACTTTTGCTTGAATTCTTGTTAGAAAACCCACTAATGGGGTGAGTACCTACAAAAAATAGCTTGTACATCGCATACAAACAACGCAGTGTGTTTCTGATTTAATGACATGATAAATCGGGTAAGAAAACGCTATCGGGTGATTACGTCACATGATGCCTTCAGAAATAAAAATGTTTATTAAAAATATGTGTATGAGTAAATTATAACACACAAACAAGATCTATACCGATTGATCTACGTATTTGAATTATTGCGACGATGCTATGAGCTGTCAGTTATGTCTTTGTCTTAGCTTTTTACTCACTCTTTCAACATTTCTTCGAGAATAACAACATTCTCTAATAAATGTGATAATGTTACCGGTTTGATTTCTTTGACCTTTTCTAACAAAGTATCTCGACTATCCGCTCTATTCTCTTTATCATCATCTTCAGGTATACTATCCATATGGTCATCTTCTAGTTTACTATTAGTACTTCCAGTTACTTTCGGTATAATTAAACATTGTTCAGTTTGTCGATAGTGATCATAAAATGGTGTAGCGGGTCCTTCAAACGCACTAACTTGCCTCTTCTGTTGGTGAACCTCATTCGATTGGGATTTCTTTCTATTACTGGTGAATAGAGCAGCTAAAGATGATGTAGCTGATCTAGTTTTAGGTTTATTTATGAATTTATCTGCTTTTGCAGTTAAATTACTTATACCCCAGCTATTATTCCTTTCAACCCTCTTTTCAAATTCGGTATCTATAGAATCTTGGTATCGTTTATGACTAATTCTTCCAATCTCTCCGTAATCTTTCTTCTTTTGCTGATTTCTTCGTTTGTTACGAGATTTCAGGACACCCCTACCAACACCCTCTTCGAATTGCTTGACAAGTTCATTACGTTGAGCTGGTTCAACATCACCCAATAAAGCCAAAGCATCTTCAAGGTTCTCCTTAAATAACATACCTCTTCTTCTCTCCCTCAAACAGAAATCAAAATCTTGTGATGTGATATTGTTCTTTGCTTGAAGGCGATAATCATCAATTTGATCGACGAGATCTTGAATAATTGTAAGAACAATAGGTAAAGAGTTATCAGGTCGTGGATGTGACTCATCGTAATCTGGATCATCCTCATCTACCCAATCCTTTGTCATGAAACCTTCAAGTGATCTTCTAGGGTTCGAAGCGAGTGAAGCTAACGCACCTGACAGTGACACATTCATTTCTAGTGACTGTACGAAGAAATTTCTCAGACTATCCAAAATAAGATTCATCGTCTTATCATTCAAATCGAATTTATGTTGAGCTTGGAAAGGTTCATCATTTTCTGTATCGGTCGCCAATTTATATTGAGGATGTAACATTATGACAGCTTGAGCATCATCTAAGTAGCGTTCATAACCTGTAGATAACATCTCTTGCGTTGTATGAGCGTCTATAGAACCAATCAACATTAAATAGTTAGTCAACTCGTCCTCATTCACTTCAACATTTCTCATTGGTGGTGGAATAGGTAATAAATCCTCATTGAAGCCCTCCTGTTTTCCATTTATCTCCCTTTTACGGTAATCTTTCATGAGGTTATGTAATTGATGGAAATATGGGAATGCAGTTGCGTCTTTCTTTGGTATTATAGACATTAGCTTAGGTAAGCATATCTCATCAAATGAATAAGCTAGTTGACTGAATAGTTTTACAGTGGATACTGCAGTCGCATCATTAGTAGAACGCAAGTTGATTGTTATCAAATCCTTCAAAGTGAATCTACCTAATGAGGAGAAATATTCTGATGAGCCTTTGGCTTTCGCTGCATTTTCGCTCTGCAACAATACGAGAGCTGTACTACGACGTCTCTCATGTTTTTTTGTTGGTTTCTCATCACTGACCTCCTTAGCTTTGTTATCATCATCATCTGCAAGTAAATAATCCAATAGAGCTTCTGATAATGGTCCACTATTTAAGGAAGCTAACATAACTTCAAGGTAGGTAGTTACGGCTACAGCTGAATAGTCCATTGACGAACATTCCAATATTGAGGGATAGAGAACGCTACCAAAGAAAGTATCATTGACTGATGCTAAGATATTTTCAGCTATTGCTATGCCATATTTATTGTTACTCCTCAAACCCCTTTTGATTATCTCAGCGGTGAATTCAAATACGCTCATAAATACCCATAATTGATTTTGGAAGGCAATACTGGTTGATAATTCAACACTAGCCACCAGGCCCAACCTGTTGACTATATTAGAACGTGATTTTTGTTCTTTATCTTGAGGATCTGTCGGTATGACTGCCAAATTTGTCGGAAGTATACCATAGACAGCACCCAAACCAGCTGCTAGGACCTCAGCAAGGTCACCATCCACAATAAATTCAGCGACAGCCGCTTTTATGTCTACGGAAGAGGATAATTCAATGTTTGAAGCTTCAGTTTCATTGATATTGTCTGATGTGCTGACTTCAAACAATAGAAGTATAGCTGCACGTGCCAAGTCACCAGTGCGTCCTTCTCTATGTACCCATCGCAGCAGATAAGTGAAGAGTAAGAATTCAGCTAAGTTGGACAATTAGAGAATCCCCATTTCATAATAGTTTAACCTACAGTCTGATTTATTTGAGAGAGCACCACGTGAGGTGACAGTACTCATTGATGTTGGAGACGTAGGCCTATCCTCATGAGATTCCCTTCTATTTCTCGTTGGGTATCTTATCCATGATCTGTCCATGAAGAATATGTGAAGAAGTGATGGAGATGATTTAATTTTGTTGCAGAGGATACACAAGAGGTCAACCACTAGAGGCAATGTTAGTCTAAGCAATTAATGTGAAAGTAGTGTCTTACAGTGCTCTTCATATTCCGATGGCTGAGAAGTAGCTGCCGTACTAGCAGCACCCAAGACCCTTGATGTTTCAATATTCGGTGTGTTATCACCTGTACATATCTTAAGTAGTTGTACTAGAGGTTTATGTACTGGTGCTTGGACAAAAAAGTGAGACTGCATTGTAACACAGAGGTTTGAAACTGCCTTGAGTACTTCTGTTTTGATACCAACAGGTCTGTCAGCTGCGGTGGTTTTCAATGAGTTAATATACTATTCAAAGTGTTACGAACCCGCTGATAAATTAACTAACTTTGATAGAATGTCTGTTTTTATATTAGATAAACGCGTTTAAAGCGATAAGAAGGCAAACCTTGTGAGAGAAACCAATCTAAAGCAGGTGGAGATTCTTCAATATCTTGATATTTGCCTGTCTCAAGGACGAGTGTGTCCACTATTCTACTCAAACGCTTTGGTACTTCCGTTGATTGTATACCGCGCAACAATTGACGTTCATCTGGTCTATTGAGAGTGTCCTTATAATATGATTGAATGGTATATCCAGTATAGTAAGCTAAACTCACTTGTATCGCCTGCCAATTCAACTCCATTTCAGATAAGACTTCTTGCTGGGTGTATATCAATGGCTGGATTATAAATAGAATAATAAACGTACGAGTGATCTGCCATTTCTCGTCGTTGCATTTATTGGTAAATGCAAGAGATTCGTAAAGAAGTCCATCTCTTGACTGTTCAACTTGAACATTCATATGCCATTCTCACATCACTCACATTCAGGTCAATTTTGTAGACACGCTAAAGGGGATTTAGAGGATGTTATTAAATCAGCAATTGATAAGAACTTCAGACTGTTTGGCTTGAGTGAACATGCACCGAGATATAGGAAACAGGATTTATATCCAGAGGAGGTGTGTATATTATTTATTTATTACATATTCCACTTACTCAAGTCAAAAAGAGCGATCTAAAACCAGAAGATACAATGTCTATTTTCGAAGATTACCTCAGTCACGCACACAAGTTAAGAGAAAACTATAAGAATAGCATAGACTTACTGGTAGGATTAGAAACAGATTACGTCACAGAACAGGATCTTATCGGTACAGAGGACTTGATAGCCCGATATGAGAATACGTCAACACCAATTGAATACATCGTTGGTTCAGTACACCATGCATTCGAGACACCAATAGATTTTGACAAGCAGACGTTTGACAGCGCCCTAGAGACTGCTGCAACACGAAAGAGTCTATATAGCGAATACTACAGTCGTCTTCTCCATCTAGTCAAGACACTCGAACCAGAGGTAGTTGGCCACATCGACCTGATAAGGCTCTATGAACCAAATGTCGCGTTAAATAACTACCCAGACGCTTGGAAACTCATAGAGGATATTGTCAAGCATGTCGCTAGTTATGGCGGTTTAATCGAAGTGAATGCAGCTGCTATCAGAAAAGGATGGGTGGTGCCATATCCTGCGTCAGATATACTCTCGATAATAAGGAATAACGGTGCTAGGCTTACTTTATCGGATGACACACATACGCCTGAAAATGTTGGTTTGAATTACTGGCGCGTATTCGAGTACTTGAAATCACATGATGTAACCGATATTTACTATCTCGAGAGATGTGAGAAAGGCACACCAAGCGCAGGAAGGCGTGGCAGGACCATCGCGAAGAAATATGAAGGCAAGTGGTCGACTGACATCTTCTGGAGTACGTGCAATCCAAGTTGGAAGTAAAAAATGTTTATTAGAGTCTATATTATGCATTTATCATACCATACACCAGAAAGCTTGACAAGTGCCTTGGCTGCTGATAGGTTATGAGATGAGAGTATTAATGCTCATTTGCCGTTGTGTTTCGATTTCTGTGACATTCAGTGGAGTCTGCACACTCGATGACTTTTCCGTGATTTTCTCGACGACGGTTAATCCTGCTTTAGATTCCAAATCACCTTCAACAAGCTGGATTGTTTGTTAGGCAGTCTTCAAGGTTAGCGAACTAGCGAAACCCACATCGGAAGAAGTTTCAGAGAGTTCTTGTAGATATGCAATATCGAGTGAGAAGGCCAAAACTGCAATACTTTCTACCACTAAGAGATTATACATAATTAGATTGATAGCGGTAACAATTTGGTGATATACGAATAATGACTTATATACCTTATAAATGACAACCAAAGCTATTCCTATCAAACGTGTAAATCTGTGATCCAACATTTTGCCTGGTTGCGCAATTGTTTGGTCGGCATGATCTTTTGTATATCTAATGCGGCAGAATACATGTTTTGCTTCTAGAACAGCAAATACAAAGTAGTGGCACGCTATTAGATACTCGGTTGTTCATTTAGTTTCATAGACCTGTGGTGTGTTTACTCACGTAATCCGTAAATGGTCTAAACTGTTCTCCTGTTGAACTCCAATTGTAATACTCTATCTATTTTCTCTGTTAATAACAGCCTGTTATTTCTTTCTTTACTTGCATAAGATTGCCATAGACCGTAGAATATACCTAAATGTATTTAAAATTAGCATTCTACATTTAGTACACTCACCAAAAGTTAAAAAAGCAAGTGACAAACCTATCTAGAGGCCCGCAATAGTATCTGCGTACAAAACTTTGCACTCTTTTCGTTACCGGTGTGTCCGTCATGGCGGACGTAAAACAAGATAAGAGATTTTAGATTCATTTATAAATACAAAGCAAAATAAATAAACTAGATTAACTTAATAATTCAGTCAGCATACAACTATGTATTGGATTGTGTATACCCTGAATGTCTTGATAATTATCTGTTGTAATTGTCTGCTTACGTCACATATTGTTAAGTTAGAAATAAAGAGCGGGATGACTTTGTCTATGTAACTGATACGTATTATATCTAGAGATGCCAGAACGGTATAGCAGGTATAGGAAACATGACAGAACTAAGGTAAAGAAATGTGGAGTTTTTATTCGAACGACAACTTCTGGAAAACATGTCATGACGCGTAAAAACACTCAATGGCCTCTATATTATGCATTTATTATACTACACATCCAGTAATGTTACGTAGGTAGACGGCTGATGATCTAGGTTGTGAGACGAGTATTTACGCTGACTTCCAATTATGGCTTGCTCTTCGTGATATCCGATGGAGTTTGTACATTCAATTGCGTTTCCTCGATCTTCTCTATGACGTTAGGTCCTGTTTTTGATTCCAAATCATTCTGAACAGGCTGGAGTGTTTGTTAGATAATCCTCGTAGCTAACAAAACCCACATCAGAATGAGACTCGGATAGTTCTTTTAAGTATGCAATATCGAGTGAAAAGGTCAAAATTGCGAAAACTCCTGCACCCAGAAGATTGTAGATGATAAGATTGATAGCGATATCATCTTGATGGTAGACAAAGAATGCTTTGAATGCCTTAAAAACGACGATTGGAACGAGTATTATCAAATATACAGCTCTTCTTATTAGGAGCCTATCTGATTCTGCAATCATCTGAACAGCGTAATCCTTTTTATATATGATGCGACGGAAGATATGCTTGGCTTCTGTCATTGCCAATGCGCCATAGTAAACCCCTGATAAATACTGAATAGGTTTAGTTAATATCATACTTACATGAAGTGTGTTTACTCACGAATCCTGCAACTGACATAAAATTATTTCCCTTAAATGACATAGCATCGACGTTTATCTGGTTATAAACTTAATAGCATTTTCATGTTGCTTAACTACTCACCCAAAACTGCCATATACCGTAAAGTATACCTAGTTTTATTGAGAATCAAGTTTCGAATGTAGCGCACTCACAAGCAGACAATCCAGCCAAAGATAAACTGTCTAGGGTCCCACAGTAGCATCTGCGTACTAATTTCTGCACTCTTTTCGTCATCATTTTTTCCGTCATGGCGGACGTAAAATAAGATAAGAGATTATACATTCACTTATAGCACAAAGCGGACATAATTAATCTACCTTGAGTCAATAATCTAATCGGTACGTAGCTGCTTATGTGTTAAATGTATACTGAATGTCTTGGTATTGTCTGCTTATGTCACATCTTTAAACTGAACTGCATCATGGTTCTGTTTATGTATCTGATAATTTTCAAGGGATGTGAGAAAAATACATTCGTAACAGTAAAATCCGGCAGGACTATTGCAAAGAAATATGAGGACAAGTGGTTAACTGACGACGATTCTGGGCACGTGTAATCGAGTTGCAATTAGGAATATACACAATAATGTCTTTTATGCATTTATTATACCATACATACAGAAATCTTACTTAGTTATTTGGCTTGTGAAGTAGGTTCTGGGTCGAGATTATTAGCACTGTCTTCACCTGGTGGTTTGTTGTTCGTGCCATTTGGTGCTGTTTGTATACCTGAAAACTTCCATACGATTTGCTTAATGGCCTCTAATCCTGCTCTTGATTCCAAATCATTTTGAACAAGCTTAATTGTTTGTTAGCGAATTACTTTTAATTAGCAAACTCACGTCATGAAAATCCTCAGAGTGTTCTTGTAGATACGTAATATCAAGTAAATAAGTGAAAATTGCGATAGTTCCTGTAAGTAAAAGATGATAAATGATGTAATTGACGGCAAGAGCAGCTTGCAGATCTACGAAAAACGCTTTCGATGCCTTAAAAATGACAGCTAAAGCGAGTGCAATCATATATATAGCTCTGCCGAATATCAATTCATTTGGTTTTTCAACTATGCAGACGGCGTTGATTTTCTTGTACCTGATACGACAGAAGATGTATTGAATTTCTGAGAATGCAACTACACAATATTGACGCCCTATTAAAAACTAGAGTAGTATATTTAGTATTATACTCATATGAATATGTTTACTCACAAATCCTAGATATGATCCGGGAGTGAATTCTGTAAAGAGACTGTATCCATATGGCTGATTATGAAGTCAATGAGGCTCTTTGTATTACATAATTCACACACATAAAGTTGCCATAAACAGTAAAATATAACTAAATTTATTGAGAACTAGCATTTCAAATGTGACATACTCACTGGCGATCAATCCAACTAATGATAATCTATCTACAGGACCACAATAGTATCTCCTTACCAAAAGTTGCACTTTTTTCGTCACTGGTGTCTCCGTCATGGCGGACGTAAAATAAGATAAGAAAATATACATTCACATATAACATAAAACAAACAAAAAAAAAAAAGTTTTGCTTGAGTTCGTAACTTAGTCAACATATGGCTGCCCCTGTGTTCATCTGTATACTGGATGTCTTGCTAATTGTCTGCTTGTGTCACATGCCGCTAAGTTAGATTTAAACTGCCTGATTTTGTATAACCAACTTATACCTACTGTCTCAACAGATGGAAGAAAGGTAAGCAGGTGTAGGAAACAAGACAGGACTATATTAAAGTAATGTCAAGTTTCGTATTCAAGTGAAAACGTCTGTAGCACACGTCACGGTAAGTAAAAATACTTGATGGCGAATACATTATGCATTTGTTATACCATACATCCAGAAATCTTACGAATTGAGTTGGCTGATGATATAGGTTGTGAAACAAGAGTATTAACGCGGGCTTCCACTTGTGGTTTGCTCTTCGCGATGTTCAATGGAGTTTGTACATTCAGTGGCTTTTCCACGATTTTCTCTATAGCATTAAGTCCTGCTTTTGATTCCAAATCATTTTGAACAGGCTGGAGTGTTTATTAGAAAATCCTCATAGTTCGCAAAACCCACATCGGTAGAAGACTCAGAAAGTTCTTGTAGATATGCAATATCGAGTGAGAAGATCAAACCTGCAACAATTCCTGCACTTAGAAGATCATAGATGGTAAGGTTGATTGCGATATCATCTTGGTGGTTAAGAAAGAATGCTCTGAATGTCTTGAAGATGACAACAAAAGCTACGATTAACAGACGTACAAATCTGCCTAATATCAGTTTGTCTGAGTCTGCGACTATCTGGTCAGCGTAATGTTTCTTATATCTAAGGCGGCAGAAGACATGTTTGACCTCTGCGATTGCAAATGAGCCATATTGAATTCCTGCGATGTACTGAATAGTTTAATTAATGCTGTACTTCTATGAAGTATGTTTACTAACGGATCCTGCATCTGCCATAACAGTATTCCTATTAAATGACATACTATTGAAACTTATCTGATTGTAAATTTAACAACAGCCTGTTCTTGTTATTTTTACTCACGTACGTCTGCCTTGTAAGGTAAAATAAACCTGAATGCATTTAGAATTAGCGTTCTAAGTGTAGCATACTGACAAGCTATTAATCCAACTAGTGATAACCTAGCTAGAGGCCCACAATAGTATTTCCGTACTAGATTTTGCACTCTTTTCGTATCTCTTGTATCCGTCATGGAGGACTTATAATAAGAAAAGAAATCATACATTCATTTATAAATACAAAGCGAAAACAAATAATTTAGCTTAACTTAATAATTTAGTCAGCATATAGCTGCCTCTGTGTTAGTCTGTTTACTGAATGTCTTGATAATTGTCTGTTACGTATCGATAAGTTAGAACTAAACTGCATGGTGGTTCTGTCTGTTTAAATTGAGATTGGATGAACTTGCATCGTTATGGAAAGGTACATCTTGGAATTCTTTGTCCTCTCTATAATCCTTGGCGTCGTAAGGAGGCGCGGCATCTGTAGGATATGGTGGCACATAATCTGGCTGGTTGCGACTTGGAGCGTACGACAGAGTAGGCGCATAGCGTAGGTTAGCCTGCAATGGATATGCTTGTGGCTGCTGTGGCTCATTCTCCTTCGGAACCTGTAGGTGGAGTTAGACTATTTACAGCGACGAATAAAGCCGAACTAACGTGATACGCATTATTTTGCAATTGATTTTTGTATCTCCACCACAAACCTATGAATATGATAGCCAAAACGATGATAACAGCCATCCAAATCGCGTGTACCCATACACCGCGACTCCAGTCGTCGTTACAGACTAGATTGCGATGAGAGATCGCTTAATATAATAACAAAGAACTCACAATCATCGACTCTCGTTTGATCGTCCTCATCTGACAATCTATTCTTGCAGTGGTCTATGCTCTCACTCTTGAGCTTAATGTGCACGATTAAGGCAGCGATTTCGAGTGAGGATATGATAAAACCAGCGCCAATGATAGATTTAGCATATAAAGCCACAGTACGAGGTGATTTCTGTTGTTAAAATATAAGCGGTGCATCGTGTGAGTATAAAAAGATAACGCACTTTAACTGCTACGATGATACCGAAGAGCTCAAAGACGCTTAAACCGAGGTATATAGCACCTAAAGCGATATCTGCTGTACGTAATTCAGATGCAGAATCAGTGCTATCTTTGAGTAAAGAAGCGCCTCTAACTACGCAATAAATCAAGCCTACAAAGCTCACAAAGATTGCTAATGGTCTTAAGGAGTGATTAAAACTATTGTTCATTCTCTGCATTACGCTATTGTAGCTTGGTGGGCTTTGATAGTTTGTCGCCATCGTGATGGTATGACTTCAAGAAGTATGTGATAGGTCTGCGGTCGTTACCAAATTTGGTAAGCAATAATAAAAGCTTAGATAGTTTAATCTATGTTAGACTTTGTATCTGGAGATATAAATATACTGGTATGCTAATTTTAGGGATGTAGATAATCGATGAACAATGAAGTAATATTTTTAGATAGAAATAACAAATAAGCGTTTAAAGCGGACAATTGGGGGTTTCACAATTAGAGTGTTTAATATAACGAATACAGGTGGAGATATTGCGAATCTAATTAATTTGTATAATAAAACTACTATATACCTTTATACAGACGGATATATCTCTTAGCTTACAACTACCACAATGTCTACGGTATCAAGATACATTGAAGAGCATAAAGACGCATTTATTAAGAGATTAAGAGAGGCCGTTGAGATCCCATCAGTCTCCGGTGAAATAAAACGTAATAGCCTCATAAGTGTCATACTCATCTGACGTCTTCATATAGGCAGGGACCAGGTTATCCGTATGGGACACTGGTTGAAATCTCAATTGGAAGAACTAAACGCTGATGTTAAACTTATCGATATCGGCACTCAAGAGTTAGAGGGAGAGACCATCCCACTCCCCCCAGTCGTGTTTGCACAAGTTGGCAACGACTCAAACAAGAAAACGCTTACTATTTATGGGTGCGTATTACTTATGATACTATAATTGTATAGCTTACTAAAATCAGTCACTACGACGTTCAACCAGCCAACACAAGCGACGGCTGGGATTCTGAGCCATTTGAACTCACAATAGAAGGTGATTTGATGAGAGGTAGAGGCTCTACAGATGGTGGGTGATTACACTTTAATAATTATACATACTCATACGGAAGTAGACAAAGGACCAATCGTTGGATGGTTGAACACCTTATCAGCATACAAAGAAACCAAGACACCACTTCCTGTAAACATTAAGTTTGTTTTCGAAGGTATGGAAGAATCTGGCTCTGAAGGTCTCGACGAGCTTGTCGTCAAGGAAAGTCAGGGCTTCTTAAAGGGAACAGACGCCGTTTGCATTTCAGACAACTATTGGCTCACAAACCGCAAACCAGCATTGACATATGGTTTGCGCGGTGTTTCTTACTTTGAAATTTGTGTCTCCGGTCCAAATGCTGATCTCCACTCTGGTTAGTGTCTTACAAGTCTATTGTTCTATGCTCAATTTCATAGGTGTATTCGGTGGTACTGTCCACGAACCAATGACAGATCTCATCAAGGTCATGGGTACTCTTGTCAACACAGATGGCAAGATCACGATACCAGGATTATACGAAATGGTTCAGCCACTCACAGATGAAGAGTTAGCCAGATACAAGGTCAGTTAGGATTTATTCGATCGTACTACTCACTAAAAATGCATTAGAACATGGATTTCGATGTAAAGGAATACCAAGACAGCATCGCATCAAAGCCAATTACCGTCTCAGATGATAAGGCAACGATCCTCATGAACAGAATGAGATATCCATCTTTGTCATTACATGGTATCGAAGGTGCATTTTATGGCGGTGGTGCAAAGACCGTAATTCCAGCAGGGGTCAAGGGTAAATTCTCTATCAGAACCGTACCAAATATGGACATCCAAAAGCTTGAAGAACTTGTCAAGAAGCATTTGAACAGCGAATTCGCTAAACTCAACTCACGCAGCAATTTCGAAGTCGTACAACTTTCAGCAGGTCCTGCATGGGCAGCCGATCCAAACCATTGGAATTTCCGTGCTGCAGCTAAGGCAGTCAAGTCTGTCTTTGGTGTGGAACCAGATGTGAGTAAATGTTGAGATTTCGAGTGAAAGTTTAATAAACGAATAAAACAGCTCACCAAAGAGGGTGGTAGTATACCAGTTACTCTCACATTCGATGAAAGTCTCAAAGTAAATGTCTGCTGTGGGTTTATTCCTTGGCATAACTCTACTCTCTAATGATGAACAGTGTTGCCAATGGGCAGATCTGACGATGGTGCACACTCAACCAACGAGAAGCTCAACATTTCTAACTTCATTGAGGGCACAAAGGTCTTCGCTGAATATCTCGAGAATGTTGCAACTCATGACTAAGATGAATTAGATGAATACTGAATGGATTGCACAATAATGAACATTATATATACTACCTCCTGTATAACATGGGATGTATTGTTGCTTTAAAATAATTAGTGTGCTGTTTATAGATATCCGAGCATCTTATATCCCTATAATTGCGTACAAACATAGTAAGTATCTACCTTCTGATATGTCCGTTGAGCATCGAGATTAGCATCTTGAATGTATTTTGCATATACATTAAGTACCTTCAATCCAAGGGAGTAGGTTGCCATGCTGTATATGATAGTATATCTGAAATACGAGACACCTAGACCCTTTGGGTAATGAGTGTACGAAAGCGAGTAATGAAGGAAGTTATGTCTTGGAATAGTGATACTCCTTATAGAAGTATACTATTTTAGATAATTGTAATCATTCATGTCTCCGTCTTTATTGTTTATATTCAACAATCATTAAATAACTCTTTGCTAATATTTAAAATTTCTTATCGTACTAATGATGTCATCAGCAATCTGACCTCTTTGACAACGATATAGTCTGAATTGACTTTTTGAAGCTTTCCTAGATGTCAACTGTCTTTATTGTATTTAATTTTACTTTTATCTTCTTTTGGAAATATGAGTTATTTTTTAGTTAATAGACCATGTCTTGTAGTACCGAGAGATTAACGCATAAAGAGCGTTACTTCAAACATTATTGAGAAGCTAGCAACTTGGAATGCAGCGGATGGGTACCATCTTCATTAATTTGTTGCGTCAGTTTCTGTTCTAGGTGGTACCTTGAGGTTTCATAAAGTATCTGATAAGGGTCGTTGATAGCACGCGAGAAAAACACGCAGCTGTTTCATATGAGATCTGAATGATTCACTTATATTGCAGGTGGTGTTTTGAGTGCTTTTGTTTTCTGAACAGATTTAAAACATTCAACATGAACTTCCAATCAGTATCAATTGTATGCCACCCTTGATGCCACGAAGTCAACTAGATTATCACATCCCACCCACATGTTTAGAAAACCGAGCCATCCGGGCTTCCAAATGTGAAAGACGGCTATGTATTCAAAGGATGAAAACTTGTGTAGGATTCCATGTAATTATTCCAATCTTATGTGTCTTTAACCAGTTCAACATCACATTACGTTTAATTTGACTAACTGGGTGATGAATCAGTTAAACGAATGAAATTTCAGGCAAAAACGATGAGAAGATAATGAGTATCACATAGAGAGTATACATTAAGCAGTTGACTTCCTAACTTTGGAGAAGTCCAGGACTCAAACCAATAAGACATCCTTTCTAAGAAGTAACAGAATTACATTAGCTTTTGCACTAAACGGTAGTATACAGAATATATTCACGATTTTAAATAGTTGTATCATAACCTAGTGAGAATATTAAAAGATTATACGGCGTGTGTTGATATCATCACGACATGAATCGTGTCAACTATCAGATGTACTACATTTCCACTTAAAATAACAGACCTAGACATACAATATCCAAAAATAATCACTAAAATTAATTAGTTCTATGCAATTAAATACAAAAAGTTCTATAACTCATGCTTTTGTGGTCTTTCGCCGAAGAGCAGCGAACCAACTCTTACGAAATCCGATTGATAATCCAAAGCCCGAATGTAATCAGCAGACATACCCATTGAAAGTTTCAAATTCAAACCATGACGCTGATTGAGTGTGTTGCGAGTGTCTACAAGTCTCATGAAGTCGTTATTGACCTCACTATCAGCTGTAGATTCTTTAAGACTACCTATCGTCATTAATCCGATTAAATTGAGATGCTTAGACTGTTTGAGGAATGCTATCAAATCGTCTAACTCGCTCGAATGATTACCCAAACCGCCCTTATTGTCCTCATTAGAAGTGTTTATCTGTATAAATATATCAAGCTGTTTAGTTAACAGCTCATCCAACTTCTTCGCGTGTGAAAGTTTCTCCAATGTTTGAATCGATTTCAAGTTCGGTATAGCGGCTAATGATTTGAGTTTGTTAGATTGTAGTTTACCTATGAAATGCCACTTTATGTCACTGCCTTGTAACTCCTTACTCTTGCGTTCTAGCTCTTGTATATAATTCTCACCGAAATCGGTCTGGTGATAACTCAAAAACTCTTTTATCTTACTAACTGGTTGGTATTTAGAAACCGCTATGAGTGTAGCGGTGGATGATTTTTTATTTATGTTCTGTCGTACATCCAGAAGCCTCTCTTTCAAAGACATCGTCGTCATCAACAAAGAATGATCGATCTCTATTTCCTAGCTATTTTGCTATGGCGAGTTATTCTCTACATTTTCTTTAGGGAGATAAAACCTAGGGGTGTCCACAATATACCAAAGAAGAACACCCCAGTGATCTTCGTCGCTGCACCCCATCATAATCAGTTCTTGGACGCTTTACTGCTTTCTTCTGAAGTAATAAGAGCGTCAAACAGGAAGTTAAGCTTTTTAACGGCTGATAAATCCATGAACAGGTTCTTCATCGGTGAAATGGCAAGAGCTATGGAAGCTATACCTGTGAAGAGGGCAGCAGACGACGCAAAACCTGGTATTGGTACTATTTACATGAAATCCGGTCAAGCTGATACAAAAGTTTACGGTTTAGACACTAAATTCACCTCTCAATTGGAGCCAAAAATGTCTATCAGTTTGTCAAACAGCCTTGGAGGGGCTACAGCTGAAGTTCTAGAAGTAATTAGTGATACTGAGTTGTCACTCAAGAAACCACTTAATAAGGATATTGCTGTAAATGCTTTACTATCGGTCGGCGATTCACATCCCCAACAAGCGATCAAATATAAAGTCTTACCTTTCATTGACCAAGAGCAAATGTATAAATCTGTCTATGATAAACTAAAATCGGGCGGTTGTATTGGTATCTTCCCAGAAGGTGGTTCACACGATAGATCAGATTTGTTGCCCCTCAAAGCGGGTGTTACTGTCATGGCATTAGGAGCAATGGCCGCAAACCCTGATCTACAAGTTCAAATCGTGCCTGTAGGATTATCTTATTTCCATGCTCATAAGTTTAGATCGAGAGCTGTCATCGAGTTTGGTGCCCCAAGAGCTGTACCGAGAGACTTAGTAAATTTATTCAATCAAGGTGGTCAAGATAAGAGAGAAGCATGTAAGGATCTCCTTGAGATCATCTACGACGGTCTTAAAAGTGTCACTGTTCAGGCTCCTGATTATGAAACTCTAATGGTCATCCAAGCTGGTAGAAGATTATTCAAAACACCAGGTCAACATTTAACACTCGGTCAAGTTGTTGAATTGAATAGAAGACTTATTGCAGGTTATTTACAATATAAAGATGATCCCAAAATCCAGAAAATCCGCACACGAATTCTCAAGTACAACAGGATGCTTCAGGATTTGGGTATACGTGACCATCAAGTTGAAGCGGCAACAAGAAAGAGTTGGAAAACATTAGGATTGCTACTCTATCGTATTGAGTTATTAACAATATGGGGATTACTTGCATTACCTGGTGCTGTATTACACATACCTGTCTTCTTTATCGCAAAGATCATCAGTCATAAGAAGGCAAAAGAAGCACTTGCGGCATCAACTGTCAAGATAAAAGCCAGGGATGTTGTGGGTAGCTGGAAAGTCCTCGTCAGCTTAGCTTTGATTCCACTGTTATACACGATTTACGTTATTCTCGCAACTTACGTCGCTAGAACCTATGGGGAAGAACTCGGACTTTCAGAGTTTGTCATAAAGTGGTCTCCAATTTGGGCGCTTCTCTCACTTCCATATTTGGGTATCTCGGCTCTCAAGTTCGGTGAAGTTGGTATGGACGTATATAAATCCCTTCGACCATTATTTGTCAGTTTATTACCATGGAACGAAAAAGAATTAATGAAAGTGAAAGTTATGAGACAAGATTTAAGTAACGAATTGGCTGATATAAGTGAGTCTTGATATTTCAAGAAAGCGACGACTAACGGCACCCTCAGTTGACGAATACGGACCTAAACAAATGGAAGATTTTGAGAAAATGAAGGTCCTTCCGAGCGACGTTTCACAACCGAAAGTCGAGCAAAGTCAATCGCCATTTCAATGGCTTGATGAGATGTTGTTTGGATGGTCTACAACGAAAAGATCTACGGATTCGCAACCTGATTCACGGACTGATGATGTAGGCTCAAAAGAACAGGTGAACAAACCACCTACGAATGTTTTAGAAGAGGGTGATTTCGACACCGTCGTATCCTTCCTCGATACGTCTATAACGAAAAAGAAAAATAACTAAGAGTTATTTGTAATTGTTTATTGTTTTGTTTTTAGCATTTTGCATTATTTTGACTGGCTTATCTTGTGTCATCATCAATGCCGCTGAAGTTAGCACATCATAAGTAAGAAGGCTATGGTATATAGGCCACTGCTCTAAACTACTAATAGATCTTACCACCCGTATAACGCTGCTAACATCGAGCGTGTGCGTAAAGACGAAGAGAAAGCCCACCTTGAACGTGAATTGGAAGTATCAATAAACAATAGCAATGTGGGTAGCTATATCGCTTCTAAAGTAACGATCTAAAGTTACCCAGGAATCAAAGAACAGATTAGATAAATTGCGCAATAAACCAACTAATCCTGATAATAGAGAACACAGATCTGAGCATATAAACTTCTGGTCAGATTTGGAGAAATCAGCGAACGAAAAGGGTAAAGCAAAGGATGAATTCCCAGATATGCAGCTTCAGAGACCCTCCGCGAGGTGGTATGACAGTCAGGACGACAGAGCCCACGCCCGAGATGCAGAACCTCAGAGGAAGCGTTTCAGGAATGACAAGTAGGCTTTTACTATTCTTAAAAATCTAGGCTAATCTCGAACAGAGACGGCGACACTAAACTCAAAGATACACAAGATCCGCTGAATATCATGAAAGAAGCAACCCATGAGCTTGACAAACGCTCTAAAGTTTCCAAACCCATACGCAACTCGCACAAGATGTCCAAACGAGAGAGGAGGGAAGAGAAAGAGAGACAGCGTGCACGTCAGTTGTAGTTATTCTTAAGTTTACAGTATTGTATTTCTAGATCCATACAAGAACACCCATCCATACGAGCTGGAAGCAAGCGATGATGAACAGAAACTGGAGTCTGCGTCGGCGTTCTGAGGAGCCGACAGAGACTAGCGTGGCGGCCGATGCTGATGATGCGTCTGGGAGGAGAACGTATTTCAGACTCCTGAGCTGTAAAATGTAAGCGTAACCACATAGCTAAGGAAATACACACCAAAAAGAATCCTTGTGCTGCGAGACAATAGAGGAACACGGCGTAGTAGACGAATCTCCAGGATGGGAAGAACAGCTTGACGGCAAGGGGTGGGAGAACACTGACGAATTTGTAACCACAGTATGACATGAGTTCGACGCTGCCACTGACGCCAGCTGACCAGCCTGTTTCTGCACTAGCGCCTGTTTCGACACCAAGAAGATAGCAAATGAGTTTGATTAGGGCCAGTTCAGTGAGTGCAATGGCAAACGAAACCGAGGCTCTACCACCTAACACCTCCGGATGGAATCTATTATGTATACCTGCATATATTGCTGCTAAAATGATGTAAGTTACGACAGACATGAACGGAATGTACAGATCTGGTGAGTTGACATCCTGCCTAGGGGAGAGGTATCCAGCAGTGATTGGTGCGCCGTCTGGAGCGAAAGTCTCATTTCTCGTACGCATCCAGCGTTTGTGTGTCCATGGGAAGCAAATCAGACGCAATTTCGCACCTACATAGGCTGTACTGACGTTGAAGAGGCTTTTAACAATTGGCAGAGGTAAATGGCGTGCGAGATTTCTATCTACATAATCGTGCCCTGCTGCAAACGCGGACTTGCCGAATTGAATTCCCATTTGTGTCGTGCCATCGTTCAAATTGAATGGCTGCTGGTATTGTTGCTGCTGATAAGCGAACTGAGGCTGCTGAAACTGTTGCTGCTGGTATATATTATCTGTCTGTGCATTTGTATTCTGATAGTGGGATGGATTGTAAGGGTCGCTGTCGTATCCCGGATGGCTGTCTAGACTCCCCCGCGAGTCCTTTGCGAGGCTGTCCGGCGTCAATGGCGGCTTAAACGCGTGTTGTGGTACTGGGTGCTGTAGTGGTACCTGCGAACTCGTTGCGTACATTTGAACGTTTGGGAAGAAGTCACAACTCGTTCGTCCAGGACGGCCATTTGGAGGAATAAAAATAAAAAATGTCGTTCTACAATCAAGACAGCAGCAGTAGCGACGACGATATTCAGATTTGCTGGCAGGCCAGCCAGTCCAACTTATTACATCAGCTCGCTGGTACTCAAATGAGTGGGTGAATGTCTCTATATACAACGGCTTATTAACAATTTACTAGCTAGGCTACCCCCACCACCACCACCACCGATATCGCCTCCTAAATCTTCACCTGCACCCTTGTCACGCAAGTCGAGGAGTTTCACCCGCGATAGATCGCAGCAGTTCAGGCGTACGCGGAGTTCGCGCTCACATGTGGCTATACCCCAGCCAGCTCCTATCGACGACGTGGGTACAGACAGGGACGATTCAGAGTGCGAGAGTTCCAAACCTAAGAGACAAAAGATATCAAAACAGAGCACAGAGTTAGATATCTTGATAGAGAAAGTATCAGCGAGGCTGAAACGTGAGAGGAGTTCAAATTCATCAGTACAGGAGTGTCAGTCGAGTTACACAACAGATTCTATACCACCACAGCCACAGAATAGCACAAACACGCTGTCTTCCCTATCGTCACAGTCGACGAGGATACCCAGACAGATAGCTACCCGCACTATCCCTTCGCAGACAGCCAACCAGCATTTCAAAGCACCCGAGAGAGTCCATCAGAATAGCAACTTCCCACCGCAAGCACAGGTCAGGGCAGAGGGCAAGGCAAGTTGCATACCTGCGAAACGCGAACGATCACCTGAAATGGCACTCCCGAAAGTGAAACATGAATACTCACCCGACACTATCGAGGCGAAACCAACAATTCTTGAAGACGATGATAGGCAGGATATCAAGCCAAAGCAGGAAGACAAGATACCGTCATCAGACGGCGCAGACTACAGCTGTGGGGAAGATTTCGATGTGGACATCCTTGAACAAGTTTGTGCACAATTCGACTAACGCTATTTATTATAACTATATCTATAAGTTTCTATATCTATACACATTGCTAATATTTTGGCAAATCTATAACGCCACCTTTGTTGCACCAGTTTGATAGCTCGGGCGTGACTTTTATTTGACATCCGAGGCGAGATCTAAGTTCATCATAGCCAATGGCATACTGAAGCATGTCATCCTCCTCGTCTTTAATTTCTGGGAGGAAAGATGCAGCTTCGGCGCTATCTTGCTCTGGGAAGTACATATGACAGGTCGCGCATTCGAGCTTTCCATCACAGACACCCTCGACGTTACCTAGACTTTCCCTGCGTCCGACATTCATTAGGGTTTCGCCAAGGAGAGCGTCTACGACGTGCGTTTCACCCTCCGCATCCCTAAAACGAAGTTTAACAATATCACTCTCTTCAGCATGTATTGCTTCTTTCACTTCTGCACCGCCGTTATCCAAATCTAGACTACGTGCTTCTGCCGCTTTTACAGCCTTTGCGGGGTCATAACCCAGTCTTCCACGCCAATGAGGCCAATGTATCGCACCGTTTACGACGTTGGTGAGGAACTTGTCGCTATCCCATGGACGTAAATTACCATACCAGTCACCACTTGGGAAAACAAGTGCGTTAGCTGCCCATCTGAAACTTATTAGCTTTGTTTACCAAAAAGCATTATGACTCACTTGTGGCCACCGATGTGTGATATCTCATAGAGGTGTACTTTATCACTTAGACCGCGTTTTAATACATCTTCGCGTAGCTTTTGTATCGTAGGTTCACCCGCTTCTGCACAACGACAATCTCTACTGCCGTGTGTACAAATGTATATGTGGATATGATCATTCTTTGGACTCTTATTGAGCTGTTCTATTATTTGAGATGTTGATCTCCCATCTGTAGCTCCCATACTTGGATATATTTGACAATCTTGGTTATCGTCAGCGTTTGGATTGAAAGCTAAGCCAACGAGGACGCCAGCTTGCTTGAGATCTTTATTGATAGCGAGATCGTCGTATTTACTAGAAATTCCAAGCACTTTGCTTGGCCATTCTTTCGGCGGTACTCTAGTGTGGACTATCAGATGTCCATCATGAGCAGGACTTGATCCAGCTAATGGAGAAGGGTCGAATGGCTCAGCTTGCAAACTATAGAGTCGCCGACTAGCGTTTTGTAGCCTCAATGACGATCTAATTCTGAGCATTTTATTGGATGATAACTCAAAAGAAGACAAAATAATTTTTAGAACTAAATGATAATGAATAAATTAATTTTCTATATATTTCACATTCATGCGCCACCCTTTCTTTTCTTGCGTTCCTTTCTCTTACGTCCGATGACATTTCCAAGTTTGGACTTCTCTGTATCATTCTCGTCTTCCTTCTTATTGGCCGGTTTGCCATCCTTCTTGGACTTCTTCTGTGGCTTTTCTTCTTCTTCTTCTTCTTCCTCGCTTTCATCCTCCTCAGCTGCCTGTTTTTGTTGTCAGATAAGTCATATAGATAGGGCATTATCTTACTTTTCTCTTGAGTGCTCTATTGCGGATGGCCTCAGCTTTCTCCGCTCTTCTCTTTATGACTTGAACATTCTCAATAGAGAATTCAACCATCAATGTACCGCGGGACTCCTTCAATTGATCTCCTTTGGCTTTCTCGAGGCGTTCTTGTACACTCTTCAGTTTAGCGCGCTCTTCATCCTTCTTCTCACCTTTCGCGGTTGCTATCGCTTCAGTGTGTCTCTTTTGAGCTTGCTCGAGTTCTTCTACCAACCAGATCTTCATGAGATTCGTCACTTCATTATTGTTGTTGGCGTATCTCAAAACTCTCAGGGCATTCTTGTGGTTGCTCATCTCCAGGAAACCATAACCTCTGGACCTTCCCAGCCCAGTTACCGAGTCCACTCTGTCAGTTTGCCTGACGATTTTTGATTGAACAACGGCAGTTGGTCTGCCTTTATATCCTTTCTTTGGATCCTTGACACCTTCAGATTCGGTCATATCTTCGAGTTCCTCTCGAGAGAGCGCTTCTCTCTCTCCACGTGATACTTCAACTTCGAATTCCTTAACAGCATGGAGAGCTAATCTTTTAAGTACTCTATCAGTAACGAACAATGGTATCTGACGGATTGAGAGTCTTGTCTTGGAGATATACAACGATGGATTGCTTTCGAGTAATTTGCGTCTTGCATTAAATGACTTCATACGTCTCTCTTGATCAGCTTCACTTAAGGTGGAACCAGCTGGGCTATTAGGGAAAATTACACCCTCTCTAATAAGGTAAACATTACGTTTATCTTTCTTGTGTTTGATTTTATCACCTTCTTCTTTCTTTTCAACCGCTTCATCTCTAGATACAGCTTTAATGACGTCAAGGACACGTCCTTGAAGTGTCAAGCGTTGGGCACTCTTGGATGTTGGATCAGCAGTTAAAATAGATGATGTCTGGAATGGATTCTGTTTCATACTATCTTGTTGGTTTGTACCTGTCGTAGCTCTTACTATCTCAGCGGTCTTCAAGCACTCCTGGGCATCTTTCATGTTCCAGAATGCGACGAAACCGTTACCTCTTGAACGTTCAGTTTCATAATCCATCGTTACTCTTGCGTATCTCAGTTTACCGAATTTTCTGAAAACGTCATAAAGATCTTCTTGGGTAGCTTCGAATGGAATGTTACGAACAAAGAGAGTGAGACCATCTTCGAGTGGAGGTGCTTTTGCTTCCTCTTCATCATCCTCATCTCCACTCTCTTCTGTACCGGATTCGTTCTCTAACTCTTCCATTATTTCGTCGTCGTCGATCTCAGAATTCTCTGGACTTTGGTCCTCATTTTCTTCTTCTTCCTCCTCGTCTTCAGAGCCAGATTCGTCTGATTTATCGGAAGCATCTTCCATCTTCTCATCGTCCTTCTCGCCTGCCTTTTCATCCTTTTCTTCGGCCTTTTGTTCATTTTCCCATTGATCTTTCGATAAAGCCCAATCAACAGCTACAGGGCGTGATTCAATATCCTTAGCAATTTTCTTTCTTTGTTTCTTCGTACCGCCCGCTGCTGCGACGTCTGCCTCTGAGGTAGCTATCTTGACGGACTTTCCATTCATACCATCGATAGCTTTTTGAGCATCGTGATAGAAAGTGTACCAAACGAAACCATAACCTTTGTTATGTAAACTTCCATCCTTCGCCTCGATAGTTGGTAAAGTTATTGAGTGTATATCACCAAACGGTATAAATGTCGCCTTGAGATCATCCCTCGTGATGTTGAAATTCAAATTACGGACAATAAGACGTGATCTTCGACTGACTTTACCTTTACCACTAACTGCTGTTTCTAAGCGTTTCAATAAAACAGCTGATATCGTCTTGCCCTTGAAGATGTGAGCATGGAGTTTAGGAAGTGCCTTGTTGGCGATGCTTGGGGTTTCGAACTTAACGTGTGCTGCTAATAGTTAGAAAGTAGCGTTGGCAACTATATCAACCTACCAATATCATCATCCTTCAAGTCTACAGACTCGACATTACCAATTTTGCGCACTTTCTTATATATTTCCTTCTGAGTTACTCCTGTTGGTAGTCCACTCAGTACGACTGTACGAATCGCGTCTGGATCTTTGGCTGTCGAAACTTTTCTTGTTCGTTGTTTTTGCGTTTTCTCGCCTAGTACGTTTGAGAGTTCGTTATCCTTTGCTTGCTCTTTACGCTCTTTGAGTGTAGCTCTCTGTCTAGCCCATTCTACCCTGCATTTCCTCTTATCGTTACCTTCTCCAGTGATCAACTTGCCGTTCATCTCAGTAGACGCTGCTACGGCATCTTCACGCATGGCATATGTGACATATCCTACACCTTTTGATTCCTTCGTCTCATGATCTGCTACGACGAACGCAGATTTCACTGGACCGACATCAGAGAAGGCAGTCAAAAGCGACTCATTCGTGAGACTAAACGGGAGATTTGATATGAAGAGCGTAGATGAACTTGGTATTGTTAGTTTATCTCTCAAATTTATCTCTATTTCTTACCCTTCTTTACTCATCGACGTCCAAGTTAAAGATATGAGGCTGCTAACAAAATCTATATTCTATACAAAACAATCAAATTAATGCGAAATTGCTGAAATCCTCTGATGGTAAGAAAAATGCTTCTGTACCCGTGTTCGTCACACCCAAATCTCCAAGGTTAGTTTCTTGCAGCCAGAGAGGTAATTCTCCAGAGCTGCTCATTGGCAAGCTAAATCCTGGTCCCATTATACCATCACTGGTGAACGTCGATTGCGACGTTGGCGTTGACGTAGAGGTGTCTATTCCAATCCCATTCAGGAATGCAGGCGACCAGGGCTGCTCTTGTTTTACATCCAGGATTCCCCAGTTCACGTTGTCTGATATTGTGGTATCCGCCGGATTCTGCATAATACCAGTTGTTATAGGCGCATTGTTGTTTGTTGTTTCACCCGTTGTACTGCCGCCCGTCGCGCTCATCGGTACACGCATTACAGGTGGTAGCTTGCTTGCCTTTCCTAGCTCCGATGGCGTTGCCTGGCGCATACTTCTGTTTAACATCAACTTCAAGCTACGTCCATAACGACTAGCCGGTGCTGAACTTGTTAACTCAAATAGAACTTTCAAAACATACCACTCACTTTTGGATAACAAATCAGCTAGTATTTCAACCCTATTGAGAATACTCTCAAGTTGCAGATCTTCTGGGAAAAGTTTCGCTAGTCTGAGTAAGAAAGATCCTGCAAAGGCTGCGCAAACATGGGTATAGTGCACTGCAAACTTCAGGTTATTTCCGTATTCTCCAGGTTTTATACAAGCATCTAAACAATGTTGTGCTGCACCCATCGCTCTCTGTGCTATAGCTCTCTGTTCCATTGGCATATTTGCTATATCTGAAGGACCTCTGATACCTCTTAAAGCAACGGCATGATGAAACAACTCAGCATATTGGCGTTGCACATATAAACTTTGTATGAAAAACTGTTTGTCTGGGAATTTATTTTCTGTTTCATGTTAGAGTACTTAAAATCGTGTTAAACAGAAACTCACGAATATGTTCCTTCCAATTGTTAAACCATGAGCTGCGTCTTGTTAAACAACGAATCCAAAAATATACAATCTAACTTACTCAAATTCGACAGTAGCTAACCGCAAAGTTGCGAACGTATGTCCGTCGACTCTGGTATCAAATGGCTGAAGCTCATTGTGAACCTTCTCACGAATCTGTAAAAGTTCCATTGTACTAATCAAGCGCAAATCTGTTGGTGTTGCGAGTGGGTGGTTCAGAAGTATCCGCGAGTGACTGAGTGTACCTCTATCATCTCTCAAGAAAGCCGTTCTACCAGTGCCGAAACTGAGTCTTAGACAGGCATGAGCGGAATGTCTCGAAAATATTGAAATACCTACTGTTGCTCATGAATATAAAGACAAAGCCAGATCCTAACAGCAGCTACGATCTGTCGTTCATCTTCATCTGGTGGTGATTTTGGTACCTTATTTTGGCGTCTAACAAGCTTTGGAATGGCTTTATCTAAACCAACTTCGTAAGCAACTCTGACTGCATGGCCTCCTACGAGCCAAGAATTGTCCTGGAAAGCCGAGAAAAGGAGCTGAAAGTGTAAGTGGAAGTCTGATGAGAATGCGCAGCACCTACAAGAGCCTGGACAGCCTCTTTGCGAGTCATCTGCAAGAACATCGAATTCTTGGCGATATCTCTCGCTTCTCTTTGGCAATCGACGTAGGTTCTGCTAGGAGGACTGCCACCATCCCAGACCCTAGCTGCTACCATACAGATAACAGTAACACAGAATGGGGATCTTTTGCGAAGTTCCTCGTAGGTGTCATACGCTGGGTCAAAAAGTGGCAAAAATTTGTGGCATTCTTCAAAATACCTGGACCTTGTTAGTATACGCATGTCTATATTTGCCTATGCTCACGTCTTAAAGAGCTCTCTCGCAGTCGCCTCAGAAATGATACCTTTTGTGACCACATCTGCGTAAGCATGTGGTGGATCAGCCTTTTTTCTGCGCTTGTAGCGACCAGTGTGGTTAGAATCGATCTCCCTCTTCCTTGAAACATCTACTGGGTTATCCTGGGCTGTATTGGTCGTACTTTGTTGTAGTTTAGCTGGATGTTCTGACTTCTTTGCCTGCTCCTTAGCTTCCGTGGCAGCACGCTCAGCAGCAGCATCTGCTAATCCACGGAGGACTTCTATGGGTGCTACGAGAGCTGAAGAAGGTAACTCCTCCTCGTCGTCAGATGACGCAGCTGAGGTGACGGTTGAGTGAAAGTATTGACGTTTGCTCGAGTTCCTAGGAGAAGGGAGTGTAGATGGTGGCTGTAAGTGGTGTTGTGAAGATGGTAATGCGACGTTCATCTGTTGATGATCAGCTTGAGTACCTGGTTGTGGAGGGTGTCTCAGAGGTTGAATGGGGCGCTTTTGTGAGAATTGGTCGCTATTCGATGGCCACGCCGTATTTGATAGACTACCGGGTCCCCCGTAGGCAGAAGGAGAAACCACTGTTGGTGCCTTGTTTGATGTTCGGAAAAGATTGACCAACTCATACAAATTAGCACTCATAGAGGATACCTGTACTTCCAGAGAGCGTATCCGTTCAAGTCCAGCTTCTCCGATAGCCTGCGACTCCCTCGCCGGCTTTTCAAAGGTACAGGGGATGTTTGCTGTTTTACAACGCAAACAAGGTGGAGCTTCAGCGCCCTGGCAGCGCATTTTCTGTTTCCTGAGGATAATGTTAGGCAATAGACAGAGAAAAGTAAGAAAGTAGCTACCTGCAGCTATCGCAAGCTCCTAGGGAAAGTTAGAAAGGCAACAGAGGGAAAGGATAACGCACTAGCGACTCTAGTGACTGGCTTCTTTATCGAGTCCTCCTTCTTAGATTTTGATGACATGCGGAGATGATGATGGGGTGATTTTACACTCTTAGATATTAACTACGACGAGCAGGTTCCTAGATTTTTTAAAATGAGCATTCCATTTCCCACTATAGACGAGGATACTAGCCATACTTTCACTGCATTCCCCAGCATAGAAGAACCCAGACGGCCACTCAGAAACAAGAACAGACCAACAGCCTTCTATGGATCACCGAACCCGCGAGCACCCCCACAGCCATTCTCTAAGTCAGCTGCAAAGCGGGAATCCGTCATGGCACTCGGTTCCATCCAGCATTTGCAGCACCTCTACGCCAAGAATGGTTTAGCCAGTAAGGCGAGGTGTGTTCAAAGAAGCCTTCTAGACTTCACTAACGAGCTACAGACCATCAAACGTACGCGACGCTTCTGACTTGGTGCTCGCTCTCGGTCCCAGCGCAGCCGACGAGGGTATGCTAGAGCCACCACCGAGAGTTCAACTCCCACCCTCACCAGATCCTCCCATTTTGGATGCTCCCAATTGGAATAAGCCACAGTCACCGTCTGTCGCACCTCAAACAGACCCTGAACTTCTCAAACCAGCCGTTGAACGGGATATCCAGCTGATTAGAAAGTTATGGGCATTAGATGCTTCAGAAGATCAGACAGTCGATATTCTCCAACTATTGAAATCAACTACATCAGCTATTCGCTCTGTACAGCAATATGCGATGGCTTTACCATTAGACGACGTCTCTCCTTCAACGTCCTCGCAGGCTGCAATCGGCCATAGGAGATTACCAACTCTTCGTTCAATCTCCTACAATATTTCTACTGCGTCCCGTCAATTTAGAGCCCCAAACCCACGCAAGACACGCGCCTCATTGGGTTCCCCCAACCAGGGAGAACTTCTCGATCCACTCACTTTAGTTAGAAACAGTGCATTGGAGGTTCTCGCAGCTCTACAAGAGATTGAGGAGCGTTGTCGCGTCGACTCGAGCACGACTAATGACCATAGCGATAGTAATTTCTTTCTCTCAATCAATGATCAATCCCAATTGGAAACTTTGGAAACGGCAGAATACCACCAAAATGCTGATTCCTTCACTCAAATACCTACAATTGAGCAACCACCAGCTGAGCCCTCGGTGTCTAACAACCCCACTGGAAACACTATAGGAGCTACGTCAATCGCTACACATTACACAGGTAGCGGTAAACCTGTTCCTGTTTGGCAAGACTATGAAACTCCTGATATCAACACACTGACAAATGCTGAGGAAGCTGGTGATAGGCCATCTCGAGAGAGGTGGGAAGAGCGGCTCCTATCTTCAAATGGATACATATACAGATCTGACATAAACATCAAAGCAGATTTCGAAAAGGAGCGCAAAATAACGGCCAAGTATATTGCTTTAGTTGAGAAAATGTTCCTCGATACGAGTCAGACTGTCAGCACGAAGGCTAAACCACGACACTCAAGTCCAACAAGCTTATCATCACCATCAACCACTTCTGAAAGCCACCTTGATGATGCTTTGACTGATATGTCAATAAACAATAGCAATGAAAACGACGATGATAGTCACCTCCCAGAGTGGGCTCAGAAGACATTATACCAGAATGATCCATTAGGACGTCTATATGCTCTATTTATGAGCTATTTACCAAGTTCTCTCAAAATTCTTTTACCATCACCTTCAGAGGACCCATCAGGATTTATGGATAGGATATCCGACGGCCAGATGCTCTGTATTGTCTTTAATAATATCCTTCGTCGTTCAAGACGCCCATGGGGTTTCATACCACCCCAGGATATACACGATATCGTAGGCCTCGAAAAGGAAGAACTCGAAGCTAATGACGATAATAACAAATCAAAATCTAAAACAAGCTGGACTTTTAGACGTACTGACAACTTACGTATTTGGGCAGCGTGAGTATATTTTCGATTGCTATAATCTCACTTACAAATATACAGTGCACTAAAATTAAGATATCTAATATCACTTTCGCCTTCCATTTTACCAACTTTACCACACATATTGACGAATAAACCACCATCAATTGAAAATGGTGAACAGGATGGTCAGTCACCAATTATCGCTTCTCTCTTAGGACATCAAAAATCATCATTCAACGCTAAAGCCGTCGCTCAAAGGCTTGATGGATGGGAACAATCACTTGGATATGCAGCTGGACGATATCTCGAAGCTGTTGTACATGAATATAGACTACAGGAAGGATTAAATAATTGATACATGTATTGCACTTTCACTTTTTTCACATACCTATAAAATCTGAAAAATATATTGAAATTTGAAAATATACAAGTCTATACATTATAATATTTAAAGCATCTTATCATTTTAGTTCTCGCGTTCTTCTGGAACGAATTCCTTCCAAGACTTGACTTCTGATGGAATGTTACCCTCTCTGTAACCGTCTAAACCGCCAACTGGCATCTTCTTCTCAAGTGCTTCAACGAACAATTGAGCGAGTCTAGCATTGTTGAAAAGTGGTAAACCGAAGTCAACACAGTTACGACGTGCGACGTAATCCTCATCAACGGTATCCTTACCACGTGATTTAGCAAGGTTGACAACGAATTGAATTTCATGATCATCGAAAACTTCACGTAATTTACGCTTGTCCTTAGTTGGGAAGAAAATTCTCTTAGTTGGTGATAATCCTGATTCATTGAGGTGTGCTTCAACTGATGGGTTTGAACAGTAAATCTTGAAACCTAATTTAGTGAGTTTCTCAGAAACTGACTTCAATTCTGGTTTGTTGATGTCACCACCAACTAAAACACCTTTACCAGCTTTAGGAATACGGAAACCATTAGTTGATGCCAATGATGCCCAGTAAGCCTCGTGAATATCCTTACCGAATGAGGCGACTTCACCAGTGGAGGCCATTTCAACACCAAGGAATGGATCAGCACCTGCCAATCTAGTCCATGAGAATTGTGGGACCTTAATTGCGACGTAATCTCTCTTTTCAGCCATCAAATCAACTGGTTCTGGTACGTTCTTACCAACAATAGCAGCTGTTGCGATATCAATGAAGTTTCTACCGAGTACTTTGCTAACGAATGGGAAGGATCTTGATGCACGCAAGTTACATTCAATAACCTTGAGTTGAGGTTCTTCACCATTTTCACCAGATTTACGGATAATTTGCATGTTGAATGGACCAGAAATTCTGAATGCCTTTGCAACCTTCTGAGCAATTTCCTTGTAACGTGGCATTTCAGCGTCTGGCAATGAGAATGGTGGAAGGACGAGTGTTGCATCACCGGAGTGAACACCTGCATTCTCAACATGTTCTGAAACGGCGTGAACGAGTAATTCACCGTTGTGAGCGACGGCATCAACATCAATCTCTTGAGCGCTGTCAATGAATTGAGTGACAACAACTGGGTGATCTGGTGAAACGTTTGCTGCTGCAGAGAGGTTGTGCTCGAGTGTTGATTCATCGTAGACAACGTTCATGGCAGCACCAGAAAGGACGTAAGATGGTCTAATGAGTACTGGGTAGCCGACCTTGCTAGCGAAAGCTTTGGCATCTTCGAGAGTTGCTGCTTCAACCCATGCTGGTTGATCAACATTGATTGAATCCAAGACGCTGGAGAACTTGTGACGATCCTCAGCCATATCGATATCTTCTGGTGCAGTACCGAGGACATTGACACCTGATTGCTTAAGACGGAGAGCAATGTTTTGTGGAAGTTGACCACCGACGGAGATAATAACACCCTCCGCTTGCTCAAGTTCGTAGATATCCATAACACGTTCCCAGCCGAGTTCTTCGAAGTAAAGACGATCAGCTTCATCGAAATCAGTTGAAACGGTTTCTGGGTTGTACTAAAACCGTGTTAGTCAAATCACTAGAGGTATCAGCAACACTTACGTTGATCATGATTGTCTTCTTGTCCATACCACGGACTGCACGTGCACAGGTGACAGCACACCAATCGAATTCGACAGATGAACCGATTCTGTAGACACCTGAACCAAGAACCATAGTACCGTTCTCGTTAAACTCAAGATCGTGTGATTGAGCATTGTATGTGGTGTAGAGATAGTTAGTGTGTGCTGGGAATTCAGCAGCAAGAGTATCAATTCTCTTAACGAATGGAGTGATACCCAAATCCTTTCTCATCTTTCTGACTTCACCTTCGCTTGACTTTGTAAGTGTAGCGATTTGAGTGTCAGCAAATCCGGCTCTCTTTGATTGGTATAAAAGTTCTCTGTCAACTGCGTCTAAACCGGAAATTGATGAGAGTTGCTTGTGAAGTTGAACGATGTTGTCAAGCTTGTAGAGGTACCAGCGATCAATCTTGGTAAGATCATGGAGCTTGTCAACGGTGTATCCCTTGTTAAGCATAGCGTGGGCAATAGCGAATAATCTACGGTCATTTGGTTGGATGAGTTGAGCATCAAGATCTTCTGGTTGCCAGTAGGCTTCGAAACCTTGGAAGCTTGGGTCAACTTGACGAACGGCTTTTTGGAGAGATTCCTCAAATGTACGACCAATAGCCATAACTTCACCAACAGATTTCATGGATGAACCAGTGTCACGTTGTACGTGTTGGAATTTTGCCAAATCCCACTTTGGAATCTTGGTGACGATGTAATCAAGTGATGGCTCGAAACAAGCAGTGGTTGACTTGGTGACAGCGTTTGGAAGCTCAGGGAGGGTGTGTCCGAGACCAATCTTTGCTGCTGTGTAAGCAAGTGGGTAACCAGTAGCCTTTGAAGCGAGGGCAGATGAACGTGAAAGACGAGCGTTCATTTCGATAACCATGTATTGCTTGCTGTGTGGGTCGAGGGCGTATTGGACGTTACATTCACCGACGACACCGACGTGACGGACGATCTTTGCTGCTGCTGAACGAAGCATGTGATATTCAGCGTCTGTGAGTGTTTGTGATGGTGCGACGACGATAGAGTCACCAGTGTGGACACCTAATGGGTCGAAGTTTTCCATGTTACAGCAAATAATGACGTTGTCAGCAGCGTCTCTAACAACTTCGTATTCGACTTCCTTCCAACCCTTCAATGACTTTTCAATCAAAACTTGTGGACTCAAACTGAGTGATTTGGCTGAAAGATCACGGAGTTCGTCTTCATTGTTAGCGAAACCAGAACCGAGACCACCGAGAGAGAAAGCTGAACGAAGAATGACAGGGTAACCGATCTTCTCAGCAGCTTCGAGAGCAGCTGGAACAGTGCTAACAGCGGTTGACTGAGCAGCTGGAATATCGATTTCTGTGGTGTTTCTTAACTAGAGTTGTATGTTAAAATTGATGACTTACCATTCAAAGCTTGAACGAATAAATCTCTGTCTTCAGAGACTTCCAAAGTTCTAATAGGAGTACCCAAAACTTTTACACCTAATCTTTCGAACAAACCCATTTTGTCGAGCGCTACACCGACGTTAAGGGCAGACTGACCACCGAAGGTCAAGAAGATACCGTCTGGACGCTCCTTTTCGAGAATGGCAGCGACGTAATCAGGAGTAACAGGGAGGAAGTAAATTTGGTGTGCAAGTTCGTGTGAGGTTTGAATTGTAGCGATATTTGGGTTGACGAGAAGAACTTCGATACCGGATTCTCTGAGAGCTTTGATAGCTTGTGAGCCTGAGATAGCTATTAGAATCGAAAAGAATTGCTTTCAAGTCTTAGTCTCACCAGAGTAATCGAATTCACCCGCTTGTCCAATTGACAAACCACCAGAGCCGACAACTAAGACTCTCTTGACGTTTGGTTTGTCAATCTTTGGGAGTACAGCTGCTGATATCTTTCTAGCAAGCTCAGATGGGCTGTTGATTTCGCCGCCGTCACCCCCGAGGACAGAAGACTGTGCGACTGCAGCTGATTTAGATGTGCTGCTGAACGCTCTTCTTGCTAAGCTGGTTGGATGTATGCAATTCGGTCTATTCAAGCTTGAAAATGTCCTAATTGAACGTCTCATCAGCATTCTCGTGGTAATCGTAAAGAGAAGAGTTGTGAGTCAGACAGAAATTTAATTTTTTACAAGTACAATTTGAAAGCAGCTGTCAACTCTTTTATGCGCTCTGGTTGTTGTGTAATGCTCACAACATCCACAATTTCTTGCAATGCCCCAACGTTTGCTTTGTCGAGCGATCTAGCGTGCCTAGAAAGCTGGCTTCTGTCAGTCAAACCTGATAAGGAATTAATAAAACTTACAAGGTTTCCATAACCAGCGAATAAACGATAGATCGTCTCTTCGTCATTGGAACCATTCTCGAGTGTCTGCATCACTATTAGATAAGGCTTCGCAGGAAAGTCCGAAAACTCACTTTTGATGTTATACGAATAATACGATTATAGATAGATTCTGATAGCGCGCTATTGAGTGATAGTACTGTAAAACTAATTTTTTCATCAGTTATCGAGTCATATTCCTTAGAAAGCTGACTCACTTAAACAAAAGAGACGATAAGGCAATCTTGGCCAATTTGTTGAGAAGTCCGAATGGTAAGCTTTCAATGTATTTCAAAAGCTATTCATATAAGCCAAAATCATAATTCTGCATCTCCACTCACCTCATCGGCAGTTCCCGCTCGTGTCTTGCGTCCTGCGTCATTATTAAAGGTATTAGCAAGAGCTCGTAAAGCCAGCATCTGACGTGTTTGGAGAGATTTCAAGTTGTTCTCGTCTACTTGGGCAGTTCCCTGTAATATTTCTGCTTTGTCGAGCAAGACAGTAGTAACGTCATTGCTTGATGCGACAATGACTGAACGTGCAGCTAAAGCTCTCAATAAATCCAATACTGGGTTGTGTGAGTTTAAAAAAATATGTTTCCCCACAACTCACATGGGAAAATTTCCGCCCTTGGCCATGACGTAAGAGCGCTCAACAAGACTTTTACATCGGTGTCTGCAACATCCCGCGATGGATTAGACTCTGCAACAAACTTGCTCAGACTTTCTATACTTTCAAGTTCATCACCTGAAAGTGGCTATTTCGAGTTAGTAAAACCTCACCCAAATAATGTTTAGCTCACAGTTTTGACAACGGCGTTCAGCTGATGAATCTTTTCAAGCATAGCTGTTACATTAGCCTGAGTGAAGGTCAAATATGGACCCTTGATTGGTAAAACAGATGATGCTGAAACTGGGGTTGAGCCTCTCCAAGGGTCTTTATAAGCGTTGTCAGACGGTAATGCAGCTGGCGTGCTTTGGTATCTCGATGCACCTTTCAAACATCAATAAAAATACTCAGAAAGAGTTACACTCACCAGTGTATGGGTCGACAAATTCTGACGAACCCTGACCAAGTTCCACGCCAGAGGTATTTGACTCTATAAACTTAACAGTTTCGTCTAGGTAAGTAAGTGGAAGCATGTTTTTTTCAAGGAATCTTTGTGCTGCGATGTAGGGATTTTCTATGACGTCTATTAGTTTATCGGTTTGTTTAGTAAAATCACATACCGCTAACGTTATAAGGAAGCTTGAGAGGAGGTTTTCCATCTTCTATGTCGACATCAAACACATAATCATATTCTTTTCCGTCGCTGTGCTTCACTCGCTTGGATGGGTCGACACCGCCAGCTGCATCCACAACTTCGCCGATTTTCTTCCACTGGGATTCTCCAACTGACCAAGAGTAAGCTGAGACTATTTGTGCATCTTTGACGAGGATTACTTGACCATCACGTTGGCCTGCCTGTTGTAAAACTTCGGGAGACTTGACGTCTTTTGGGTTTATGCCATTTGAGGATCGACTATACTTCGTTAGGAGAAATACTATGATATAACAAGAGCTTACGAGCTTATCGTTGATCCTGCGATAACGTTCTCATATGCCTACGGAATTTGAGCTATTGTAGGTCAATGTCGACATGCAACACACCTTTAAAGCATCTTGATCTGCAAATCTAGCAGGATCTTGTGACCATATACGTATTGTACCATCGCTCGATGCACTCGCAATGTCACCATTTTCGGAGGTAGCTACAGCCCAGACAGATGTCGTAGGGTGGATGATAGTCTGTACACATTCACCATCTTGGGAGAGAGTGAGCTGAGTACATCATAAAAGCTCTGTCACGTACCTTGCCAAATCCTGACTGAGCGATCTTCGCCTGCAGAAACAATCTGACCAGTTGGGAGAGTAGCCAAAGAGTAGATAAACTCGGTATGGCCATCTAAATTCATGATATTCTCACCATCAAACGTCCAAAGCTTAATTTGAAGGTCGTTTGACGCTGATGCGAAGCCAATACCATTAGGGAGAATCGTCAGCGCACGGATAGCATCCTTATGAGCACCCTGGATGGTTTTGACAGCTGCGCCAGATTTTACATCCCAGATAGCGATATTCTTGTCAGCTGAAGCTAGAAAGGCTGCTTAGAAAGCTATCTAAATGCTAAAGAACTCGCTTACCAGTTATGACGTGTTTGTTATCGGGGGTGAACTTGACAGACCAGACTGCCTGAGTGTGTCCAGAAAGGCAGGACAGTTCAACGCCGTCTTTCCAAATCCTCGCAGTTCTGATCGTATGTCAATTATTGCGTCACCATCTACTGGCACTTACGTATCCCAGCTACCGGTAGCTATCAGACCATCAGAGGAGGTGTCAATAGAGCAGACGTTTCCGCTGTGACCCAATAAAGTGTATGCTGGTGCATCTACCATCACATCCAGACCGTTGCTGTCTATTTGGTGTAGGTTGACGAGCTTGTCTTGACTACCTGTAGCGACGAGGTCTGAGGGTGTATGTAAGAAATGCATAGACTCTTGACTATGAACAAACCATTATCAGCCAAATAGCCAACGCTGTTGACGTAGTTGTCGTGTGTGTGCACTCGGGCTGCAACTGCCCAGTTATTATCCACATTCCGCCATAGAATAGCGCTGTTATCTCTAGCGCCAGATAATAGTGTATTGCTGTTTATAAAGTGTACGCATTTCACATCCTGCGTGTGTCCTATCAACTCTCTCGATAATTTATAACTCATCGTTTAGAAACAACCGTCACTTTCTATGACAGATAATAAAAAACGTCAGCGCGAGGAATCCCCGGGAAAGACAAAGACAAAGAAATCAAAAGTTGCTATCGAAATGTATGAACCAGCTATTCTCACCCATAAGCAGTGTCTTCTCGCGACTTTCTACGGATGGGACAGTCAGGCGCTCGACGAGGAGAGCGAAAATGCAGCCACAGTCAATGATCTTAGCAATGTTATACAAGGCAGCGTGTTACACGGTGAGGGCAATAGTGCGCTCGTCGTCGGTGGCAGGGGTACAGGAAAGAGTCTCGCGATACAATCAGCATTGAGTCTATCGTCGGAAGAACGGTTTATTCCAATACACCTCCATGGATCTGTGCAGACGACCGATAAGATGGCTCTCCGCGAAATGGCGAGGCAGATACGCAATCGTGGTGGTACTGTATCGTCATTAGACGCGCTCGATAAGGAAGATCATTTGATAGATATTTCACAAAGTACTCTCACCGCTCTTCTCACCCTTTTATCCGCTTCTGCACTCCCGATCGTCGTTATTCTGAACGAATTTGATTTGTTCGCGACGCATGCCCGTCAGGCGTTGCTCTATTGTCTTCTTGATTGCGCACAAGGTGGCCAAAGAAGAGGTGGTCTAGCTGTTATTGGTACGACCTGCAGATATGTGCGTAATTGTTAAACTAGTTGAATACGAGGCTGATATTACCTAGGATGCTATCGATATGCTCGAAAAGAGAGTCAAGAGTCGATTTTCACAGCGTGTATTGCACGTTTCAAGTCCAAGAACCTGGACTGAGTGGTCCACACTCGCCAGGAATGCTCTGAGCTGTGAAGTGATAGAGGGCGTACCCCATATGTCTGCTTTCGAACACAAATGGGAGATACATATCAATGTAAGAGAATACAAGAGTTGAGTTCTCTCACTTAAACATTCCAGGCCTTGTTTAAAGACCCTCAATTTGATCTGGTGCTCAAGATGCTGTTTGATATGTCGGCAGACGTTCAGACACTCTATAGAGTGCTCGTAAGCACCAGTTACTCTTTAGAAACTCATTAACATCCTATAGGCTATACCCATTGCAAATATGACAACAGAGACGCCATTCCCATCAGCAAAAGATTTCCTGCTTGCTAGCATGTCGCAGCGGCCTATAGACGCGCACCAGCTGATAGACACACTGCCACTACCTGCTCTGGCTTTAGTTATAGCAGCCAAGCAAATCTCGAGTCGGGACATCGATCAGTTTACCTTTGAACTCGTGAACAAAGAGTATGACGACTGGGCGCGCAAGACGATAATGGCACCCACGTCACGTAGTATAGATATTACAAGTACAGGAGCACGGGTGAACATTAGCGTCTGGCCGAAACACGTTTTGATGGGTGTAAGTGAGCGTCTAAGATATCAACCACGCTGATGTATCACCTTCAGGCATTCGATACGCTTGTAGACCTTAACATATTCGTTCCGGTAGCATCAGCCAATGCTATCGCGAGTGGAGAAATGCGCGAATATTGCAAACACCGGTGTAGCATTGAAAATGGTGAGATAAGACAAGCGGTGGAGAAGCGCAAGGATATACCGACGGCTCTATACAAATGGGGACACAGTTGGAACTAATGTTTAGATAATTGTACGAATTAATTTATTTCCGTTTACGTATATTTCCTTCTATTTACTTGTTGATTATCTACCACGATGTTGGGAACGCGTCAAGCGACGTTCAAAGTCGCGCTCAACAGCGACGGCGATGGCAGCGCCCTCGCTAAGAACTTCAAAACACCTGCCAAAGCGAGTAGAAGCGGCAAGGAGAATCTGATGAGTGTCGGCAGACCAGGTAATCTGCAAGGCTTGAAAACACCGCTACGTAAGTTATATAAACAGCGAATGATCCACAGTTAATAATCTGTATAGCATCTAAGAAGCTCTTTGGAGAAGTAGCCACGACAGCGAAAAGTAAGAAGACGACAATGACGGGATTGACGCCTGCACCACCAAAGACTGTCCTCCGTCCAGCCGCGGGTACAAATATTCAGAAGAACAAAGATCCGAGCCCACGTCCATCGACTCTGCGTAAATCAGCGCGTGTACCAACACACCAAGTCAAAGCAACACCAGCGCCTGTATTCATACCGCTACAAGATGATGGCGACATTGGACCAACGCAGATGGAAATACGACAAGAGGAGAATGAGCAGGCCTTGCTCCAGCAAGAAATGGAGGAAGAAGCTTATCATGAATCTGATTGGAGCGATTTTGAGCCAGAGTATGCACCACCAAAGGAGGCACAGCAAGGTGTGTGAGACTATAGACATTTGCTTAGCTAACATCTCACCCAAGAAATGCCATGGAGACCACTCGATGACGATATCCCAGACTACAAACAACTCGGACGTCAATTGAGGGTTGCGTCCCCACGTTTCTCTGTCTACGATTCGGATGATCAAAGCTACAACTCAGACGAGATCACAGACCTCAAAAAGGCTGGTGGATTGGATGAAAATCTCGAATTGCACTATAACAACGACATGGACGATGATTTGGGTATCAAAATCAGGGACAGAAAGCCTGAAATGAAAAAGCGCGTGGTAGTCACGAAAGCCCCAGCTCGAAAACCACTTACGACTCAGAGGAGACCGCTGAACACACAGAACAAGCCCCAGACAAAGCCAGTCACCCAGAAGATCAAGCTTGATGATATTAAGATTGACCTCGACCTCGATAACTGTTTACTTGACGAATGATTGTATATATTTTTTGTAACATAATACATAAACTTCCTTATCAGAAACCGTCGTCATGGATATTGACGTGAACATCCTAGGCATAATATACAAGCAGGTGGGTTAGACTTTTCGAATGCTAGCATTTCTAACAGTCGCCTAGGTAATCGTCGATGTAGCTACCAGTTTGAAGAACCCGTAAGCAAAGAAGATAGTAGAGGCTAAGCTAACAAGGTATAGCCAGAGCAAGGAATCTTCAGAGATACTAAAGAAGCGGATACAGTCGTTTGAAGCAATAGCAGAGAATATAGAGACCAGGATAGTGAGTTCTCCGCTATCATCGACGTATCTGACATCCACAGCGGCGGACGAGGGATGTGATAGCACGAGATATTAACAAACATCAGCAAGAAATACAACAGAAAGAAGTGCAGGAGAATGCGCCGGAAGAAACCCCAGCTGAAGTAGCACCAACAACAATCGAGGATAATAGCCTGTCTAACAACACATTCTCGATAGATTTCGATAACAGCCTGATGGGGAACGATCTGGACTTATTCGGTGATCCCTACCTGTCTTAATATTGATTTAGAAATACAATGAAATATGTTACAATTCTACTATTCGCGAGTTCGGATATCCCTAGGGCTATGAATCCATTGTGTGAAATCTAAGTTGCTATACCGAGGAGATGCAGTTTGCCTCGTCTGCTTTCCAGTCTCTGGTTTCGCAGGCGATGGTGACGTCGCGAGGAATAACATGAGCTGAGCGTCAGATTCATCTGGATTCCTTGCAGGCGGTGGTGTAGGAGCCGTGGAACTTGATGGTTTATATCCAGGGGAATGAAAAAGACTAGTGAGCGCGTTTGCTGCATTCATTGACTCGCTATCGTGTTGTACGCCCGGTGACGCGTAGTTGCTACTCAATTTACGCGTGTTTGTAGTCCTCTTGGGTGATTTGAAGAGCGCATTCCCAATCCGGGGTGATCCATTAGAGTACCGCAGACCAGGGGTAGTCGTACGAGGTGGTGGCATCGCAGACGTCCGAACTATCGAGTCAATAGGCGTACTAACAAGTCCATTTCGCGCTTTGTATGATGCTAATCGCAGTCTCGCTTGAAGGTTTCTCGAGGCCTATCGAGCTATTAGAAAAGCTATCTAGGATGCTTATAGACTCACTTTTGCGACTTCCACTCTGTTCAACACCGCGTCTACAGATTTTGAACGCGTCTCGTTTGACATCCCCAACGTTGTGGTTCTAAGTTAACGTTGAGTTTGTATGAGAATCGATGATTTAAATTTGGATATCTACCACGATTTGGCGGGTTATTTAACAGTTGATCAGATCGTCGCTTTGCGCTCCTGCTCTAAGCAGCTGCTTGCACTGGCTGATGATGTCTTCGCCGTTGGATACCTCAGCAGAAACAAGCGGAAAGTCTACTACGAGCGCGAGGATAGCGATTTAAATAGAATGCTTAGGCAGGATTTCATAGACACAAACTGGGCGTCCATGCACTTCCACTCCACACAGCTTCTAAGCACTCAATCGAGCATTCCTGTTTTGGTAACTCACAAACACCTCCTCATACTCGGATCTCGCTCAGCCGTTTTCGTCTGGGATAGACGATGCAGCCGATATATACGCTTCGTTATCGCGAACAACAAGGCGAGTTTTGACATAACGGGATTGGTTGTTGTTGAATACGTTGGAAATACAGTCACCTTGATAACCTCGCATGTCGCTGGTCTTATACAGCGCGTTGTTCTCGATTTGCACACCCGAAAAGCCCGGCAGAGCGCGATATACACACCTGGTAAACCAATCACAGAGGTGAACAGGACTCGAAACGTGCGAACGTTACAAGGTAATGCTGAAAATGTGATTAGCGCTGGAGAAATTGGTACTCTCTCGATATACAAACCGAAGACACCATGGCTTCAGCCGGAGACAGTCAATGTGAACACTACGAGACTCTGGGGAATTGATGCTAACTATGTGAATAACTCTGTAGCAGCATCACATAATTACAGTCACACTACTCGATCTTCAATTTCGCTCTTTAACTTAAATCAAACGAGAATCGACAATGCAGGGGTGCTGAACACTCCGGATAACGTCTCATCATTCACGATAACGAATGGACACACCACAAATGGCGTTCTTGCCTCACCTGATATCCTTATCGGAGGGTTTTATGACTCGACTGTGCGGATATACGATTTAAGAACAGGATATAATCAGGTGGCATCCTACGAAGATGGACTGGACATACAACCTGTATACTCACTCGATGTCGGCGGAGGACACGATTCGTACATATGCGCAGGATCAGCCCTCTACTCTCGCCTGAGAGTTATAGATGCAAGGATGACCGGTGATTTTGCACATCATATATTCGCAGCTCACAGCTCCGAGCGTTCATCACCCGTATATCAGCTCAAGGTCAGCCATTCACACTGCTACATCGCAACGGATTCAAAGGTCCATGAATTAGATTTCAGTAGGCGTAATGCTCACAGTCAGTTTCCAAGTATAAGGTGCTAAATTACATGAGGTAGTCGTTAAGACGTTTAAGCGATACACGAGAAGGATTACTAGAGGGATAAACATTGATCAGCCACTGGAGTCGCATATTAATAGCCGTTTTAGTGACTGTAAAAACTTAGATTAAACATTTCAGATAAACACCACCCACTATTCGTGTTACGCGATATTTTCTCGCCATTTTCGTCGAAAAAGAGTGTCGCTATCGCTACACACACGACTGACGCAAGGTCTGTACCGCCATTTGCATCGCAGATCGCCACATGACCACCTTTGTTCAATTCCCGCTCGATAAAGTCGACTATAGATGGTAATTTCGCCAGAAATTCCTTCTGTGCTTGTTTAGATGATTTCGGTAGAGTTATATGCATGGTGTTCTTGCTTCTTGATGGGGGGTTAGGTGTGAGGGCGACAAATGCATCGTCTTCTGGCACTCCAGCTTCGCTTGAGGAGGGGTATATAGCGCCTTTGAGGAAAGTTCTGTTTGCGCTGCCAACATCCTTGGTTGAGTGAGTCTGCCTTTCTGACATTATCTCTACAATACATTCGTTGAGCATCTCACTTGAGCAGCTGAGAAGCTCATCTTGGTTCTCCCAAAATGCCTCTGGTGTCAGTCCCTTAGCCCATAACTCATGATCATCACCGCTCCCTTGGACGTATTCTCCCCAGGATCGCCTTTCAATCTGATCGGGAATATAACGAGATGCCGATACACATAATATCGGATAAAAATCCAGCGTAGATGTGCTGAAATCTGGCAAGAATTGAGTTTCTGGGTGTATGAAAATAGGCCTTAGCGGTTTGTCCAACCTTTTATTGAGCTGTAAAGCAGAGTTCACGAGCCATTCCCGCCATGTTGGAAGCCCATCTTTGATAGCTTGTTTCTCAGATTCCGATATCGCATTTGGAGGTGTATACAGGAGATCTTCTGCTGGGATACCCAAAACTGCTGAGCTAACTACCGCGCACCATATTGGGATAGTCTTTGATAGCGCGTCTGGAAATCGCTGTCACCTGTCAAAATGTGGCTATGTTTGGAAAAATTTGACTCACTTTCCCTCTCCTGGTGGAGTCTACAATGATGAGGCTGTTGAGTGTTAGTGATACGACATATTATTACCAGCACACACCCTTTGCACTCGAGAATGTGCTCGATGAGGTGTAAATTTGGTCGTCTGAGCGAAAAAGACCAAGCGTTTGTGTGACCATCTGTGGATTTGAAGTAAGCGTAGATATCTGGTCTGTAATTTTCCTTTTGTACGTTAATACGAGCAGTTAATAAAGCATAACATACTAGCTTTGGGTTGATGTACCATACACCACAACGCTGATTGGCTGCTGGGAAGTTATAATATGCTAATATGTGGGAGTATTAGGCCATACCAACTACGCTATAGTCGCTATAATGCCTGCCTAGGCTGTCAACAAACTGAGAATCGCTATTGTCTTCGTCAGCAGGAAATTGAGGAGTAAAAAGGGAGAAAAACGTACAGAGTGATAGAATGCAATCTATTGTAACAGTCATTTTGATATTTCTTCAATTCCTTTGTAAAATTCATATCAAAAATCTCTTCTTAGTCTTCAACCAAGTCTGAAAATGTCCAACTGGCAACCACAGCCTGAGGGACTGGAGCAATTACTGAGTCTATTAAGGGATTCTCTCAGTTCGAACAATCAAGTACAACAAGCGGTTACGCAGGTGAGTTGATAGCTCGAAATACTACATTTACTCATACAACACACCAGAGACTAGAAACATTCAACGCTATACCAGACTACAACAACTACCTATGCCATGTCTTAATAAAAGCTACAGACCAGGAGGAGCGCGTTAGATCAGTCGCTGGTCTCATTCTTAAGAACAATATCAAGTTTGGCTGGAAACAATGGCCAGCCGACAGTCAAGAATATGTCAAAAGTATCCTAGTAGATGGTATTACAGACCAGGCACCAATGGTTAGGTCTACATCCGGTACAGCCATCGTTTCTGTACTCTCAGAGTGCGGTCCTGAGAACTGGCCGCTCGCTTTATCACGTTTAATGGCCTCAATTGATTCAACTAATGTACAAGAACAAGAAGGTGCTTTCGGTACACTTGCTAAAATCTGCGAGGATATGTACAAGAACTTAGATTGTGAAATCGCCGGTGTTCGTCCATTAGACTTCATGATTCCAAAATTCATCCAAATGCTCAACCACCAATCGCCAAAAATTAGAATACACGCCTTGTCATGTCTCAACAGCTTCATACCAACCCAATCAGCCAGCTTTATCGCAAATATAGACCAATTCATCGCTGCTTTGTTTCAAATCGCCTCGGATGGCGTATCGGAAGTACGTCAATTCGTTTGTTCAGCTTTGGTTAGGCTTTTAGCTTCAAGACCAGACAAGCTGGTTCCTGAGATGAATAACGTAGCAACTTTCATGCTTTACTCAACTCAAGATAAGGATGACGATGTCGCATTAGAAGCTTGCGAATTCTGGCTTACATTCGCAGAGGAGACTCACTTGGCTGAGCACTTGAAACCTCTTTTAGATAAAGTCGCACCTGTTCTCCTTAACACTATGGTTTATTCAGAGAATGATTTAGTCATGTTGGAGGCAGATGATGACGATGAAGCTGTTCCAGATAAGGACACTGAAATTAAGCCACATATTTACGGTGGTAAAACTCACACACAATCATCTGAAGCTGAGAACAGCCATCAAAAATTCAGTAGAGAAGCTGAGGCATCTTCCGACGAAGAAGATGACGAAGATGATTATGATGAATTTGAAGATGAGGAACTCGCTTCTGGATGGAACCTGAGAAAATGTTCAGCAGCAGCTATGGATGTTTTGTCAATTAATTTCGGTGTAGATCTCCTCAACATACTCCTTCCATACTTGAAAGAGAGATTATTCTCACAAGATTGGTTACAAAGAGAGTCAGCTATACTCGCATTAGGTGCAATCTCAGAGGGTTGTATTGAAGGTATTCAACCACACTTACCACAATTAGTACCTTACTTGGTAAATGCATTGAATGATCCAAAACCACTCGTCCGTTCAATTTCATGTTGGTCTTTGGGTCGTTATTCAAGTTGGTCTGTACAACCGCTCTCAGTTGAGCACAGAAATAATTACTTCGTACCAACGATGGAGGGATTATTAAGAATGGTACACGACAAGAACAAGAGAGTACAAGAAGCTGGTTGTTCAGCATTCGCTACTTTGGAAGAAGAAGCAGGAAAGGAATTAGAGCCATTCCTTAAACCTATTATAGAACACCTCGTATATGCGTTCCAAAAGTATCAGAGAAAGAACCTTCTCATCCTTTATGACGCTATTGGTACACTCGCTGATGCCGTCAACAACTCGCTAGATAATGAGGAATATGTAACCTTATTGATGCAACCTCTCATCGATAAATGGCAAAATCTCGCAGACGATGATGAGGATATCATTCCATTGTTTGAGGTGTGTAAATTAATCCTAAAAGGAATTCACTAACGATCACACCCATTAGTGTTTATCATCTTTAACAGTTGCAGCTGGATCCAGTTTTATTAAATTTGCTCAACCAGTTTATGAAAGATGCTCACGGATAGTACACGGTAATCTCTTAGCTTTCCAATCAGCAGTCGAAAGGAATGATGAAGATAATATACCTGATAGAACATTCATCATCGTAGCATTAGATTTAATTTCAGGTATGATTCAAGGTTTGGGTGTAAACTCACAAGAATTAATCACCTCGAATCAATCAACACCACCATTACTTAACTTATTATTATTCTGTTTGAAGCATCCAGATAATGCTGTCAAACAATCTGCATATGCCTTAGTTGGAGATTTAGCTGTTAGCTGCTTCCCGGTGTTATTACCTGCATTAGATAGTTTCTTACCTGATTTAATTCAACAAATAGAAATCACGCCAACGACTGATGCTATATCAGTTTGTAATAACGCAGCATGGGCAGCAGGTGAAATAGCAACTTCATTCACGAATTATCCAGATTTGAATAAAGATAACTTCGTCAAATTCGTACCATCTTTAATTGAAAGATTAGTACCAATTTTGTTACATCCAAAATCCGTAAAATCTTTAACGGAAAACGCAGCTGTTACAATTGGTAGAATTGCTTTAGTATGTCCAGAGATAGTTGCACCACATTTACAAATATTCGCTGCACAATGGTGTCAATCTTTATGGGAGATTAAAGATAATGAAGAAAAAGATAGCGCATTTAGAGGATTCTGTAAGTTGGTTCAACTTAACCCATCTGGCCTAGCATCAAGTTTCCAATTCTTCTGTAATGCAGTTGTTAGATGGACCTCACCTTCTGCGATACTTAACGAACAATTTAACGCGCTTTTGCACTCATTCAAAGCAGCAGCAGGTGCAAGTTGGGATGCCCAGATGGCTGCACTTCCAGCACCAATTTCAACAAGACTTAGAGATCGTTATGGTTTGTAGATTGGCATTTGATACTTTAGTTATGTATACCCCTCCTCAACGACCATTAAAAGATTAGGCGGTCGATATAGACAGTCTGAATTAACAATTTAAAAGTAAAATGTTTATCGCTTTATCATTCATGAATTTATATTCTTACCTTTGGAATGAACAATCATGTTTCTCGACAATGAAGAGAGTAATCAATACACGCTGGTCGAGGTTGTTGATATACTGAATAGAATGCTATTCCCTACGCCGAGATGCAACTCAATGGATTTTGTACTCGATATGCTTGAGTATTCCTATCAGCTTAGAGAATGGCTCGTTAGTTTATGCGAGGAAATACTACTAGTGATCGATGTAAAAGAGGACGTAGGGCATTCTCTTCGAAATATAATTTCATCTCACAAAAAAGCTGAAAGCTCTCTTAAGTTCAATACCATAATTCTCCTCCTTAAGAAGTTGGTGTGTATTAGTTTCACAAAAGACGCGCATATCTAACGATTGTAGCATATACATGAAACTAATCTCACTGAGAGTGCAATAGATAGACCCGAGACTTTCAAACTCTGCGATATTTACTTCCCGGATAATGCAGATAATGTTCAGCGGAGAACAGAAGTGAAGTATTACGCACGTTTAGCCAAGAAGCTAACCAAAGCGCTCAAGAAAGCTAACAAAAGCGAGGCTGAGATACGCAATGAAGTTTATCTCAATAAGGAGTTGAACAAAGTCAAAGCGATAGCCCTGGACGCTACGACTGAACCATTGAGAGGATATCTTTACGAGTGTCTGTCTGATTGGAACTATGTCCACGATACCTACAATGTTGTTCAGCGAAGTACGACGATCAACACAGGTCATACCATCAATGAGAGCTTCAAAATGCCACATAAAAGGAAGCGCGTTGTTTGATTATATTTGCACTTTTATAGACGGTTTTGTATTAGTATATGTACTTTTGCTTATCTGCACTCATGACGAGTTTGCATGCGACGATAAACTTTACACACCCAGAGAATCGCTCATTAGATGAGAAATGTAGGAAATTTGCCTACGTTAAATGGATAGACAGTGGAAATGAAATGTATTTGAGACCATCGCCGGTCGTCGTACACGATTTGACGCCAGAGTTGGAGAAACTATACCAAACCCCAGCATCCGTACAACTAGATGATCGTGGCTTTGCTGTCTTAAACTCAGAACCACAATCCTCTCTCGAACCTCTGGATGAGGAGTCATGTATTGCAGAAATACGAAAGTAAGTTAGTAGCTGATATTTTCACTAACTGACAAAACAGCTTATTGAAGGAGCAACTGAACGCCGAAAAAGTCATTGTCTGGAATATACAACATAGGTTGGTGTTATAATGTTATAAAGACCTCCCCTAACACATCAGCAGAGATGGTAAAGGCCATAGTGATGGTGCAGATGGCAAAGATGCAGCACCTACAGATTCAGTGCCCGCTTATCGTGCTCATGTCGACCAAGATGCCAAAAGAGCCTACGAACACATCGAAAGAGAGAATGGAGGTCCAATCGAGAAAGACAAACGCGTACAAATCATCAACGTTTGGAGACCCTGTTTTGACGGCATCGTCGATTCTCCACTATCGGTGTGCGATTATAAGACAATCTCAAACGAAGATCTAGGACATACGACTGATTTCTTCGGCAGTCACTACAGCATCCTACACAATGACAAACAGAAATGGTGTTATATACGCGATCAGCAGCGCCATCAGGTTTATTTCCTCAGATGTTTCGATAGCTATGACGGTAAAGACGGTAGAGCGAGGTTTGTACCACACACAGCTGTAGAAGACAAAGAAAGAGCATGCGAGAAAGCCAGACAGAGTGTTGAATTGCGGTGTATCGTTGTATCTTAATTTTTAGAGTTATATCTTACTTTTCGACCTAAATCGAAAGGAATATATCTATATTTGATCATATGCCTTGTTTCTCGGTTAGTGTGTTCCTATATAAAAGTAAAAACACTCACTCGATCTGTCTTCTCATTGTCAAGGAGAACAAGATGAAGAAGTAAACTAGTAAAATTGGCCAATAAACTGGTATGTCAAATGCAGATGTGGTTGTGCATAATATAGATACTAATATTGCGCGTGTAGCAGAGTACCTGGTGGGATATCAGACAATGTAAACTTGTGTGTAGTTAACTGACCAGAACTTGAACTCAGGTAAGCGACGAATGAATGGTCTGAACTCCTCATCCTTGTCGAGTAATCCACCTGATCCGAGACCGTATCCACCACCACCACCGTATGTGTTGGATTCGTCGTTACCGCCTTCCAAGTTGTCCATTTCCTCGTCTTCTTCAACTGAAGGGTCGAACTTTGGCGTCAAGAAGGCCAAAAAGAGGTTTAAACTGGTTATCGGTTAGTATGTTATTATGATGTGCTGTGTTTTGCGTACAGGTACTATGAGCTGTTAGTTGAAACAATACAACTGAGAGTAAACCTACTATGAATAAAGCACTGGGAAGGTTATTAGATTATTAGTAAGAGTATATCCTCTGTAACTCACTAGCAGACAATGTACCACTGTCGGATTGTGAGTATAAAAGCCACTATAGATAAACGCACGTACGCCATGTGATAATACTATCCTTAAACAGAAAACAAACAATAAAAAGGTTGTAGATAACCACCTGTAGACTGTAAACGGCGTGATCAAATCCAGATACCTCTGGATTCTAATCTTGACTTGGTGTAGGTTACTATCAAACTCCTGCTTGAATTTGTTCGTCGTAGCTGTAGCAAATTAGATCGTCTGTCTAGATTTCTGCACTCTATCTTACTGTCTTCCTCGACGTTCATGGATGCAAGTTACAAACCAAGAAAAAAGTCGATAAAGAGACTTAACTACAATTTACTATCGCTTTTGGCATTTTATTTCTTTAGGGATTATCTAGATTTCATCCAAATAGACTATATTAGATTGATATGTGGGTCCTAGTACAGCTATACGTCTCTACTAACATACTATCCAGTTAAGTGGCTTCCTCTACTATTTATATTCAATTCTATACAATCCCTCATCGTGCTATTCTCCAAGGATAGCAAACCAACACCTCAACAAACGAGAAACCAAATATTTGAAACCTCTACGCCAAAATCGCGTAAAAAGACACGTGTAGATAGTGTTGATATTCCTTTATCCGAAAATTTTACTTCTTCTACACCTACAAAACAAATTTCCACCCCAAAGCAACAATCACCAAAAATTTCAACCAACACACCACAGTACGCTTATCTGCAAAAGTACCCGAATGTACAAATATAAATTATTCTAAATATAACCCTTATAATTATTACCTCATCTACCCTTATATCTGCCGGTCTGTGCGCATTCGATCACAAATTTATATTAGTGCTCCACTGATCTATGTTCCCTATATAAACGACGATGGCTAGTTTATATGGATATGATACCAAAAATGGTGCGCCAACCTCATCACATTGTGTCGCTTTCATCGCGTTATTTGGTATCACTACATTGATTCACATATTCCAATCGATACACACAAGGAAATGGTGGTTGTTAGCAACTGTCCCTATATGCGGTATACTAGAGCTTATAGGTTGGAGTGCTAGATACATTTCAACACAGCATCCCGATAATGTCGACGCATACACCTGCCAATTAGCTACTTTGATAATTGCACCATGCTTCTTCACAGCAATGACATATACTTTATTAGGCTTGATTATAAAAGAACAAGGCCCAAAGTATTCATCTATGCCTCCAAAAGCATTCGGAATAACGTGAGTAACTGGCTAATCGGAATAATTTGATACTAATACAAGCAGATTTATCTGTAATGACATAATAAGCATACTCATACAAGCTTGGTGAGTGATATATATCTATTATTCGTGGTATACATTCTTACAGAAATTTTTATAGTGGTGGTGCTATGGCCTCATTCGCTTTGCATTCAGATGACCCTGAGGCTGACCCCGAGAATGGTGGCCATGTCATGCTTGGCGGAATCGTATACCAATTCGTTTGCTTGGTAGTCTACTGCGGGTTTCTTTTAGAATATCAGTTACGCAAATATGAAAACTGGCCATGCAAAAGAAGATGGAATAATGGTACAGCAATAATGCGTGATCATGATCGGGAAATAACCAAAAGACGTCTTGCTATTATTATGCTTGTTTTAACATCTGCACTATTATTAGTAAGAAGCGCATATAGAATAGCAGAATTGGATGATGGTTTCTCCGGTAAACTGATACAAACAGAATGGGCGTTGGATGCTCTAGACGGTGGTATGATCGTCGCGTCTATGTTCATTGTCAACTTCCTTCATCCTGGCTATCTGCAAGCCAAGACACAAGGGCAGCGCAATGAATATATGAAGCAATACTACTAAAGTGCATAGCCTAGAGTTATACCATTCAGTTAATCGTCGTATATCCAAACAAACCATCGCATACGTTCTTTACTCAATTACAGAAGATAAAAATAGTATCAAACTGCGTTTGATATAACAATACACTCCTTACACTCCTTAATATAGCTTTGTTATAAAATGTCTATCTTTCACTATACAATTTGTACTTTTATTTCTTCTTTCCCTGCAATGATGTCTTTAGCTTCTGTGCCCCGGTATACGAGCCGCATTGGTCAAAGAACGGCTTGGGTATTATCTAGACAATTTGCTAGTAAAGCAAACGATGGTGGAAATACGTCAGTCAGTTCACAGGATGTTGATAGTGCATCCACACGCTTGAAAGCCAGACAACTACTCAATCAATTGGAGGATTCAAGAAATAGAGGTAATTCAGCAGGTCCATTCGGTGCAGCAACCATATCAGACGATGTTAATGCTGCACCGGAGAAGACGTTCTCCGAACAAACGACTTTTAAAGGAAAAGGTGGGTATCAGACGAATAACTGGATTTTGCTCATGAAACACAGTGGGAAGAGCTACCAAGCAAACTTCACGCTTCACGGTCATACTCATCGGCGCTTCAGTTACTGGACTGCTCGTGTATACGATGGGTACTGAGCTCTTCTCAAGCAATTCACCTACAAGGTTGTACGGCAAGGCATGCAAACTCATCAGTGACTCGCCAGATGTCAGGAAGTTGATGGGAGACTCCAGTTTAACCTTCTATTCGCAAGCACCAGACAGTAGAAGGCGGCGCAACCATCAAATCCAACACATGACCGCATTTGATGCCTACGGAAAGGAGCATATGATAATGAAATTCTATGTAAACTCGAAACTGCCTTCAACGGAGGAGACACAGAGTTGGGAAGAGTGGATTGAGAGTCTTACGATAACAGACATTGGAAAGAAAGTAAAGAGAGGTATACAAACGATGATAAACCCAGATTTGAGATATGACCAACCTGAGAAGGCTCAGAATGAACCGACAGAACGTAGCAGTTGGTTCGGTGCACTCGGTTCTGGTATAAACAGACTTGGACGCCACAAGAAAGCAAACGCTTCAACTTTATACGATTCTGGACAGGCCTATGCTGACCTCGTCAAGAATGAGGCTGGATACTTTGAGTGGAACTTATTATATGTTGATGTACCACACTCGAGGGCATTCAATAGGAAGAGAGTATATGTACACCCAGCATAGTTAGTATAATTGCATTGTCTTGTAAAGTGGATATATATAACATACGTATATTGTCATATCACATCGTCTTGGAAGGCAATTGACAGACGTCAGTTAGTTAAATAGTAAGATAACCAGTGTATATAGTAAATAACAGCCATATGTAGATGCTAAACAATCATATATCTAATATTAGATAGCAACCATCTCTCTTCATTACAATCAAGTGCAGAGATACGACATCAGCGAAATAGTCGTATATTCTGCAGTAATAAATTAAAATGGTAGCAACACGTAGAGCGGGTCGCCTTAGTGCATCTGCTCAGGAAGCTTCTACTTCTGAAGCCCCCGAAGCCGAGATGACGGAAGGTGGTCCATCGCTGGAGTTACAGCGCGTTAGAGAAGAATTAGAACATTACAAGGTTTTGCTAGAGACAGAGAAGGCATCTTCTTTACGACACAACATAAACACAGAGCAATCACTCAGCGAGCAGGAGAACAAAATACACGAGCTCGAGAAAGAGTTGACTGACAAAGCGTCTAGCTATGACGGCGTCGTAAAAGAGCGTGATCTTTCTCGTGAGCGTTGACTTCACTAGTAAACACTCATCTGACTATCAAAACAGGCGAGGAAGCAGCGAAATTGAAGTTACAAGCAAAAAAGACTACAACAACCGAGGATCCAGTTACAGTCAGTAAAATTAAGGAGTTGGAGGAACTCAATAAAAAGAGCAATGAAGAGAAGGCAGACCTTCTCAAGTTTACGGAAAGACTGTCTGCTGATATAGATAGATTGGGTACCGAAGTCGATACATCCCGCAACCGTCTCTCAGAGGCACGTGAAGAGAACTCCAAGTTGACGAAAGAAGTGCATGACGCAAAATCAGTAGAAACTACGTCAAAGTATAAGATACAATCACTTGAACAAGAGAATGAACTGCTTAAAAAGAACGAAGAATGGTTGAACACTGAGTTAAGCAAGAAGTCCGAGGAATTTTCAGTTTATCGTCGTGAAAAGCACGCTGAATTGGCATCAGCTCAAGGCCAAATTGATGTTTTGGAGACACAATTAAACGCACAAACTAGCCAATTAAGAGCCTTACAATCATCGTACGATAATCAATCCACCAAATTATCAGATATCCTCTCTAAGTCCGCCCAATTGGAAACAACTTTAGCATCAACACATGAAGAATACAAAGCAGAAATCAACACACAAAAGCGTGTCGTGGAGCTTCTCGAAAGTCGTGAAAGTGAGTCAAGGAAACGAGTTGAGCAAGTTAACAAAGAGTTTGACGTCTTGGTTGCCAAATCCGAATCTGAGACGATTCAGCAAAATGAGGAACTTTCAAGAGAGCGTCACAGAAGTTCACAATTGGAGATTGAATTGAATGAACTTCGCGTCAATGGCTTTGGAAGAGTAGGCGAGAGTATTGGTGCTCCATCTACACCACAACCAAATCAGATGGAAACCTCCTACACTTTATCTCCAACCGCATCAATTGCATCAAGGTTCCACAAAGGTGGTAAGAGTTTCACTGAAATATACTCAGATTACGCCAAATTAGAAAACGAATTCCAGCGTGAAAGAGCTGAAAGAAGGAGATTAGAGAGTTGCTTGGCTGATGTTGTCAGTGAGATAGAAGAAAGAGCTCCACTTCTACAAGAACAAAGGCGCGAATATGACAAGCGTAACGCAGAAGCAAATGCTCTTGCTTCACAACTCGCTGAATCGTTAGAGGAAAGAGATGCTCTCAAAGCCTCAGAAAAAGAAGCGAGGTTAGTAGCAGAGAATGCTCAACGTGAAGCTGAATTACAATCGCAATCTATTGTTGATCTCACAAGACAGGTTGCTTATCTTACCCGTCAAATCGCAGCGATTGAAGATCCGTCATTGCCAATTGATGCTCAAAATGTTGCACCTGCTCCAGCTCATGAGTTAGCAGTAGATCAAGCAATTTCAGACAGATTGGTCTTATTTGCATCAACCGAGGAGCTTGTTCAGCAGAATAAGAATTTGTTGAAGGTTTCTCGAGAGTTAGGTCAGAAACTTGAACATGTAGATGCTGTACATGAAGCTCGTTCTAAAGAGACTGAGAATGAGTCACTACAAGAAGCTTATGAATTGATTCAACAACTTAAAGATGAAATTGAACTCAGTCGCGAGAAGGCTGGTAGTTACGTACGTGAAAGAGATATGTTTAGAAGATTGTTAGCACAAACTGGAAAAGCCGTACCTGAAATCGGTCAAGAAGCTGACGAAAGTCTCAACATGTCAACGTCAAGTAACACACCAGATTATGCCGCATTAATGGCGGAATTACAGCAAAACTTTGATGCATATAGAACTGAAATGGGAACTGACACTAAATCTTTGAAAGAATCTTTGACAGCTTCTCAACGTGAAGTCAGCAGCTTGAACGTACAACTCGCACAAGCTAATGCACAAGTCACTTTCCTCAATGAGCGCCACAGCATGATTCTCGAGAATCACAACATGTCAAAGATGGAGTTGTCACAGTTGGGTGCTAACAACCAGAAACTCCAAACCAACCTTATCAATGAGCAAATAAATCTCAACAAAGTTCAAGAAGAACTCATTGAATTGAAGGGTGTACTTGAGAGAACTAAGAATGAAAACTCCAAGTTGAGAACTGAAGGTGAAGTTCACAAGGGAATTGAAAACAGATTGTTGGCAGACAACGAATCATTATCTCGTGATAGGGTTCATTTGAATGATTTGATGAGGAACCTTCAAGTCATGCAAGCAGAGTTGGAGAGAACCTCTCAAGAAAGCAGAGCTAGACATGACAATCAGATCAGCAGTCTTGAAGATGTGGTCAAGAATCTCAAGGAGGATCTCGCTAATGAGACTGATCAACACAAGCAATTGTCACTCAGACGCGAGTTGGAATCAAAAGATTACCAAGTTAGAATTGATAGACTAACCTCTGAATTGCACACATCTAGAGAGAACCTCGTCGAAATTAGAACCACTCGTGATCATCTTCAAGTGCGCACGGACGATCTCATACAACAGCTCAAGAATAAAGAGGAGAGATTAGTAATCTTCGAGAACAGAACTGGAAATAGAAATGAAAATCTCACTTCTGAGCAACAATTACAGATTGAGATTGCTGAATTGAGGTATGTTTGGGGACTTCTAACGTTAACATTCTAACAAACATTCCAGATCTGAGCTTGAAATGGCAAAATCTGAAGTAAGCAAGTCCGAAACTCACGTTGAGCAATTCAAAGAAATTGCATCAGCGAATGAACGTGCCCTTCAAGACATGAATGAATCTTATGACAACTATAAACAAACTCAAGACAAGCTCTTGTCTGAACGTGAACAACAGATCAAACAATATGAAAGTAGGATTGAAGGAATGACAGAGCAAGTAGAACAATTACAATCAGAGAATAATGAAATTCACCAGAAGCTCATCAATGAGAGGTCAGAATTCTCTCACGAGAAGAAGGCATTGGAGGATATTCTCGCTGACCTTAACAACGCTCAAGGAGAACAAGAAGCTCGTTTTGCTGAATTGCGTAATGATCGTAACAAACAGAGTGACTACGCACATGAGAATCATGACAAATACCAAAGAGAGGTACTCTTACATGCCCAATCTGTTGAACAATTGCAACAAATGAAGAAGGAAACAGATAATCATCAACAAGCTATCAAGGGGGCCAATGAAGAGAGAGATACCGCCGTGCAGGCTCTCAAACAAGCTGAACTTAGCTGGCAATCACAAAAGGAGTTGATGGATATTGAGCTCAATGAGTTGCGTAAACGTCATGGAGAGATTATTGGCCAGAATGATGTCCTCCATAAGCATTTAGAGACTGTTAACAAAAAAATTGCGGAAGCAGGCATCAATAGCATCAACCAAAACAATAACAATGAAGCTGTCGCTCAGTCATCTGAGACTGCCAATAGTAGCGATCTTCAATCAGTCATTAATTACCTTCGCAATGAACGTGAATATCTCGATTTGCAATTGTCACTTTCAAAGCAAGAGAATAGCAGGTTTAAGACTCAATTGGAGAGATTAAACGAGAGCATTGACGAAACTCGTGCATTACTTACTGAAGAGCGTAATAAGAATGCACGCGGTGACGTCTCAGCGGTTCAACACCAAGAACTTTTGAGCAAGATTGATCAACTCAATCTACTCAGGGAGAGTAACACTACACTTAGGTTTGAAAGTCAAAGAAACAGGAACAAAGTTCTCGAACTCGAGTCTGCGTTACAATCATCTCAAAATGTCATTCAACCTCTTGAAGAGAACATTAGAAACCTCACTGCTGAATTGCAAGTATCCAAGAAGGAAGTTGAGCACTGGAAAGAGGATGCTGATAGATGGCAAAAGCGTAATCAACAGATTCTTTCCAAGTACGAGCGCATCGATCCAGCTGAATTACAAAAATACAAAGACGATGCTGAACAATTGAGAAAGTCCCTTGAAGAAGTAAAGAAAGAGTTGGAGGAGACTAACAAAAAAGTGAGTTATACATTTCTTAGAATGACCTTAACTAATATGATATTAGCTTCAAGAGGCTCAAAATGAAGTCAATAACCAGAAGACTCGTAATAGTGACCTTATATCAAGATCTAATAATAGTATGAGCAGATCAAAAGAAGCCGCTAGAATTAAGGACGAACGTCTGAAAGACCTCGAAGAGCAATTGTCGAAATCAACTGAAAAGTCAACTCAATTTGATAAAATCTCTGAAGAACTCACAAAGACGAGACAAGAATACCAAACGATGGAAGACGCGAAGAAGGAGATTGAAAAGAAGTTAGAAGAAGCTGAGAAACAATCTGGAGACGTTACAATGCAGGAAACACCAAATGTTTCAAATGAAGAGAAGCTCAAACTTGAGAAGGAACTCAATGAAACGAGGACCAAAGCGGGTGAGAATGAAAAACTCATCGAGGATCTCAAGAAGCAGTTGAGTGATAAGGATACCGTGATATCCAATACAAAGGATCAAGCTGCAAGTGGTGAAGGCCAACAAGAGCAACGAGCTGCTGGTGATACTGTTACCGCTACTAACGCGTCAGTCGTTACTGTTCAACAATTGGAAGAGAAATTGCGTAATACAGAGAAGGAGCTCGCTGAAACCAAAGAAAAGGTGTCGACACTTGAAACCGAATTGGAGAAGAAAACAGCTGAAGTTATTAAAGTCAATAAGAGTTTGCAGCTCAAGCAAAGAATGGCTGATGGATACAAGCAACAAGTAACTAAAGCTGAAACTATTATTGCAGATTTCAAGAATGCCACTAGCAAACAACAGAAGGCGGCGACAGATAATGGACCTACTGCGCCTCCACCAACACCTGCCGTTGGAACATCAAACGAAAAGCAATCTGAATCACAACCAAGTGAACCAACAACTGTGGAAAGCTCGAAGACAATAACTCAACCTAAAGCTCAACCTGAAACGCAGACTCCTGCTCCTGCTCCTGCTCCAACTGCCGTAAGTCAACCGGCAACTTCAGCGCCAGCTGTAGGAGGTGAGACACCAAAAACTCCAGAAACACCACAAGTGAGCCAAACTAATGAAGATGCTCAAGACACTGGTAAGTTAATAAAGTGCAATTTTATTTATACTAACGATAGTTCAAGCTGGTCAACAGGATAAAGGCAAAGAAAAAGCCACACCCGAAGAGGAACAACCATCTCAAGTTAGCATAGCTGGTGCTGCAGGTGGTGCTAAAAAGGGACCAATAAAGAAGCTTGAGAAGCGTACACCAGGTGATGCTCAAAGCGGTCAAAGTGGGTTCTTAGTATTTTGAAGTAAAACAACCTTTAACAAACTTGCAGGAAAACAGAAAATCAGCTTTTTAGGACTAGCTGGAAAGGTACTACCAACACAGCAAACTAAAGAAAGTACCACACCTCAAAAAAGACAAAGGGATGAAGAAGCTAGTCAAACTTCAATAAAGGGTACTGCTAAGAAAACTAAAGAGAACGATAAAGAGTGATGTATATAACCAATTTTATTTCTAATTAATGCAAAAGAATAAATTATGATTCTAATTTTCATATAAAAGTATAATGGAATAATGCATAATGACTTATATTAAAAAGTTAAATGTGTTTCATATGGATGGATGAATGTAATTAATGTGAGGAAGGTAAATGTCATAAAAATGCTATCAATCGAACGTAAAAGCCGCAGGCCATTGTACTACCAACCTTGGTACCAGCTTTGATTGCCAATCTTGGAATTGATACTCAACTTCAATAATATTACTATACTCCATTAATGCTTTAGTTGCATAAATGTGTAGATTTCTATTATAATAAAATTGAGAACATAATGCAGAATTTAGATCTTTGCCATTTAATAGTAAACTTGCTGGTTTCGGTAATAAAGTTCTCAAAGTTGTATTACTATTTGAAGGCTTTATATTACCATTGTCAGCGCTACTTTTACGTGAATTCGTTGGTGATTGAGTAGGAGAATTTTGATTAGATGCAGAAACTTTCGGTGGAGTTTGTAATTCGAAAGAGAATGATTTCTTTTTAGGTGTTGAAGGTAAATTATTAGCGTTATTATTATCTAAACCTAAACCCTTGAATGAATTATTTAGTTCATTATTGTCTTGATTTTTACCATCAGATGATTCAATAATTGAATTTCTTTTATCATCAACGTCTTCTTCATCACTATGTAAAATGACTGAATTAGTACGTGTTGATGGTTCGATGTCTTCATGTCGTCGCTTAATTGTGTTCAAATTACTATTCAGTTGTTTTATTATTTCAATAACTAAATCACTGGCTTCCGGATTTTGTTGTACATGTCCTACTCTGAACACTAACAACCTTAACCAATAGGACCTAACACTTTGTGACCAGAATAATGTTAATCTATTGAATAAAGATGGTTCCAAAAGCAAATCTAAACATAATTTTCGTTGATATTGAGGGTATTGACATAATGAATCAAAGTGTGTAAATATGAAGGATCTAATTTGATGTTAATAAGCCATTCTTCTTTGTTTATTTCTAAAACTCACATTACTCTTATCAATGTTAAAACATGATCACAATTCTTGAGAATAATAGTGATAAATTCTAAAACAAATTGAATATCAATCTGCTCAAAATTGGTATCAAGGTTGAAAGCAGTAAGGAAGATACCATCTAAGGCATCTAATAAACAGAAAACTTGTGGTGCTGAATACATATTAGTTAATCTTACTGCTAATTTTATTTGGAAATTTACAACCTCCAACCAAGTGAACTTTCCATCAAGTACTTCGGTTGAGTTGTTATTTTGTAACATATCTTGTAAAGTTAAAACAATCCTTCTGTTAGCTTGTTCTAATAATTTAGGTTTACCAGCAGTTGCAGCTAAAACATTAGCTGTTTCTGAGATATCAGTTGACTTTTGATTATTTGAAGGTGTACCGGTAGTCACACTATAGATGTCACCTCTAACAAGTGACAATATTTTTGAGTGTAATATACAACTTAATTGAGGATATCCGGGTGAATTGAATAAAAACTTAGTTGATAATATTCTATATTTATCTTTGGATTCTTCTAAACCTTCCAATATAAATCTTTCAAGTAACCTATGATATGCTCTAATAAAACTGAAGAATAATTCTGAATCATCTGATGTCCACCTCCTTAACCAATTATCAGGTTCTAATATTAAATACTTATTGGGTATGTTCGTTTCATGTAGCCCATAAATATATTCTCTAGCTTCATCTGCATATTTTATTTCCAGTGGGTTTGAACGTTTTGATGGTTTTATACATAAATGTTGAAGGAAACTTGCGAAGGAAGTTGATGGTAACTGTTCAGCTGATTCGTAATCCCAACCTGAATCATTGATAAGTTTAGCTAAAGTTCTAGGTGGTACATCTAATGGTTGAAGTAATTGTTGAGCTGTACCAGGTAATCTGAAGAAAGCTATAGCGAAGTATCTACCGCAGTAGAAGATTGTGTTTTGAAATACACCCCTACTATTTAGCTTCGCCAGGGAGTATTTGACAACATCGGCTAAAACTTTGCACATCCTATCCTCATCTTGAGGAGCGTAAGACGCTATGAGTTTAGATGACAGGAATTTGCTATCATTGTTGTTAGCAATAAAGGTATGAGAAAAGAGATAACCTACGATTCCAAAATTACAGCTAAACTTTCGAGACATGCACTTCGTTCAGGTGCGATTTGTTGAGAATTAAGATCATCGATTATAGCATAAACCCAATCAAATAGTAAAGATCTACGTCCAACGACTTTTTCGGTATCATAGAGTTTACAGTCGTCTATACTATCAAAGGAGTTGAAAGTCTCGCGTATGAACAAGGCTTTGTTGGGCTGCAATTCCTGTAGATGACCTTTGAAAAGTTGAAGGTTATTCTGGATGGTTGTCCAAATCCTAGTAACTTGGTTAGGTTCTTGTTGATCTGTTGGTATTGGTAAAGACTCCGATGAAACAGGTAGAGGGGAATAAGCACGTTTGGGGGATTCCGATCTGTCGATTAGTTTGAAGACAGGACTGGGTAGGTTGTCATTATCGGTAGGTTTCGGTTGAAGGAAGAGATCGTCGTTGTTGACGTTGTTCTCTTCGTTGTACTTGCTGTCCGGTAGCTTGTGGTTATGCTGAGTAGTCCTATTATTGTTGTCACGATCATTTCTATCATTTTCGTCGTGATTGTCGTCGTGTATGTTATTTGAAAGAGGAGTGCTTCCCGCACAGTTCTCGTCCGATTGATGGACAAAAAGATCCGATTTCTGCCTGGATGAACGGCGTGGTGGAGGGGTGAGAGGCATTGGCTCTTCAGCATTCTTAGAGGAATGATGTATCTTGTTAGAAACGGATAATACTGAGAGCTTTTTGAAGCGCTTGATCGGTGTGAGAGGGTTTTTGTCATCCTGAGTAGTGAGAGCTTTATCTACTTGATCTGAGAAATCATTCCCGAGGTCTATAGATAGTCGTAGCGGCGGGAGCGAGTTGAAGGGTGTAGTGGGGGTTGATTGATTGCTTGTAGGGACGGGTGTATTGCTAGACTGCCTAGATGATTGCTTGGCTGATTGGCTGGTAGATCGCTTACTAGATTTGCTGGTAAGGCGACTGATCGTTTTGCTGAATGAATGTCTAGGTTTGCTTATAGGGTCTTAATAAAGGATAGCGGGTATTGAACTACTCACTCGTCGTCGTCAAAACTGAAACAACTAAATAAATGTTTTAATTTCATCCATAAATTGCGTCGTCGTCGTCGTCACTCGTCGTCGTATAAATCAAAGGTGTGTATAAAATATTTATATTTACATTCACTCTTCTGCTATTAAAGCGACTATTAATTTGTATAAGTAGACTATTATCTGTAAGTATAAGCTAAGAGTAAAAAGGCTACGCACAGAAGAAGGAAATCAAGTAAAATGCTAACTTCAAGAATGATTCCTTTTTATGAACGGAGAGTGTTCTGAATATTTCTGTTGCGTCGTAGAAGTTGTTGTTGTTGATCGTCCTATGAACTACTTTAGTGTCTGATATGAGTGCTATAGACTACTAACTTTCTAATGTTAAATCCAAGTAATGGTGCGTTTATAATAAATGTCAACCATTGACCGCATATCAAGAACAAGATGGTCAAAAATCCATGGAAAGCTGCTTCAGGTAGTACGAACTGGTGATAGTTTGTTAGATATACTCTATTATATTGTATATAAATAAATTCCCACGTTATTCAACTTGTTACAGAGATCTATTGGATTAATATAATCACACTCAAGATCGCTGAACATGATGATCTGAAGCTATTTAGTATATAAAAGACGCCATAAACAGCTAAACTAACGAAGAATACCATAGTGAATAGCAATCCTGCACTAGCCAGGACGGAGAAGAGATATAACCAAGCTATTAGCTATTTTAGCAAGCTATCAAGGGATATATATAATAAATACCTTCAAGACCCATCTAAATTGATTATTAATAAAATATTGTCGACAGCACACACTCACACTTTCTAGGATATATTGGTCGTTTGCTTAAAACATCGAAATGTCGAATAACCGACCACTAATTCAAATTATATTAAGGCGTGATTTATTAGATGTATTATTCTCATTTATCTAACTTTCTCTCGCTCATTTGTCACTTTAGTTACACAGCTGGACATTCGGTATGCTCGCTGCTCAGACGGCGCATGCAGCGACAGCAGTACGTAACTACCCTTTATCGACGATATATCGTCGATCTAACACTCTCAGGTTATCCAAGAAACTCACTCTGACCCCCTCACACAAGAATACGTAAGCCCGGACAATCTAGATAAGATGCGCAAAGTGGGTGTTCCATAAAGAAATACTCCCTCTAACAGCACCTAGACGGTTCTACAGGTGGGTCTCTCCTTTCACATCCATTAACGCCCTCATTTCGTCACAGACTCCCGACGGAGAATCTCTCGTCCGCCTTTATCAGGATATTTTACCATTAGGTAAAGCCAAACTTTGGATTGAACAACCGGAGAATATACCGACGGCCATCGCGATAGCACCCAACAAGTCGAAAAAGATCAAAGACCTCTTGCGTCATAATGGCTGTGTATTTTTCTGATATATCGTTACAACTTAGTATCCACCTGCACCAGGACTATGTGTGTCAATAAAATAAATAGGAAATAGACCAGACTCACGCTCTTTCACCCTGCTTGCGTAAACCGGTGAGTACTTCCTTGAATCTCCCGAGATCTTTCCGAGCGAGCTGTTTATTTCCAACATTGTCAATATCGAGGAGATCGCAAATACCTATCTTCTATCAGACTAGTTTATCGTCAGTAGGCAATACTCACGTTCCCATGTCGTCCCACTCGCGAGGGCATCTGTGCGCTTATTAAGAAATTCCTGTTCATCCTCCTTGTTCTTCGCAATATTCTTCTCTTTACGTTCATTGTAATCTTTGTAGAAGCTATCAATAGCTCTTTCAGCTTTGAGTTTTATCTCATCCTTCTCTTTCTCAGCTTCTGTATCACGTTCTGCGATCTCCTTAGCGCGCTTTTCGCGCCATTCTCTTACTGGCTCAGGTTCTGGATCGGTTGACGTCCTCGCGCTGAAAAGAGGTGCTGCGATGCCCTGATTTGATGGGGTTTGTTGAATAAAGTCTGATTGAACGAATGATGGTGTGCTAATCTCCGGTCCCGTACTAACTTCTGGTTCCTCTAAAGCTGGGAAAGATGATTCAAACTGTTGGATATCATCTTTTGGTGTATCTTCTAATGGAGCTGCTACTACTGGGGATGCACTTGCTTCGCCTGTCGCTGGTATCTCTGGGAACTTCTCGTCTGCGCCGTCTACACCTTCGATGCTGTACTACGCATTTAGAATAAGACCATATAAATAAACAATAGACGCACTCTGGGAATGCACTAGCTGCAACTTCTGGATCGAGTCTGTTGTCTGTCTCGTCACCTAATAAATCGGCACTCATGATTGTCGTTATCAAAGCGTGGATTCAAAGATTACAACGTTGAAGGAAAAGAAATTTAATCTAGAGTTTACTATTCAATCCGCTTAATCTTTCATAATTGCTATAAAATAGGTTATCTATAGCGTAACACGTCAGCGATTGATGAGACAGATTAATAAAATAAAAAACACACCCTTTGGTACAGCAAGTGCGTTCAAATTGGCTGTATTCACCATCTCTGGTGTAACTTCTTCGAGTGAACGCGCACCGAGGAGTCTCATACACACTGAACTTGTTAGGAAAACTGCAGACTATAACACAGTCACTTACTTTCAAACTCATCTCTTAATATTTCCATAGCACGATTCACACCATCCTCTCCGTATGCCGAATAAGCGTAGATGAACGGTCTACCAATTCCGACTGCTTTGGCACCGAGTGCGACTGCCTTCAGTATATCCGACGCACGTCTAACACCACCGTCGATGTAAATCTCAAACTTTGATGGGTTGTATAGTCCTCTAGCTTTGAGTGCCTCGACGACTTCTGGTAGGATCTCCAAACCAGATGGTGCCATGTCGAGTTGACGACCACCGTGATTACTACGTACTGTAAGAGTATGTGCAAGCTAGTAAGGAAGAATGTCTCACCTCAAGACAATACCCGCGCAACCTCTCTGTGGTCCTCATTAGATGAACGTCCCAAGTTTTACGAAGCGCCTCACCTCAGCTGCAATGACGGCGTCCTGCCATGATTGAACACTAATGAATGTTAGATTACCGACAACATTGACTTAGTTGCTCACCCTTTGAGAACCTGGGAACGTTAGTCAACTACTCAAGATACACATAGTAACACCCACAATTGGCATCTTTGTGATGCTGGACAGCCAGTCGAGATCACTCCATTGGAGACTTGGATCGATGAGTGTAGAGATAGTCCTAGCAATACCGACTATGACTTATGTCAGCTAGCAACGAGACTGCTGGAATAACGCTCACCATCTTCGAATTTCATTCTCATATCCTTCTCGCGTCTGCCCAATTGAGGAGCATCAACTGTAACAAAGAGGCCTTTGACACCTCTGCTTTCAGCACGCTTAACAAACTACAAAAGTTAGCTTAAAAAACATATGAAAGTACGTTTTCTCACTTTCTCCGTAACTTCACGGTTCGAATTGACGTAGAGTTGTAAAAATTGCACCTGATCTTCTAAAGCGGCATCTATCATCTCGTCGAATGAACAGGATGAAATGGTTGGTATCATCTGTATAATCCCATTCTTCGCCGCACTTCTCGTAAGGTTGAGTTCACCATTCACGGGATCGCCGAGTTTGCCGAGTGCGGTAGCCGTGATATAAAATGGCATACTAGTTTTATGGCCTAGTATAGATGTATCAAAACGTACGTTAGCTACATCCCTTAATATACGCGGTCTGAACCAAATGCGATGGTAAACATTGTGGTTCTCACGCATGGTTATCTCATCATCCGCTCCTGAGCTATAATACATCCATGCTTTACCAGTTAGAACGTATTTAGCGACAGCCTCGAGGTCGTGTAAACTGAGACATTCTCCAAGTGGTGGTTTTTTAGCGTGACGTGCAGCACTTTCTTTCTCCTCTTGAGATGTCTCCTTGATACGATCTTGGACAGTCATAGGATCTATTCTACCAAGGTGCTTCTCTGGCGGGAGGTTCTCGCTGATCGCATCTGGTGGATGAATTGGGTCATATTCAGCTGTCGCATCTTTACCACCATATTTGAGTATTATTTTAGAACCACCTGGATGTTCAGGTAGGAAATCAGTAACATCGTATACTTTCCCGTCTAATGCTCTCCGTCAGGATATCGTAATCGCTGTAATCTGATTAGCTTACGGACTATGATCCAACAAGATTCTTTGGTATTATGCTGGGAAACCTCCTCAGCTGTAAACATTTTCTCATTTGTAGTCTTCTCTATTTCACCAGTCATCGATTTTCTCTAAGAAGCTATCATGTGGACACATCCGGGGTATGTCGTGCGTATATTAATAGCCGCATATTCAGGAAACAACTTTGTATATTTTTACAACTAAAATAAAACTTTAAATTATTTTTTTAGCTTTCTAAGCGGCATAGAACCTTATTGTTCTATCCAAGCCACTAGCTATGAGCTCATTTCCACCAAGACCCCAACTGAGTGTTTCTACAGTAGACGCGTTATCCTCAAATCTAACCAATTCTTCCCATGTTTTGTTAGCAAGAATTCTAACATCGGATCCAGCAATCGCCAAAAACTGTGCACTTGGATCAAACCTAACGGTTGTTGCACTTGAAACTCCCTCTTCTAATTGAATTGTATGGATTGATTTCAACTTTCTCAAATCGAATATTTCAATAGTTGAGCTACCTGCAAATGCAGCTGCCAAATAGTATCCATTTTCTGAGAAAGAAAGCGAAACAATTGGACCATGACTATTTGGTGATTCAAAGTTTGCTGCAATCTTTGATGTCTTTAAATCCCAAATACGACAAATACCTGATTGTGTACCAGTTGCAAATATGACACCATCAGGGTGTATATCTACGGATTGGTATTCGAAATCGCCAGATTCACCATCAGGTGGGCTAACATCGAGTAATGTCTCGAGTGTATCGAGGTTATGAAGTGACCAACTTTGGTTTGTACCAACGCTGATGGCATAATTCTTAGTTGGGTGTACTTTCATGCCTGTTACTTCACCACCTGTGCGGTTTTTGAATTCACCGGTCATCTTCCATCCTTTCTCTTCTTTACTGTATACCCTAACACGCTTATCACCGGCAGAGACGACCAAGGTCTTCAAACCTTCCTTCTCTCTCCACTCTAAAGCATTAATCTTCTTGGTATGTCCCTTGAGTGTTGCGATCGTCTTTTGCTCCTGACGATCATAGATCTGGACATGTTTGTCATTACCACCTGTAATCAAGAGGTTGTTGTCATTTGAGAGTGCAGTTGCGTTCACACCTGCTGGAGAAGCTGAATGGAATGATGCAAGGTTATCCTTGGCATTGAAAGCCTTTACTGTGTCCTTGCTAGCAGCGCCATCTGGAACCTTGCGCTTCTTTCTTTCTGCAGTGAGTACTGCCGCGACAGAATCGATATTACTGACGACATCGGCTGGTAATCCACTTGCTGCTTCCTCCTCTTGCATTTCTACATCGCCGCCATTAGCTGGGGCTGCCTCAGCTGCTGGAGCAACGCCTAAACCTGCTTGTATGTTGGATAAAGCTCTTTCATTCATGTTAGATGGAAGCTCAATAGGAAAAGAAAACCCACTCTCTAGCTTGATCACGCTCGACCATAAGGCGTGCAATGACACGGTGGGCTGCATCTACTTGATAGAGTGCGTGTGCAAGATCTTTGCGTCCGTTTACGTACTGCTCACGGAGGGAGTGTGTTTCTAAAACGAGTGAATCCCATTCAGACTGCAAAGTGGAGAGCAAAGTTGGTACAGAGGTCAAGCTTGGTGGTCTTGGTGCGACATTCTTTGGTTCTACGCGATGTGAGATTTCAAATAACTCTAAGAGGGTGAGAACTGACCAGATTTTACACTAACTAGATCATCAACCGCCAACTGCTCGCCTGATATTGGATCTTTTCCGTTCTCGTTGATATACTTCTCAATTAAACGCTTCTCAAATAAGTGACCAGATTTAACAGAGACGACAGCCTCTTGTGGTGGTTCACCAGATACTTATATGCTATTAGAATTGCTGTCTTTTATTTATCTGTCACTTACTAGCACAGAACATCGTTGGGCTTCTTACGCTGATGACCGTATGAGATTGAGATGCGAGTCGACGAATTTATCAGATATTTTGAGATATACATTCATATACTATCAGACCACTCTCTCGGGTACTCATCTCATTTCCATCTTTTCAAGCGTGAGTATATCGGAATTATTATAATCTACAGCTATAATAAAGGTATTCATAATATAAAATAACAATAAATCATTTAGCAATTAGTTCTTACGTTGCTTCTTCTTTTCTGGTGCCTAATAGTGCCGTTAGCACGTGTTTTTTCAATGTCTAAAAACCCACCTCAAGGTCAATCTCAGCGTTTGGATCTTCCTCATCATCCTCTTCCTCATCTGAGTCCTCCATGACACCATCCTCGAGTCCCATAAAGACGTCAATAGCGTTAGGGTAGACTTCCTCAGCGATGATTGGACCAATGTCAAGAACATCCTTCTCCTCAGCGATGAAGTTGAAGAATGAGCCTGGGTCACCAGCTGCGTCAACATCTTCATTGTCTGGGTCAAGAGTACGTGGGTGCTTCTTGACTAAGTTTTTCTCCTCAGATTTCCAGTCAATTTCGACCTTGGTGGTAGTAAGGTCGCGTTCTGGGTCAAAGTTGATAATGTCATCAGCAGTTGGTGTGTCCTTCTTATCACCAACGACTGAGTAAGCCTTAGTGAAAGACTTGTTAGAGAAGAATTCATTCTCAGCAAAGTTGAATGTGATTGAGAATTCTCTGCTGTCCTTCTCGTTTCTTTGAACTGAGATGGATTCGAGAGCTTTAAGAGCATCAGCATCACCTGGTGCTGCTGTTGAAACGCTCAAGAAGCTGTGGTTACGGAAGACAATAGGCCAGACTATGAAAATGTTGAGTGAGATTCTACATCGTGGAATAAAACTCACATTGTGGGATAGCCTTGAGCTCCTCGTCACGCTTTTCAAAGTATGGCTTGAAAATCTTGTGGTGCTCGTTTTGAGCCTTCCATGCGGAGACTTCTGACTCCTTCTTCAAGCTAACGAGAGTCTCTACTTGAGCGTCTTCGAGTTGTACTTCTCTATTAACGCGTAAGTCGTTATTTACGTATTATCTCCTCGCCTACTCAGCTGGCATTTTTGACGTGATGAATGTAAATATTAAAGGGAAAAAAGAAGATGCGTCGCGTGATTTACTAATTAAAATATCTTTTTATTGTTTTCTAGCTAATTTCAATAATAAGTCTCATAATATTCTCTCTTTATTTGGCTCCATAGGTGGTATATCTCCGTCTTCGCGATATTGTTGTAGAGAAGATAAATCTGTGTCGTTGATTAAGATGATAAATAACAGTGTAGTATTAACTGTTCTTACGTTGGTTATATAGCGCTATCAATTGCTTATCTTCTGTAGGAACGTTGTTATTATTCTAAATGAGCCTGTATTGATTATTCAAGGCATCATGCTGCCAAACAATAAATAACAAAAGATATGTGTACTGTTAGAAACATCATCTCATGTCCGAAAAATACGTTTCCCTGCTTTCATTTCGGCAATTCTAGAAAATTTTGATGAGTGACGCAATCCAGTAGTTAAACGTGATAATCAAGGGAATAATAACCAATATCTACTAAAACTATCTTTTACTTCCAATCTATGTCTTTTAACATGGCATTTATGACTAAATGAGTTATTTTCACAATGAATTAATGTGATGTCAGGCATAGGATGTTTTGAAATAGTACACAAAGTCAAGATATGCTCTTTTTGAATCGTATTGATTATTTCAAGACACTATCGTGCAAATAAAATTATATTCAATTTGATTTATTTGCTCTCGCATCGTAAGTAGGTCAAAAAGGGCAAATAGTGGTATATCATTTTAACGAAAGTGCATTATTCGATAGCCAGATGGATAGCTAGTAAAGTGCTTAGATAGTAGTCCACTCAAAAGGCGACAGTGTCTTTTGCGGATTTTCTTGTAGACATCGAAAATTGTCACAATGAGGAATCGATTGTACTATAACTACAATATACTTATCTAGTTCTTATCTAGTTCATATGTAGGCAGTACTTTTAATACAATCAATAAACATGCTGGTGTCAAATAGACATACGATGAGAAGAAAAGTGCGACTGAGTATCTAGCATCTTGTCTAACGAATGTCGATACCCGAGTGCAAAAATGTTTCTTGTGGGCGAGCGTTGGAGGAACTTATAAAATGTTCGATGATGCATTACAGCATACAAAATATATGTCCATGATGTTGCATGTCTTGGTGGCAGGAAATACGCTTTAGAGCCAAGGGATAAATTTCCTACATTATTTCAAGTATCTCATTTATAATTATGGCTAGGATTTTACTCTCACTGTGCTCTTACGACCTGCTTTACTGTTACATGACAAAGTTCTGAGTCTATCAACAAATGATGGGTAAAACTAATGGGAATACAAATATCATTTGCATATAGCATCTATGCATTATTTGAACAATCATCACGCATTTTACTACGAAAGGTGTCGTCTTCTACATTACATAGGTAGATGGTACATTATGAGGTGTGGTCAGTTCCATTCATTTATTTATCAATAATACTTGAATGTCACCACTGCTTAGAGACTGGAAGTGTGGTGGTAGAAGTCGAGCATCAAAAATTACACATCTGATCACGCAGAAGAGTAGAACAGCACTCAATGACTAAGCTCCAGCTATTTAGTACGCATATCGTTTATATATTAGCACCAGGTTGGTAGATAAAATGAAGAAGACATTCATTTGGTCAAGACCAGCAGCATACATGCACCTTATGATCTTGGCTTTTCCTTGATGCCTCTCCAGAGAGCCATAAGACCAACGCCTGGATAATAGTTAGATTGATGTACTATAGCGCCTAGATGGCTACTCACCTGAGACCTTGACGACCTTGAAACGAACACCAGGAATATCACCCTTAGCTTTACCCTTACGACCGAAACCTGAGATCAAAACTTCATCGTTTTCATCAACGAAGTTGAGTGAACTGGGTTGTTAGGAGTGCTCAGTTGAGGTACTTTGAAAAACTTACCCGTCATTTGGTACGAAAGCGGTGATCTTCTTACCGTTCTTGATGAGTTGAACACGGACACACTTTCTGATGGCGGAGTTTGGCTGCTTAGCTTCGACACCGACCTTCTCGAGAACGATACCCTTGGCGTGTGAGGAACCACCAGTTGGGGATGTTCTGAAGAAGTTACCAAGAGCCTTCTTGTTGTACTGTTGGTCAGCCCAGCGGTTGTCTCTTCTGATGGTCTTGAGCTTGCGAGCTGCTTGCAGTCCACGAGGCATGTTGGTTCTGGAGTGCGTTAGCGGTGCTCAAATGGCGTGCATTGCCAGCGAGGAGTAAGTATAATGATAAGCTCTCATTTTATTCACTCTCCTAGCGCTCAGATTTTTACTCACCTAAGCGTACACTAAAAAGAGTCTGTATCGCTCGCTCACTAGAAATTCTCATCACCAAATTTTTTAAAATTCAAATCTGTCTAAATAAATATATTAATTAGTTTATTATTATATATCGACCGTTAGCATTTTAGCATCCTCAAGCTAGACTGCCTCTGCTGTCCTGCTATCCAAGCGAGAAGACAGCGTCTTGAGAACGCTAGTCTAAGTAGACAGCCTATTAGTGCATAACTATATGAGCAAGCCAAAGCGATATTAAATAGAAAACAAGAGATAATAATTTTAGCTGAGTGTGTCTAAAAATGTGAAGAGTATAAAAATGCGATGAAATGTGTGTAGTGGCATCGATCAGGCGACAATTTTACCTCTAGCTCTATGCTTCCTTTCACCCTCTTTGTGTCCAACGAATTCAACCTCCGTTGCTAATCCACCGCCAAGTTTTTCACCCTCACCGAATCCTAGAACGTCGTGCTTCCAAGTCTTACCGAGCTTCTCCATTCTCTCAAACAAGTCCTTCTCTTCCTCTGTCAATTCTGTGTTGACTGACGTAGTTTGTCTTGTCCAAATCGCCAGTCTGTAGAAGTTTGGACGGGTGGATATAATTACACCTGTAATAAGATCGTCACTTGGGTTTTCAGATAAGTCTCCTTCGAGCGTCTCTCCAATGGCAGACAACATGGTGTCTAACCACAACCTATCGATTCTGTCTCTCCACTTTTCCCTAGGGAACTGAACACTCCACTTTCCACCGTCGGCGTTGGCTTCATCTTCCCAAGCAGGTCTGATGCCACGTTTGAAGAGGTAGTAGTTTGCTTTTTGTGGGAGGTGTGTAGGAGGTAATATATTGTTGTAGAGACTGTAGTTTGTCAGATAAGTAGCTATAAAATAGTTCAACCAACCCCCAGAACTCCTCTACGGAATCAAAAGTGATAACTTCTTTCGTGTCGTCTAACCAGTTTTGTGCACCTGCTGACTTTTTTGGGTTGTCAAACCAGAGAGTCCAGGCGTTGAAGAGCGGGTGCTAGGAATAGGTTAACGATGTTATATCAAGTCTAGGTAACGCACTTTAACGTTAAATCCAGTAGCGTCGTCGAATACTGTCTTCATATCCTCTGGGCTGATATCGTCCTCCTTTATCTCACCATCTTCTAACTCAGGCTTATCACTCAATTTGAGATTGTCTACAGAGTCGTTGATCGCTTGCACAGACGCAGATATCGCTGTCTCCGGTACCGTCGTTTTCTCGTCGTTTGTGGTCATTAGTTGATGAGTGAACTTAATCAAGGGAAACTTAGATTGTTTCCAACTTCTATAGCAAATTTTTTACCTTTACGATCAATTACTAGCTCATAGTTTCTATTAATTTCCTTTTGTTTACTTCAAAATGCAAAATTGTCATCACAGCTGACAGCACAATTGTATGGTCTGACGAGCACTTCTAAGTTATCGATATAATAAATTTATAAACGTTTTCATCAATTTATCCACTCACTCTTACTATACTCAAAAGAGAAGACTATCACTCTCTATCATGCACGACGATGAACAAATCCAGCGGGTGATTCCAGCATCAGCAAAGTTAGTGGCCGCTAGCGTGGGTGCGATAGTAACATCCTTATCGAGTTAGTCTAGAAACTCAAGCTATTCTCTATTAGCTTCTTACGCAATCTACAGTGACACCCTTTGATGTGATCAAAGTAAGGCTCCAGACACAGTCACAGTATCAAAGGAACAAGCCATACCATCCACCTGCGGCTTTACCACATCATTTGCACCCAATATCCAATGAAATTACCTCTAATAACAGGCGTTTAAAGGGCAGTTTAGACGCCGTAATTAAAATAAGCAGACATGAAGGTTTCACTGCCTTATGGAAAGGTCTAACACCTACATTGTGAGTTAAAAATCATCAATATACTATCTGACTCACTATCGATAAGACTCATGGCAGTACCTTCAAATGCAGTTTATATGCTTGGTTATGAGAGTCTACATCACACTTTCCTTGATAGCGGTATGAACACTACATTTAGTCCACTTTTGGCAGGTGCAACAGCTAGAACATTCTCAGCCACTGTCATTTCACCATTAGAATTACTCAGGACCCGCTTACAAGCAAGTTCTACACAATCACCATCTCAAATTATACAATCATTGCGTACATCCGTTCAGGTTTCAGGTGTAAAAGTCCTCTGGAGAGGTCTCGATTGGACATTAGCAAGAGACGTCCCATTTAGTTCTATATATTGGGCTGGCTTTGAATTGATTAAACGTACTATGATAGAATATGAAGGTAAGGAAGCACCTATACGTACACCTTTCGTCGCTGGTGCAACATCTGGTATTTGCGCTGCATTAATCACTTCTCCTTTCGACGTACTCAAGACACGTAGACAAGCATTAGTTGAAGCAACCCATGAGGTTACTCTGCCACGACATCAATGGAAAAAACAACCATCAATGGTTACTTTATTCATGAACATCTTACGTGCTGAAGGACCGCAAGCATTATTCGCAGGTTTGAGTCCACGTATTGCCAAAATTGCACCTGCATGCGGTATACAAATAGCAACTTACTCACAAGTATCAAAATATTGGTCCTCAAGATATCCCCAAAGTAGTTAATTTAAGAAAAATTTTCGGACGTGCTATATATAGACAAAAAGATTATATCTAATTTATAAATGTATTTTAACATCTGTTGAGAGACTTTCTTTTACATACAATAATCCAATTTTTGAAACAGTTTAAAGAGAAATGTTGCGTTGAGCATTGAAAAATTTCGTTATGTCATTTATAATAGCTTAGTGATGGAAAAGACGTAATGGTAAAGCTGAGTAAACGATACCATATTCGTTAGCAGCCTTGATAACTTCCTCATCCATGACACTACCAATAGAAGCAGCAACGTATTTAACACCTGATCTGTGAGCTCTGTGAACGTTGTCAGGGAATGGGAAGAAAGCATCAGAGCAGCAAGCAACACCGAGTTCCTTGAATGTTGCAGAGTGACTCTTGACTTCCTCTTCAGTGAGTGGTGATGGAACTTCCTCGAACATGCTCTCCCATTGTGCACGCTCAGATCCAGTAGCTCTGAATGCTTCACCGGTGACGAAAAGATCAATTGCGTTGGCCTTCTCAGCGCGCTTGACTGACTTCTTCCATGGCAATGACAATACTCTTGGGTGATGTCTCAACCACCAGTTATCAGCCTTGTCACCTGCTAATCTTGTACAGTGGATACGTGATTGTTGACCGGCACCCAAACCGACGACTGCACCATTGACTGCATATCCTACTGAGTTTGATTGTGTGTACTTAACAGCGATAGTGGCGACGGTCAAGTCAATCAATGCTTGCTTAGAGAGCTCCTTTTCGTTTGATACTAAGTTTGAGAAAGTCTCGTTGGTGATCTTGGCGTCATTTCTACGTTGTTGTAAAGTGATACCGTAAACTGAGCGGGTTTCGATGTCTGATGGTGTGAATGCTGGGTCAATCTAACTGCTATTAGCCAAGATAATACCAAATGGAAGAGTAATACTCACTTGTAACATACAGTATTTACCACCCTTCTTCTTTTGGAGGATTTCCAAAGCTTCCTTGGAGTAACCTGGAGCAATAACACCATCTGAGACTTCTCTGTTGATGATTCTTGCAGTTGGGTAGTCAACTTCGTGTGACAAGGCGATGAAGTCACCGAATGAGGACATTCTGTCAGCACCTCTAGCTCTAGCATAAGCGGTGGCAAGTGGGGACAATTCCTTGAGGTCATCAACCATGAAGACCTTCTTCTCGACGTCGTTAAGTGGTACACCGACGGCTGCACCTGCTGGTGAAACGTGCTTGAAAGAAGCAGCTGCTGGCAAGCCAAGTGCTTCTGCGAGTTCCTTAACTAATCCCCATGAGTTGAGACCATCAAGCAAGTTGATGTAACCTGGTGATCCACTAACAACCTTGATTGGCATTTCACCTTCGGTGACATAAGCTTGAGCAGGTTTTTGGTGTGGGTTAGCACCGTATCTCAATGGGAAACGTTGAACTAAATCAGTGTTGCTGTCCAATGAGGCGTATTGTTGACGGAAGTAGTTGCTAATGGCGCTGTCGTAGTCGGCTGTGTGTGAGAATGCCTGAGTAATGTCAGAATTGTCCTCTTGTAAAACAAATCAAGCTAACCTTCAAGGCCCACTTGTTACGTAAGGATTGTTCGACACCATTTTTGTATGATTCGATGAATGATTTGTAGTCTGATGGATCAGAGAGGATTGAAACTCTCTCGTGGTTCTTGGCTGCGGCACGCAAGAGAGTAACACCACCAATATCAATTTCCTCGACAGCATTTGCGAGAGTGACGTCTGGTTTAGCGACAGTCTCCTTGAATGGGTAGAGGTTACATACGACGAGGTCAATCTTCTCGTAGCTCTGCTTATCCAAATCTTGGTTATCTGATGGAATGTCTCTGGCCAAGATACCACCGTGTACAGCTGGGTGTAAGGTCTTTACTCTACCTCCAAGCATTTCTGGGGCTTTTGTAATGTCTTGGACATCACCGATTTGGATGCCGGCATCACGAATTTTTTTGGAAGTACCACCAGAACCTAAAAGCTTGAATCCTAAAGACTCCAAATCCTTAGCAAATTCAACCAAGTTTGTTTTGTCGTATACACTCAAAATTGCGGTAGGCATATCGTTGTACTAATTAAAGAAGAAATTTATGCTTAAATTTTTTATTTAGCCTGTCTACATTTCTGTACTTGAAATTATCAGCGTATAGGTTAAGAGAGAAAACGTCGGACTTTAGCTCGAATACACCGCCGTTTTTTGGTAAAGATTTCTGCGAGGATGATGGCGTAATGATGAGGAATGATTGCTCTGTTTCTAATATACATATACCTTCCATGTTTATAAGCGTTGGATTGTTTGATTTTATCACTTTTATCGCACTACCGCATAGGTCTGCTTTCAACATTTTTGACTGTATAGACATGCTATCACCATCTATCAGATCATTTATGTATTCATTCCACATCCTATTTAGCTTCTTAGCGACATCATAACTCATTTTAGTCCTTTTTATAGAGTGCCTTATCGTTTGCCGTCTAAGTTTGGATTTCGTTGGCTTCCTTTTTGATGATTTCAGTGGGTTTTCAAGCATGATAGTGGTATTCTCTAATTTACTGCTGTATATTTTACTAGCGTCCTCCTTGTTCATGTTTAGCCTCTCTTCGAGCAGCTTCTCTGCAGCAGACATCGTGATTGTGTGATATAAAGAACGATAAGGGCTGTGATTTAATATTTCTAATAGATATCAGTATTCTATGTACTTAAATTTTAGTTTCTTCCATTGAACATTCTACCCTTCTCGTATCAGAAACTATCAAAACAGTGACATCTATCACGTATGAGGACGGGCATAAAAATTTATAGATAGATACTACTATTGTAAACCTCCTATAGCAAGTATCATTTTAAACTACGGCGCGATCCTCGTACCGTTATGCCTACGTAACTGGTAACTATGTTCCTCATTTTAATCAGACGTTCTCGTTTCTTTCCGGGCAGACCAATACTGACTATGGAAAAAAAGTTCAGCTGTGACTATACAGGCTGCAACGCAACTTTTACACGTGTAGAGAACATGCTGAGACATAAGCGTAACATCCGTGAGTCTGGATTACAGCTTATGGCCCTTTCTGAGCACCCCAAAAGACCGAGAGAAAGCTAATCCACACGTATGCAAGTGCGGGAAAGAGTACAGTCGCTCGTGAGTCTGGTTTTCTTTTCGAGGTTTATATCTGACGTGGTAATCAGTGATATACTCCTGCGACACCAAAGAACATGCTCCACGAATCTTGAATTACACTCTTCAAGAGTACCAGAGCCTGCTACTATACCGACAACCGCACCCCAGCAAGCGGGATATTATTATCAGTACCAAGCTCCTACTCAGCAAGCTTTCCTTTATCAGCAGCAGCAACAACAGCAACAACAACATCATCATCAACAACCTCAGCAACATCATCAGCAATATTATTCTTACCAATACCCGCAAGCATACATACAGACACAGTCGCCTATGAATATGTCGAATACTTACTCAAATTCAAACGCACCACCAGGTCCATACCAATATTACTATTAACCATATATAACTTAACGAACAATTTAAATATATATATATCATGCATTATCTCCTTATATGCTTTGCTGCAAAGTTCCTTGATTCGCTGTTGTTGATTTGTGCATAGAAAACTTTACATGGCATAAAAATGATTGTATAAATGTGAATTGTATATATAAGACATTAATGATGTTATTTTACCGAGACATCTTTACACTTCCATAAGACATCTTGTTAGGATATAATTAGTTAACAGAGTCAATTTGTACTACATATACATGTAAAAAATTATTTAACACCTTTATTACATTATTAGAGATAAATAAACATTAAAAAAAAAATAAAGATCATCGCCCAAAAAATGGCAAAAGAATTCGTCAGGAGCAGGATTCGAACCTGCGCACTACAAGAGTACTTGATAACAAGTATTTTGAAGATTTGGAAGAACTTCTCAAGTGAGGAATTCTAATCAAGCGCCTTAACCACTCGGCCATCCTGACTGATGACGACCTTCTACTTTAACATTCTGTATATCAGATCTAAATAAAATTACTCATTTTAGCCCCTTAGAAGCCAGAAAAAATACCACAGATGTTCAAATACTCAAGTTACCCTAATGCGTTAGTATCACTGGGAACAATTGCAGGATAACAAATCATCAAAAACATATTACGACACTGGTCAAGAAACACTTTCAATTAAGTTGACATCCCATGTAAATCCTCATAATAGAAAAGTTATTGGCCGGTGCAGTCAGCTTTGTATCGTCTCAATAATTTATCTAGATTTCATCATCATCTTAAGTCAGAATCCATGCACTGAGGCTGAAAACACAGTCACTCAACAGTGAAATACACGCATAGTATATCAGTCTGAGCCACAAGACCAGAGCGTGGCTTACAATCAAAAATATTCCATGGAAAAAGGAAGAAAGAAATATATTAGTGGGACGTTGAAATATATATAAAAGATAAAATATTGTAGTACAAGAATGACAAACAAGAGTAAACTTTCTACAACTACCCCGGAATTTTCAAGTATCAAAAACCCAAACCAGAACCAATCGTACAATAAAAACATCAACACATATACTTACAAGGACATATAAAGGGCTTTACGGTCAATAATAATAACAATGTTTAGCTTCGACCTTTTAAGCTACTCGCTAGATTCCTTTCAGCATATTTTTTTGTTGATATCGCTTTCATATATGACATATATAACAAAACAATCTAGATGTGATAACTAAAAGAGAGTCTTCTTATATACGTACGGTTTGAATGCGACAATTCTCTTATTGGTTATATACCATTGTGTTGGGGTGACAGCCGTATTGTTGGCCCGAGTCAGTCTTGACGGATTCGATCAAGTTATGACAAAGTCCGATGTCGATGCGTGTCATAATTCAGATACAACTCCTGGAAATACAGCATCAGTTGTCTTCTAAGTACGACCGTATAAACAGTATAATAGGACAGCAAGGAACAAGATGATAATAAAAGCATTAAGATCAATAAGGAATAAGCGAACACCAAAAACGATATCAGAAGATGAAACCTGTAGAGAACATGTTAATATCCATTGTTCAACATATATTAACGTGTTTTATATTCATAGTCCAACACGACTAAATGATCCTACATGTTCAGCATCTGTATCCCAAGTCAATCGCCTATAGGAGGCTCTTTCGTCTTGTCCATACTTCAATCTACAATTGGCCGACGTATTTGTGGTAATACATACTAGATCTAGTATTTATGGACGCAGTTAAGAACTGCATTATCGAAGAGATGCCTCACAGTACAAGACCATCATTCAATTGTCTTCGACCTTCTTTAGCTCGGCTGATATGTCATTATAACTATTTTTCATGCGAATGTGATTTTTTGTCGTCAGCACAAAAATAGTATTTCAGGCATTGTGCAATTTAAATTTCTTCTAATAATAAAAAGTTCAACCTAAAGTAAACATAATGCTTTTATGAAAGTACGGCAATGTCGTCATTTTTGCAACAAGAAGCAAAACCTCAAGAATAGGAAAAGAAAAATAAAATATATTGATACATATCTTACATGTTTTACAGGACTGAAAGATTTGCTTATACAGTTTATGAAAAATGTATATGATCCGTCGTGTACTGTCTTACTGAAATATTCGACCAAGTAGCATTCTAAGCACGAAGGAGCGAATGGTATGATCGTCTCTTGCTATTATTTGCACGCTTTGCAAGCGACTCTTTAACTTTCGCGTCATTTCGAACTACTATAGTTGGTACTTTTGAGTTACTGAGACTCCATCTGGGGGTGAGCATTAGTGAGTTAAAATCAGCGAATTATAGTATACCAACCTCGAAACCGATCCCATGCCACCAGCTGTACCAGATCCTGAACGCACAGAAGCGAAAGCTGAGGAAATCTGTGTCCATGTTCCACTTTTACCACGCGAACCAACGACAAAGGAATCAGGGCGATGGAGAGCAATTAAAGACCTTATGGCAGTTGTAATCTTCCCAGATATAAACTCGACGACGATTGATATCTAAAACTGGTCAGACTAGTAAATAAGGAGGGACTAACATACCTGTCTATTTTCAAACTCATCATTTTTTATCCTGATAGACTCGAGTAGTTCCTCTGCTTCATCACGGGCGTTCTCCTGGTTACCTGTCGACTGTTAGAGAGTGCAGTAGCCTAGAGAAGATTGACGAACGTGGCTCATCATCAAAAACTCTCATTGCGACGATCTCATCGCCATTCTCTAGTAAATTCGTGATGACGAAATCTAATGCACTGTGTAATTTTAGATTGGCTCGGCATTGGAAGAAGAACTGACCGCTGTCCATTAACGTCTGTGGAAGCACCGACTAAGAAAGTGCGAGTGTTCTTTGATCTTTTGTAGTCGGAAGTTGTAGACTATCGGATATTAGAGGGATTGGAATGAAGTAAGGGACTAACCTGCAAGGTGAGCGTCGATAGAGGGTGCCCAGTGAGGTATTCATCGACGGAATCGAATCCAACCTAGAGAGTAAATTAACTGAGGATAAGATATCTAGAAAACTCACCTTTCTACGATAACCGATGCGATCATTTGAGACCGTCTGTGAGCGAGGGGGTACAGATCCAGTGCCACCTTGAAATTTTGTGCTATTCATTGGACTAGACGGCTGGGTTTTAATAATTGGTGCAACTTGTTCGTTTGACATAATCAACGTTAGAGCAGAACAACCAACTGCTGATGTCTTCCGCTGAACCAGAAAACAAAAAAAGGCGGAGAATGCAAAGCGAGAACGAGAAAGAAAACAACAAGGACAACAGCCCAACGAATTCGTTCGCTGACCACTCCGCCCCTCGCGGTGGTCGCGCCTTCGCTATAGAAGTTGATAAGGCTGTCAATGAGCGTATGGCGGAGAAAGATAAGGAGTTTGACCGTGTAAATGGAGAAATAGCTTTTAAGAATTCTTTACTAGATTCTCAGTCGGAATGTAAGCATTTTATCTTATCAACAATGCCGACTAATGAAAAGAAGATTTAAAGAAGATAAAGTGCGCAGCTTTACATGAATATTATATCGCTCACAATCATCAGTAACATATTACACTGTTCTATTTGCATGGAACACATGATTGAACCATATGGGTACGGAAAATACTTCAGATAAGCACGTATTATAACTTACAATACTGCCAGTCTATCATGTGGTCACGTAGGCTGCTACGAATGTCTTCACGCATGGTTTACGAGGTCAATAGAAGATGACAATCACCGGAAAGCAAAAGTCTGTCCAAGCTGTCGCGCACCAATACGCGCAAGGCCAAACGAATTATACATAATAAAAGAACTCGTTCAGATAGCTGCATTAGCTAACAACGAGTCAATTAGTCAACCACCTCAGAGAACTGGCGATGTATGGGAAGGTGTTTTCAGATCAGGAGGTGAATATGGTCCAATTGAAGACAGAGAGGATGGCGTTCTCAGATGTGGACGCTGTTCTGGTGAGCTACTTCATGGTATTTGTACAATGTGGTACGTCATACACTCTTTGGAAGCACTTCTAATGACAATCCAGTGGTGAAATCTACACAGATGCAGAGGACGAGGATGAGGAAGAAGAGGAGGAAGAAGATGAGGACGAAGAGGTATATGCCGATCCCGCCGATGAGCTTGAACGCGTTAGCAGATTAAACTTACCTTTTTCGATAATAGGTGTATCGGATTCTGAACACTCAAGCCAGCGCACCGAAAGCGAAGAGCATGATTCTGATTCTGATGGAAATGAACATCCACGCAACTCGCAAAACCACAATGATGAGAATATATGGCGCGGTATACGAGAAAATGAAGAAAGTGAAAGCGAAAGTGATGACTTCATATCTGACGGTGGTTCAGTAGAAAGTAGGAATAGATCTGGCTCACGTGGTTTGGGAGCTCCGGTCGAGTACATTCATTCTGATGATGAAGAGGAAGAAGAGGAGGAGGAGGCGTCTAGTACCAGTTCGAGCAGCAGTTCTAGTAGGCAATCTGAAAGTGAGTCTGAAAGTGAGGCTTCGAGCTCATCAAGAGAGGTAAACCCGACTCGCAGACATAATGCTGGGGTGATTGAGCTCAGTGACGATGACAATAGTGGAGACGGTATCCCCACTAGTATCCCACCAAGATCGAGAAGAAGAGCTATCATATCAGATGACGATGATGATGAGTGATTTTAGCATTGACACTATTTATATTCCCATTTCCTTTGTACTCAAGGTTCTATGACGCAAGAGTAATCCGTAAAGATACATGCAAATAGACTATATTGTGTTATTCTTGTAATATAATTGTAAGAAAACATTGTGTCATATAGAAAATTAATTAGACTGGCCGTCGCAGTCCAGAAATTTCTGATATGTGCTATAAATAAATGACAGGGTTGCGGTCTATAAATTTACAATCATTGGAATGTTCTGACTTTCACTTATACAATGTACTCTGATGTAAATCTAAATTCCTCACAACCAGTAGTTGACTCGTCCGAACAAGCACCGGTTACTTTAACAAGGAGTATCTCGAGAGACACTTTCTCCAGCAGGGCTCCAATGTTGCACAGAACAGACACCAAAGCAACAACAGCTACTGAAAAGAAATCCATTAGAACAGTAAAGAAAGCTAAAACACTGTTTGACAAATTCCACGAATGGAAATACACGCCGTTGGCACTCATTTTCGCAGTCATACTGCTTATCTTCTTCAGTGCCCTAGGGAGTTATCTAGGCTACAAGTCTTCCGTACAGGTTGAGAAAGGTGATGGCATTGGTGCAGATCTGGGTGAGATGACGGCAGGGGTACGTAATGTCTTATCTTTTGATTTGTTTTACATGATCATAAGGTCGCCTTGTATGGCTCAGTCACAAATGTAGATATTGAAGAAAAGAAATTAGGTATGTATAAAGTAAAGTTTACGCCCTTATTGACCATCTGTAGAGATGCGCTTCACCTTCTCGGGATGTGGTCCAGGATACACAGATAATGCACAAAGTGCGTCTGACTGCGGGATGCTGAACAGAAATATATCGACCTTCATCAACGAAAATGCGACGTTATCCAAATTTGAGAGTAGTCCTAGCACAGATAGCGAATCCGTCTTCCTTCGCGAAGGCGCCGTAGGAATATATGAGCCAGACTCCGTGATATGGTCTAGGAAACCCGAAGACATGTCTAAGCTGGAGTTGACATTTACGCCATCATTTGACGTTGAAATACCATTCGACTGGACAGAGAGTAGAAGCTCGCTCAGGTCAGACCCGACAAGTTATCCGTTTGACGAATACAGCGCGTATATTACATTCCTGGCTTGGAACCCAGGTGCTAATGCATCTGAACCTGACCTTGGACACTTCAGCTCGATGAGCTTCATCAGGACGTCAGGTACATATCCCAACTTTGTAATCAGCAGCGTGGATTATGCGACGTTAGAAAATGATGTCCGTCGGACTGCGAAGATTACGATTAGAAGATCGAACGCTGTAAGAGCATTCTCAATATCGATTATCGTGATGATATGGGCAGTAACGATTGCTATTGTCTGGGCAGCTGTCGTTGCTGTCGTATACCGGAGACCGGTTATGGGAGAAGTAAGTCATGTTTTACATAGACAATTAAGCATTTTGACGAGAATAAAGACATACGTCGTCACATCAGCAGCTCTATTTGCTATACCGGAGGTTCGCGATAAGTTGCCAGGTGCGCCTGAATTTGGTATATTTGCTGAGTGAGTACTTTGGTATAAAACGGGAAGTTCTGCTGATATACCAATACAGTGCACTTGGTTATTTCCTGACGCTCCCTTTGACGTCTGCCGCAACAGCGGCTTTGTTATTCTGTATGATATACCCACCCAAAGGAGATCCAAAACGAAATCACTAGACGACTAGATATATAGTAGAATATGTGTAGAACTATCACGAGATATAAGAATATATACCTATACATTTACCTAATTACTTTACTACTTTCGTCATCCTCGTATGACGTTCGAAAGCAACGTCCATCATGGCGGACCAATCACCAATGATTTTAGCGCAAGCGAAGACGACAGACGACGTAGATTTTAACCACGGAATTAAGTCTACTATAGCGAACGTATATGGCGAGGATCCCAGCAACTACAGTGATCCTGTCGCCGCACTCAATCGATACAGACAGGATGCAACGAGAGGAGCTACTACAGATGCAACTGGTGGGATAAGAATACCATATATGAGCACCTCTGATAGAGCATAGGACGTGATCTATTACAAAGTTATTATGGACAGCTTGAAATGCTCGAATTGCGATTTCCAGAGTTGAGAGTTATGTTTAATTGGTCAGTATTACGGTAATTTATCTACCCAGCTAATACCTACAAGGCGGGATGTCTTCACAGCCCAAGAAATCTCACAGCATTCGCTAGCATATGAGAAAGCCTCGATTTTGTTCAACTTGGCTGCCACCTATTCTGTATTGGGATCCTCATCTAATAGAACTGATCCTGAAGGTATAAAGAAGGCTTTCTATAATACAAGGGTCGCAGCAGGTCTATGGGATTACATCGCAAACAATTTCCTCCATGCACCGTGAGTCGTCCTCTCGACAAAGGCCACCCAATTAAAGACATATAGTTCTACTGATCTTAGCAGAGACGTTGTCAGATTCTTGAGTGCACTTATGCTTGCACAAGCTCAGGAGATTTTTTTGGAAAAGACAATAGAAGAAAAAACGCGCAATGGCAACGTTGATGGCAAATCCATGGGTATTGTCGCCAAGTTAGCCTCTCAATGTTCATTCCAGTATAATGCATTAATCGAACCTGTTCGTGAGAATGTCAACAAGGGTATATTTGATAGACATTGGGCCAGCGTAATACATGTAGGTGAAAGTTATATGACTTCATTTTCAACTGATTATTTGCCTAGATTAAAACCAAATACTTTTCGTCTCAAAGTGAGTACACTACTTCATTTAAGCGAGTCTGACTTGATAGCTCAATATTTCCGTGCTATGGTCGACAAAGCCGCAGGTAAGCATGGCGAGTCAATTGCCAGGATAAATCTTGCAGAGTCACTCGCGAAGGAGGCATATAGACTTGGTGCAACGTTCAACACATTTTTCGCACCATGTGATACCTTGCCTGCAGACGTCTCAAGTATTCTAACAACACTCTGTAAATCACACCAAACTAAGTGTGCAGAGTATAAGGATGAGATTGTCAAAGAAAATGATCTCATCTTCCACGAACCAATACCCGCCGAAAATGTTTTAGCCGTAGTTGAAAAATTGAATGCAGCAAATGCCGTAACGATTACAGATATATATCAAAATCCTGAAGTACAAAGGAGCATCGGTGCTGATTTGTTTGCTAGTCTCGTACCATTTTCTGTCCATGAGGCTGCCTCAATTTATAGTGAAGAGAAGGCTAAGATTATAAGAAGTGTTACTGAGAAAGTGGAGATAGCTGACACCGAACTTGAGGCTGCTATTGAATATCTTGGTTTACCTGGATCACTGAGGAAGTTTGTTAGTCCGTCGAACAATATCAATTATGATATTAGCAGTGAAGTGAAAGAATTATCACGTGTAATTGAAACTCAGGAGGCCTCTGGTGGCTTGACTAAGAAGCTCAGTTCAATAGCTAGCAAGAGAGATCAGATAACGTCTGATTTACAATGGATCTCCAATGAATTAGACATCGAATCCAAAGAATGCGAACAAGCGAGGGTAAGTTACTATTCACCTTTGGGTATTAAATTTACATGCCGTAGATGAAATACCCAGATTTCTCTCAATCTCCATCCGCCAGACATACCAAAGAATGGCGTCAACAGCTTAAAGCACACAACAGTGGACTTGAAAAAGCGGGAAGCTCAGATGCCTCCATTAAGCAGGTATATCAGTACATCGATGATGATGTTAGATTATTGGCTGATTCAGCTGCTGATATTGAGGACGACGATAGTGAGCTAGCACTAGTCGTTAGAGACTATGTATTACACCTACGCCCATCCGATTCACGTCAAGAGTCGCTTCTGGATGTGGATGTAGGTGTTGAAGAGAGTACCGAGGTTGAATCTCAACAAATGCAAGCCCACGCGCGTGAAATAGCTAGATTACTTGAATTACTGAAGGGTCTCAAAAAACAGAGAAGTCAACACATACAAGTGTTGCGTCAGAAGGTGAGCTGATTATTTTATATCGAACATAATCTCATTTTATACTGAAGATTCAAAATGATGATGTATCACATCTTCTCATTCTCAATAGAAAGGCACAACAGGTAGAGTCGGACATGTTTGGATCCGAATTGGAAAAATTCAAAGATGATCAAAAGATGATTGACAATTCGATTTCCGAACAATTAAAACGGTTGGAGGAATTAAATGGATCCTGGTTGAGATTGACGAGCACAACTCGCGCTAAAGACATCCATAACAAGCACTCTGAAAGTGATAGACGTCGCAAGGAAATTCTCAAGAAGTTCAAAAAGGCCGGTGATACATATTTTGAGGCAGCTGACGGTGTTAATAGGGCGACAGTGTTCTATGATGATCTTGAACAAGTCGTTAACCAACTCAAAAAGGATGTGGGAAGCTTCGTCAATAAGAGAGCCAAAGAGCGCGTTCAAGCTATTGTAGACGCCGAAGCAGGATCTCGCAACAGTGGGGGCATAGCAAGCTCATTTGAGAGCGAATTTGGCAGAATCAATTTACAAACTCCACATCGTCCTCCTAAGCCTGGAGTATCACCACCTCCTGCTACGTCGCCATCGCCTTCATATGCATATGGAGGTTTACCACCACCACCAGCTCAACCACAACCGAGTATCTATCAGAGTCTCTATGGACAACAGACACAAGCGCCACCACAGATGCAGCCACCTCCACCTAAGCCATCATCACCACAATATGTTGGTCCTGGTTATAGTGCTCCACCTCAAAGTCCACCATATCCTCAACAGACGCCTTCACCATATAACGTTCCGCAGCCTCCAAATCCGTCACAATCACATATGCTTTATCAACAGAGCCAATCACCTTATGGACCATCACAGAATGCTTATCAAATGCCACCACAAACCTATCAACAACCATCACAACAACAACCACAGCAACAATACTATCAACAACCTCCAGCTCCACCTCAGAATTACCCATACTATAGATGATTCTTGTAATATGCTAGGTTTAAAATATATGAAGTTTTCTATACTGATACAAGTTCTGTGATTTGCTCGTCAGTTAATCCACTCTGACGGACATTAACATTAATGCGTGTTTTTGACAAATAGCGGGCATAAGGCTCCCATTCTTCGTCGTCTTCCTGAGACTTCAAATGCTCCGGGAGTGTTCTTTCAAGTATTCTTGGGACACCATGATAGCTTCTTCTCGTTGGACCAGACATAACAATAACGTCTCCACTACGAAGAACGATAGCTGTTGGTGGATTAATTGATTCTCTTATGTCATCTCCAATGAGGAGGATAGCAGAATGTCCTAAGCTAATTGAGACTAATGGAAGTGTTGCTGTCACCTCACTTCTGTCGACATGTGCCATAAGTGTATCCTACAAATGTTATTATTTTGATATGCAACAAACGGAATACTCACGTTAAGATTGTAATAATTGATAATTCCGGCATCAGGTCCTTAATTTATGTTAATTGAAAGAAGACGATTGAATTATGACACATACTGTAACTTTTCTTCCATTCAGAGGCTTGATCAGCAACGGAAGTTCTCTCCCAAGGGATAGAACTAACGACAGACTTGCAAACATCAGAAACTGGTGCAGGAACGGCAATAGGTCCACCAGTTTGGGGATCCCTGACACTAAAATCGTATTGTTTGAGTCCCCAATGGTAATAATGACCAATGTTTGTCCACCTCAGTTTATTCATTGCTCTTTCCCCATTTAATGGCTTCACAGTTGTACTTGGCGGTATTTCAGGATTGTTTGAACGTGAGATTTGCTTTAGTATCTCAAACGTACTAGGTTCATTGTTGATAGTAGGGCGCGTCCCGCTGGGTGCATAATAAGATGGAGGTTCGCGTTTCTCTTCCTTTGTTGCGCGTGGTAAAGCGATGTCATCTTTAGTTTGATTAGCGTAATGATACCAGAGTCCTTCTTTTGGCATATAATAGTGCGCATCTAAACTTGTTCTATTAGGTGGAGTCGGTATATCCTTCACACTCTGTCTAATCAGTCCCTTTTGTTCTTCTTCGTTGAGATATTCCGGAAGGAAGATCAAACCTGATAGAGTGTATTAGATGTTGCTATATATACCTACTGTATAGCCCACCTGGATGTTTTTCGAACGTGTAGCACTTTTCAGCAATTTTAATGGCATCCTTCTCATCTCTCTGCCAATCGAAAGCATAAGATAAGTCGAGTGGGATATCTTTCCTCTTGTAGAACCTCTCAGATCTCCTAATAGCGGTATCCGTCTCTGGCGGCGTTGGTGGACGTGCAAATCTCTGTTTAGATAGTGGCATCTGTCTTCCACAACGACGGCGATGGTCAAGAAGCACGAACTGCCGTTACCAACGAAGGATGAGATAGAAATATTGCATAGGAATCCTACTACATTCGAAGATGAAAACGTACACAAAATATACGACGAGATCGCTAATCACTTTTCATCGACTAGATACAAACCCTGGCCAATTATCAGCGCATTTCTAGCCTCAATTGATGAACATTCGGTTGGTTTAGATGCTGGATGCGGTAATGGGAAATATATTCCACTTGCTAAGCACCTCTTCGGTCTTGATAGGAGCGTCAATCTTCTCAAACATGCACATAGAGCAGGTGACGCAGATAGAGAAGTAATCTTAGCTGATACTCTCCATTCCGTTACTCGCAAGCATGTATTTGTGAGTTATGTAACTATTCACTGTACTTTATCTGATCTACTCAGGATTATGCTATCAGTATAGCAACAATACACCACCTGGCTACTGATAGACGGCGAGTCGAATCGATTCAGTCATTATTTAACGCTGTAAGCCTGAAGGGTGGTAGGATACTCATCTATGTCTGGGCGCTTGAGCAGGGTGAAGACAGTAGGCGTGCAATACCAGAGAATTCGACGACTTCATCCAACTCTAAAGGTTTAGATGTTTGGGTACCTTGGGTAAACAAAGCAGATGGTAAAGTCTACAACCGCTATTACCATCTTTTCGAAAAGGGAGAACTTAGGAACATAACGGAAGAAGCCAGTAGATTGTCAAAAGTTAACATAGAAGTCGTTCAAGAGGGTTATGAAAAGGATAACTGGTATATAGAGTTGCGCACACAAGGAAGCATATAAAATACGCAAAAGAGCATTGTAAATTATTACATAGTATTACAACAATGAAAATTAACATTTGAAGTGTGCTAAAACTACACTATTCCAAATTGGTTGAGACCTACGAAGAAAGTGATTGTCGCGAACATGAAACTAATCCAAGTTAATCCACCTAATCCAAGTTTAGGTAGCAACAACTGCCACATTAAACTAATTGATAAGTTGATTAAGGTCACAAAAAAGTAGCTTGACCATATCGGATATGCACCCAGAATCAGCATGATACCACTACTTAAAAGTAACGTATCCAATCTCCACAAAGGAAATAATAAGCCAGGTAACGGAATATTGGGAAATGGTTGACCATATAAGTCGCTTAAAGTGCGACGGTCGCGTATGTTTTCAAGTAAAGTCAATTGAGAACCCAAATTAGTCTGATCTTGACTAGACGTCGATGCTGTTTCAGTGCTGTAATCACTGAGATCGCTCGTCATAGGCAATAAAGTCTTATCAGTGGGTAGAAAATCCTTATATAAACTAAGATTAATAAATTGCTGGTAAGTGGATACACCTAGCAAGACTCCTAGCCATCCCACAATGAACCACGATAGGCTTGTAAAAGACTGGTCATTATGATCACCCTTAACTTCTTTCAATGCTGGTACAGCGATGAGGAGTGACTGCCATCTAATCAAATCTTGCAACAAGGTATGTGCGATGGTAACAAGGACATTAACCAAGTCTTTCGACGTGTTTGAAGGGATGATGTCATTGATTAACCGGAAGATAGGCTGCTTTAATGCGTTTGCAAGGACCCAGGAAGCGATAGCAATGTAAATAACATTAAAATGGATTTTGAGAGAGAACGGATCCTCTGATTTTGGGAACTCTTTCAATATTAGTGTGATTATTATGGTAAAATGTATGATCAGCGTTGCGGGTGTCACGGCATGTAACCAAAGTAAAGTGCTATATTTAACTATAAAGAATGAGAATGCATTTATCTTCCTAGATATAACATACCATTCATGAGTTCCTCAGACTCATCTATTGCTATAGCAGGTCTATGAGAAAAGTCTACGTCATTTGCAGATCCACTGGGTGCTTCATCAGTATGCACATTCGAGTGAGCTACTTTATTATTATTAGCTTTGATAGTATCTGTCCTACTCGCTGATGCTGAGGCTGCATCGAAAGAACCATAATGTACGCTGCTATTTTCGGCCAAAGGTTGCTGCTCCTGTTCTTGTTCATCACTCTGTATAATCTGATTGTAGGCGAATTTAGCTGTGTTACTAGCTATGTCTATTCCCCTTCCCATGAACTTTCCCAAGATGGCAGTCATTATACAAGAGATGATATCATCGATTAGATGTGCTAGATGTTTTCCCAATAGCAGACACCTTAATGCTCGTCGAATATCATGTTATTCATCTGGATATCTATGTCTTTTCTACTTCTCGTATTTGCAGCACTAGCACTACTGTCAGCTCATTCATTCGGTTGACTTCACCCACCTTAGACATTTCCTAGAATTGTGATCCAATTGCGACTAGGGGCATCATTATACCACTTTGTGTAGCCCTTATACTCACTCAAATTCATTGACTCTATTATTCCAATGGATATACGCCTTTCCAAATCAAAACATGAGGAACTGCTAACTGCTGAACTGTATGATATTGCTCAAAGACACCAGATATTTGAATATAACACAAAGCTTTTCATCTTAAAATCCATAAAGTATATTAAGAAACTCACTAAATGATCAAATAATGGCAAGTGACCGAAGAAGCACACCCATAGTTCACCTTCACTTGCTTATCTATCATCATGTATAATACTCAACATCATTTTAGGAATTTTGTAAGCTATTAAAATAATTTCCGTATTATACATTTGTTCGAGTTTGTCTCCTATCTCAAAATAATGTCTGAATAACAATTAACTTGTAAAGAGGATCGAACATCTAAGTATAGATTTACCATATTGCTGCACAACTATTGCGAATACATATGATGCTCTATTTTCTCTATGTGGGACGATGACATGCGTTAAAAATGGTGAACATTACAACACAAAACGCCTGATTTCAACTTGTTTAAAGAATAATGATCTTCTTCCAAATTAATTGATTAACATAAAAAAAAAAGGAAGTAAATTGTGTGAACATTGCCTTCAAGAAATAAAAAGACAAAAAATATCCGACAGCTATGAGATTCGAACTCATGAACGCAATGCGCAATAGAAGGTTAATCAATCAACAAGAGCAAGCTCAAGTGTTTGAATAGTAGCAATCTATCGCCTTAACCACTCGGCCAAACTGTCAATTCCGTTATACTAACGGATCAGCTGCGATGGTTGGAAGAGGCATTAATATTATTTAAAAAGTGTAATTTTCTCAGAAAAATGACTTTTTAGCACGTATATGGGGCACTGCCACAGAAAAATACACACGAGCCGTGTTTGTATTTTAAACCTTGAAGGCGTATGGAAAACAAATCATCAAGACATTTTACGATGCTAGTCGAGAAACGTTTCCCACCAATTCAATACACTATTCAAATCCTCATGCTTTAAGAAGTATTAATGAACGCAGTTCAACTTTGTATCATCTTAACAATATATTTGGATTTCATCTTCGTCATTTTACGGTATTAATCGAGAGACTCTTTCTGATAATTTGTCATTCCATTTAAATCAACAGAAGTCAGAAAGTACCTGTGGTTTGTAGCTAAGCTTTTGTATCGTTCAAATATTGAATCCCGTTTTCAACATCCTTTGCTGCGACAATTTTGGTCTATCGATGTTTTCTAATTGTTCGAAATTAAAAAAAAAAAATGGAAACATGAATACAGACAGGTACATAACATGCATCATCAGTTATTTATTAGGTGGGGATGTAGCAGAGTCATTAGGAAATTGGTATGTATGAAAAGAAAAGTAGAAGAAGCTATACAAAAAATAAAGTATAGAACTATACCAGAGATGAAGTATTGTAGAGATATCATCGATGGTCAATAATGAAACTTATTCGTACTTCAACCAATAAATTACCCATCTAAATAAATTGATTTGTATATACTCTCCTTGAATATATACTAAGAAATTGTTCATTCTTTACCATATACAAAACAATTGAGTTTACCAAATAGTTTATTTTTTCTTTATAACTATCGTTAGTAGTGTTTTTGGTTCGACATTTATCGAAGAAACGGCAATTGAAGCACAAAAGGTGCTACAAGAATTAAGCAGTGAGTATGAAATTAGTTTTAAACGTGAGACCATCAAATATGTGTTGAAGGAAGTGAGCCACAGCAAACTGCATTTGGGAACTGCGGTGAAGTACATCTGTGAGCTTCTCAAAATTGAGTTGTACTGTTTCTCTACTTTGCTGTTTAGTTCTTCTGCTGGTATACCATCATTGTTCAATCTCAGCTCCTTCTGCAGTTGCGACTTGAGCTGCGACCGCGTCAGCTCAGCGAATCATCAATAATTGTTATTTTTACCATCTTCTTATCTATCTTAATAAATTTACCGCTCTCACAGACGTCAACGCCTGTTTCTTCCTCGACGATGTAATTGTATATTCTGGGTAAGAACGTCGAAGGCGCCTGGCTGTTCTTAGTTCACACTTTTGTGCTTTTATTTTACTCACCCCAACCTTCCCAATCACCCTCCTTACGCTATCTACTTTGCCATCTGGATTTCTGACCATAGTCCGTGGTCGCTCGAAATAAGGATCCAAGGAAAATATGTTCTACCCCAAGCAAAATACTCCTTAGATCCCCTAAAGGATTCTGGACCCTCGGTAGCTTTTTATTTCTCCAGCAAAATAGCCTAACATTTAAACGAACGAATAAGACAAATGCACAATAGCTCGTTATTTACAAGGCTATAAAACTTTATCTGCGGTTTAAATATATCTCAGAAGGCTATGCTTGCGACTATACAGCTTATACTATCCATAAATATACAATGTATTTTTCGTTTGACAGATGACATCACATAATGGGACATATGATATTAAATCATTCTGCAGACTTGTGCTTCTTCTAATTGTCAGTATTGTACTACTAGCTAATTATTATAATCATCAATAGGTTTCGGTCTACACTTTCAAAAATCGCTTTAATGGTAAATAGTCATATTAATTTCCGATTGAAGATGATTTTTCAAAAGAGTAACAATTTTAGATCAATATATATACTATGAGAAGGATCGTCTTGCAATAGTACGACCATGACCATATATTCTATGCTCGACACCTATGTGACGATTTTCCGAACTCAGATAACCCATTTTTAGAATTCAGAGATAGTGGATGAACATACCTTGCCGATTACTAGAGAAGCATGGAAGTAGCATAAAAACCCAAGATAGGCTTGTGATGACACAACAAAAAACAGATATATATATATATATATATCTAAGTAAGAACTAAAATATCTGAGTGCTGGGAATCCTCCTACTTATAATCATATATCACTGAATCGTATCCCTCAGGCTTCGGCTGCTGTGTATCAATGTTGGGACAACAGGGTGGTTTCCTCACGTATCAAACAAGGGAAGGACATCACGTTAATCAAGTAAGTAACGTTTACTTAAATTACTTATCTAATTTGTTTACAGCCAAAAAAGTTCCTACAGAGCCCTAGACTCGAGAAATTAGCACCAGGTTATAAGAATATGAGAAAGTTCAAAGTAACTACTAATGAAGAAACGAATAGTATTGCGACGGATCAAAAGGATATACCGGAAGGAAGCACAGCAAAGGAAAGTTTCAATATTTCTAGACAGAAGCAACCTGCAATCAAGCGAGAAGCAGATATAGCACTTGATAGATCTATAGAAGGCGCTCAAAAACGTCAATGTGCGACATCTCCAAATTCTGGAGAGATGATGGAAGCTGAACAAGATCCGAAAGATCAAGAAAATCCGGAAGAGAGAAAGCCATCAATTATAATTAAAATAGATTTACGCAAATTACACAATAAGCCACGGACGCCATCTCCTATTTCTTCAGCTCGAGCATCTTCATCACCTCAGTTATCACAATCCCGGGAAAGCGAGGATAGTTACAGGCAGATACCACTGAGATTACAGCAATTTTAAACATATTGTACATTAGCATCTATTTCATATATACCCTCTTGACATATCTATTGATCTCATTCTGCAACTTCCATCTCAGGTTTTACGGGAATGGTGAGGATAGCGTTTACTTGAGAGATATTTATTAATTTTATTATAGAATATACCATCCAAACAATTTGAAGCTAATAGGCCTACGATACTTCCACCAATCAATCTACCGCCTATACAAGGCAGTGATAGGCCTCACTTACCTCCAATAGGTGGTAGTCAACAATCTAGAGACCTTCCACGGCCGTTCTCTGCACCATCTAACAAGATGGGCGTACAAGCTATTCTTTCCGAATCGTCGTATCAACCACCGCAACCTGCAGCACAAAGTACGGCTTATAGCTACTCACAGCCATCGAATTACTATCAGAATGAACAAAATTACTCGCAGAGGCCCTACACACAATCTAATATTACACCTACTTGGTCACCCTCTCCACTGACTTCAGCTACTGCTAATAATCCAGTACAACCCACAGACTCGCCAGCCTATGCTAATCAACAACCTTACCCGTATCCCCACTCTCAAATTTACCAGCAAACTCAATATGAGCAACAAGTGCAGCAACAACCTCAACAATCTCAGCAATTCACAGCACCTCGTTCCAGACCTGAGTTTGGTAGTATGGATGAAGTTGTAGCACGTCAACAAGCGCACATAAGTAAATCTCAAGCTCAAGAGAACAACTCACGTTCTATTGTATCCAAACGTAAACGCGAGCAAGTCATTCAACAAGAGGAACCTCTGTATCAAGAGCCTTTATATCCGCAAAGGCAGCAATACGTTAGAGAACCAGTTTACGATTACGAAGAAGACGAGGAAGATTATCGTCCCACAAGACAAAGACAGCCTGTTGTTGAAGAAAGACCTCCAGCGAAGGTTAAAAGTTCTAGCGATCGTGAAAAAGAAGCACTTTTTGTTTATAAAGATTTAGATGTTTATGATGCTCAAGGATCTCTCAAGGTTACTTCGGACAGTGTATACGAGGCGCTATCGAAAAGCCCGCGCTTCTCAATTGGCAGTCATGTTTACCAACCGGATAGCCTGGTAGACTTCTACCCTCATCAAGTTGGAGGTGTATTCGAAATGTACGTACCTGGTGCTTGGTTAGGTGATAACTGGGCCGTACGTGAGCTTCTACCACAAAAGAATGGCGACTCTGTCGAGTTGACGCCTAAAGTACGACACGTTAAAGGTAAAACTTCTCGTTTAGCGTTAACAGATTTGGATGCACTGGACGAACGACGTATTTGGGGGACTGACGTATACACGGATGACTCAGATCCTGTTGCAATAGCGGTGCATCTTGGTTGGTTATTTGACGCAAGTGACAAGTCTTACGATAGAAGATTACTTGTAGGAGCTGGTAGACCAGCCGAAGGAGAGAAAGTAGATGATGTAATTGAAGATGCTGATCTAGTTCTAGTTTTTAGAGTGGCGCCTAGATTGGTTGCTTATCATTCGTCTATGCGACACAGATTATGGTCCCGGGGTTGGGGAAATCAACACGATGGCTTCAGTTTGGTGCTAGAGGAATGTAGACTTGTGCCTAAAGAGAAAGACAACGTGGTGAGACCATCGAAGCAGCTGCGCAAAGCTCGTATTGCATTGATTGCTGAAGCGAGAAAGACAATAATGGATTCTCCAAGTCTGAAGGTCAAAGAAGGTGATATTGATTACAACGCCGCCGATGAGAATGACGTTTGGAAACTACTTTCTGAAGACCATAAGACTAATGAGAAAGTCAAATTCAATAAGGGTGGTATCAAAATGATCAAGAGAGGTAGGTTCTTTATGATCTCTCAAACTAAACTAAATTAGACCAGGCGATCGCAGATTTAAGCGGGTTGAAAAGGATGAAAGCGAGAAGGAATTAGAAGCTTTGTTGGCCATTCAACAAGGAAGAGAGCTGTTGGAAGCTCAAGCTAGGGCTGAGGAAGAAGAGAAGAGTAAGGCTGAGGAGACAGAGAGAAAGGCACGAGAGGAGGAAAAAAGAGTGGCCGAAGAAGCTCAAGCAGCGCAAGAGAAAGAGAAGAATGAATTACTTCAAGCAGGAGAGCCTCAACCGATGGAAGAACCCCCAGCTGAATCAGAACAGCCGACAAGACAAGAACAAGAGCAGCAAACGCAGGATGTGCGGGCTTCACTTCAGAATGATGAGCTGCCTCAATTAGAACATCAATTGGAGCATGATGAAACAAATCAGAATGAAGTATCTCAGCAAGAACAATCAGTCCAACAAGAAATGTCAGTGGAACACGTCGAACCACGTCTCCAAGATCAGCCAACCAAGGAGGAGGAGCGTATTCAGCACGAGCATCAAGTCCAGCAGGAAGAAGAGTCACTTCAGGAGAAACCACTCGTGCAGGAGCAATCTCTTCAATCAGAACAACAAATTCCATCCCAATCTAACCAACCAAAAGTTCAGTCGGATCAAGTAGGGCCTGAACAAATGCAGTCAGTAGAGCAAATGCAGTCATCACATGAAAATCAGTCGGAACAGCAATTAGAACAGCCTATAAAACAGGAGGCACACGATCCTGTTCAAAGTGAAGCTGTAACAGAAGATGTTCCAGCGCCTGTCAGCTCAAGTGCTCCTACAGCACCTCAAGAAATTCAACATGTATCGATGGATATTGACAGGAGTGCTCCTGTTGAGCCTATTCAAGAAGAAACCAAGACGTTTTCGGTAGAAGAAGCATCAACGCAACAGGAGCAGCCACAAACATTCACAATCAGCCAAGGACCTGTCTATGAACCAGTCGAACCAGTTGCTCTATCAGAACCATCGGCAGCTCAACCAGAGTCTGATGTCTCGGAAATAAAGTTTGTGAATCACGACACAGTTGAAGCACCAAATCAAGAAGTTAGTGCTTCACAGACAGCCCCTCAGGGGGACGCTTTGACGATGCAGATAGCTCAAGCTAAGCAAGCATTAGAAGCAAATGAAAGTAGCGCGTCTAGAACAGACAATACATTAGATCCTGGACGGACAGAGACTAACTATGAAGCAAGTAACCAGCAACCAGTCGCAAATGAACAAAATTACTTTAATGTTGCAACATCTCAAGTTCCACAATCATCAAATAGCCAATCACAAGTTCAGCTAAATGAAGGTAAGTGATCGCATGATTTAAATGATTAAAACTCACATAAGATAAGATACCACATCTATAAATGCGCCTCCAACAACAAACGTGAAAGAAACGGAAATGAACCCACCATCAAATTGAAGATCAAAGTTTTGAACCTAATAAATTATAACGTCTTTTATTAGCATATAAGTGTACATTAAATTCCTAAAAACATTAGATAGTATTTCATTAAATTCAAGAACAGCATACAAAAAGGATGGATTTATTCTATTTCTCTAGCTTTTCCTCTTCTGTATTTTTTGATTTTTCTTGTTCTTCTATTCCGGCAGCAACTTTTGAAGCGCCTTCAAATCCTCTAGCGTATAATGCGTAAGACCATGTTGACCAGATGACTAGAGCTGATTTCAGATCTTGTAAACCAGCCAAAGTTGAGAATGTAATTGAGGATCTAAAATGTCTAAGATATTCTTTCAAGTAAGACCAGAATAGATTTATCGAAACACCATTTTCGGTCCATCGCCTAGATATTTCTTGCAATGTTGCTCTATGGTTTGATTTTTCACAATATTGGCCAATTATTAAGAAAACACGAGTCGATCCATGAGTTGTATGTAAAGAAGTGTCTAAATGCCTTTATAATAGTTAGTTAAACATCTATAGTCTGATAACCAGTCTTACCTCGTCAAGTCGTTTAATTTAAGAACCATTAAAAGCCGTCTTGGTAGACTCCGCAATAATCCGAACACACTAGTAATTAAACCTTCCTTAGTTACTAATGCACTCCTTAACCTCTCGACGTCACTTGAGTTACCAGCTGGAGTGTTGTCTAGAATACCGCCGGAGCGTTTGTGCTTGCGTGGGCCACCCTTTAACTCATGCTCGTACGCTCCTTCCAAACCTGCTTTACCAGTAATGGCAGATTCGAATATAGCTACTTTAGATGAGTTACTCATTGAGTATTGTAAAGCATTACTCACCATACATATCCTCATCAATATTACCGACTAACTTGGCATAATGTCTTCTCTCTTTGAAGGTAGCTTCAGATGGTGGTTTCATCAATGACAACCAAAATCTAGCGTAGTTTACCCTAAGGTCATCCGATAAATCAAAATACAGACCATGATCGAGTAAACAAACTTCAAAATTGTACGGTGACCGCGACTTCTCCTGAGCAGGTCTTATCAACAAATTACCAGGATGTGGATCTGCATGGAAGAAGCCATTGATGTAGACCATCTCAGAGAACATACTTGCTAACTCTTTCGCTACTTGGTTTCTATCTATGTTGTGTTCCTTAAGGAAATTAAGATCGTCTGGTCTGGCACCTTCTATATATTCCATGCAAAGGGCTAACTTGTGAGACCACAAGAATTCAGGTATGTAGAGGGATGTTTTGGTTTTACCCGCGAAATCTTCTTTGCACCTTCTTGCATTGTTTGATTCATGTCTGAAGTCTAATTCAAGAGGAAGATTGACAGCCATTTCGTCTGCCAGCCAAGTGAACTCAAATTCTGGGAATAATCTTTTTATTCGTTAGAACAATAACATAAATAATGACGGTTCTCACTTTTTGATACCCTTACTGATCAATTGAACAGTTCTGATGTCAATTTCAGCATACTCGTCTAAACCGGGATGTTGAACCTTGACAGCAACTTTCTGACCGGTGGATTTATCATGTGCGATGTGCACTTGTGCGAGTGAAGCAACGCCAATTGGATTCGGTTCAAACGAAGCGAATAATTCGTCGGCTGATTTACCTGTTGCGACTTTAAGTATTCGATTAACATCATCAATTGACGATGGATTGCATTGATCTTGAAGTGGACGCATAGTGCCCGTCCACTCAAGTGGAAGGAGCGCTACACTAGATATATGCTGGCCAAGTTTTATGAACACACCTCCATTGGACTTAAGTACTGCGAGGACTCTCTCTGCACACCTCTTGTGACATCTGGACAAACTGTCCCATTTGTCGTCATCATTCGCGTAGTTTCTAGCGAGTGTAATCTTGTAATCTGTGACATTAGCTACAAACGCTTGTGCACATCTCGCGCATCTTTGACCAGCTAAAGTCGTATGCTTAAATGTGTCATTCGTGTTGTAGAGTATTATAGTCCCGGGTAGGAAGATCAATAGTAAAATGACTGAAGGCGGTAATTTTGATAAGAAATAAACGGATTTTGACGATGCACTTTGCTTTTCACGGTATTCGTAATCGCTATGATTGCTGCTCGAGTGACTCCAGCGTTTGGAGCTTGCTTGCTGGCGCAAAGCCGATTGAACAGAAAATTGTTGAACTGTCGCGCGATTATACCATCTCAGCGACCGTAGTGCTTGTCTAGGTTGTCCAAATAGGACTCTGTGCATCACTGGATGTTGGACGTTCGGAAGCTCAAATATCTTGGGAAGTTACCATCATCATAGTGAAATTTCAATATACTTTATCGCTGAAATAGTAACTCAATATTTTGTTGTGCGATTGGTTCTACTTCGATATCTAGTATGCCGAAATTTGATTACAACCTAAGCTTTACCTCTTACTTTCACTTTATCTTACATTGATCTTACATTTAGGATTATTTACGTAACATGACGAGATTGACTAAAATTACATTCTTAGTGTCCTTGTTTGTGTGCAAAGGGAGAGCAAATGATCACGCAACATGTGCCGATACTTGAGAGAATATCACTCATATGAAATCACACGATGTCTTCTAAAGCTGGCAGTGCCTTTATGTTTATGTTTGCATCAAGAATACACCGCGTACTCATATCGACGCTAATCTAGTACATATATCTCATGAGACCTACAAAGTCCCAACTTATTCTGGCTAAAAGATCGAATATTATTTGCTATTGATAGCTTTAAAACATGAATCTACCCCTATATGGAATTAACATATATGGAAGAAATAATGATTATTCAAGAATCATCATGTGGTTTTACTATCCTTCTTTTCCGGTTTTTGTTAATTATTAATTTGATAAAGTTGATAGCGCATTCAAACTATTAAAAAAATATTTATACTCCAAACTCAATGAAACATTTTATATACCCTCTGAACTTATTCTACCACATAAAGCTGAAAATACCTATCATGGATTGAGACGCGTCTCATTATGTCGATTTTAGATAGGATAGCATCTATCTGGTAGCTATTGGTGGTTGCTCAAAACCATTTAATACTTGGAATTCGGCTTATGTTCTGAGAGCTGAAGGGTATTTAATTTTCAGAATATGAATACAGAGGCTGAGCATACACCGTCATTCATTTGTTAGGTCTAACCTAATAATACGAACTCTGTGGGCCAGTAAGGGCAAGCGGACAACAAGGAACATGCGGACAATAAAAACTATGCAAGTAGAAATCTTGTACAGAAACGGTCGTATACAAATCCTACTAAACATTAACAACATGGAAAGCATAGTAGGTACTAGTTGCGGTACTTTTAACGGGAAAGTGGGTGGTATTACTCCATCAGTACTGGTATTTCTATTTTTATTTGCATCTTCCGTCAAAGCGCAAGATGGTAATGAAGTTCATCCATTTACCCAACATGTGAATTTAGTTAGATCCCCTAATCTAGCAGTAGGAGCTTCCAGCTTATACGCTGGAAAGTACATTTTCGATAGATTGTGTCCGAGTTGTAATACTGGCCACTTATATGTACGTCAAGAATGTATCATTGGACTGGCTGCCGGTCTCATATTTTCAATTTATGGATTTTATCGGATTGGAGGACTACTTAGATCTCAAAGTAGGAGCATAGATCTGGACTATCAAGATAATACATTGTTAAGGAATTTTCTTGGTAAATCTAAAGTGCTTCTATCACTACGGGGAGACAGGATGGGATTGAATGCTTTCATTTTACTTCTTTTGCTATTCAAGATTGTAATAGTTTTGAGGACACACAGTTGAATAAAATTAGCTCAAAGTCTTTGGCAATACTACTACAAGATCAACTACATTATTACGGCGAGAGAATGTCATATGTATGAACCAAGGGAATCTGCCCTGGTGTTTCAGACGTTCAAAAAAGACGGCGATGCTTTCAGGGATATTTACGTCATTGATGAAGAAACCAAAGATGCTTAGAGAGCAATAGTAGTCTTGTCTAATGACCCTCACGGCAAGGAAATATGTTTGAAGTCATTAGAGGAAGATTCCTAGTGGGGACGCCAAATTCTAAGCCTACTGATTATGATTTTTACACCATCATCTGATTTGAGGTGTATAGTGGTGGTCATAATAAAATATTAGCTCGGAAGGCATTCCTAAGTGACGGATAATTTTCCGGAAGATGCTCAGTTTGTCTATAATGGTATAATACCTGTAGTCTTGTCAAGCTTGATAAGTTTGTTGTAAATTGTATGAGTTAGATTTGAAAGACTAAATCAATTGTAAAAACATGTACATAAAACAAGATAAAGCAAAGATTCAAGAATGCATTCTGATAGAGCAAAAGGGTACATGTTGAACTGCCTCCTCAAATACTAGCAAACACATTAAATTATCAGTAAATACACGGCTGGCTATGTACCATCATCTATGTTGGCTCTATAAAATGGATAGATTCTATATGATGATAGTGGTTTCAATATTTTTTGGTCTTTTATATATGTCTTTAACTGTCTTACTTACGGTGTTCCTTTATCGCGAGACCTTTAAGATTGATAAGCTACGTACGTCCTATACCGCTCGTGATTGGTAAACTACGCCCGTATCATACCTCTTTGATTGGTAATTTACGTCCGTAACATCTATCTGATTTGTAATCTTCGTCCGAACGCGATGACCCCGTCCGGAAATTTACTTGGATCAGTGAGACACGTACGTGCCTCTCCATCAGATAGATCTTTATTTTCAGCCTCAATATTTGGGTTTCAACAGAATATATCGAAATGATACAAACTTTAACGGCATCAATCAATAACCCACTAAATATGGAAACTTAAAGAGCTACAGGATTTGTTGGACGTATTTCCTGGGTAAATAGCAATTTTTTTTTTGTAGGTTTTTAGATGTTACTCGTCTCGTCTGATATTGTAAAGTTTAAAATGAAAATTCTCAGATGACCCATTAGTACAACGGGAGTTGACAGTTTGGCCGAGTGGTTAAGGCGATAGATTGCTACTATTCAAACACTTGAGCTTGCTCTTGTTGATTGACTAACCTTCTATTGCGCATTGCGTTCATGAGTTCGAATCTCATAGCTGTCGGATATTTTTTGTCTTTTTATTTCTTGAAGGCAATGTTCACACAATTTACTTCCTTTTTTTTTATTAATCAATTAATTTGGAAAAAGATCATATCTTTGCATGTATTTAAATCCAAGTATCCAAATTTTAGCAATATACTAATATTTGAAAGTGATACAGAAAGAGGACGATTTCTAACATGAAAGTTGAGGTTCTAGTAAGCGACTACATTAAAAGCGTTATAGGATGGCTCTGAGAGCAAGGAATATTCGATTTCAGTAATTTCCCCCATAAGTTGGATCAGTTTCAAGACATCGGTGCAATACACACCGGGACACAAAGTCAAACGTTCAGGAGATATAATGGAAAGATTAACTAATGAGGCAAAAGCACAACTGCTCATCTAATTAGGGAAAGCTCAACAAGCGAGATAATATCAAGATTATTCCATTCAAACCGAAGTTGTCAACAACCTTCAGAGATTAAAGCTAAAGAATGCAAAACGTCTCGTAATTACTCCAATAGACAACAATGTGGATTTCTATAAAGAAACTTGAACATTGAGATAAGAACATTCCAAACGCCAAACTTTTCATAAAGGTATCCAGAGACATATGCACGTTACCAGTTTAACTCCAACCGTGACATCTAGGTAAGTCATATCTACATCATATCAATCTAGCTAAAGATGACAGTTGTCCGCTTTGTAATGTGAAGGACGATATTTATCATCGCATACATACATGCATAAGACATGCGTCAAATTAAACATTACTAATCGATTCCTTAATATAAATGTAAATATAATTACAAGAACTTTCTTCAGAGTAAGGGCGCATTATTATTTCTACGTGAACTTATCACGCGACAAACATACGACACAATCTAGTTACTTGCAGGAATATCTAAAAGAAGGACGCCACTCAAGTGACATATATTGAAAATCATAGTTTATATTATTTCCTCCACATTTGTATCTTCTCATGCCAGAGGTATAGGGGAATAAGTATTGTATGTAATTGGACAACTTGCATAACTAATTGCGTATTTATGCTAAATAATAATAAAAATGGTACATGGTCATAAGTTACAATAGATTGCTAATCACGCGAATAACTTCCCAGATAGAAAGGAGAAAGACAGTTACGAGATAAGAAGATGGTACCTCTATTTAAAATAAAAATGCTATGCACAGATAAAGATGACAACTATTTATAAGGCAAATGGGATATAAAATATAAGTTCACCTATGGCGCAATTTCTTGAGAAATGAGCGAGGAACGCCACAAAGGGGACCGATGTTTAGTACAATCCGGGGACCTTTTTAGAAATAAAGCAAAAAAGTGAAAACAGCGTAAGGAAATTTGACCGGAGAATAAAATACATATACAGATATTAAATTTAGTTATATAGAGATAAGTAGCCTGAAGTGCCCTGACTTAGTAACGGGTAAACACATGACAGGCCGAGATGAGCTGGCACGTCCTCATTTGGAGTACTACCGGGGATAACAAATCTGGTATGAATGAATTTACAATACCACTAGTAAAAACCTCCACTAGAATTTAAATACCATTCACAATTTTGAGTAACTCCGGAGATAGGCAACTTTTACGTACGGAAACTCTTCTAGAAAAGGTACCTAAAGACACCACCGGCGGGATGTAAGTTGTAAGTGATATCTTAGAGCATATAACAAGTAAGATGAATATGCTGGTGAAGAAATCAGTCTAAAATTAGTCCGACCGATCAAAAGCTTCTCGTCGTACCTCGTCTTCGCTTATGTAAGAACCGGGTGTGGATTTATATAGAAACAGAGAATAAATTGATATAAAAAGATAGTTTATTTTGTATATAAATCTTTGAATATATTCGATTTGCCAAGAGTTGACCAAGAATGTAGATGACACGGGGATCGCAGACCGACTTGGGTAATATTAACTCCTATGGGCAACAAACTCCGAGTGTGGACACTCTTCAACATATACCACCAAGAATGTTTGCAGACTCACAATCAAGCAGTAGCACAGTAAGTCAGAATATAATTACCATTCATGGCTAACCTATAAGCAGTCTAAATTTAAATTCCCAGCATCGATATTGAACGAAAGCCCTGAAATCCATAGACAGACTCATGCAGACGTACAGCCACCATCACACAATCACACACAACAAGCAACAATAGCAAACCAAGGAAAACAACCGATAAGCAGAGTGACGAGAGCTTGCGACAGATGTACACAGAAGAAGCTACGCTGTGACGGTACCATTGTCCCAGATCTAAATGGATTGCCTCCGACGGTGATAAAACCATGCTCACGGTGCGCCCACGCTGGCTTGGGCTGTGAATATACCCGAGTGCAGAAGCGTAGGGGTCCTTCACCAGGGTTCAAGCGACGCAAACTCTCAAATGAAAGCACTACATCCGGCGCATCGAGCAGGACACTCCATTCGCCGGCATCCTCTGTCGATTCTTCAGATCATTTTGCGCAGGCGCAGGCACAGGCACAGCATAGTTACTCACAACCGCGTAAAGTCGTCACTTTACCTACTTCCGCGGTTTTGACTTCACAGAGGCAACCTTCTTCGGGGGCTGGATTCAAATTGCCTCCTATCAGCAACTGGTTTCAAGGTGGTGCCCGAGGATAGCTGAATGTAGAAATATGGATGCATAATTATTTATTTTTACTTTTTTGATTTGTTTGCTTTAGTCTTTGGGAGTTCCTTGACAAATGGGATGAACTCTCTGTCATCCATGTACTTACGGAGGACTGGTGGGACGACCAAACCTTCTTCATTTTGCCAGTTCTCAACAAGACAACACATAGCGCGCTCAGTTGCACACATTGTACCGTTTAACATGTGGACGTATGTTTTGTTAGTCTCACCTTGCTTCTTTATACCATGTCTGACTTCGAGTGATCTTGATTGATAGTCAGTGCAATTTGATGTACTAACCAATTCTTTCCATTCACCCAAGTATGGGAACCAAGCTTCCAAATCGTACTTCTGAGCAGCTGCGTTGTTAAGTGCACCTGAAACAATATTGACTAATCTGTATGGTATACCCAAACTTTGGTAGAATTCTTCACTGTTGTTGACCATTTCATCAAACATTTCCCAAGATTTTTCAGGTGAAGTAACGCAGAATTGTTCAATCTTTTCAAATTGATGTACTCTGAAGATACCCCAGGTGTCTTTACCGTGTTTTCCTGCTTCTTTTCTGAAACAAGTTGAATATCCGGCCATTCTAATTGGTAATTGATCTTGAGGTTTCTCAAACCACTCATTTGCAAACATTGCACTAATTGGTTGCTCAGATGTTGCGATAAGATATTTATCATCTTCACCGCCAACGTCTTCAATTTTGTAGAGTTCCTCATCGAATTGTTCGAGTTGCGCTGTCTTGCTCATCATATCTTTGCGCATCATAAATGGTGTCATTACCTTCTTAAATTGACGCTTTCTGAGGAAATCAAGACCATAGCTGATAAGTGCGAGGTTGAGATCAACTGCGGTGTCTTGCAAAAAGTAACCTCTGTGTCCAGCAATCTTTTGACCTCTTTCTAAGTCGAAACCGTCCAATCTTTGTAAAACTTCATGGTGTGCAAGAATACCTTCCTTCTTTTCAACTTGAGCGTTTGGACCTTCTGGATGCCACAAGCGGAGGATGACATTGTTATCCTCGTTGTCGTCTATAGGTACGGCTGTGTGTACGATATTTCCAATAGTGACTGCCTTAGCTTTCATAGCTTGCTCTGCAACCAAAGCTTGTTGCTTGATACCAGCAACCTTACTGTCAAGTTCCTTCTTCTTTGCGAGCTCATCATCTGCACTCTCTTTGTTCTTCTTCTTTGCTGTGATAGCCTTTTGAGTTTGGTTTATTTGAGTGTTGAGTTGCTGTGACTCGTAGCTGACTAAATTATTTGTTAGATTGGCGTATGATTGACTATTTATACTCACTACTCGTCCAATCTTGGTACAATTTCAAGACTTCGTCGACTAACTCGACGCTGGCGTATCTCTTCTTTTGTGACTCCTTAACTAATTCAGGATTACCACCTATTGTTATTTAGTAATAGTCTTTATTTTATTCTCATTTCCCACCCTTGGCTTCTTGTAGCAAAACCAAATCTATCATTTTGTAGCCTGATGGTCAACAACGAAGAAAGAATACATTTTTTTACAATTTTTGTGATATAATAGGGAACGCAGCAGAATTTGCTTTAGCCAATACAAGTGTACGTGAACTATGTTGTATACTAGCACCTATGAATTCTTGGTCGATCAGACTGACAGCTATAGCTTCAGCGTCATCCACATCATATTCTTCATCTGGGGCCGTAAAGTTCAATGCAGAGAGGAATATTTTCAATGGTATTATCCTATTCTCGTCACCCCTTACTGTTAAACTTGAGTCTTTTAGAAAGTCTCACTTTTGAATGATTTTTCACTCACATTTTCCGCAATAGAGAGCGATGTACTACACATTCCAGCTTCTCTTTAAGCATAGTATATACACCCATTTTGATAAAGAAATTCCTCGTGTTGGGCTGATTGAGAGCTGAATAGAGTCCACCTACATCGCCTCTACGGAGTTGTCTAAATAGTTCTCCAAATGGTTCCTCCAATCCATAACGTATTAGCATATCCTCAGTTGGTGCTCTGCATAGAATAAGCGCGCATGTAAGCCAATATGAGACAATCCTTCGTAGGTTCCCAATCGAATTATAATGACAAGACATATACGCGATACTGAAATGATGATCTGCCGCACCCACTCTCCACTCGGCTAGCTTTGATCTTGCGCGCCAATAACGGTAAGTTGTAATTTCGCTAGCTGGGTAATTGTTTTTGAGTTCATCTTCTATTGGTATAACAGCTTTAAGTGCTGTAGGGAGAGAGTGCAACCTTCGTAATTTGAAATATGTCCAAGATAGCATATTGGCTGTGTGTACTAAAACGCGTCTGCGTTGTGGTATATCGGTATTAGAAGCTGCTAGCAATCTAGATAAGAGTGAAGCAGCGTGTGAGGATGCTTCTTTTGATATCTATGAAGTATTTAAGTTTGTTGGCATCTCTAAAAGATATTACCCACTCTGAATGAGTATTTGACTAAAGCAGTCGATAATAACTTCAACGTTGGTGTAATATCAACCCCATTATCACTATTAGAGAGGTAAATGGGTGTTACCGTGGTGTAGCATTTCGTAAGTAGCTGCCAAATATCGCCAACTTTATTGAGTAGATTGATATAAGCGTTTAAGAAGGCTCTCCATTCTTTGTTGTTATAATAAGGTGTAGCTTGTAGTATAGACTCGAGTGTATCGTCTACATTGCTAGAGTTAATAGGGATGCTATCAAATTGACTAGAACCTGGTAATAACAATCTAATAGACGCTCCGGCTAGTAAATTTAAATGTAAATTCTTAAAATGCTCTCCCAAATCACCTCCTAACATCTTCCCTCTTGACTATCAAAGAAGATGCCAAAAGTAGGACGCAAAGGCAAGAAAGAATGGCGTAAAAATGTCAATACAGAAGACTTAGAAGCTAATTTAGAAAGTTTGCGTGAAGAGCAGAAAGTTTACGGTACAAAATTAGACGACAAAGCTGATAAAGATTTATTCCAAGTCGATATAAAAGGTGATGAGGGCGTTAGAAAGCGTGTAAAGAAGGAGAAGAAGCCATTGAAATCACTCTCTATTCTCAGTCAGCGTTCTGCCATTCCTGCGCCATCAACTAAGCATACAATCTCATCAGATGATAAGCGTCGTTTGAGAGCTATTTCCAAGCGTGATAAAGGTCCTTTAGGCGCTTCATTCAAACCTCAAGAAGGTGAATCTATCGCTGCACAAGGTCTCACAAAAGCTGCGAAAGAAGCTGGGAAATACAATTTATGGAATGATGCACAAACTGAAGAACAGGAAGTTAAGGATGAAATTGATAATAGAGAAGGTTTTGATGTAGTCAATTTAAAAAGGAAGCCGACCGTTAAAGTTCCTAGTCATCCTACTTTCAAAACTGGCCTTGAACCCGTCGAGAAACCTCACGCTGGTCAGTCATATAATCCATCATCTAAAGAGCATGAAGAACTTCTTAAAGCAGCATATGATAAGGAATTACAACGTAAACTTCGCGCTGAAGAAAACGCAAATATTCGTCGTCGTATGCAAGCTGCCAGAAAAGCCGGTGGAATGGAATTAGATATCCCAGACAGTGATGCTGAAGATGTTGAAGAAGATGACGAAGAGGAGCAAGATGATGCTGAAAAAGCATCAGCAGAAGAAAACGTTGAAAACGAGGATGAGGACTTCGAAACAAAGGAAAAGAAGAGAATCGAAGAATTTAGATTAGCAAAGAAGAAGCGCAAAGCTGCTTTGCAACTCAAGAAAGATAAGATTGACAAAGATAGAAGCGCCTTCCTCAAAGCACAGAAACATGCCATAACTCAAGCACCAGGAATTAACAAAGCATTATTGAAGAAGCTCAGAAAGCAAGAAGAACGCGCTCAAGCTCGCAAAGAAGCAAACGCTTCCAAAGAACTTGGTGTTGGTGGATTAGAAGGAAAGAAAGTCGGAAGTCATGTCGTACCAACGGCTGAGGTGGATGTTCAACTGGGAGAAGACTTATCTGAGTCATTGAGAGGTGTTAAGGTGAGCAATTGACGTGATACTTTATTTTCTAAGCTAACGCGACACCCAATAGACTGAAGGTAATCTATTCAGAGACCGTTTCTTGTCCATGCAAAAGCGTGCACTCATTGAACCAAGACAACCAGTAGCGTAAGTAATCATTGATATTACATGTAACATCACTAACGAAGACGCCCTCTACAGTGCCAGACGTAAATACAAGCGTAAGGATTACGAAACACCAGCATTTAGATTTTGGGAGAAGAGGTAAATCATATTTATTTATACATATACATTGTAATTTGGTTTGATATATGAAAAATGCAAGAGGGATAAGGAAAGTGAGGTATATATGCATAATGTTTTAGTCAATCATTTTGTCATCCTCCAAGTCAATATCGAGTTGATCAGAGTTACGTCTCTGCTTCTCTTTATGTGGTGTATGCGTTACTGGAAGCTGCTTTTGCTTGATGAGGTTATTATCAATGACTTTGATTCGATAAAGGATGTGCCTGGTTGATTTGTTATTATGTTTAGTAACGTTTAAAGCTTTGCTAAGGAGTGCTTGACGGGTATCCTCCTCTGTTTTGTGGAAAATGCCAGTTACTTTGTCAAACTTAACATTTAAAGATCCTGATTTAATGAGTTGGATAGTCTGATCGAGGATATCATCTCTTCCGAACGTATTTTGTAAATTTTCCAGGCTAAGATTCTTGAAGCTATCAAAGTATTGAAGTATAGACCGATTATAAATCAACTGGAAGAGGTCACTAACGTGATTATGCAGATGTGGATCTAAAATATAACGCCATTTTTGTTCTTCTAACAACCCAAAGAGTTCTTTGTAATTTGAATTGCAGTATAGCAACAATAATTGTTTAGTGTGTGGTTCAAATTCAAATTTCGACCTGAGAGCATCATTATCGAGAATCCTTTGACGTATCTGACTCCTAGATTGAGTTGCCAATGCTGTGAGTGAAAGGTAAACGAGTGAGTCTGGTAAAGAGACAGAAGTGTCGTCAATTGGTGCATCCGAGATATTGCAAATGTTTTCAACGACATTTGAAAAGTTTGATTGACCCAAGTCGGCAATAGCAGCAGCTAATAGCAAATTGTTGGATTTACTATTGAGTGAAATAGAGTTTATTTTTATGATTGAATTCTTTATGAGAGAGTAATTACGTAACTCAATCGATAGCGAGATCAGATTGAGGTTGTTCTCTATCAACTGATCGGTAGAGCTAAGGTAATCCCTCGCTTTGAGATAGCAATTGAGGGAATGCTCCAAGAAACCAGCTTGCTTGTATAAGTCGGCAAGTGAGTAATAGGACATCTAAAGAGAACTTGTCAGAGTGAATAGAAGGCTGTTAAACTACCCACCCGAATAGACTCTTTGAGGTTGTTATTCAGGTAACCCTTCAACTCGAACTCGAGTGATTGCAGTTTAGATTTAAAGCTAGACTCAGTGTTGGTGATATACTCGTCGTCTATTGGGATCTTCTCGGTGGAGAGATTGTTGTATAGATTGATAGCGTCATTGTAGGCTGAATAGTTAGCAGTGTTGTGTGTTCTAGTAATTAATAAATTAATAGCCTCTTGTCTAAAAGGGCTATCTATAGTTTTAATAAAATTTAAATTCTTTATTTTCTGATTCTTTATTTCCATTCTCTTATCGTCGTAGTCTCTCTTATAGACACTAATGGCAGATTTGAGTGAAATAAATAATAATTTTCTAGAATTGTTATCTTTTATACCAGAAAATTTATATTCGCATAAAGAGATTAATTTAGATGAAAAGTACTTCAAAAAATCTTCAAACGCTTCAAAATTACAGTTGAAATTGAATAAACAGAAGTCTTTAAGGGAGAAGCTCGATCCTGTTGTTAACGGCGATGCTGAGAGTGATAACCTTGATACAAACGCTTCAAATATAGACGATGATGGTCAATCTTTGCAAGATTTGGCAGACTCAGACAGCTCGTCTATTCAGCCTATGCCCTCCGCTGGTGAACACAACAAGCTTAAGGATAAGTTACACACCAGGTTGTTACACATGCAGCGTAAAAGACACGGTATAAACCCATTAGATAACACCAAAGACGCCTTGTTGCAATCGAGAAGACACCAATCTATCAACCAGCCAAAGAAGAAGGTTCAATTAGATAAGAAACCTCTCTATTTGGATAACAAGGGCAAATCAACACAATCAACTTCCACAGAAGACAAGCAACAGGATTCTTCACTTCAGTTCTCACATTTACAGAAGATAAACGAGATAAAGCAACAAAAGAAGCAACCATCAGATCCTAAACAAGCATTACAGCAATTACAAGCTAAGAAACTGAAGAACAAGGAAAAGCAATCTGCTGATAACGACAACGAAGACGATAATAGTGATTTGTGGAAATCAGCATCCGCCAAAGCTTCAGGTATAAAGGTCAATGACGACGAGGCTAGACTTAAAAAGCAAATCAAGAGAAAGGATAAAGTTAAAGCGAAGTCATCCAAAGATTGGTCAGAACGTAAGAAGAATCTCGAGAAGAGTATGGCTACAGCCCAGAAGAAGAAAGCTGACAATGTCGCTAACCGCAAATCAAAAAATAAGTCAGCGGGTCCATCAAAATCTAAAAAGAGGGCTGGATTTGAAGGCAAAATTTCTAATTCGAAGAAACCTACTAAGAAGTAGAAATTTATTTATATTATAATACATTATTTTACATTTTTACACACCAGTACGGATAACTACTTTCTTCTGATTGCTAAACCTGATGACTTCCTTCTTGTCAAGAATGAAAAGTGTCCTTTCAAGTGCATGTTGAGAGAATCCTTGCTGAGAACAGAATTCACGAACGAGAGTGCTATAGGAAGTCGACCAACCGATTGGTAATCTGCGACGAACTTCACGTTCAATTTTGTGTACTTCATCCATTAACTCTCCGCGTGTCATACCTTCGACATTACCTGCTGATACAGCATCCATGGTAGAGAATTTGAAAAGTCTTATAGCTTCCTCGACATCATGCTCATGGACTTGCGTGGAGAGTCTCATCTTTGCCAATGACTCGGATATACGTATAATAGCTTCTAATTGACGGACTGTGATTGGGATGGATGATCTCTCATCATTATCTTTCTCAACTTGTTGTACTTCTTTCCTAAGTGAAACAAAGTGAGATGAGAGTTTTTCAGATGCTTCGTTAGACAACCTTGGTGCGCAGCGACTGTTTAATTATCAGTTTAATTCCTTATTAAAACGAGAAACACACCTCTTGCAAAACATAACATAGCGTTTCATCTTGTCAAGATCAATTTCACTACCCGCGCTACTTTCCTCATTTTGACGTCCGGCGTGCAGGTTCATGACGTGCTTAGCTATCGTCCTATCTCTGCTCTCGTTGTGTTCATCCTTGACAATGAAAATCATGTCAAATCTCGACAAAATCGTCGTCTGGAAGTCAATATTCTGGACAATTCGGTTAAACAGCTGGTTACATGACTATAAAAAAACACCTACCTCGCCTGGACTCTTCATATCGTCGTATCTACCGAAAATTGGATTAGCAGCTGCCAAAACGGACGTCCTACTGTTCAAAATAGTAGTAATACCGGCTTTAGCGATGGATATAGTTTGTTGTTCCATAGCCTCGTGAATTGCAACTCTATCTTCATCTCTCATTTTGTCAAACTCATCAATACAGACGACACCACCATCTGCAAGTACCATAGCACCACCCTCGAGGTAGAAATCTCTAGAAACTGTATCACGTTGAACAGAAGCTGTTAAACCAGCAGCCGAGGAACCTTTACCAGAAGTGTATACAGCTATTGGTGATACTTTCTCTACGAATTTCAAAAGTTGGGATTTGGCAGTACCTGGATCACCTAAAAGTAAGACGTTTATATCACCTCTCAATCTCATTCCATCTGGTAGAATCTTCTTACTACCTCCGAACAAGAGACAAGCGACTGCCTTCTTAATATCTAGATTACCGTAAATAGATGGTGCAATGCTGCTTGCGAAACGTTCATAAAGGTTTGGAAATTGAGAAAGCTTTGAGAATTCCTCTTCCTCCTCTGGTGTAAATGACTTTCCACGGCCTCCTGCGCCGGATGTAGCGTGAGCTGAATCTACTTCAAGGCCAACGACACGAATGTATGGCTGACGAAGTGCAGGTGCCTGTCCCTTCTGCTTCGAAGCTTGGAAAGTTGAGTAAATACCGGTAGCAATAACCCGAGAACCTGGTACTACTTTCGCGGTTAAGTATCTGTCCAAATTTAAGAGTAAATGACGAGGAAGTTCACCAACTGGTACCATATCCGGTGCTTCTTGCAATTTGACAGTCTGTTGATCGATATACTTGCACTTATCGTGAACAATCGTGTATGGATCAATTGGACATTCCTTGGGTTGTCCAGCTGGTACTTCAGCATCACACTTGCGTGGTAAGTTTATTGTACCCCAACCACCACTAACGTTTAAATTCTTTGTACTTCTACAACTTCTACACATAATGTGAAGGTTTATAGCCCTACTTGAGAGAGTTGACGCGCTTATAACGATACCAGGTATTCTGACTAATTTCGATACCGTGTCAGCGTTTAGATCCCTAAAATGAACTAAATTTGATTGAGATTTTAAGGATATTTGTATAGTTGGTATATGTATACTATCTGTATCAGATTGTAATGGATTTACTAATGTTTTGGCGATTCTAGTGACTGCAACTTCGAGAATAGGAAGTAAATCAGCTGGTTTTTGCGAGAGTAAGTAACCGAGATCTTCATTGTAGAGCAGTAAATGGTTTATAGAGACCTCCAACGCGTAAACCTTTGCTAACAAACTCGATCTGAGGTTATCTCTGTATATAAAGTCGTCGCCCAGTCTGAAGTTGTTGATAAAGCTACTGAAGTCTCTCTCCAAGGAAGAAGGAGCTCTATCGGAAGAGTTCGCGTCAGCTGGCAATACAGCCGTCGTGTAAATCGCGCCCTTATCAAAGCCTGACATCGTGGTTTGGTGAGAAGTCGCGTCTTCTTGAAACGCGTAAAGGTGCAAATAAAATAAAAATACATAGTAATTACAATCTAAGGAATCTTTGTAAGAATGACTTGTGGATTGGTTTCCCATCGACAGCGTCTAATACTTTATCGTAATGATTTGGTGCGGATGCAGGCTTTAGCATTTTAGCACTCAGAGGGTACTAAAATGGGTTAGAATTGTAGCGAGTAAATAATAAACCCACCTTGTTATAGTGCTTATTGTTTAGTAAGGCCTCTAAGGCTAGGACACTCTTTCCTGCAATTTGCTCATGCTCATGGCTCTTATCGTGGATATTCTGTACTAAATTCTTGAATTGCAATTTTGGTCTTAGCTTCGTGAATGGCCACTCCTTGGCTATCCACAGTAGTTTAGATTTTTGACTAGCCATTTCTTTATTATGTCCGTTCAAGAAGAAGAGAAGAGAGCAGAGGATACGTTCAAAATTTTGCTATGCACAGATTGTCATATAGGCGTACACGAGCGTGACCCAATTAGAGGTAATGATTCTATCAACACTCTCAAGGAAATACTTGATTTGGCAGTTCAGTATGACGTAGATTTCGTTCTCTGTGCTGGAGACCTCTTCCATGAGCATAAACCTACTAGCCAGTCTGTCATACAAACTATGTCCTTGTTGCGCGAGTATTGTCTCAACGATCGTCCGGTGTCTATACAACTTCTTAGCGAACCATACGACGAACAGCGTCCAGATATCAGCTATCCAGCGATAAACTACGAAGACACAAATCTCAACGTTGGTTTACCCTTCTTTCTTATCCATGGCAACCACGATGATCCGCAGACTGTCCCAAATTGGCCATCAGGTGCACCTTCACTCAGTGCAGTAGACCACCTAGCGACAGCAGGATTAGTCAATTATTTTGGAAAAGTCCAAGTTCCTCCCCTAGACGACGTAAATGCAGATGCACTCGACAACGACACTGGTATAAATGTGAAACCGATCTTGCTGCAAAAAGGCACTTCCAAATTAGCTTTATTTGGTATTGGAAACATACGCGATCAGAGATTTAACCAAGAATTGAAAAATGAAAGAGTGAACATGTACGCGCCGTTAGAGGATGCCGATGACTATTTCAATATCCTACTCATACACCAGAATCGTATAAACAGAGGTGCATTACAGGCCGTACCTGAGCATCTCTTCGATGATTCGATAAGTCTCGTGGTATGGGGACATGAGCATGATTGTCGAATCGTACCTGAGATCGTTTCTGAGAAGCCCTATCGTATCACCCAGCCAGGCTCTTCCGTCGCAACAAGTTTATCAGAAGGTGAAACAGTACCAAAACACGTCGGATTACTCGAAATTAATGACAAAGATTATAACCTTACACCACTTCCACTTAAAACTGTCAGACCATTTGTCATGATGGATGTCAATCTCCGCGAAGTTGAAGAAACTCAAGGACTAAAATTCGAGGATAAGCTCCAAGTGAATAAATACTTGAGGCAACAAATCGAAGAGCTAATAACGCGTGCTAACGAAGAATACGCTGAGAGGCATCAAGGGGTCGATGCGCCATCTATGCTCCCTCTTATCAGGCTTAGAGTGGATTATACAGGCTTTGAGATAGGAAACCCTCAAAGACTTGGTATGGAGTTCAGCGAGAGGGTGGCGAATCCGAAGGATCTTGTACATTTCACGAAGAAGAGACAAATGAAAGCTAAGAGCCAAGTTGTCGCAGATGCGCCTGAGTTTAGAGACGATGATGAAGAAAACGCCGTAGTTGATAACACGGGTAAATTGCGCGTTGAGAAGCTCGTTAATACTTTCTTGCAAGCCCAGAAACTGCAATTGCTACACGAAGACGGTTTACAAAGATCTGTAGAGTCATTTGTAGAGAAAAACGACACACATGCTATTGGAGAGTAAGTTAACATTTAAATAATTGATCATTCACTTATTAGTACAGTTCGGTTGAAAAAATGGTCGAACATGCAGTCGAATACATGTCGAAGCAGACACTAAACGATGTTGACGAGGAAGATGATATAGAAAAGGCCAAAGAATATGCTGCTGAGAAGTACAACGTGGGCAAGAAGACCACCGAAACCACGGGAAGATCTGGTAGGGGCGCCAGACACGGGGCTGATTCTATGGAAGAAGACAGCAGCGATGAACCTGCCCCAACAGCGACGACAAGAGGCAGAGGAAGAGGAAGAGCGAGGGCAAGAGGACGCGCTGCATCGACCAGCACGCGTGGTAGAGCTGCAAGTGCTCGCAGCACTCATGATGATGATGAAGAGTTGGTAGGTACCTTGATTGTTTCCTGACCACTCTAACCAAACTTCAGTTCCACTCTTCTGATGATTCTGTGCAAGAGACGGCACCTTCGCGTGCGAAATCTGTCTCTGCGCGCAATCAAGCTTTATCGTGAGTGTCACTGATATTGTAGTTGCTACTCTAACGACATTCAAGTTCACAACCTAGCTCACGTGTGCCGCAACGCAGGAGACGAAACCAAGAGGTAAGTGTTTGTTGACAGTTCCTTACTCTCTCATATCCTATCAGGTATATGACGTATCCTCGGAAGAAGACGATAGCAGATACCGCCAAAAACGCAAGCATTAACAAGATGAATACCCTCTCACATCAATTTGCAGAATATCATAAGATTAGAAAGAGTAATGCATTATTTATATTCCTTTGCAATTTGACCATCAATGGATTTCCTCATGTCAAGTATAGCCTGCTTGACGTCCTGTGCACCGAAGACAGCTGTACCCGCAACGGCGACATTTGCACCGCTTTGTGTACACTCGTCGATTGTTTTTGGTCCAACACCACCATCGACTTGTAAATCTAATTTTGCGTATCTTTCACGCAAGTTGCGAAGTTTTGGCATCTGTTCAGGCATGAACTTTTGACCACCTTTTCCTGGCCATACTGTCATAACGAGTACCATGTCAAGTTGAGCAATGAGCTCATCACTGAGTACGCTCGCAGGTGTTGATGGGTTGAGCGCTATAGCTGCGCGCATACCATGCTTCTTAATCTCCTTTATGACGGCCATATGATCGTCAGTAGCTTCATAATGGAATGTGTATTGATATCCTCCAGCTTTGGCTACAGGTTCAACCCATTGGAGAGGGTTAGCAACCATCATATGACAATCCATTTTGATGTCTGGAATTGCTTTCTTCACCCATTCGAGTACAGGTGCACCTTTCTGTGTATGAGTGACGTATCAAATGCTCCATAAGAAACGCACCCATAGTAATGTTTGGCACGAAATGACCATCCATGACGTCCATGTGTAACCAGTCTGCGCCATCGTCGAGTACTCTCTGGCATTCACTTGCCAATTTACCGAAATCACTCTGTATATCGTCAGTACCGTTGCGGTACGCCTATAGAATATTGACGTACTGCTAATGCAGATGGTGCAATAATTGACTGTAAGCAGCTTGATCCACCACACATCTTGGTTGTATGTTTTCAAGGTAGATAACTCCACTGATAGGATACAATAGTAATTTTTAACGAATAAATAACGGTTATTTACTACTATCGACTATTGTATCAACTGTCTTCTCTCTTGTCTACTCTCTTGTCTACTCTCATGATTGACTTGCGTTTTGTCTTGCCAGTATTGATACAATTACGGCTGATATGTGCAAGACCTACACGATTTAATAACATATCCAGAAAGCTGTTGATTATACCAACTTTATATTTCAGCTTTACGAACACTAAGAAAGGGGATTTTCACGATTACGGTCCAGTAGGCTTTGTATGGGCTGTTACCCTATTTGTAGCCTCTATGAAAAGTATAGATTTGGGATTCACACCGAGATCACGGGTCAGGTATATAGGAACACGAAAAGAACGTATGAAGGAGAGTGAAGGCGATATCCACAAAGATCTTGGCTGGTCTGCTTTCTTTGAGTTACTTACAAAGTGAGGCGGAAGAAATTTTTCTTAATAAGCTAACATTATCCAGCTTAAGAGGTGTAGGATGGGAATGGGGATACACGCTCGACAAACTACCTGAAGTTTACTATCATAATTTCTGCATCAAGAGTATTATAGATGCGTTGAAACATTTGTTTATTTCTGCAATCTCTGTTGGTATCTTGACACATGCAATGGATAACAATGATAGTCTGGCGATTGGTTTCGGTTTCAGACAAACGGCTAGTACGCAATTCGCGAGTGATGTAGTTCAGACTATTGCACTTGCTGCTGCTGCTTGGTCCGGTCTTTCACTCGGTTATCGCCTGATAGCACTTACTGTATTTTCGGTCAAGAAACTCACTAGAAGTAGATTTGACGTCGAGAGATGGCCCTGTCTTTTACAAGACCCTCTACAAATGACAAGTATTCATGATTTTTGGTCTAACAAATGGCACGCTCTCTTCAAAAGACAATTCGTCGTCTGTGGATACAAACCTATTTTATTCATCTGCAAAAGACTAGGAATAAAAGGCGATTTGGCTAGTTTGCTCGGAATGCAAGGCGCTTTTTTTGTCAGTGGTCTTTTGCATGAATATGGCATACGGAATGCCCTCAATGATGTTAAACACCCTAACCACTATCCTTCAATGCTATTTTTCCAATTATCTGCAGTCGCGATTGGCTTCGAATTACTATTTGAACGTCTCACTAAACGCAAAATCAGTGGCATTTCAGGTAGAGTTTGGGCATGGACATTTTTGATCATAACAGCAATCCCATTGATGAAACACTGGCTTCACGAGGGTAGATTGGGTTATATTGTTCCACCGCGTCTCTGGACATGGCAGAGAATAATCACCCCGTTCGGTTTCCTCGCTAAAGCAGGTCATTTGTAATAACATAACAAATTGTATACATATCAATAGAAAAAGATACAAGGCTTTTTTAAATCATTCAAGACAAAGTGAAAATATTAGGTGAGCACGGTTATGGTTAGTCATTCGTCGGAACATTTTCATTAGAATTGGCTATCTGTTGCTGATTTCTCCTTTTGCGAGATTTGTGCATTTCTTTCTTCAAGGCTTGACTGTCCAGGGGTTTTAAGAGTTCGAATGCACATAATAAATCCTGTGAAACTGACATTATTGCACCAAAGTTATCAAATTCTCCACAATAGTTTGGTGCACTGAATATTGTAACTAAAGTCCTATCATTCCAGAATTCATAACCACTGGTGTTGTTAGAAAAAGAATACTTGAATGACGACGACTCACTCTTCGACCACCATGTGGGCTCTACATATCAAATCGAATTCATATCGACTGAGGAAATCATTTATAACACTTTTACCAAAGCAGTAACTGACTCCTCGTTCATTCTCCTCCCAATCGTAAGCGGTATCACTTGGATCTGACCATAATAAATCGTTAAGTAGACCATAATCGGGTACATCTAAAGGTCGCTGTATACGCCTGATATCATCCATTGTAGTTAAATTTGGTGATAAACCGCCATGTAAGCAAAATATTTTTGATGCAACAACGGCTGCAATTGGTAGCGAATTAAAGACATCAACGAATTGTTTCCAAATTTTAACGTTTGAACGCCTTTTACATTCATCATAAAAACCGTAAACTCTTGTAACGTTTGCGCATTCATGATTTCCACGTAATAAGAAAAAATTTTCAGGGTATTTCAGTTTATAACATAGTAATAATAAGATAGTTTCAAGTGATTGTTTACCTCTATCAACGTAATCGCCCAAGAAAAGATAATTAGATTTAGGTGGAAAGCCAGACATGTCGAATAATCTAATCAAGTCAGAGTATTGACCGTGAATGTCTCCAACTATTTTAACAGGTGGGTTTAGCTCTATTAAAGTCGGCTGATTGAGCAATAAGTCTCTTGATAATTGTAGCAGCTGGGTAATTTCTGTTGATTTTATAGGTAGAGTCTTAGAGTATTTAGCTGAATAGCCAATATTTAATAACCTCTGTATAATATCATCAATATCTATACTATCATCATCTGTGTTACTCGGCTGCTGTCCCACGGTTGTTGCCGTTGTCGTTGTCGATGTCGTTGTCGGTGGTGCGTCTAACGGGGCAGATAATGGTGGTGGGGAAGGAGATCGCTTTGTATCCTCCTTTTGACTGAATTTATTAAAGAAATTGTTTAACCTGTTAATTTTTAATTATTCTCGCTCTAGCACTTCGTAGCAGCGATGCAAGCCAGAACATCTGGGATATGACGATCATGACTGGGCTAAATAATATTAAAAGAATACTAAGTTTTATACAAGTGTTGTTTTATTTACCTTTGACGCTCAACATTTCAAATAAATCGACCTTCCTGACCCTGTCCTTACTACTGAGCATTTATTACAGTCTGTTATGCTCACTAAGGTTGTTTTCAAGTAAATTGTTAAGATATCCTTCAATTTTATTAGGTGCTTTACAACCTTTCATAATTCCAGTACTATTACTCTACTCCTTCCACTTAAACTCGTCTTCTACAATACCGTCGGTCGTTATCGACACCTTTGAATCACTTTTACACGCGTCATCACCTACGTTCAGCTTGTTAGAAGGCGCCTCTGCACTCTTATGTATACAAGCTACCGGTCAATTTAGTAGATTATACATACGGAGGAAAGGAGAAGGCTCTACACTCATATTATTGATATTATCTGCTGTTATTTACGTATTATCTGGTATTTGGCTTATACACTCTTACCCAGCGGCCGCTTCGACTCCATTCTCAGCTACTATGATTGGCGCAGCATTGGTTGCTACATTAGCCATATCATCATTAGCATTAATATCGAAAAGAGCAACAGTTATTGAAACTGCTTTGATGTTCTCCTACATCGCATACAGTATTTGGTTGTGTGCTGACGCCATACAAGGTGCATCCGGTTGGATCGACTTTCAGTGGAGCTTTGATAACCAAGGTTGGGTTATACAATCATTTGAAAATGCTTTACAATTTCTCAAGAACGCGCTCGGCGATAGTCTCGAATTCATTGGATATGCTTTCACTACATTACCACCAACTTTGTTAGTCTCACTAATTTTCCGTACGGGTGTATTGTATTTGGCTACAAAAATCATCCCACTCATTCGCTCATCAAGCTCTTCAATCACTCACTCGTTTGAACGCGCTGCAGACGCTTGCAACGATGATGATCTTAATGATGATGAACCATCTGCATTTATAATGGCAATTCTCGTTTCATTCTCTAGACTGATACTCATTTTAGTTTACTCGCATTTGTTATGTAAGTCCAACGTTATCTCCTAGTTTCGTTACTGATAAAATAACTTAGTGTTAGATCAAGGCGCACAGCTATGGTGGAGATGGGCAAACGTCGCTTGGACATTATCACTCTGGGTAGTTGAGATAATACTTAGCTCGTCCTATTCAGATGACGACGTGATTGTCAAAAGTTGGAAGATAGATTAGAAATCGACAGTATATACCATCAATTTGCATATGTATTCATATTCATATACTACATTAATGCTTTGTTACAGTATTTATAATAAGGTACACCTATCGTGTTTGCTGTAGTGAGATGGTTAAGATACAGACAAGTATGGTATGTATCCTCGATTCCATGTAATGACCTTGAATGTTATATCCTCGCAGATAACTGTTTCTATTAGAATGATAACAATCTCTGATGTTAATATCTCGACTGATAGGAATGTAAATTAGCAGCAAAACGCTAACTCTAATCAGAGATTCCGTCGGAGCAAGTCAGGCATATGGCGCATACTCTTTTATAAAGGTGAATAGGATAGTTAACTGCGTAAGAATACCAGTATCTGCGCGTCGCGGTATTAGAGATATCGAATATAAACCGAAGTGCTGGATCTTGTAAGAAAGCATCTTATAAATTTAAGCATATATTATATCCGTATACTCTAAATATAGCTCTTGAACTAGGTCGATCCGTAATCTCCTACTTGCATCTCGTCCATCAAGTCAGAGATTATAAAATGTCAACTCGTCAGCGACAAGACAAGGCGACAGCTGATAAGCATCGTATGTAGCCTATTATAGTCACTGCACTATCTCATATACGCCTCTCAGTCAACATTCTCCGTACACTTCTCAAAGAACCATACAACAGAAAATGCGCTGATTGCAACAACAAAGATCCTAGATGGGCTAGTTGGAACTTGGGTATCTTTGTGTGTATTAGATGCTCGGGTATACACAGATCTATGGGTACCCACATCTCTCGAGTGAAGAGCGTTGATTTGGATATGTGGACAACAGAGCAGATACAAGTCAGTAGAAACATTAATATATCGTTGTACGCCAACTAATACTTCTTTTAGAATATGGTTAAGTGGGGAAATCGCTCAGCCAATCTATACTGGCAAGCACATCTCAAACCAGGACACGTAGTGCCAGAGCAGTGAGTGTTGTCTCATATAATAGGCCACTATTCTTACACCCTCAATAGTAAAATAGAATCTTTCATTAGGTCGAAATACGACGGTAGGAAATGGGCAAGAAATGGACCCTTACCATCCGATCCAAAGATGTTAGAGACTGGCTCAGGAGGAACATCAGCCAGCGTAAACAATCCAATTACTCAAATCCAGAAAGGTGCACCAGCACCTCGTCGGGCTATTCCGTCTTCCACTTCAGCTCAATCTTCTTTGATAGACATTGCACCACCAGCTGCACCAGTACCAACAAATAGACAAAAGACAGTACCAAAAGTTCAAATCAATACCAAAGCACCAACAAATAAACCACCAGCTCCTCCAAACACTGTAAAACAAGCACAGCAAAAGCCTCAAACTGATAATGGTTTGTTAGACTTAGATTTAACAGCAACATCACCAACAAATTCTGTCAAAAAAGCGAATAAACAAGATATCATGTCTCTTTTTGCGGCGCCACCACCACCAAACGCTAAACCAATTCAGCAACCACAACAAAGTAATTTGAATGATGCATTCGCTGATTTGACTTTCAGCAGTAAGCCACCACCAACTCAGACCCAAAGTACAGATGCATTGAGTGCATTATGGGGTCCTAACACAGCTGCAATGGACTCAACAGGCTCAGGCAGTTCAGTTGACTTTTTCGGGGGTGCTTCAGTCGCACAACCACCAGCCAGAGCTTCCACAGCACCTATACCACCTGCTCAACAGAGCAAAAATCTGCTAGATGACGATGACTGGGGTCCCACAACGGGCGCCAATGACGGTGACGCATTTGATGATTGGGGTACGACCAGCTGGGAAGCACCACCTCCGAAGGCAACCGCAACGGAGAAGAAAGCACCGCCACCAGCTGGTAAGATTGAACTCACAAACTCATTTTCAGCACCACCAGTGCAACCAACTACTTCATTATCATTTTCTACTACCACAAATAATACATCCTCATTCAACTCATTTTTCGATAACAATACAAACAAGATTAATCTCAATGATAGTGGATACTCTGATACTTCAAGTAAATTCTCAAGTGGGTCAGCCTTCGCTGATATTCCAACGAGCTTGAATGATATACCAGCACCATCTAAACTTACTAGTGATCCATTCAGTGCCTTCCAATCTACATCTGGCGGTAGCTTAGATCTAAGCAGTCCTGCTACACAAAAAGCTAAGAGTCCTATGGTGCGTATATTTGTGCAAAGTATGTCTTTTTAACTTGTCTTAGGCTAATGATTTCTTCGGAGATAATGCTTGGTCAGCACCTGAACCAGCCCCTAAACCTGAAACAAGCAAAACTGAAGAGAATGATATATGGTCAGCACCTGAGCCAGAACCAGTTCCGGCTCCTGCTCCACCAGTTCCATCAGTTGAACCTACTTCTTCATTGTTTGAAACCTTGTCAGATCCGGTGTCTCCACCAGCAGCTTCTGCTAAGCCATCGAACGATCTCTGGGAATCATTTGGCTCCCCGCAAGAAACATCTGCTTCATCAACCCCTGCGCCAGCAGCAACAGGTATAGGATTAGGTGACGATGTCTGGGGAGCACCAGCACCAGCGCCAACATCTTTAACCACTGCAAGCTCACCTGCACCTGCTGCTAGCCTGGCTGATGATATCTGGTCCACACCATCTAACCCTCCAACCGCGAAACCACCAACTCCACCAAATTCAGCACCACCACCACCAGCCAATCCAACTTCACTGGACGATGTTATGGGCAATGTCTGGGCTAGCTAATCATATGGCAATCTTTATAGATGTTTAAAAATGATTTCCTTATTAATACTTGTTATTACAACATACTATATGAACGCTTTATACAAAAAATATGAAAATTAGTTCTCCTCGGCAAATTTAATTGTATCTTCAATCGTACGTTGTACGTATTGCTTGAGGTTAATTATTTCAGTAACGATTGAGACAACCTCTTGTGATAATTCTTGTTGACTGTTTTGTGTTGTTGATAATAAGTTATCATATTGAAACATCAAACTTTGATAACGTTGATCGAGTGCAAGAACACCTTTGCGAGCATTAGCTTGGGCGTCGTGAAGGAGTTGTTCAGCTTCTCTCATTTCAGAGTTTGAAGCAGATACTTCAGCTTGCATCCTGCTTTTCTCGTCATCCGTTTGAGCTTTCATTGTTTCTAATTTTGCTGATATCTCTTGAACTTTCTCTTGTGATTCAACGACCAACTCTTCAACTCTTTGGACTTGTTCTTGGAGGATGATATTGTCGTTCTCAACTTCGACATGCTTATCGGTAGCATCTTTACGTATACCAATAAGCGCATTCTTGATCGCACCTTTTATATCAGTCGATGAGAACATTTCTGAAGGTGTTGCAGCAGCTCTGCTGTAATCTAAATCGAATTGAACATGAAGGTATTTCTCAGGTGGTGGTCCAGGTACTATTCCTATCCTTTCACATAATTCCATGTAAACTTTAACAACATTCTCTAAACTATCTGCTGCTTTAGTTGATAATATTTCAAGATCCCAATTAGATTTCTTGATTCTTTCCATTTGTTGACGGTGTTTATCAAGTGTATCTGATAATTGAACTCTAGTGGATTTCATTCTATCTATTTCCTCAGGTGTGAGGTTTTGAGCTTCAACTTGCTTACTAACTTTTTCATTTTCAATTTCTTGCTCATTTAATTCTTTCTCAAGTGCTTCAACAGCTGATTGCATTTTAGTTATAATGGTCTCAGTTTTTGACTTCTTTTCTTCGAAATGTTGTATCAGTTGTTTGAATTTACCCTTATCAGATTTCATTTTTTGAAGCTCCTCAGTTGCTTCTGCAAGTGGTGAAGGTGATTGTTCTAATTTTTCCAACTCTGTACGCAAAACTTGATTCTCCTTTTCTAAATCTTCAACCTCTTTTAAAATCTCCTCATCTTGTCTTTTGTAGATCTCTTCCAATTCGGCATTTTCATTAGGAAATTCATCCTCATTTTGTAAGAAAGCTACGTATGTAGATGATGCATACTCGTAACTAACTTTTTCATGCCAATTTGAAATATCTTGTGGGTTAAGATCACTAGGATGTGCTAATTGAGGATCATCGCAGTAATCAGGAGTGTACCAATTTTGCATTGTTTTATTCATATCAGCCAACCAAGCAAGCATTGCAAGCATACCAGGCCAAATATGTTGTGCTGATGCAGCTTGTAATTGTGTTTTAGATATTGAATCTGCTACTGGATACCTCAAATCTCTCAAAATCATCATAACTTCTTCCTCAAATTTACGTGGTTTTCCTTGAAAATCCTTAGCCCAAATAAACGCAGGATCTAGTATATCTGTATAAAGGAACCTAAACATTGATTGGAAATCCTTTGTTGTTGGTGATGTCAATGTCTTGGCTGTAATTTGAAATGGATAGGCGCATTCTAGGAGGTGTTTATGAACTAATTCCTTCAATTCATTGATGTAATTCCTGTCACGCATTGGGCGGGGATCGCGTGTGAGGTGTCGCGGTGGAGGCAGAAACGAAGCCAATTGATGATGAGAAGCGGAAGGAACAACAGATTGACGACCATAAACGGAGGATCTTTGTACACTAGTAATATTAATATCAAAACGCGTATACTTGATAATACACTTACCTAGGTGGTGGCATTCGCGGAGCTAAGGATTGCCTACCGTAGAAACCAGCATCTGCACGTGAAGCACTTGGAACAAAGTTATCCTGTGAGCTTGACTGGGCTAGAGATTGCCTCGGTAGCGTACTCAGCCTCTGACTTGGTAGCTGATATCTAGATTTCTGCTTGAGTGCACTAGGTGGATAGGGAATAGCACTCTCTTGTGAAGACTGTGATTGTTGTTGATTGGACAATATTGTCCGTCTACGCGAGTCCATGAACGTTAATTTGATAGTTTATTTCCAATTTCGTCGCGTCACGTCAAAAGACTCGCTTTTAGCGCGTCTGAGCGTGAAATCTCACTCTTTTTAAAACGACCAACTAAAATAAAAAAAATGCCAAGTACGTTAGTTTTAACAGACATTAAGCAAAAGAGGAAAGCAGGTAGATATACATTTTAATAGCTTTTCAAGTTTCTAATTCCTATTAGAACTCGTAGAATTTGCACAAAAGTTGGGCGTTGAGACAGAACAACTTAACAGAATAGATTTAATTGATAACATTAAAAAGCATATGCAAAAGAATGAAGATAAACTTAAGGATGACGCGGAATACGCACAATACTTCGGTGATCGTAAAAAGTGAGTTTTACTATTTCATGTTGAAGTACATTCTACAACTTTACTAGATCGAGAAAATCAGTTGCCGTAAACGATGAAGTAGAGGATGATGGAGAATCACTCGATTCAAGCGCTACTGGACGTGCAACAACACCTGCTATTCAACAATTCAGAGAGAAATCCGTTGACGTAATCCACACCTCCCCAAAGAGAGTCGCCGACTTTATAGAAGATGGTGCCGCTAATGCTGTACACGAAATTGAAAGTGAAGCTAATCAATTAGTTGAAAAATTAAGTCAAAACGCGATCAAGTTACGTAATTGCACAAAGGATACTGTCAACAAGATGCAAAATTGGTTAAGTGATAGTCAACACTTACTCTTGGTTGGGTTGTTAATTGAGTTCTTGGTTGTACTCTACTCAATCACTCCAATCCGTATACATCGTATCGACATACCTGAACAGGTACAAAAATATACTACAGATTCAATCAACTTGAAGCTTCCATACGCAAAATCCCTCCTCAGTCCACCTTTCGTCAACCCATTGAAAAAGTACTTTATTTACAGCTTAATCGTACCATTCATCCCTTCAGTTTTCATCAACTTCGACAAAAGAGGATTTTCACCATTGACTTTCACATTAGTTAGATTATCCTTGATAGTCATCTTTAACAGCCAATCTTCAATTGAATCTTACTTTCCATTGAAAATTGAATTGGCTTTGGTATCTTTATTGGCATCATTCAGTTTAGTTGAGTTGTTGTCAAAATCACGCAAATAAACGTGTAAATCTATTATGTAAAATGGAAACACTTTCACTTTCACTTCATTTCAAGATCTTTACTTAATATAATTAGTTGTTGTTATTATTTGTACATTTTACACACGAAAATTCATAAATTTGTAGTCAAGGAATCTATTAATAATTCGTTACATCTATTATATCCTGTTGAGAGGGTATATACATATTATCAGGAAATTTTTCATTACTTTAGTAGAAGTGTCATTAATATTCCAGATATGACTGGAATAGTTAGATTGTCATCCAAACCGTGCACGTCCAAGGATTCTGTTACTGCACTTATTATACCAACAACAATCATAAGTAATGGAAATCGAAGTTTACTTTCTGTTGTCCAACTGAGTGTATCAGTTGATAATTTACCCGCTTCAGCTATCGTAGCTTGTCCAAACGTACTTCCCCAAATTAACCAACTAGTAAAGGCTCCAGTGAGGAAGGCAGCAGTAAATCCAGCTAAGCTCTTCTTTTGACCGAATGGAGGTGAAGGTAAAGTGTAAGTGTATCTACCGAGTAATCTACCAACTGTTGAAGCTGACGTATCGGCAAAAGCGAGTATACAAATTGATGTAATAGCTATGTCCCTCTTAAATGATGCTACTGATATAACTGCACCGAGAAGGTACCAAATAGTTGAATTCAATTTCTGTCTCTCACTCTCACGCATTAATCTCCCAACGACAGATTCGTAAAGGCTCGCGAATCGACCCCTACCCACAACAGTGGAACGTAGTCTAAAGAGATCGATAACGAGTATAACGAGGAGTAGAATAGTGAGCAATCTAAGAACTATCGTTCTTGAAACTTGACTAATGTAAATTCCAATTGCTATCGGTCCTTATGCTATCTTAGTTTGCTACCGTTCTGATCACTTCAAACTCACCTATACTTGAATGGAATAGCTTACGTGGTAGCTCTAATTCACCTACGCCTAGCGTACGCTTTTTATTATCCAGCCGCTTTTGCTCGTCTGACTCCATTGAAATCAGTTCAATTGTAATTGCACAAGACGCGCGCTTATGAGATGCTATGATGTATTTTGAAAACCCGGGTTTTAAAACAAATTTTTTTACAAGACTTCTTTAGCTTTCTTGACGAATTCGACAATTTTTACGACATCTTTCTTAGATTGTGTCTCAACACCTGAGCTTACGTCAACTGCCCATGGTTTGCACTTTTTGACAGCCTCTTGGATGTTATCCGGTGTCAATCCACCTGCAACTATGAGCGGAATAGCATTAAGCCTGGATGAATTAATTTGATTGGCTATTTCCCAATCGAATGCTTTGCCTGCACCTCCACTCATGCCTGTCTCACCAACTGCAGTATCCAAAAGACTCAAACTGTGATAACCACTTTGACGGAGATTGCGCATCTCACTGTTCTTTCCGGATACATGGAAAACCTTAATCGTTGGTACTGGTATCATTCTAGTCCATTCTGTTGGCTCGTTGCCGTGTAATTGAACGACATCAAGTGGTACACTCTGGACAGCTTCTAATATGGTTTCAAGTGGTTGGTTTTGGAAAACACCAACTAAAAGTGGTCTCAATCTTGATGCTCTTTCAATCAATTTGGCTTGATAATCAAACCAGGTGTCAGTATCATCACTGTCGTGTATGCCTTCAAAGAAGTTGACTGCGCTAGCCGTTGAGTTCTTTATTGCTAATGATATATCTCTTGCTTGTTGAATTGTAACTTTCCTCTTGCTACCTTCTGCGAAAATCATTCCGATTAAATTAGCGCCAGAATCTTTAGCTACTAAAGCATCCGTAATTGTTGAGATACCGCAAACCTTCACAAGTGGTCCATTGTATTTAACTTCTGGTTTCGTAGTGTTGGTTAACTCTCTAATGAATGCAGCTGGATCAGAAGAACGCATCAATGATTCACCAACCAAAACTGCATTTACACCTTGATCGATATATACTTCAACATCCTTTCTGCCAGTTATACCGGATAATGCGCATAATGAAATATCCCTATCCTTGACCATGTCAGCAAGTCTAGATGTAGTTGACATATCGACGTTAAAGTCATGAAGGTTTCTATTATTAACACCAATAACTTTTGATCCGATAGAAATAGCCAACTCCATTTCCTCTGAGTTGTTAACTTCGACTAATGGTTCTATATCTCTTGATCTAGCATATTCGAACAATTCTATCAACTTTTCTTTTGACAACATGGCAATAATCAACAAGATAGTGTCAGCACCATATAATCTTGCTTCATCAATTTGGTAAATATCCAAGATGAAATCTTTGCGTAAAATTGCAGGTCTGTTAGGCAAACCATCAATTGCATTTCTAGCCATTCTCATATCTTCCAGACTACCCTTGAACCATTTTGGTTCAGTGAGAACTGAGATAACAGATGCACCAGCTAATGCGTAAGATTTAGCTTGAGTTGCTGCATTTGCATTTGGTGCTATGAGACCTTTAGATGGTGAAGCACGTTTGATTTCCGCCATAACAGCAGGTCTGGCTTTGTTAGCTTTGACTCTATCACTAAAGTTGATCTGTGGCGGAGCCAAATCCAATTGTAAACATTCGTTGATGTTAAAGTGAGATTTTCCAGGTGTGTTGATTGATTCTTGGATGTCTAGCAAACGCTGCTGTTTGATCTTTTCGAGAATAGTTGGAAGCTTCTCTTTCTGTTGGTTGGATGAAGCAATAGCACCGACACCATTGACAGTCTTCTCAGCTTCTACCTTTGGTGGTTGTTCATCGCCTATACCGAATTCAGGGTTTTCTGCCCAAGTACCACCCTTCAATTTAAGGAAATTTTCTAATAGCATTCTACCACCTTCACTAAGGATTGATTCTGGGTGGTACTGAACACCTTCAACTGTGTATTCACGATGACGGAGACCCATGACGACGCCTGAGAGTGATGTAGAAGCGGTGAGGGCTAATTCAGGTGGAAATGAGGTTAACTCAGGTGCTAATGAGTGATATCTTGTTGATTCTATATCTTGTGGTACACCTTTGAACAAGCCTCTGCCATCGTGTTTAACTGCAGAGGTCTTCCCGTGTATAATCTCACCTGCGTGACTGACTTGACCGCCGTAGAGATCGAACATACACTGCATACCCATGCAAACACCAAGAATAGGAACTTTTCCGGCGAAATGCTTAATAAGTTCTCTACTAATTCCTGAATCTGTGGTTGGATGGCCCGGTCCTGGGCTGATAACGATGTTCTTTGGATGTAAAGCTTCGACTTCAGCGACGGTTATCTTATCGTTACGAGCGACGACGATGTTAGCACCGGATATCGTCAAGTATTGATAAAGATTGTAGGTAAAACTATCATAGTTGTCGAGCATGAAAGTTATCTCCCTCTTCCTCGTTGGTGGAAGGGGGAATGAGAGTGGCTGGCTAGATTGGCTCCTATAGTGAGTCTATTAGAATGATATATATAAAATATAGCGTTATATCCACATTTTTATATTTTACAGCAACTTTCTGCTGACTCGATTGAGTGTCAAGAACAACGAAGATGCTTTCTCCACCAATAAATATAAAAAAATGGGTAGAAGAGAACAAAGATAAGCTCAAGCCACCGGTAAACAACTTCTGCGCTTACTCTGGACAAGATAACATTGTGATGTTAGTCGGTGGCCCTAATGCGAGGAACGACTATCATCTCAACGAGACAGAAGAGTGGTTTTATCAATACAAGGTGTGTCTATCTTCTACCCTCTACCACGCACTCTCATCCCATTGAAAGGGTTCCATGTGTTTGAAGGTAGTAGACAGCGGTGAATTTAGAGATATTATCATTGAAGAAGGCTCTATGTTTTTATTACCACCTAACGTGCCACACAATCCGGTTAGGTTCGCGGACACAATCGGTGTCGTCATAGAGCGTGTTAGACCAGGCGAATCAATTGATAGATTGAGATGGTACTGCCGTGATTCATCACATATAACGACAGAGAATCCCCATGGCGGATACATAATACGTGAAGAAGCATTCCACGTTACCGATTTGGGTACACAACTCAAGCCACTGATTAACAACTGGATGTCAAACGAGTCATTACGGAAATGCCTCGGTTGTGGTAAAACAGCTGATCCAAAGTGAAATCTATGCATATTATCTAATTAAATAAGTTCCAAATTGACTTCTTTTTATCACTGGATTCCTTTTCTTTCTTGATAGCTTCAAGGCGTGATATTTCCTCCTGCTCTTTCAATGCAAGCAACCTCTTGTGGGCTTCGACACCGGCTCTGAAGGCCTTCTCCTCTGCTGCTGACTTTGCGTTCTCTTCTATCAATTCATTTCTTGGTGTAGGCTGGATTTTTGGTTCACTTGGACTTGAATGGACAACTTCAGGTTCTGGTACGACTTGTCTATGCCTACTGAGGTGTAGTCTGGCTGTCGCTGGAGTGAATGATGCTGATTGGGTTGCAAGCGTTTGATAGTCCTCATTTGAAACGTTCGTCTGGTTTTCTTGTGATTGCGCCTGTTCGGTTTGTCTAGTTTCTAACTCTTTGAGATATTTTCGCTGTAATTCGTTGGTATCTATACCATTGCTTTGTAATTTAGTTTCTAAATCACGCTTTACAGAGTCTAAACCGCCCTTAAAACCGTTAAAACGTAACATAGACTCATATCTATTGATTAGAGAGAAATTGCTATCCTTCTTGTTGTTGTACTCCTTTTCTATGATTGATCGTCAGCTTAGGAAAGATGAAGGTTGATTGCTCACCCGTTCCTTGCTCTACTTTAACTTGAAGGATAGTCTGAGGATCAGAGACCGTTGATTTGAGGAACGACTGCCTTATGTCATTTAGAGAGGTGTTAATAGCATCCCTTGGACCGTTCTTTGGTATTGGTACTTCAATATAAGTTTTCTCAACCTTCTCTTTGTCACTATCGAACTCAATCCAGCCGTGATTAAGTAAAGCGTCTGTATCATTGTTTCTAGCGAATTGTATGCTAGTAACTTTACCGTACTTTTCCTCTAAATGTCTAGCTACAGTTAATGCTTCAGATGAAGATCTCAAGCTACCGTTGCTAACTCTAACAAATAGTTTTAAAGTGCGTATAAATTTATTATTTTCTTTATATTTTAATTTATTTAGTAAAACTGACATGGACGTATTGAATAACAACTTCAGCTGCTGCAATCATCAGTAGAAGATGAAATTATTCGCTCTATTCGGATTGTTAGCTGGTTTTGTTACAGCTGGTACATACAAGGATACCCCTGGATCGAGAGACGTCGACGTTACGACAAAGTTAGTATAGCTATATTAGAACACTCGGTTAGCTTACAACGTTTTAGATTACGCACACACTCAATATCTGCACCATACGTTGACCAGGAGCTCAAGTGAGTCTATTATTTTCCTAATATATCCTTCTAACCACCGTTCAAGCAACCGTTGGTGGGATTTCGGTGGTTCTACCATAATAGACGCTAATAACCACATACGGTTAACACAAGATAAACAATCTGAGAGAGGTTGGTTATGGTCACGTCTTCCTCTTACCGTCTCAAGCTATCAAATCGAGTTCGAGTTTAAAGTTGGCGGCAAGAATAATCACTTGTATGGTGACGGATTCGCAATGTGGCTTACTCAGGGAAGGAATAAAGAAGGTGAAGTTTTTGGCAGCGTCAATAACTTCAAGGGTCTCGGTGTTTTCTTCGACACTTACGCTAATAGCCGTCATTCATACCCCTTCCCTAGAATATCAGCCATGTTAGGTGATGGTGAGACCCTCTACGATAACAACAAAGATGGCGACGAGCAAAGCCTTGACGGTTGCTCTATCAAGTTCCGTAGAACGGAAATTACACCAAAAGCAAGATTTAGCTACCTCAAAGGTAATTATATCAAGTTAGAGTTACAAACAAAGAAATGGGGTGAATGGGAAGAATGTTTCACTGTTGAGGATATTGAATTACCTCTCCATCCATACCTTGGTTTCAGTTCAATCACAGGTGAAATTTCTGACAATCATGACATTATATCGGTGAATACAAACGAATTAACCAAGAGAGGTACAAACCCACGTGCTCAAGCTAAAATGAATAATACCAAGAAAGCTAAATCGAAATCTTTCTTCAGAAAATTGGTGAACTTTGTCACTTACACAATCATACTGGCTTTGCTTGGTGTAGTTGCAAAGATATTCCACACTGCATATAAACGAAGACAAGCAAAGAGGTTTTAGAGGTTTTAGTTTAGTCTTAAGTTTCTTTTTGTAAAAATGCATCTTTTTATGTTAGTAGTATATCATTTATATCCTGCTTTACTTTAATATCTAACTCAGAAAGCCTCTTATCATCCCAGAATCTACTTAAATGCCTTGTACCACTGTCGCACAATATTGTTACTATCGATGAACCTTTTTTTATTGTCTTGGCTAGACGAACAGCAGCGACGAGGTTACAAGCTGAAGATGAACCTAAAAATAAGCCATCGTTTATCATAACGTATCTACTCATGGCAACAGCTTCTTCATCACTAACTCTGTAAGCGTCATCTATATATTCGTACCCCTTGTCGAAGTTTGCGGTTAATCTATTAATCCCGATACCTTCGACAATACTATCAACTTGGTGTCGCCTCTTCGTGCCTTCTTTTTCTTGCGAGGCAAACATAACACCATATTTCACTTTGTTATATAATCCGGAGCCCTCAGGATCTGAGAGAACGATTTTGATATCCTCGTTACGCTCTTTGAAATAAGTAGCGCATCCGCTGATAGTACCACCTGTACCCGCACCACTGACGAATGCATCAAACTGACCACAATCAGTCTGCGTCCATATCTCCTTAGCTGTGCCATCGTAATGAGCTTTCCAATTACTCTGACGCTCGAATTGATCCGCAAAGAATCCGACAGCTTTTCCTTTCTTTTTCTTCTCCTTTGTGAGCATTATATCATTTGCATTCTCGATCGTAGGTGTACTGGCATTACCAGGCTCCTCATTCGCCATGCCTTCTGTATACTGTGATGCACGTATCTCCGCCAAATTAACGAATTGCTTTTTGTCTACTATAGAAGCAGGTCTGACTTTCTCAACGTGTGCACCCAGTTTGAGTAAAATGTCACACTTCTCAGCGGATACATCGTCTGGCATTATGATAGCTAGTAGAGGTTATTTTAGATGTGATTCACTGATTTATGATTTACATACCAGCTTTGTATCCCTTTGCTCTGGCTACCATAGCGATTGAAATACCTGTACTCCCGACTGTACCTTCATAAATGCATGAATTTGTATGTGGAATGAGTTCTCCACGTTCCTCTGCATCTTGAATAACTGTAAAAGTCTAAGATTTATTCAAATCGTCTAGTATGTACTTACTCTTAAGTGCTACTCTATCTTTTACACTTCCACCTGGATTCATGAACTCGCATTTACCCTAACCATTGCTTGAATATTTAATTGTTCTTTCATCGCCATACATACCAATATATCAACACCCAAGGCATCAGATAAAGATGCTATCCTTATCAATGGTGTTTTTCCTTTATATTATTAGCTATACGACTCTTATATGGCAATATCACCCACCTATCAAATCAGGTAATCCTTCAGAAATCTGACGATTGTCTTCGACGACGATTCCCTCATCATCAGCGAAACGTGTATAACGCTTTTTCTCCTTATTTATTTTATATACTGCATATAAAGTAGATAATGCAACTATACTCGTGAATCCTAAGACAAAGTACTGTCGCTGATCATTCATGGTGGCAAGGAATGACGTTTTTTAGATGCAAAAGTCTATGTCATGCAAAATAAATAATTACAAAACTAGTGAATTTACCACTGTACTGCTAGTCCACTAGTGTCAGATTCGATCGCATGGTATTGTGTTCGTAGATGTTCTTTCGACAATTCCTTGAGCATTTCAGTTGAAATTTTAGATAACATTTCAAGTGTGACTGCTTTCGAAGCTTCACTGCCCGTCCAATAGATATCTTCTACTCTATTGATCCAATTTTTAGTCGTCCAACGCACACTTTCTTCAATATTCTTCGTTGGATCAGTAGCAACACCTTCGCTTTCCCAATCACGTTCGTGTCCTTCCTTATCAGTGTTAATACCAGGTTTCAGTTGACCACCACCGTTGATACATCCAGAAGGACAAGCCATGACTTCGACAAAATCTAACGACTTGCTATCGTGTGGATTACCTGTATTGCGGGTGCGCACTCGACCTCGCCCTGCCATCCTCCCAGCTGCTCCTCTTCCACTATTAAGGCCTTTCTCTTTTCCAACTTTCCGTACTAGATTTTGTATATTCTTAAAACCGTAGCATTTTGATCCCTTGAAAACACACTCATTGTTCTCATTTATGAGTAGATACTCAACAGAGTCTGCCAAGTTCCTCGGTGAGTGTGTCTCTAAACGTAAGTTTGGCGTTGTTTGCTTTATCAGTGTCATTATATTTTCAAGATATGAACCGGAAGATGTACCAGGATGTTGAATATGATGAGGTATGAGTTTTTCTTCAGTTGATACTATATTCTCATTTGGAAGGCTTTCATTTAAATTGATAGGCTTGTCAAATAAAGATCCTAATTCACCTGACGTCAATACACAATCTACGTCTCTTGTTTGGTACAAATCGCTGTAGAAATCTTGTCTAGAAGCTTCCAATTTTTTGTCATAGCATGGCATTATAGTAACATGGTATATATCACTAGCTGACTTGTTTATCCGTTGACTGAACCAATATTTGACGAGACTACCCATGACTTGTTGCGGTGATTTCGTCGTACTAATGAATGGTATGAGTTCACCGTGTGTTTTCTCCACATAACAGATCCATCCAGGACATGCAGATGTGAGAAGGAGACGATTGTTACTATCTAAGCTATTGAATTCATTGAGAATTTCCAATAAGCTCAAATGACGGGAGAATGTAGTATCAAATACGTAATCGAATCCTATACTCTTTAAATGATGGCGCAACCTTCTCAACAATACCTCATTCGATGGTCTACTACTGAGTGAAGCTGAAATGGAAGCCAAAGATTGTGGCGATATACTAGCGATCATAGTTTTCTTATCATTATCTTTACTTAAATATTTCTTAACCTCTAAGTGGCTTTGTGACTCTATCAAAACTGTTTCCGCTGATGTAATACAACCGGAGCATGCTAAGCAATCATTGAGTGTTATCTCAGCTTTCTCTAGCTTTTGATTCTGTTCATAATACTCTCCATTCTCTCCGATAGTTATTTCTGTCGTTGGTGCATCTGGTGCCACTTCTTCCTGCTTTGGCTTGTTCGTTTCTTTAACTGGCTTTATACATTCTTGGCCTGGACTTATAAAATCATTAAGATCTGTTATTTGCTAATACAATGTTAGATGTATTCTAGTTTATATTACGAACTTACTAATCCTCCGCTAAATCCCATCGTGATAGATAATAGAAGCGATACAAGTGGCTGAAAATCAACAAGGTCCTATTAAAACAAAAATGACCAATCAAAATATCCACCTTATGAATAATTAAAATATTGCTAAATAAACCTACGTCGATGCCAAACAAAAATAAAAATCTAAGCCAATTGAAATTGGCAAAAGAATTCGTCAGGAGCAGGATTCGAACCTGCGCACTACAAGAGTACTTGATAACAAGTATTTTGAAGATTTGGAAGAACTTCTCAAGTGAGGAATTCTAATCAAGCGCCTTAACCACTCGGCCATCCTGACTGATGGTGACGATCTACTTTAGCATTGTGTATATCTAATTTTTATTATTTAGCTCATTTTAACTGCTTATACGGCACAAAATAGATCACAATTTGCTTCATGCCAACACTGGTTTGAATTCGGATGTAGGTGTTGAACTTACAGCCCCTCTAGCTGTGACGTATACAGATATATGTGAGTAGTGTGGACAGTAGATGAGGAAATGATTATTATTTCATCATCTTACATGATTAATATATAACTTCCTTTATATTTAGATAAATGCTTTTTGTACAAGGTTTATTTCTTTACCTTGTTCTCACTGTCCGCTTATTCATTATGGTCTACTTATCTCTTTATGCGTGTGTACCCAAAGACAAATTAACACTGTATGTTCAGCATTTGTATCTGAATTCTGTCATCGACTTTTTCTCGTAATTTCTAAATTGCATGCCAGATTTTTGGACATTCAAATATCACATTACTTATTATATTTCTGTAATTTTTTAAAACCTTGGATGTTACTAACACCGTCAATAATCTACCGTTCTTGTTTTATTGTGTTAATTTTATAGCTAAAATTCAATGATATCATATGTCACTTTAATTGGGCTTTTCACCGTTAAACTGTTATCAATGAAAATATGAAAACAATATATATTATTTTATATCGACGAAATATACAAATATTCAAAATTTTTAATACAATTTCAGATCAATTTGTTTAACAAATTGAAATGGTTTTATTACATTGATAAAGTTAATGAGATCATGTTATTTTCAGATTAGAAAAATGTTAAACATACTAGAATACAAAACTTCAAGATGGTCAGTATATACAACATATCACAACTGAAACACATTCTTTATTGATCTTTAAACGGATGGAACGTTGGTGACGTCGGTGTTGATAGCATTATTATCACAATATAAAAGAAAGACTATAATGAAACAAAAGGTATCAGAAGGTATCACATTATTCTATTTTACTCATAGCAACAAGCATTGATAATAACAATTGAAATAATGAGCGGTGATGTGCTGCCAAACATACCTCACCTACATCCTTATCCGTATGGATAATATTTGAAATATAACTGTTCACACGTTATGAAATACAACGTAAATAATATTATCAAATGATCAATGAAACATTTCTATTTCCAGCATATCTTATGATTTGAAATCCCCAACTTAATAAGCTCCACACATTCTCATCTATGAAAAGTAAACCAAAAAAATTACCATTAACGTAAAAACGAATGAATCTATAACAACCCAAAAAAGAGATTAGATCGAAATTCAAATAAAGAATGTAAAAGGAAAGTGAAACTACGTCATTGATTACCGTTTATGGAAAGTCGCGTTTGATTTTTAGCGCGTGTCGCTCAAATTAAATTAAATTGAATTGAAAACTGTTTCTCTCAGAGTAGCGGTCAAGACACCCCATCTAGTATTCGATAATAATAAAGCAAGACGCCGGTCGTCAATTAATCGAACTAAAACAAAGAAATACAATAGCTCTGGTTAGCGAGAAACTCTGGTAGTTACAAAGACAAAAAAAGAAAAGTACATTCCTTTTATAAGCGAAGAAATCGAATACAAGAAATACTAAGCAATGCCTGCATTAAGAACTGCTACTTCAACGCCTTCATTCGGTGTAACGAGGAGACACCCAGCATCATTGATGCCTGTAACAAGTCACGCTCCTGCACTTGTTGATCTCATGCGCTCACCAATCTCGGAGAGAATGGTTGACGCATTGGCTCAAAAAGTTTCAGAAATCATTCCAGTCAGACCAGACAGCAACGCGACTAATAGCCCAGACTACACTCACAACAATGGCTACCCAAGTCCACCTCCAAGTCCAGTCAAACCACGTTTGGCACGCGTTGGTCATGTTGCTGCAGAAATGTCACGTGGTCCACCACCACTTAAACAATTTATCAAGACTGTATTGATAGAATCTGGATGTCAAGTTGCAACAGTACTTTGCACACTCGTTCTCCTTGACAGGCTGGGAAAGAAGCTCCCTCCAGCTGCTAAAGGTGAGAATTTTCTTTCAATTATCTACAAAGCTAATCGTATCCAGGAATGCCATGCACCCGTCACAGAGTATTCTTTGCCGCTATGATAATTACTGCAAAGTCACTCAATGATTGTTGTCCAAAGAATCGCCACTGGAGAAAATACGCATGGTCATCAATTCGTTTTGCACTTGAAGAGATTCACTTAATGGAAATTCAATTACTCGATCTCTTAGAGTTTAACATCGGATTTAATGAAGCTGAGCTCATTAGACATTCAAAGCAATTCATGAGAATGCCATTGTCGAATCAAAATACTTCACCACCACAGTTCAAGCCAACACCATCTGCTAAAGCACCTACACCACTTAAACCAGCACTTAAAACTGCCAAGAGTATGCCAGCAGTTCGTCAAGTTCAACAGCCATTGATGTCTAGGAATACCGGAATGCCTGGTGCATTCTCACCTAGTGCACTCGATCAAGCGCTGAGAGCACAACTTCCTAGTGATATGACAAGTAAAAGAGTTAGTAAAGATATGTCGGTATCTTCAAGCTCAGATGGTGGAGGTAGTTTACCTGCAACGCCATCAGATGTCACTGGTTTAAACAAACCTACATTGGCTTTAGCTATGGCTTTGGAGAATAGAAAAGGTGCCGTCGACGACGATGAAGAATTGCCTGAAAGTCTAACAATGTTACCCGCTCACCTCACAGCACCAGCGAAATCAATGCATGCTCCTGGTATTGCTGGTTTGATCTCACGTATAATGAAACATCCAGCTGGTAACTCACACTCTCACAATAATCACAGGCGGAATCAAGATTCTGTTCCACTTATCTAAATTATTTAATTCTTATTGTAACATCACAGATTAATATACATTCTTTGTTTTGGTTAAAGTAAAAGTATAGAGTGATTGATTCATTAAATATACACAAGAAATTTAGTATTTTATGACTTAATTCATTAGCTTTGTTCACTTTGTTGATTTTCTTTAACTCCTGCATCTGACGGTAAAGTTGGTAAAACTGTTGGTTGTTGAGATTGTTCTGGAATTGCGGGTGGTTGAGGAGCTTCTTTTGGTTGCTCAGGTACTGGTGCAGGTGATTGCGTTTGTACTTCTGATTGAACTACAGATTGGGCTGACGGTTGAACTTCTAGTTGTGCTTCTTGTTTAACGTCAGTTGGGTCAGATTCACCACTTGAAGTTGGCAGAGTTGGTGCTGATGTTTGTTCAATTTTAACTTCAGCTTTTTGCTCATTCAACTGATGCACTTCCTGCTGTTGAGCCTGACTGATAGCGTTCGCTTGCTCATGAACAGCATTCGTGGCATCAGAATCTACTTGCTTCTGTGCAGCTTCAGGTAATGCATCAGTTGCCAAAACCTTTGCTTGAGCTTCAGCAGGTAATTGATCGTTAGCCTCAAGCTGTTTGATAAATTCAGTTTGTGATGCTGCAGGATCAGTGGTTGGAGTAGCTGCAGTTGTAGATACTTCTTCACCAGCATCCAATCTATTACGTATTGATTGTAACAAGGATGATTTGACAACCTTCTCAGTCGCTTCAGCATTGCCTTCGTCACCTTCACCTTCACCACCACCGTATTCACCTTCACCGCCACCAACAGCTTTGTCAAGCTTGAGCTTAGTCTCTGCTAATCTAAGCATATCCTCTTCAATTGTACCCTTTGATACAAATTTGTGGATCGTGACATCTTTTGTTTGACCAATACGGAAAGCTCTATCACCAGCTTGTCTATCAGCGTGAGGATTCCAATCAGAGTCGAAGATAACAACAACATTTGCAGCTGTCAAGTTAATACCTAAACCACCTGCTTTAGTTGACAACAAGAATACTTGAATATCAGTATCTTCAAAGAACTCATCGACCAATATTTGTCTTTCTTCGACTTGTGTTTGACCAGTGAACATAAGGTATCTAATAGTGTGTTGATCAAGAACCTTTTTAAGAATATCCAACATCATCGTGAATTGAGAGAAAATAAGTACTCTATCACCACGTTCTTTTGCTTCTCTTAAAATTCTCAATAATGCTGTAATCTTTCCTGAATCTAAGTAAACCGTATCAGGTAAGGTGTACTTGTTAACAGTCTGAAAATTATTATTAGAATGTCAGATAAGAGGAAAATGATTGAACCTACTTGGAAATTCTTGGTAAATTGTTGTAATTCAGAATCTGTCATAACCTCCATATCTTCAACAACAAGCTCATAAACACTCTCTTTAAAGTCCGGTTCTTTCAAACAATCCTTTGCCATCTCTCTAACGACTGAAGTATTGAAATGACGTCTAAATAATAATGGATGATTAGCAGCTTTTCTTAAATCCATAAGAACGTGATTAGAAGATTCGGAAGGATCTTTTCCTTTAGAAGATCCAGCTTTCCCTCTTTTTCTACCACGTTGTGATTCAGTTCCAGATTCTGAAGGTGTTGAAGCTTCAGTTTTATCTGCTTCAACTATAGCTTTACGAGATCTAGCCATAGTTTCAGCGTAGATAGTCTTCTGACTTTCAGTTAAATCACAATATTCTATCAATTCCGTCTTCTTTGGAAGATCTGTCAATACTTGAGCTTTCTTCCTACGTAATACGAAAGGTTGCATCATTTTTTCTAATCAGGAGTTAGTTGAAAGTGATGTAGAATAAAAGTGTCACTCACTAGCTCTAGAAACACGCTCTCTTGAAAGCATGGATGCATGAACACCCGGCTTAACCTTGAATACGACACGCAAGGCTTCTTCAGTATCTTGGAAATATTCAGGCAAAATAAAGTTAAGAAGTGAAACTAATTCCTGAAGATTGTTTTGAAGTGGTGTACCAGTAAGTAGTAATCTCCAAGGAACCTTCAACTCAGCCAAGTATTTATAAGATTTCGTTTCACGATTTTTGAGCATATGTCCTTCATCGAATACAGCTGTACGGAACTTCATTTTACGCAAGAACTTCCTATCTTGTGGAGAACCTTGAGCAAGGTTATAGGTTGTAATCAATACATCCATTTCATTTCTAGATGGTAGCAAGTCATCTCTAAGAATAGATCTCTCATGTTGATCACCGTAGTATGATTTAACGATCAAGCTTGGAGCGAATCTAGAAAACTCTCTTAACCAATTTTCAAGTGTAGAGGAAGGTACGACGATGAGATTTGGACCTGGTTGTTGAGTGTGCTTAAGTGAAGCTATGAATACAATAACTTGAAGAGTTTTACCAAGACCCATCTCGTCTGCTAAAATACCGGAAACTTTTTGTTTATGCAAGTGCTCTAACCATCTGACACCTTCAAATTGATAATTTTTCAATTTAATTGAACTTTCAATCAATGCAGGAGGAGTTTCATCTTTCTTTTCCATTTGTGAGAAAATAGATGAAATTCTGCCACCAACTTGTTCACACTTGTCAAGTACTTCATCGACCTGCTTGTAACTAGCGATTAAATCCAAATAGAAATCGAAGATAGTGGTTGAAACACCTTTTGTAGCTTTCAACTTAGCTCTGAGGGTGTTTGCATTTTGGAAAGGTCTCATATTAGTTATGGCTTCTAAAGCCTTATCTGAGAGGGCCAAGATTTCTTGAATTTCTTTTGGTTCAGCTTTGTTAAACCATTTGACTGCCTCCGATTCATCATATAATGAAACTGTAGACTCTCTAACACCATTGTCATCATCAGAATCGCTATCACCACCGAAATCACCTTCATCATCTGAAGAGTTGTACTGTTTCTTTGTCTGTCTTCTAACGGAAGTTGTAGTATTTTCTCTAATCTTGGATTGAGGTGGGAGGGTAGTCATTTGTCTAATTCTGAGAGGTTGAGGAGGTATTTGAGGTTGTCTAATGAACTGAGGCTGCTGTCTGTGTTGCAGCATATGCGCTGGAGGTACAATAGGCTGAGGGTGGTGCTGCTGATGTTGTATCTGAGGTGCCATAGCGTTCATTGACAAAAGAGTGTCAGTTGCAGTTCTATAGTCTTGGTTACATTCAGCCAAAACGCGTTCAACTAAAGGGAGCTGCTCAGGCGAAAAGCCGAGAGTCCTGACGAAACGCTGAGCCATAGATTCTTCTACTACAGGCCTATAGAACTGTGGATTAGGCATTAAATTAAGAGAAGGTTGCGGTGGTGGTGGCTGCATCAAGTTTGGATTGAAAATAGGGAAGCTGTTCATATAATCATAATTCTGCTGGTCTTGTTGTTGCTGCTGCTGCTGCTGTTGATTGGGGTCGTAATAATTCGGGAACCCGTATAAATTGTTGTAATTGAAGTTCATTGGGATGCGAGTTCAAGTTCGCTACAGAGAGCACGCGTTCTAGAGAAGCAGCTAATAAATAATAAAAAATGATGAACATATTAAATATTATATTTATTTATTATCCAAACTTAGATTTTCGTCTTTCTTACGAAGATCTCTTTTTCTATTAGCCAATTGCGGACTGTCAGAGCCGTAGCGTAGCAAGCCAGCGAATCCAAACAACAATCCGAACAAGCTGAGCGTGTGTACGTATCTCCAGAACGTCGAGTCTTTCAGGTAGCTATCTTCTTTGTGTTTCGTAGGACGGCTTCTCCGCTGATAGATCTCTGACCACCAGGCGTGAGAGCGAGCCGAGTGGTTGTAGTAGCTAGAGTCTTGCTTATACTTCTGCCAATTACTCCTCTGCTGTGCGTGGTGTCTGCCTGTGTGCGTCCAGGCGTAGTTTGCTCTCTGTCTCCGTCTGGCGTCCAACCCAGGGCTAGAGGGGTATCCATATGAAGATGTGTTGCCACTATCTATTTGTCTGTCATAACTCCGTCTATTGTTTTATTAGAAGTTGTTTATCAAAATTTACTACGAACCTCGAAGGCGGATCTCCCAATATGGAGTATGCTTCTGTAATCGATTGATAGACACGCTTAGCATCTGGACTGTCGTTCTTGTCTGGGTGGTATTCTTTAGATAACTGTATTTATTAGCCGATATCGATTACTAGAGTATTGTCACACCTTGTAGAAGGCTAACTTTATCTGCTGTGGTGTAGCACTCATATCTAAATTCAAGGTATCGTAATGGCTGAGTAATCTCGCTGACAAACTAAAATGCCTTTTCATTTTCCGTATACTATGACGATACTGTTTAAAGATCCACGAGGCTTGCTCCCTACGTTCATTATACCGTCAGTATAAAGACTATAATAAATTTATATTAACGTTTTAGTAGATGTCTGATTACAATTATAACGACGTACTTTTACTCACAATCTCTGATCCTAATCCTGTCTACACCATTACTCAAGTCTTTGGAGCCGTTTTTGAATCGACTGTAGAGGACCTTAGTAGACCATCCTCACCTGTATCCGTACAAGCACCTAGCTTTGGTATGTCCTCTCTTAAAATAGAAGATAAATCCTCGGATCCTGCACAAGACATTAGAAAGAGGTCTGAAAGATATCGTGAGAGAGCGTTAGACAGACTTAAAGATGCCGCAAGAGAGAAAGGTGGTAACGGTGTTATTGGTGTAAAGTGTGAGTACACTCCATCCGGTGTAAGTCATTATGAGGTAATACAACAATCGTCTTTTGTCTAACAAACTAACAGTTCGACGGTGACGTCCAACTCTACGAGTGGGTCGCTTCTGGTACCGTTGTCATGCTCAAACTCAAGCAACAAATGGTTAGAATGGGCGGTCAATAAAATTATCATGTATTAATTCATTCATCCTTAGTTTCATCTTCTTTTTGTTGTGTCTTCCAAGCATGTGCCATTTGCAAGAACTTAAGCGATGCTGGATTGCTCTGCTGCTCATCATCTGCGAAGAGCATATCAAAGTATTCTTCAACACCTTCTTCGGTGTTACGCCATTTCTTGACAACCCTAGGCATCTTATCTTGAACTTTCTTGACTGTTGATTCATCGCCAAACTCAGTTTCAAATTCTTTCCATGACTCCAATAATACAACTCTCTGAGCTATTCGTTAGATAATTTCAATGGAATGTCAATAAAACGCACTTCTTCTTTGAGTCCCCGCTCTTTGAGATTGTTGTATCCTCTCTCATATACTCTCCTTGCTTTCTCATCTCTAGCTTCTTCTTCTTCTTGCTCATTATCAATCTCGGTATTCTCAAAGTTAGCATATGCAATCCAAACTTTAACGTGACTAGTGCGTTCGAGAAGTCTATCGTAGAGACTTCTAACTGCATTCCTGCTTGATTCACCTTCTTCAATCGCTTCAGTTTCAAAGTCGATATAAGCTTTCCATAATACTAAGCCAATGTCAGTTTAATAAAATATGACGAGTCGTTTGACATACATTCAGGCATATCAAGTGCATCTTGATTAACTGCCAATTCAAATATTGCTCTAGCGCGTCCACTATCGCCAAGTTCAGCTTCAAGTTGTGCAAACCGTATCCAAGCTGAGCAATTTGAGTGATCATATTCAAGATATTTTTCATATAAGGTTCTAATTCTATCGAAATCTCTCAACTCAAATTCTAAATCAATGTAGGCTTTAAATAATCTCTCTTTTGGACACATTCCTATAGCTGTACCAAAGATTTTCCTAGCACCTGCGACATTAAGTCTCCTTATTTCAAATCTTGCATATTGATTCCATAATTTTGCGAAAGTGAATTGTTTGTGAGGTACTAAAGAAATAGCAGTTTGATAGACGACTCTGGCTCTATCAAAATCTTTTACGTCAGCTTCTTCAAAGATGGCATAAGAGAGCCATATGAAGATATACCTCCGCCAGTGTCTTTTTTCGCTTGATGGTGGAACTTGTGAAACTGCCCTTTCATAAAGTTCTCTTGTTCTACCAAGTGCTTCCTCCTTCGTGGAGGCATCTTCCATTCTGTACGAATATTCTTCTAATTTTAAATATTCAAACCAACTATCGTAGTTATTTGGCTCGGCGGATACTTCAGCTTCATATTGAAGCCTCCGTTTACCAAGAACAGTGGCTTCTACACCTGCTCTTGAACCATATTGCTTCTCAAAGCGTGTGTAAGCACCAAAAAGATCTGCACTTTTAGCTTGTGGTAATCTAGATAGAGCGTATTTATAAATAACTCTAGCTCTATCGTATTCCTTTGCTCTTGTTTCCATTTTGGCGAATGCATTGAAGACACTTTGAGCTTTCTCTATTTGCTCTTCAGAATCACCAAAGAACTCTAAAGCCATTTGGAATATCTCTCTCGCTCTGTCAAATTTACCTCTATCTTCTTCGTAACGAGCCCATTTCACCCAAGTTTTTGGTTCAGGTCTGATACCAATAAGGCGTTCATAGAGTAAGCTAACTCTCTCCCATTCTTGATATCTCTCTTCTAGCTTTATATAGGCTGACCAAGCTTTATCGTCAGGTTCCCAAGTCATCCATCTTTCGAATACTTGACGTGCACCTGCGATATTACCAATGAGTTCCTCCATATGTACATATTTATACCAGAATTGATTGATACGTGGTAGTAAAGTGACAACTCTATCGAATAAGTTACGAGCATGGTTTATATTTCTAGCTTTTAGTTCCATATCAATGTATTGTAACCACATTTGATGTGCGGTTGGTTCAACATCTAATGCTCTCTCCCATACAGAGCGTGCACTGTAAGGTGTGAGAGGCTTTCTAAGTTATGTAAATAAGCTCACCGTTCATATTCACCCTGTATCGCTTCCCATTTCGCGTAAGAAGCCCATGTTTTAAGCTAACGATTGTTTAGCGTTTGTAGAAGAATGAATAAGAAACATACATCAATTCTAAGCATTCTAATACGCTCCTCAAACTCCCTTCTCTTTCTTCCTTGAAATTCATTTAATTCTTCAAAATCTTGTAGACGTTGTCTCGCTGGTTGGATTTTTGGATCCTGACGATCATTGGCTTCACGTAGGAGTTGCTCAGCTGTGATCTGTACTGTAGCTGGCAGTCTATTCTTCACTCTCGGTGCTCTCTCTTCCTGCATTATTCTCTTGAAGATGGACGTCGATGATAAAGAACAGAATGGATTATTATATTGATTATCTGATAGTATAGAATTTGTTTATTATTTATTATTTAGTTTATTGCTACTATTCATTCCAATCCGTTCATTGGTATGTTTGAGCAAATACAAATACCCAGTTTAAACAACTCAATCAATAACAATGAGAGTTGCAACTTTATTAGCTTTAATATCAACAGCTGTTCTAGCACGGGGTGATGATTTATTAGATAAAGTTGGCAAACCATCCATTGGTAATGAATTTGGTCCAGATTTACGCGTAGAACATCTCTATTATACACTTTTCCCTGCTGGCGTTGCAGTTACAGAGTCGGGAAGGATGTTTTCCACATTCCCACGCGGTCCTGGTAACAATTACACTCTCGCTGAGTTAGTCGATATCGATATTGAAAAACCATTCCCTTCTTTGGAAGCGAATACTCTTCCTGCCCAACAGAACAATTCAAATCCTGGCTATTCAGCTTCCTATGATGATTTACTCGTTAGTTGTCAGGGTATCGCTGTCGACGCCAAAGATAGGGTCTGGGTACTTGACACTGGACGCGCTGCAGGTGGTCAACTCCAAGCATGGGGTGGTAAATTATTAGCGTATGAGACTGGTGATGATGCCTCAAAAGAACCAGTTGAAAGTAGGTCATGAGACATCTCTTTCACATCTACTAACTTTTTATTAGAGATTATTCTCTCCCCAGATGTCGCATTCCCAAGCACATACCTCAATGATGTTCGTATTGACCTCACAAAAAATGAAAGAGGTGTGGCTTACATCACAGACTCATCAGACGAAGGTAGAACTGGATTGATTGTTGTAGATATCGCAACTGGTGATGCTTGGCGTCATTTGGATATTCATCCTTCAACACGTCCAGATGAAAATGCGGTGTTTTCATTTAAAGGACAATCAGTTTATGCTATCTCAGCTGATAATAAGGGATTCTGGACGACTGGTGTTGATGGTATCGCATTATCTGAAGATGGAGAATGGGTTTACTACACCACCATGACTTCTCGTAAGCTCTGGAGAGTACCTACTGAGAAACTACTGGTAAAACCATCGACAAATGAACCTAACGCCAAACATGATGCTGATAGCTCAGTTGAATACTTAGGTGAAAAGGGAAGCTGCAGCGATGGTTTAGAAACTGACAGCAATGGTCTTATCTACTTAGGTGCTGCTGAGCAGGATGGTATACAGACATTCGATCCATCAACTAAAACCTTCAATGATTTGGTTTACAATCATCGCATTACATGGCCAGATGGGCTCTCAATTGCTAGCAACAAATTGTATTTCGTCGACAACCAGTTCTACATGCAAGATAGATTCTGGAATAACACAGACAAGACTGTAAAGCCATTCGCACTCTATAGTATAGACATTGATGGCACATCCGCACACATTTAGGTTTATACCACATCCGTACTCTTTTAATGAAAGTTATCATTTGTTAACGATTTTAATCTAATTCGTAATCCTCATCATCTAGGTCTATGAACTCGCGTCTGAAAGTACGACTAGGAGGGTTGTCGCTGACTATATGTGCGTCCGGTGGTGATCTCTCTGGTAAGAATCTCTCTTGAGGCATCCTATCTAAGTGTTAGCTGAGTGATATAGAAACCAAAACCATACAGGACGATCTTGTGCTTCCGAGCAGATGCATCAGAAGATAATAACCATCTCTCTATCAAATCGAGATTCCTTAGATTGGCTTTAAAGAGGAAATCGAAAAATGCACCAACCCAAGGCACCAAACCGATCAAAATGTCAAACACGACATTAAACCACATTCTATATATTACCATCTTAGGAGGTCCTAGTAAAGTAGCGAGATATATTTGGAAAATGCTAATCAATCCTGTAATCATATCACCCATCACTGGTACAGCTAGTATATCATCCAAACCAATACGAACATTGATACCAAGGTCGTTTATTATTGGTAAAGCATCTAAATAGAATGCATATGTACGTATAGTATTGTATATAGCTTGAGCGTCTTTGTGATTTCTTGGTTGACGTGGGATGACGATAAACGTCGGCTTAAATTCATACCATCGTCTAAATGGATTTCTAATGCTACTAAGTGATATTTCTCTTCGTAAAAATTGCAGAATTAGTTGGATGATATTCCAATTAAATGACATCACTGTTTTTAACTAACTGTATTAGGAAAGAATCTATAGAATAAAAATAACTTATAACAAAAATGACTACCATTACTTCTTTTTCTTTGATGGACGTGCATTCTTAGCTTTGCGCTTAGCTGCCAATTCACGTTGCTTTCTGATAGCATCGACACTCTTAATCTCACTCTTCTTGTTGGCGACATTACCACCTCTTCTAACTTTACCAGCATTGCTATCATCCTTGTTATCTTTGTTACGCATTTTGACTTTCTTTTCGTAATTCTTGTCTTTCTTGTCGAGCGGTTTGGCCTCAGTAACTTTGTTATGTCTATATTTCTTACCACCAACACCACCATTCATTCCCATAGCTAAAGCCTTATGGTTCTTCTCTTCGGTTTCACCAGTACGTGGTAAATCCATCTTATGTTTCTTCCTCCATTCGTCAAATTTACCTGATCTAAATGTTGCAGGTAAACGTGCACCTGACTCGGTTTTTATGAGTTTTTGGTTGTCTGCACCAATTCCACCACCTCTAACGAAGTTCTTCTTCTTCTTGTCCCATTTGAGTTGTGATGGTGCCATTTTCTGGGATTTCAATTGCTCATCATCCATCAAGGTAACTTCTGCTGTACGGGCTTGTTCCGCGAATGTTGCACCATCTTGTAAGGAATATCTGTGTTTTTTATGTTAAATGTCTTCAATTGAGTTAAGGGAACATACCCTTTATCGGTATGAGCATCAGCGTGTTCGTAACCCATGTAAAAGTTAGGATCACGGAAGTCCTTCTTTTGTTTTTTCTTGCTACCAGTATCAAAGACGGCCTGAAGTAGTTGTTAAAGAAGCACTCTTTCGACTATTAATTACTCACTGCAATATCATCTTCATCAGCCTGTTCTTGCTCTTCTTTGTCAGCATTATCGAGACTATCACCTGGTGTAGTTTCACCCTCCATTTCCTCTTGTAGAGCCTTTTCTTTCTCCTTCAAGTTCAATCTATGCTCAGCTTTAGCAAGGTCCTTCCGTCTCTCTTTCATAAGCTTTGCACTATCGTTGTTACCCCTTTGACCGATTTCAAATACAGTCTCATTAGGTCTAAATCCATTGACAACAGCCAACAAATCTGCTCTCTTTTTGGCTGTTTCTTCATCGACTTGTAAGGTCTCAGCAGCTGTACCAGCGAAAGATGGATGCATTGCCTTATCTTCTCCAGAAGTACCTGCGAATCCCCATCTTGCATCTTTAATTATATCTTTTGCACGTCTGTATGATTCTGCTGAAGCCTTTCCTTGACTGCGTTCATATAAACCATGACCACGCATCATAACGCCATGTAAAGATGGAAGGTTAGGAGCTTCGTTGAGTACAGCTCCACTAAGGTATTCTACGTATGGGTCAAGTGTATCTCTTGGTATGGTACCAATGGTGAGTGTGTTCTTCGATGCTAGTTCTTCTTCTTTGTTCTTGTTAGTAGGTGATGTTGGCGATACTAATGGTCTAGCCAAGAACAACGAAAGGTCGAGTAAATAAGGCAATTCTGAGTTAGTAATAAATGACCAGGCTGTACCCTTTCTTCCTGCTCTTGCTGTTCTACCGACTCTGTGAATGAAAATTCTGGCACCTGTTGGGAAGTCGTAATTTCTGGAGTTGTGTTAGATTAATGATCATGATATATTTCAGACCTACATAACATTCTCACATCCAGGTAAATCAATACCTCTGGCAGCAACATCCGTGACAACTAGTATTGAAGAAACACCTCTTCTGAACTGATCCATTTGCAATTGTCTAGCAGTTTGGTCTAATGAACCATAGACATGGGCAACTGCGTATCCAGCTGCCTTAAGTAAAGTGTTGAGGTACTCAACGTGATGTTTAGTAGCAGTGAAAATGATGGTTTGATATGGTTTTAAGAAAGATGGAAGCGCAGTTCTCTTACGCTTCTTCTCTTTATCATTTTTGGAGGAAGTATCCTGAGCTTCTTGAAAACCAGGGGGAACTTTTATAACATCCTTAATGAGCGCTAACAAGGCACTATCTTTATCTGATGGCTTAACACTAAAGAAAGCTGTTTCTAAATCTTCACTAATTTTAGATTCCGCATCAAGTCTCACAAGTTTTGGATCAACGAGACCCGCTTTTGCGAATTCAACGAGTGATTTTGGTAAAGTTGCAGAGAAAAGTAATGTCTGACGAGTTGTTGGAAGTCTTGAAATGAGTTCATTAAGTTGAAGTTGGAAACCCATTTCGAATAATCTGTCAGCTTCATCGAAAACAACGTATTCGACACTCTTCAAATCGAGGTTCATTTCTACAGCTAAATGAAGCAATCTACCAGGTGTAGCGATAATTACGTCAGGATTGCTGGCTATGAGTGAAAATTGATCATCTAAACTCTCACCACCGACGATAACACTCCAACGCATTTCTTCCTGACCTTCACCCATTTCCTTTTTATAACCTTTAACTAATTCTTTACCAACACGCAATATCTGTAATGCTAATTCACGGGAAGGTACCAGAATGAGAGATCGTGCACCGAATCTGATAGAGTGTTGAGCACCAAGTTTCTGTACTAATGGGATGAGGTATGCCAGAGTTTTACCTGAACCTGTACGAGCCATACCAACAAGATCCCTTGGTGGCGTCGAGAGGATTGGTGGAATAGCCAAACGCTGGATAGGTGTAGGTTGATTGAAACCGCGGAGGAATAGAGAACGTAAAAGAGATGGATTCAAACCTATACATTTTGTTAGAAATTGCTAGTAAATCTGCCAAAATCTCACCCATTGATTGGAAACTACCACCGCCAACTTGAGCTTTGGCTTTTGGACCTTTGCCTTTACCCTTATTAAGCTCCTTAGCTACTTCTTTTCCTTTGCTTTTGTTCGCTGTCTGCATTACGTCCATAATAAACTGATCGTCGTCGTCTTCTTCCTTATTCTTCTTAGACGAGGAAGGGAGCAACGCAGAAGAGATATCAACGTCTTCGTCATTATTTACAGCATTTCCTATGCTATTATCTTCATCATCGCTGTTTAGAAAATCTAACTGAGCAGACTTCTTCATCGTTAGAGTTCAAGAAGCTAGCGAAAGATTGAAAGATAAAGATTATACTTATTATCTGGTACTTATAAATAATAGGCTAGACTATCTTATCTCTCTCTCTCTACTCGCGCTTACATCACGACAACCATGATGAGATAGCAAATGTATTCATTCTTCAGCACGCACTACGTGAGAAATACAACAGACTAGTGTTACTACAAGTTAGGTAAGAATATCTGAACAGCAGTTTCTCTGTATTCGGAGATGGTTTGACTTTTGCGACTGCTATAGCGTTTGTGTTAATGGTAGATGATACATTAACTTCTAAATCTGTTATATAATTTATTGCCATGGATAGTAGGACACGTTATGACACCGTCTAGAAGTTGAAACATACTATCGGTCATTATGAGCCACATATAAATCGTACATTGTGTACGAAGTTGATTACTATCTACTAGACAATACGGCAACCACTACGGCTCAAAAGTTACGTTTGGATAACGAAAAAGTTGATGTTAAACCGAGATGAGATATCAAAATGATCTAATCAAGATATAATCGATGTTCATCTTGACATCACAGAAGCATCTATCAAAACCTATACAATACAAGTCCTATCTGGTATATTTTCCTCTTACATTACATCTCATCCTACGTTCACTATATGCATAGCAACGGCATACTAAAAGCCAAACGAAGTGACTATAAAGCTGAGATCTACAGTCTGAGGTCCACAACTAAGTATGAAAATATACTGTAATCTATTAATTCAATAATCTTTAGCCATCAAGAAATTTTCAAGAAAAACAAAGGAAATACACAATCATCATTTTTGAAAGGAATGTCTGTGTGTCTTGTGGGGTATATAAATAAATTAGGTCAGGTCATTAATGTAATTAAGTTATGCTTCTTCACTTTCAACCAATTCAACTGCTCTATCAATGCATTCTTCAACTGTCCACTTATTCTCCCTTTTCGATAATTTAAGCTGTAAAATATCACCAACTTCATCGCAAGCTCGTAGCAATTCGTCAATATCGGCTTTTGTATGTGCAGAAGATAGACAAAATCTAACTCTACCACTTATTAATGGCGTTGCTGGGTATGCTACGACTACAACAACAATTGATGCTGCATCCTTTGTTAGTCTTTCTAACATTAATCGGGAGAAAAGTGGTAATTTTGCTGGATGGAAAATGAATAATGGTACGATTGGTGAATCTCTAGATCCTGACATAATGAACCCCATTTTACGTAATGCTGATGATAAGTAACGAGCATTGAATGCTAATCTCCTTAATCTGTCCTTGCCTTCTGATCCATCAAGAAGATCTCTTGGAAGTGTCATCCAAGATGGTAAAGTATTATAGGTGATCGGACCTGGATGTATTTCTTCACTAACTTGGTCACCACCTTCAATGAATTCCTTTACACCGGTGATAGACGCGAGCGAACTTATAATCTGAGTGAGAACAGGGGGTGACATTGATTCAGCATATGTCATTCCATGACTTCTTTGTCTGATTCTATTCACCAGGTCAGAAGAACCCGCGATATAACCGCCTGCAGCACCGAAAGATTTCGTCACAGTGCCCATGGAGATATCAATTGTACGAGGGTCTATACCAAAGTAATCGCAAACACCTCTACCACTAGGACCGAGAGCACCAATTGAGTGTGCTTCATCAATGTATAAGTAAAACTTGTACTTTTTCTTCATCTCCATGATGACTGGTAAGTTAACAAGGGTACCCTCCATTGAATAGAGACCTTCTACGATTAGCAATATTTTCTTCCAAGGACGATGTGTACGAGGTTGACCTTGAGAGATTGTCTCTCGAAGTAAATTTTCCAGTTCTTTCATATCATTATGCTTATATTGTCGAACACTAGCACCGGATAAACGTACACCAAATCTAATTGAACTGTGATTCAGTTCATCACTGATGACTAAACAACCTTTGTTAACTAAAGCAGGAATTGTAGTAGAATTTGTAGCGAAACCCATAGAAATAAGCATAGCAGCTTCAGTGCCCAAGAATTTAGCAACTAAATTCTCTGCTTGATGGTGCAAATCAAGGGTACCACCTTCATGTCTTGGACCGCCGGCCGAGACACCATATCTCGCAATACAATCTTCGACAGCGTCAGCGCAGCCACCTCTAGCTTGAGCAAAACCGAGGTAATTATATGAAGATACGTTCAAGCATCTAGTACTTGTTCCACTGTAGTTGTATGTATTGTTGTAATCAGCAGAGTCTCTATCAAGAGTGACAATAGTACGACCTGGAACACCTAATGAGAGTGTTAGTATAATAAATACAATATGATTAACTTCTCACCTGTTGTTGGTCTACTAAAGCAATCGTCAATGCGTAATTTTAAACGACGGGTGTAAAAGCTATCAAAATCAGACAAAAGAGCGGCGTAGCCTAGAAATCGTTAATAATTTAGTTATATATTATTAACAAACTTACCATTATTAGGCATTAAATGCTTGTAATGCTTCTTGAACATCCGTTTACCAAAAAAGTCCCTCATATGACCAACAACGATGAGTAAAACGTAACTAACGTATGTAGATATTAAAATGAAATAACTTGGATCTTCAACTTCAGATATAGTTGAATTCTCTCTACTATTGTGGCTAGATGTATACCTAAAATCTGGATTATTGCATATACCGTATTCATCGTGGCTAAGTAGAGATTTCGTTGGTACGTCCAGTTTCGTTTGTAAATAACTCCTCGCATCTGGAAGATTGTCTGCAGAAGTCGTTGAAAGAGATGGGAGAGATGGCCGGGGATACAAAAAAGCAGATTTCGTGTTTGGTGATCTCTCTAATTGTGAACTCCTCAATCTAGAGGAGCTATTTACTTGCATTTTTCGTACTGACGGTTGAGTGCTTGGACCCTGATTATGGATTCCCCCGAGGAAAATTAAAAAAAATTATTAAAAAGATAGAAATGTATTATTTATTATAAAGTAAAAAGTACTAATATTATCTATATCTCGCTTTATTTCGATAGCTTTCGGACGAGTGGGAATTCAGATCATTTATTACACTCTAGACATTATATAGATAGTCTCTTTCTAATTTATTTATCAAAACTCTTCCATGTCACCTTTAGCGCTAAATTAGTCATCTCTCGTGTTGTCTTCTCATATGAGCTAATTTATCTATATTGGGAAGTAATTAAGCGGATAATTGTTTGTTTAAATATCTGTGTTCACCGTAGAACTATAAATTTAGCTATCCTGCTTTGCTCTCGGAGAAAAATTTTAACCTCGGAGTAGTCAGTTTCGTTCGGGTAATTAGATAGATATCTGGCTAGATTTCTAGTATAAAAAGTTAAGTGACAATAACCAAGTTGATCATGTATTTCTGAATGTTACTCCAATTTTACAATTTCGTCACATCTGGTGATGCATAGAAAGCCAAGACAGCTACAATGACACATTTGAGGGGATTGTAATATATTTGTACGTCCCATTCACACAATCATGGTGCTGAACAGCTCAGCCATTGTTTGAATTGCGTTAGAGATATTAATAGAAGACAAGCATGATACTGCTTCACAATATCCTGTACTAGCAAAAATCAAAGCAGAATAGAAGATATTGATTAGAATTATCACCAGTAACACTATACAGTTTTCTAAGACAGTTGCACGAACGAGCGATAATGTGAAACTCAAACAGGCTAATATTTCAATAACTAACAGAGATATGCTGGCCACTAGTAAACATGCTCTCCAAAGATATTTATGTGAGGTAATGTGTCGTTTTTGTTCGGCTAGTTAGATCCAGTAACTCATATACTTGGAGTAATTTATCTGTTACTAGCAAGTTGCTCAATCTGATAGATACTTTATTGAATGAACTTGGCTTGGGTGTTATTCTTAGCCGTGTACACCATCGACTGAAATTAGATGAGATCTTGTATTCTGACATGGTTATTAACCTAGATAGTTTAGCTCTTGTACGACACTGCGAATAAATGTGAATAGCACAATCGTATTAGACATTACATGAAAGCTTCCATCTCTGAATCAATCTTCAATTAGTAAATTAATCTATTAAAAACACAAAAAACCAATTAAGTACGATATTCTTCCATTTGTTGTTTTTGATATCTTTATTTCTTCATTAACTCTTTACTTGAGTTGTTTTGTACCACTGGAAATAGCGATGAGTTTATAAATTAGAAAGACAGTAAATACTCACATCCAAAGTTTTTGCGATACCCTCTTCAATACCAACAATAGGTTCGTAATCAAGCACTCGACGTGCTTTTTCAATATTGTAGTATCTAGATGAGCTTGCATATTTTACTCTGTATCTAGTGAATCCAGCATCACGTCCAGTTATCCAAGCGAAAGCTTCAGCTGCTGCACCAAGGTAGTAACCAAATGAGGAAGGCAAAACAGTAGGTTTTGGTGGAATATGTCCGATACCTCTCCAGACGGCTCTTGGGAAATCCCAGAAGTAAATTGGTTCACCATTTGTAACGAAAAATGCATTACCTGCTACCTTTAATGAAGGAGCAACTTCAGGTTTTGTTGGTTCAAAGTATTGATCGAATTTTGTTCTAATTACTGGTTTAACTTCTTTAACACCCTTATTGTATGTTAAAGCGAAAGCTGTTTCCTCATCGGTAACATCTCTTGTTGGGTGTGGTCCAATGTTTTTAGATCTAGATGTAGGTACTTGAATATCTTGAACAGTTGGTGTAACGAATCCAATGCTTTCTTTAAATACAGCTGGATCAATTGGTGGATCATTAAGCTTATCAGCAGCTAATAAGTGGGCGTGTACGACATTACCAACGTACGTCCAATCGAAGAGGTTATCATTATTTCCAATTTGGTATTTAGTTTGATTGTTTTCAACAACTTTGAGTAATCCAGCAAGAACTTGTCTATCGCCCGGACCGAAGATACCAGCAGGTCTGATTGCACAGGTACGCAAACCGTTGTCGTCGTTGTTATCGAGAACAATCTTCTCGGCTTGTGCTTTAGTCTCGTTGTATGCATCCATTGCAACTTGCGGATAAGGACATCTCTCGTCAACGTCAATCAAATCACTGCCATCATACACGGTACCAGCTGAGCTTGTGAAAACGAACTTCTTGACGTCGTTGGCTTTTGCAACTTCAAGTAAATTACTTGTACCGTCAACATTTACTGCTTTATAGACGTGTTGACCTAAACCGTGAATTGGTGATGCAGTGTGTATGATACAGCTTGGTTTAAGTTTACTGACGAGTTCATTCAACTGCTCCTTTTTAGTCAAGTCTGCTGAGTAGAACTCAATCTTGTTATCAAAGTGTCTCTGTACCAAATCGGTAACGAAAACGGTATCTCCCCTCTTTTTCAAGGCTTCTGCGATGTGATTACCAAGGAATCCTGATCCACCAACTACTAAGTATGTATCCTATAAAATATGCACACGTTAGTCTGCACAAATATCACGTGTTCACCAACCTTCATGATCGTAATTATACAAGAAGCGTGTATATATTAGATGAACACAAACTCAGTTATGATCTTCTGATATATCGTTAGATTTCTTAGATTTCTTATTCTCCACTAAGAGTGCAGGTTCAATATGAGGGATTGTACCACCTTGAAAAATATCAACATTTTTGAGTAATTTATCAATTTCTTCGTCATTTCTACCATAAAATATAAGATTCTATTGTTATAAACTCTCTTCATACCCACCTGATAGCAAGTTGGAGATGACGTGGTACGATACGTTGTTTGCGATTATCTACGCAGGCGTTGCCAGCTAATTCGAGTACTTCTGCGGTCAAATACTCTAAAACAGCCGCTAAATATACTGCGGCGCCTCCACCAATGCGATCTGCATAGCGTCCTTCACGTAGATTTCTCTCTATTCTACCAACTGGGAATATTAAACCTTGGCGATTGTATTAACTTACGCTGAGGATCTGTCATGTCACTCACCCGCTCTATGAGATCTTGATCTCTTCTTCGAATCGTCGTTAGATGATTTCCCACTTTGTTTACCTCCAAAGCTCGACATCGATACTTTTTTTATTGCTTAGATCGAAATAATTACAGAATAGAGTATAAATAATCAAATATACATCAATGTTTGGCTATTTGTCGGCTGAGACATGACTGGCTGATCAAGAAAAGAGTGGAACATGCAAACACAGGCTCTTCACACACTCATTCGTCTTCATCGACTACTAATGTCATACAAAGAACCAGCAAAGATAACAAAACATCCAGTAGTCGGAGGCAAGGAGCCGAAAAGCGGGGGGAGTACAGCGACAAAGTCGACAACATCGCTTAGAAAGGGCCAGAAAAAGAGAAAGGAAACTTACCACTCGTATATATTTAAAGTAAGTTTGGTCTTTTCTAGCATAAACTCCTAACAAAAGAAAAACCAGGTGCTTAAACAAGTGCATCCAAATTGTGGTATAAGCTACAAGGCCATGAGTGTCTTGTGTTCATTTGTATCTGACTTATTCGAAAGGTTGGCCGGGGAAGCGTCCATTTTGGCATCAAAGAATGGAAAGAGTACAATTTCATCACGAGAGATACAAACTGCTGCCAGGTTGGTTTTACCAGGCGAACTTGCAAAACATGCCATCAGTGAAGGAACCAAAGCTGTCACAAAGTATGCCGCCACCTCTGATTTAATAGCAGAGCGCATCTAATATTGGTATTCTTTTTATTGGAAAATTTTCTGCTTATATATACGCCTTTTTGGACATAGAAAAGTTGATTATATGTTAATTATAATCACGGGTATTATAAATAGTCATTTATTTGCTGATTTATTTTTAATTTTCACTTGTACCTTGTCGTGCTTCGAGATCCTATTCCGTGCTTGTCAAAAGAAGAAACCATAATGGAAAGCTTAATTATGAAAGATAAGACAAATTTAGAAATAAAGGTGGAAGAATATCGTAAACGTAAGGTCGCGCTGATAAGTGGTAAGCATTATCTTATCAGTAGTAATCTGGCTGATGTGATCCTAGGAATAACAGGACAGGATGGATCTTATCTGTAGGCATACATCGTCGATACTACAAGCTTCCAACTTATCGTTATTCAAGCACAGAACTCCTTCTGAGCAAGGGTTATCAAGTACACGGTATAATCAGACGTTCTAGCTCGTTCAACACAGGCAGGATTGAACATCTTTATAAGGATATACATGATAGTGGGTGCTTTGCCTATCTTATTGGCTTATCTAACGTATTGATAGTGCCAGATATGATACTGTGAGCAATCGTAATAGGTACATCCTAGCTAACGATATGCTAGCCACTATGGTGATCTCATGGACACTACCAACCTAGTTTCTATTATTAGCAAAGTACAGCCAACTGAGATATACAATCTTGCTGCACAATCGCATGTTAAAGTGTCATTTGATATGGCTGAATATACAGGCAATGTTGATGGATTAGGTACATTACGCATGCTTGAAGCTATTAGAATTACAGGTCTTGATCAATGTATACGGTTCTATCAAGCTTCGACATCTGAACTTTATGGAAAAGTGGGTGAATATATCTGAAACAAGTACTCAACTTATCAGCCAGTATAGGTTGTGGAAACACCGCAGAGTGAAACTACTCCATTCTATCCCCGGTCACCTTACGGAGTAGCCAAACTGTATGCTTATTGTGGGTGATACCTTACATTAGTTAAACAGCTAATCAAATAAATCTACAGGGATAGTCGTAAACTTTAGAGAAAGCTATAACATGTTTGCAGTAAATGGTATACTATTCAATCACGAATCACCTCGGAGAGGGAGGACCTTTGTTACACGCAAAATAACGAGAGCAGTTGCAGAAATAAAACTTGGCAAGCAGGAATGTTTATACCTTGGTAATTTAGATGCTAAGCGCGATTGGGGACATGCTCGCGATTATGTAGATGGCATGTGGAGAATTCTCCAACATGATATACCAGAGGACTTTGTTCTCGCAACCAATGAAAGTGAGTAGATTATTTCATATGTGAAACAGTATTTGACCTTAAAATTAGCCCACAGTGTTAGAGAATTCACTGAGAAAGCCTTCAAAGTTGTCGGGATTACAATAAAATGGCAAGGTGAAAAGGAGGATGAGGTTGGAATTGATGCTAGCACCGGTAAGATTATTGTTCGCATTGACGATAAGTATTATCGTCCTGCTGAGGTAAATGAAGATGTACGAGTTCTCATACTACCACTAACATAATAAAAAGGTTGATTTGCTGCTCGGTAATCCATCTAAAGCAGAAGAAAAACTCAATTGGAAACGTGAAGTGAGCTTTAATGAATTAGTCGAAGAGATGGTAAACGCAGATGTCAAAATGGCCAGCACGATGGTTGCAGACCAGAATTAGATAGAAATTAGATAGGTAAATTATGTTTTATTTGTTCAATGCATAATAAATTAGGTTATAGTTATAAAGATACAGGTGTTTGTGATGATGTTGACGAATTGTTATTGCCTGGTATACGCCTCCTGACGAATTCACGTACTATTTGATGACCTTCAAGTGTGACAAAGAACATTCTCTTAATATCGTTCGACCATAAAACACAGTCGTAAGATTTCGCATAATTTAATAGTATCTCATAATCAGGTTGTGATCTAAATTCTGCGTATAAGACACCATCATCAGCTTTAAGACGATTCTTTTCTAATTCCCATAGACGTATTTGATCTGAAACTGTAACAGGAAGAAGTGGATTATTTCTGTGCATCTGTGTGTGTGCATGTGATGTTAAATATCCTATTATCTTAATATATTATGTAAGGTATTAATAAAGACCATGTTTATTAAACTTACCTGCTCCGCTGTTATACCATTACTCAACGCACTTCTTATACTATCTCTCGTTATAACACCTATGACGAGATTTGGATAGCGGGCTTTGAGAGTAACAAAGAGGTTCAAGATGGAAATCTGCAATGGATTACTTGTGTATGCATATAGCCTATAGTTAGTTTCAAGGATAATAAAGCGTTTGTTATCTGATGATGTCGTAAACGAAGATGATTCAGTAGTGGGTAAGAGCGGTGGAGCGGATGAAGTGAGTGTAGTAGCCAATCTAGTAGGGTAGAATCTCTTTGACGAAGTTTTTCGCTGCCAAACTAATCCATAGTCCCGCAAATCCGACAACATGGCTTGTTGGGTGTTTGTTAGACTTTCTATTGAATAATCCTTGCCCAATTCTAATGTGCCTAAAACAAACAAGAATGATAAAACCTCCACTAGATCCATTTGACGTATTTCAGATAAGCTGAGATACTCCAGGAGAAGTTGCCAAAGTTGAACCTGAACATCTTCTAACAAAAACTGGAAACCTTTTGAAGAGATGCGGTGTTGCTTGTTAGCTGTGTATATTAGGTTTGACTTTTCAAGTAAGAACAATACACCTTTACTCGGCGTACTGTTATAGCTTCCAACCATGTAATGCAGTATAAGCTCCCATTGCTGAGTAGCAAAAGTGTCTAGCTGTTCAATTGTTGTAGTGATAGAGTTTGATAATGATTCAATCTCTCTACCGATGAGTATTTGCTTGAGTGAGTGTTTAAATTGTTCGTTCAGAGTAATTGAACCGTTAGAATTATCGATAATATTAAGTTCTATGAGTGGAACGAGGTCTGCATCTTTATATAGTAATTCTAATGTAGACTGGTCTAGTAGTTTACTGGAGAATAACAAGGATGATATAATCTGCTTGTTCAAGTCGTCTAATAAGCGGTATATAGTGAGTGTAGAAGATTTATCATTGAATAATCTATTGAGGTTGAACTTTGATAGACCCTTCAAGTAATTTACTAGTAATTCGTTCATCGTCGTATGGGTGAAAGACAACTTAACTCAAACGACGACGATGTCTTCAATAATAGAATTCCAGAAAGCTAGTGCCAACAAACTCAAACTGTTCTATGAGGCGCCATTAAAAATCATCAATAACCTCACAAACGTCACTCCAGAGACAATAAAAACAGCGGCTGGAAATAGCGTAAAAGAGCTTCAAAAGCATGACGAAATCAATACAGCAAAGGTAGATGCTAGTCAATTCCCTCATCAAGCTGCTATTGGTGCAAACTTGGCTAACTTCAGCTACTCACTTAAGAAAACCCAAAGGTCAAAGTTAGACATCAAACCATTAGAGGATAATCCATCAGCTGAGCCACTCAATTGGAATACAGGTGAAATCTATGCTAACGCTCAAAACCTCGCTAGAGAATTGATGGAAATGCCACCAAATTACTGCACTCCAACTTACTTTGCTGAGAGAGCAGCTAAGGAATTTGAAGGTATTGAGAATATCAAGCTTCAAGTATTTGACAAAGACTGGGCACAGTCTATGAAGATGAACACTTTCTTGTCCGTCGCTCAAGGTAGCACCGAGCCATGCAAATTCTTGCAAATTGAGTACAACGGATCCGCAAACAAGGAGGATAAGCCACTTGCACTCGTCGGTAAAGGTGGGCTCTTTTTTGATATCTTTACCCGTCTGACGCAATGAAAGGAATCACAATGGACACCGGTGGTATTTCTATTAAAGGAGGTGCAGGAAGTGAGTTAGCAATGTTACACCGTTACAAATATGTTGACTGATTTTACAGTGGATCTTATGAGAGGTATGGCTTCGTAGCTTCTTAACACTTTTTCTAAGACAATACAGGTGATTGCGGTGGTGCTTGCACCCTTTTGGCAACTACACAAGCTATTGCTAAGCTCAAGTTGCCAATTAATGTCGTTTTCGTTGCACCACTCACAGAAAACATGCCTTCTGGAACTGCAACAAAGCCAGGTGATATCATCACTTCCATGTCAGGATTGACTGTAAACGTGCTCAATACGGATGCCGAGGGTAGGTTGGTCTTAGCTGACGCACTTTACTATGTCTCGACCAAGTTCGATCCACACACGGTCATTGATTGTGCAACACTCACAGGTGCAATGATGATTGCACTTGGTGAAGCATACAGCGGTATCTTCTCTACAACTGATGATTTATGGAAGTTGCTCGAGGACGCTGGTCTGGCGGAGAATGACAAATTCTGGAGAATGCCATTCGATGATTTCTACTTGAAGCAGATTAACAATACAGCTGCTGATTTAGCAAACACTGGCGGCCGTCCAGCCGGTGCATGTACTGCTGCTATCTTCCTCAAGCAATTCGTCGATGGTATCAACTTCAATGCTGAAGAGGGTGAAAAGCCACGCCGTCAATATGCACACATTGATATTGCAGGCTCTATGGAGTGCACTAAACCTGAAAGTGAGTAATCATGTAAAAGAGAAGACAACAATATTAACGAGATTGTAGGCTACAATACTAAGGGCATGTCGGGACGTCCAACTAGGGCACTTATTGAATACGCTAGAAGATTAGCTGAAAAGAAATAAATTCCTGTATGATGAAGTAATTCTAACTTTGAGTTTTGATTTCTTACTACGATGTCTGCCCGCACTCCGATAAGGAAACCAGCGCAAATAAATCCATACAATTCAACGCCATCTAAGCCTTCAACGAAGCCACGTCATTCTACGCCCCTCAAAACCCCTTTGACGAGATTCACGGGATCTGCACAGACGAATTCGCCCTCACCATTGAGCAGCAGCTCTGCAACGCCTAGGAAGAAGAGATTTGTAAGGAAGCAGCCTTTAAAAGATCGGTGAGTGTATTCATCTCTCAACAAACTAAATTTATCCCTTCATAGTATACTGCAATGGCCATCCAACTTTATATTCAAACTCTGGGTAGATTGGGATCTAGCACACTTGATAGATTCCCCTAGAGTAGCCAAATCTATCGGTTTCCTGCTCCATCTCTTATCTTTCCTAGTGAAATATGCCGGTCTATCTACTAGTCAATCTAATAGGCAATCTATATTAAAAAAGAGCAGCGCGTCTGCAACAGCACGTGCATCTGCTATTAGAGCAGCCTCTAAGAGATCTCTTCCATGGGTATAGCTGGTATCATTCGCGATTGATAAACTCACATTTGCCGTAGGCGCCGATTCTTGCTTTTACGTTATTCGTTATTACGGCGATCAACACTTACACACTCTTTACAAAATTTAGAAGCTACAGGATGTTCATGAGAAGGGTATGTTTTATTTTCTTATTCGGTTACCAGCCCTAAAGGTCAGCTAGGATCCGATTTCATCTCCGAACGCACGTAAAATACAACTTGATCTTGATCTTGATCAAAGTCGCGAAGGAACTCCTGAATTTGAGCGCAAAGCTGGCTTAAGTGACTACATCGTGATGACTACAGGATTTCTATGGAAGTATTTCATGTAAGTAATAATCCTCTATGTTTAAGTGTTAATTTACCTATACAACCTAGTCTTCTCATTTGGAGACCGTTTTTGATGTTGATCGGCGTATCACTCTCGAAATCTGAGAACAGCGGGAGAATGCTCCGTGAAGGACAAGCAGAAGTATACCAAATAGATATGTGGGATATAAACGAAGGTTCATTAGCCTTGTTCGAGTGAGTTGTCTGCAAATGATTCATTATTCAAACTTAACAGCTCACCAGAGTGTACTCCCCAGCACACGCACTCTGCTGGATATTCTTGAATGCATCAAATTGGATGTACTTGATTATCCTAATGATAGCTCTCTGGAGTCAGGTAAGTGTGTCTTATTTATTCTGCTAGTCAACTTAGATATCACAGATACACGTTATGGTAGAAAAGTACACGATGCTTCTAAAGGATAAGTTAATAGTACAAGGTGAAGTTATGCATGAGTACAATGAAACTGTGAGTTTGACTTTCTTTCTTATCATTCGGTAGAATACTCACAAATGAATTAAAGTTCGTACATCCACGCGTATTTAAAGCTACAAAAGATGTTAGCACCCAAACAGAGTAAATTAATTGTAATTTAATAATTTTATATCCTAATAAAAAACGCGACTTGACGCGGTTCGCCACAAGTTCGTCACTATCAAAACGACGACCATGCCAGAATTAACGAAAGATGCGATAGAAGCGATAAATTCCGAAAATCCTGCCGGTTTACTTGCGGGACAAAATCCAGTTGTACAAGTTTTGCAAGTTAAGAAGGCGACTGCAAGTTCAGATAAAGCACCAGATAGATACAGAATGGTTTTATCTGATGGAAAGTACTACATGCAAGCTATGCTTGGTACACAACTCAATTCATACCCTGAGCAAGAGTTACTTATAAAGAACAGCGTTATCAAACTTTTGAATTATGCTGTGAACGTTGTACAGAACAGATTGCTCGTTATCGCACTACAAATTGATATCGTAGAGACAGGCCCTCTGGAGAAGATCGGATCACCACAGAATTTCGATCAGACAAAGTCACAACAGCCACAACAACAAACAGAGCAACAACCACAACAGCAAGACATTAAACCAGATGTTAAACCAGACATTAAACCAAACTTCAGCAAAGGTCCTTCTTCGCAAGCACCTGTTTACCCTATAGAAGGCCTTTCTCCATACCAAAATAAGTGGACTATAAAGGCTAGAGTTACCCAGAAATCTGACATTAAGTTTTGGTCAAATCAACGTGGTGAAGGAAAGTTGTTCTCCGTCAATTTGATGGACGAAACTGGCGAAATACGCGCCACAGGTTTCAATGAATCAGTTGATGAATTTTATAACATGTTAGAAGAAGGAAAAGTATTCTTCATCACGAAAGCTAGAGTTCAAATCGCGAAGAAGCAATTCAGTAACTTACAAAATGAATATGAAATAGCTTTCGATAAAACTACTCACATTGAACCTTGTTATGACACTTCTGACGTACCTGATGTCAAGTATAGTTTTACAGAATTACAAAACTTGGAGAACCTCGAGCCTAACGCAATTACTGATGTTTTAGGTGTAGTTACTACCGCTGAAGAGCCTTCACAAATTATTTCAAAGTCAACTCAAAAACCATACACAAAGAGGGAATTAAATATCGTTGATAGATCCCAGCAATCTGTTAGACTCACTTTGTGGGGTAAATTAGCTGAAAACTTTGATCAAGTTAATGAACCTGTTATTGCATTCAAGGGTGTTAAAGTAAGCGATTTTGGTGGTAGATCATTATCAATGGTTGGTGCATCAACTTTATTCGTTAACCCAGATATACCAGAAGCACATAGCTTGAGAGGATGGTACGATCAACAAGGTAAGAATGAACAATTCAGTACTTTCAACAATTCAAGCAGCACTGTCAAGCCTGAACCTGGTACAGTTAAACCAAATGAAATTAAAACACTTGAGCAAGTGAAACAATCACAATTGGGACTCAATGATTCTGGTAAACCTGATTACTGGACAGGCAAAGCGACTGTCACATATATCAAAAAGGAAAATATCACTTACCCAAGTTGTCCAAATGATATGAAGAAATTAACTCAGGATATGAATGATAAATGGAGATGCGAAAAGTGTGAATCATCATTTGATGCGCCTGAATACAGATACATTATTACATGTAACGCTACAGATCACACTGGTCAAATCTGGTTGTCTGGTTTCAATGACTTTGGATTAGAGCTTTTCAAAATGCCTGCAAATGACTTACAAGCTATGGTGGTAAGTGACAGACATCCTTTGCATGCTTCAAACCCTCTAACTTTATTAACAGAACAATGGTGATGATGCTTCTTTCGAAGCAGCTGTAAAGAATGCTTTGGGTTCATCATTTAATTTCAACTGCCGTGCAAAGCAAGATACCTTTAATGATAATGTTAGAGTAAGACATCAAATCAACAGAGCTAGTACTGTTAATTACAAGAGTGAAATTAACAGGTTATGTGAAACAATTTCAAAGTTAGAAACCTCATAAAACGATTAAGAGCAAGTTTGAAGTAAATTTATTTTTAAGAACATTCTGAGCAGCATATTTCATAAATCTTTATTTTTGTTACTAATTCAACGGTAATGTCAAGTTTATTCTTATAACTACAATAATTTAGTTATCAATTGCTGGTTTTGGAATTTGTGCGACTGGTTTTGCGTGGGATGATGTCTTGGCTTGTGTTTTGTATGATGGAATATCTTCGTAAATCTTGTTAGATGTTCTGAGTGATTCAACAGAGTTGAATTCTTTGTATTGTTCTGGTATGGATTGAGATACCAAATGAGTTGAAAGTTTACTTCTTTTATCACTTGATTGATGAATGTAAGTGTAAAAGAAATTAAGTATATCCTCTTTTTTAATCTTCTTTATACTTTCGACCTCCTTAAGTCTCCTAGTGAAATCGTAGTATCCTCCACTCAATTCTACCCATAATCTTGATGATTCGTTGTTAAGATTCTTTGGCTTTTCAAGTTTTTCTTCCATTAAACTATTCTTATTTTTTTCAAATGCTTCCTCTGTCATGCTTTCCAATAAATTCTTGACTGTTACATCGTAGAATTCTTCAATACGTTGTTCTAAGAAAGCAGGTGGCCTTTCAGATTGAATTAAGACTCTGAATCCCATAGCACCGATTGATTTGCGCATACCGCTAAATACCATATATCCTAATTGTTCTTTCGTTCTCAATTGATCGAATGCAGGTTCATGAACTATTTGTGCGAATAAAGAGAGCTTCGTACGTAAGTCTAAGTCTACAACATCACCAACTTCATTGTAATATTCAATTGCAGAATTAATTTGAGCTGGGTTTTGTACTTTCTTGACGTATACATGATCACCTGAAGTCTGTTACTGGAAATTACTTCAAATATGCGTAATACTCACCTTGTGGTACTAATGAAGATTGTAATGATTGTCTTTCTTCCTCTGACAAAGAGGCTGGTTGCAATACAGTCTCAATATCTTTACTTATTTGGATAGCTGAATCATCTGTGACATTGCCATGGATAAATAACTCCAAGTATAATCTTTCAAGGAATTCCTTTGCATGATTTTCAACATCCTCCTTAGTGATACTTTTTACGGCTTCGAGACGTTCGTCGAACGTAAAGAAAACCTTCTGTGTAAGTGAATATGTTGCGACGTTTGCGTGCATAAGTGGTGCATCCATAGAAAAATTAGCGTAGACTCTTTCAATACGTTCTTTAATAACGTTAAAGCGATCTTCACTAATATGAAGGTTCTTTAACGTTGAAATGACTTGATGGAGGAGCGTAGTAAGCTTGTCATTATAACCCTTTACGTGGATGAGAACACCATCACCAGTTGATTCAATACTATAAGCGAATCCAGCGCATTCTGCGTCATATGCGTACTCATTCATTTCATCGAGCAATAACTCATTGAAAAGGCGCGTAGTTACACTAGCCTTAGCTGATTTGAGAATTGATGGCGATTTCATTATCATGTAAACATGAGCTTTCGGAACCCACCACTGATCATCTTTCTTATGCCAAAGACGAACGTTCTTAGTATCTCTGAGAAGCGCTGGAGTGATTGATGGTTCTTCAACCTCCTTCTTTTCAACATCGAAGTTCTTTGGAATGAACTGGTTTGGATGAGGAAGATGCATTTCAGATGGACTCGTGGTGTTTCTAATCTATAAGATTGTCAGAAAAGCCCTCCAAATACTTTAAATATGCTTACCTCATTTAACAACTCTTCAGGTAATGGATCGACTCTGTACTTAGTACCGTACCACTTTTCAGTACGATCAAGTTCACCAACACCTTCGATCGGATCTTTGGCTGCTAAAAGAACACGACAGTTGTCCAAGTTGAGCGCATTAAGAGATTCTTTGATACAGTTTGGTTCATATTCTCTAACTAAATGAGAACCTGATAAGATATGCTCTCTTTCGTATGGCTTTTGCATGAGTCTAGCTACACTTGATGTAACTTTCTCAGGTTGACCTTGCTCTTTAAATCTGAAAGCAATTGTAGCCAAATCTTGAGTCTCTCTGAAGAGATATTCAGGAGGATTGTCAGAGAACTTTTTCATCATATCAATGTAGTTGAAAATTAACTTCAAACATTGTTTCCATTCTCCAACACCTCTTGTTGTTAAATCGAGATTAATTTTAAAGAATTCAAACCCAGGTGCACTAAATCCAAAACCAGCAGAAAGTGAGTTGATATGACCAAGTTGTTTGAGATAGGAACACAAACTACCTTTGCCTTCATAACCTAAAATGTGGCTAAGGAAGTTACCCGGTTTGGTGTTATAATGTGCATCCTGTTCAGGAAATTTGAAAGTGATGGTTAATTGTCTAAGATCTTTGATAGTTTCTGCAAATATGATACTCTTGTGAGCATCTTCTGGCCAAACGTTGCTGCTGAATTGTGGTTCTGGAATGTTTCTTTGTGGTATTGCGGAGAAGTTTTCTACTGTGAGTTGCTCAAGTTCATCGAGACTTTCTTTACCGAGAACACACAATTTCATGAGGTGAGAAGAGTAATGTGTTTCGTACCACTTGATAAGCTCTTCCCTTGGATCCATTCCTTTAAGGCTTGGCTCTGAGTAGAGTGTATCCCAATTTCCAGTACCAAAGTTACTCAAAGGAGCGTTAGAGAGTCCTTTTTCAAGCTGGAACAGTCTCCAGAGGTCTGACTGTAAATTCTTTTTGTTCTCGCTGTCTACTGCCTTGACTTCTCTTTGGGTACACGACTGAGTGAATAGTGGCGCGATAAAGAACTGACTGAACCTATCTACTGCGCCTTTTAATGCGTTCGTTGAGCAAGTGAAATAGTAATTTGTGTCTATCATATCTGTATACGCGTTACTGTATCCTGAGTTCTTACTCAAATAATCCTGATAGTCATTTTCAACGGGATACTTGGATGTACCAAGAAATAACATATGCTCGTTGAAGTGTGCTAATCCTTGTAATTCCTTTGGATCTAATAAATGTCCAGCTTTCACGTCAATAGCGACAGATGCTTTGTCTGTTTGATTGTCATTGATAAGTAAGCACTCCAAATTGTTTTCAAGCTTTATGAGTCTGTAGTTACGCTGATCATTATTAGATTTCTCTAGTAACTTGCTAAATTGCTGGTAACTGTTTTTTTGTTTCCAGCTCGTCATGACTGTTCGATATAACCTCATTAGGCTTCAATCCGGTCAAAGTATTTAATGAACGTGAAGAACGGTATGCAGAGACTCTCAAATTTGAATGTTATAGTAGCTGCTACTATAGAAAATGGTATTGGTCTTTCAAACTCTAATAGCATGCCTTGGAGACTCTCAAATGAACTGAAATTCTTTGCGAAAGTTACATCAACCAAATTAGAAACTCAAGAAGATCCTAATGTTGTTATTATGGGAAGAAAAGTATGGGATAGTATTCCTCAGAAGTTTAAACCTCTCAGAAACAGACAAAATGTCATCTTATCGCGGACTAACGATCTGTAAGATCAATTAAAGGCTTTATCTATATTAACAACCGCTAGTCAAATAAACGATAATGTTAAACTTTTACATAACGTGGAATCCGCTATAGCTTATACGAATGAGTCAAAAACACGCGTTTTTTGTATAGGTGGTGCACAAATTTACAATCAAATGATACCATACACATCAAGAGTGTTCATGACACGCGTGAAATCACCTTCGTTTGAGGAGGCTGACGTAAAATTTCCTGAACTCCGCGATAACGAATGGAGGAGATGCACTCATGAGGATTTCGAGAAGTACGTTGGATTTGAAGTACAAGAAGGTGACATTGAAGAAAATGGCGTTATTTATGAATTTCAAATGTATGAAAGAGTATCTCAATAGATGCTATGCACGTGACATGATATGATAGTTTTCATTCTCACCCCCTTCGAACCAGGACGGATCAATCTCATCAAGTTCAAAGTGATTCCTACTGTAGAATTTAACACCCCGTGGGTTGTCTATTCTAAGTCAGATTTATGTCCATGTCCATATGAGGTCGTATACTTTACATTTTGAGACTGTCAACATTGTCTTATCAAGTTTCAATAGTTCCTTTAGAGAGTGCAATGAGTCAAGGCATTTCGCACCAATTTTGCCGTTTTGGTAACTTTGCTGTACCTGCAGTTCGTACCTGTCTGAAGATGAGAAAGCCCCACACTCTTCACAACTCACAAGTAAATGATAGCAAATAAGTTTTCTTCTTCACCTTCCTCTGTGTCAAACCTGAAAGATACGAAAGCGACTAATTCTTCATCTTTGGTTATGGAAACGATGACTGATTCTTCGTTGAAGATCTCTTCGTATTTTTCGTTTCGATCATATTCACCAATACTCTCGAAAACGCTTCTCATATTATTTTCATATAAAGTGAAAATGTTATTCCTTTTACTTTCAGGTATTTTATTACCAATCTGAGTAAGAACCTCGTATTCAAGCCTGGACTGAAAAATTTCATTCACTTGCGTAAGACTAGTCTATCTCAAGAATGAGAGTCAGTTGTAAAGTTAGTCTAACTTACTTTACGTGCATTCTTCGCTCTCAGCTGAGCTGCATTATGCATTGCAACTTTCTGATGATGACAGTCCGCGTTAAAGGAGCAAAATAGCTAGAATTTTTCATGTATTGTACATATTTTACAGGCTATTCAGTGAGCTTATTGAGTTCACTGAGAAGCATCCTTTTACCTTGAGGTTTATCATTGCTCTTGTGTTTCTTCTGAGGTGTGTCTGGAATAATGTCATCTTCCTGAAAGTCTTCATCACTTGCTGCCATTGTTGTTCCAAAGACTGGAGCCTTTACGGGGCTGTCTGCTACTAAAATGGCCTTGCTACTATTGGTCACCTGGATGTGTTTTTCTTTCTTTGCTGGCGTTGCTGCTACTAAGGTCGATTTCTTTTCAATTCTAGTGGTATTTTGGGTTTCTGAAGCAGAAGGTTCACCAGAAAGTGCTTCAAATGCATTTGTTGCGACTAAAATAGATATAAGGTAATGACTTTCACATAAAAAGGCTTACCTTTTGATGACATCTCTTTCTTGTCTTTGACAGCTGTACTCTTGCGACTTACACCTACCACTCTATTTGCGAACATTTTCAGTGACGAAGAAGGTTGACGGGAAAGTGAACGACCCCGCTGCAACGATAACTCTCTGTCAAGAAGTGAGCCTTTCCTTTCAAGATCCACGCTGGCGACGGACGATTCACGTTCCAATTCTTCAACCTGTGGCGTTGTAGATCGCGTCTTTGTTATTGATGCATTGTTGCTAGGCGTAGGAAGAAGTGGCGGTGGAAGATCAACATTATCGTCTCTACTTTCATCAGTAAAGCATTTGCTTCTCATTGCTTTGCACACATTTGGGAGCTTCTTTCTAAACCTATGCATTTTTATTAATGATACTCCTATAAGATCACCATACTCACTTAGAATCTACAGTATGTTTGTAAAACTTCTGTATCTCATCCGCCTTTGGCTTCTTCTCTTGTTTATCTTTGTCTGTTTCTAATAGTGGGGTATTATTGAGTGTCTGCCAAAGTACAAGTCTATCGACAGCGAACTCTAATCTCTCGTGAATGCTATCATAATCATTCGTAAGCTCCTTTGCTTTGCGTTTACGTTTACGTGGTTTGGTATCCTCTGATTGTACAGATGCTTTAGATAGTAAAAACAGTAATATAGACACTTGTAGTAGCTTCTCTGTTAATTCAAGATTTTTGATAAATACACGTTGTTCAACTACGCGTCTGTCGAATGCGGCTTTCAAGATATTAAACTCGAGCCTGTCGCGTATACCTTGAGGTAAGCTAGTGTCGTCGAAACTGTTGTTCAATATGATTGGTGTTAGTGTCAACCTGTACTTTCTCTCAAGATCTAACAAAGGGAGATAGAGGTACTTGAGCTGCTCAAACTCTACATCTCTAGATTCCAGGTAATTTAAGAAATCGAGAGCTGAGGAAATCGTCTTCTATTCTTAGATAACGCGACTAAGTGAGATAAGGGCTTACATTGGGGAGATATAGAGATTGATAATACTCTATATGGAGCTCATTGTCTACATGGCTGTAAATATCCTTATAGCTGCTCTCTGGAGGCCATTGTATAGGACAGTCGAGATAGTTCATTGATTTTGGTGGTTATGATAGAAGATGTATAAATAATGAAATGTCTTATAAACTAAAAAATCATTTAATCTCTTCCACGCTCAAATCGCTCTAGATTGTCTTCCACCACCACCACGGGGTTTAAGCGCAGTCAGGATGTCGGGCGTATCTAAGCAGCAGGTGAATTAAGCTACTATAATTAATATATACCCTAATACGTTTATTACAGGCAGAGCGCAACCATCGGAGACTGCTTGATATAATCAAAGTACCTGGAAATCAGAACTGTGCGGACTGCAAAGCTAGTAGTATGTATATTATCCACTACAATAGCTTACTAACATCATTCTCAGATCCGCGATGGGCAAGTTACTCCCTCGGTATTTTCCTATGCATGCCTTGTGCAAGCGTACATAGGAAGCTCGGTACGCATATCTCTAAAGTGTAGGTAGAGAATATAAATGTATAACAAGCTTCTGATGATATACAGTAAGTCAGTAACTTTAGATAATTGGAATAGAGAGCAGGTAGCCAGCATGGAACATATCGGCAACAGCCGTTCAAACTCTATCTTCAATCCAGACGAGACCAAGAATCCACCGCCAACAAACTCCAGCCAGGTCGAGCGAGACTCAGAATTGGAGATTTACATACGCAAGAAATACATCCACAAAGCATTCATCAGAAAAAGTGCGACGATACCACCACCAAGTAAAGGTATCTTAAAGGCCACAAATACAGGAAGTTCAACCGGAAGTAACGGAAGTGGTAGTTTAGGTGCTGATCTGAATGCCAATACGTCCCTCAACTCGCGGACGTCTATGTCACCGACGGCATTTGATGGACTTTACAAGCAGAGGTCAGCATCCTTACAAGCAAATGGAAACAATGAAGTCAACAATCAACCACTCATTAACCTCGAAGGTTTGAGTACCCCACAAGATCCGTTGCAGTTGGCACCTCAAACAATTTCACCTCAACAGGATACCTCTCGCTCATTCAGTTTACCTGTTTCACTCCAAGCTCAACAGACTGGTCAGTCACAGTCAATCACAGGATCTTTATATGGTTCACCTCAACCGTTCCAGCAATCGACGTCTAGTGGCCAACCAACGCCGTTTTCTCTCAATTCACCATTACAGTCTAATAGTACTTTGCAAGCTATGCCCCAAAGTAATTCACCATACCAAAATACGATGTCTGGGTCCAGCTCCTTGTACTCTCAGTCACCAACGTCAAATCCAATGTTGTCATTATCACAATCACCACCTTCGAATTCACCTTATACTACACCCTTTCAAATGCATCAGCAAAATGGTTCCAGTGGTTTGAATACAATCATGCCTCTTGGCAGCCAGAACACAGGACTTAGCTCAAACGGTTCTATTCATTCATTACATTCACAACCAACTGGATCAAGTGGATTGTTACATCCTCAAACAACTGGATTAAGAAGCCAAAGCAGTATGCAGAATCTGCAGACCCAGAGTACTTTAAGAAATCAGCCAAGCTTGCAATCACTAGGATCACCTGGATTTAATACACAGGCTACTCTACAATCTCAAAACACAGGATTCAATTCACAGAATGCGTTACAAAATCAGAACACAGGACTTCCGAGTCTTCAAGCACAACCAACTGGCAAAAGAGATTGGCCGTCTCCTCCATCATTCCCTCCTATCTCACCTGTTTCATCCAATACGGTGCAACAGCAAAATACGTTGTCTGTATCACCAATGACTTTATCAACGTCACCTGGAATTGCGTCGAATTCACCACTTCAAAGACCAGTAAATAGTGCATTCACAAACTCTCCTTTCCAACAAATTCCACAAAATACTTCGTCAAGTGTGATAAACTCACCCTTTCAACAACAATCACAACAATCAATATCGTCACCGGCTGGTCAAAGTGGATACAATCTAGCATCACAACTTACACCTACCCAAAATACATACACTGCATCGCCCTTCAACCAACCATTTGGTCAACAACAATTTACATCTCCCACACAAAATTCTCCATTTGCAAGCAACAACAGTAGTAGTCCTTTCGGCACACAACAATCCTTTACAAAGGAGGTAACATCGCCGCCATTTTCAACTAATCAATCGTTGAATAACCCAAATCTGCCATTTACAAATACCAATACTAGAACAACTACGACGACTACACTCATTCAGCAGCCAACAAATAGTTATCAACCTACAACAACTATACAGCAACCACAACAACCACAACAACAATTCAATCCAAATCCCTTTCAAAGTATGATGAGACCATCAAATCCAAACCCAAATCCATTTCAATATTCTTTTAATTAAGGTCGTTTAATTTGCAATTCTGTTCCCTTCCTTTTATTTGCATTAACAAATTTGTTTGATTAAAAAAATCGTGTGTGCGCTGATGCTATTATTTTAGATGTCTATGTATTAAAATTTTCTTAAAAGTACAATTTTGATAAATATGCAGAGTTGTGTATAAAAATACTACACAAAATGTTTAAGCTATTGGAAGATCTTTTGTGTTAACTTTCGGTGATTGAGTTGGTGTGTTAAATTCAGCATCATTGATAGCTGATTTTATAACATTATTTTTACCAACTTTTTCACCTAAAACCATTTCAGTAGTTGGATGTGGTGGTTTATAGTCTTTTTGTAAATCCAAATGAGCATCTAATTGACCAGATGCTGCTGCAACTAAACCAACGAATGGTGGTGATGGGTTAAGTGGACGGGTACAAAATTCTGGATGTGCTTGCATACCAATAAAGTATGGGTGATCACGCATTTCCATAACTTGCATTCTTTCACCTGATTCATCTTTACCAACGAATTTAACTTGGTCGGTTGATTCAAGTGAGTCAACAAGTTTTGGATTGATTTCATAACGGTGTCTGTGTCTCTCCCAGATGTTCTTTGAACCACCATAAAGTTTTCTAGCAATTGACCAATTCTCGCTACCTTCTTCGAAAACGGTTGGACGTAAACCTAATCTCATTGTACCACCAAGATGAGTTTTAGAAATTTCAGGCATGAAAACAACAACATCATGTTTAGTGTTTGGATCAAGTTCAGAGCTGTTGGCATCGCTCCAATTGAGAACATGTCTTGCAAATTCAATAGCCGCGACTTGGAAACCAAGGCAAATACCAAGGAAAGGAACCTTCTTTTCTCTTGCCCACTTGGCAGCTAAAATCATACCCTCCGTACCTCTTGATCCGAAACCACCTGGAACGAGTATACCGTTTGATCTACAAAGGGTATGCCAAGCTTCGTGATATTTCGTTGGATCTTTGGTTTCAGTTTCAGGTTCTAAATGACCTGATTCAACCCATTTAATATGGATTTTACGACCACAACGCAAAGAAGCGTGTTCGAGTGCTTTGATAACACTCATATAACTATCTTGAAGAGCAGTGTATTTGCCAACCAAAACGATTTCAACACTTTCGAATAATCTTTCATATCCAACGGTTAAGTTACCCCATTTCTTGTGAATGTCTAAACCTCTGTTGATCATTGCTTGAGATTTTTTAATCTCGCTAAGTCCCAAACGCTTATCAAGGTACTTTCCAAGACCTTGTTCTTCAAGAAGCAATGGGATGTGGTAAAGAGAACTAACGTTGTGGACACCAATAGCTTGCTCAGCTGAAACATGACAGAACATGGAAATTTTGTTGATTGTTTCGGCTTGAAGTTCTTGCTCACAACGGCAAGCGACGAGATCAGGGAGAAGACCCAAACCTCTCAATTCTCTGACAGTAGCTTGAGTTGGCTTTGTTTTTTGTTCACCTGAAATTACTGGTACCAGGGAAACGTGGGTAAGGGCAAAGTTTTCATGGCCGACTCTAAATTGGAATTGACGCATAGCTTCAATGAAAGGTGCTGAAATATGTCAGACAGTATAAATATAGGGACAAAATAACCTACCTGATTCAATATCACCTACTGTACCACCTAATTCAACGATACAGACGTCTGCAACCTCACCAGTCTCATCTGAAGGGGTGTGTGCAACTCTCTCAATCCAATCTTGAATAGCACCAGTAATGTGTGGTACGACTTGAACTGTCTTTCCTAAGTAGTCACCTTTTCTTTCTTTTTCGATAACGTGAGAGTATATTTTACCAGTTGTGAGGTTGTTGTCTCTACCGAGGGTGACATCCAAATAACGCTCGTAGTTACCGAGATCCAAATCTGCCTCACCACCGTCATTAAGAACGTAAACTTCACCATGCTCAGTTGGTGCCATGGTACCGGCGTCGAGGTTCATGTAAGGATCTATTTTAATAGCTGTGACCTTATATCCCATAGTCTTTAAGAGTAGACCAGTGGATGATGCTATATAAGGGATATATTAGAGATATTGGGAGATGCAAGATACTACGGACCAATAACACCCTTTCCGATACCAGAAATAACACCACCGGTTACTTATTCGAGTTAAAATATATATATTTATTTATTTTATACTCACCCAAAATATACTTCATCGTAGTTTTAGAATGAGAAGAAATTTGTGTGAGGAGGGCTTCCTTCTCTCAAGATATCACAATATGGGTGTCAAGGTGAGTACTTCAAATTGAATAGACAAATTTCATTATTCTAATCTTTCCTTAGGGTTTGACCAGCTTTATAAAGACGAACAAGCGCTCACTCGCTAAGGAACTCACATTCTCCGCTAGAAAGGAGGGTGATGACAGCGAGCGTACACCACTCGTAGTAGACGCCTGGGGTATTATCTACCCTCTCTACCGTCAAACTGATGTTTCCTCTACCTTTGGTGGTAGCTTCCTCGACTATAAGAAGAATCTTATACACCTCTTGGAGGCCTGGAGAAGCGTCGGTTTAGAGCCAATCTTTGTTTTCGATGGCTGTCCATCCTCACAAAAGCACAAGACTATGGTTAATCGCTTAGATCAAACGAACAAAAACTTAGAACTCTTCTGGCGTACAAACCCACAATCAAGACAATCAATAGCACTCAACGCTGTACCACCACTCCTTGCAGAACTCACAGTTGATGTTTTAAAGTCAACTAACGTTGAGTACAAAATGGAAGAATCTGAAGCTGATTCCGCCGTCGTACATATTGCAAAGTCAAGAAACGGTCTCTGGGCAGGTGGTGACTCAGATTTACTCATCCACGATGCAGATGCGGAAACTCAAATCGCTGAAAAGGGCGGTTACGCTCCTCTCTTAGAAATGGAATGGGTTGCTGAACGTCCAGAGGAACCTGCAGATGAGGTTCCAGACGAAGAGGATGATGGTTTCGCTACTGTTTCAAAGGCTAAACACCCACGTAACATCCGTAAAAAGGAAAAGTTCGCCGCAAAGGTTCAGACTACGCTCGAGGGTTATGACACAACACAGATTTTCATTAGATCACGTTTGTTTGCTCCACCAACAACTAAGATTGTCGCTCTCAGAATGGCTGTCTACGATCCAAAGACTCTTGCTGAGTTTGTTGGCATTAAGGCACTCCATCTTCCACTTCTTGCTGCTCTTGTTGGTAACGACAGTTCACCACAAATTCAATCACACTACCTCCACCGTGGTACAAGACCTGAAGAGAGAATCACTAGAGTTGCTAACGTCTTAAAGGAATACTCAGGTGAAAATGCACAGCAATCACTCGTTGAATATGCTGTTCAACAACTCGTTGACCCAGAAACCGCTTCAGGTGTACATGAAGAAATCGCTGCTGATGTTATGAAGGCTTCAGCTGATTACATTGGTGTTGAAAATGCAAACGTATTCAGTGAAGATAAATTCGACAAGGAAATCGTCGAAGCATACAAAGCTGCTTACCTCGATGGTAGACTTTCACCAAAAATTTTGGAGATTATGCAAGAGAGAGTTTACTTCTGTCGTTTCATTATGGAATTCATTGATGAACGTTCATCTCACGTTGAAGTTGGTAGACACCTCCGCCAATTCGCATACATGATTACTTTGGCAACCTGTAAAGAAGATCTTAGATTCAAGAAGATTGAAACTGTTGAAACTGTCGAAGAAGTTACTGAAGAAGAAAAGAAGGCAGCCGAGGAAGCCAAGGCCGAAGAACAAGGTGAAGAAGGTGCACAAGGTGCAGCTGCGGAAGTCCCAGAAGGTGAACAAGATGAAAACGCAGAAGGTGAGCAGTTATTTGATTCTTAAAACTTGTTACTTACAACACATAGCACAACCACAAACTAAGATTACTACAAAGACAGTTGAATACGCTTTCAATGCTGTCACTGAGTACACTCGTCATGGTGTAACAACCACACCAGTCCCAGTTGAGATTCCATCAATTGAGGATGTCTTACCAGCTAAGATAGATGAGACCAAGAAGATTAAGGATGTTGCAAACGTACTCCCACCATTCCCAACACCAACAAAAAATTCACTTCAACTCTTACCACTTAGAGAGCGTTTGGCATTATATTTATCAGCACACTCTTCTTCACACCTTTCAGTTCCACTTGCTCAAGTTATCGCATCTGCACCAAACCTTACTCAAGATAGACACGCACTTACAACCTCTGGTAAGATTGTCAAGGGTGTTAATGAAGAAGGTCCAATCGGTGATGCTTGTAAGGCAATTCGTCCATACGTTCCATTCACTGCCGCCATTCGCCATATCATCTTGAGCGTCAGAGACAGCGCAAAAGCATGGAACGAGGGTACACTTGAAGCTGTCATTAACATGGCTATCAAGGTATTCACTACCAAGGATGAAAAGAAGGAAGAAAAGAAGGAAGAAAGTGAGGAAGAAGAACACGAAGAAATTGTTCTCGAATCACCATCAGTTGAAAATGTTCGTGCAGCATCACAAGTATTATGTGCTCTTGAAAACAGTCAGATTGTTGCAGACGCTTTGTTGCTCTCTGGAATTGTCACACCATGTCACACATTCTTTGATGGGCCAACCCTTCACCGTTATTTCGCAGGTGTTGAAGAACCAGTTGACAAAACCCTCACTGCTATCATCAAAGAGTCAATCCTCGATGGTTGCCCAGAGCGTACTGTCACTGTCAAGAAAGTCAAGAAGAACAAGAAGGAAAAGAAGGAGAAATCAGATGATAAAAAGGAGAAGAAGGATAAGAAGCAGCCAGCCTCTAGATACGATATTTTGGCTGCGATGGGCATGGATTAAATTGGGTAAATTTCGTAGATGTATTTGTAATTAAGTGCAAAAAGATGCATAAATTTTTCAAACTTCAAAAATGTTCATGTATTCAAATAAATTAAAGAAATAACGAAAGTTGATTGTCCACACATATGACCAGATGATAAAAGAAACTTGATACGATATAGAAAATAGAAAACAGCGTCGGCACTCTAGTCCAAGAGAGTGGTCTCGACGAGTAAACCAGTAACACGGTACGGATCAATATTTGAAGCTGGACGACGATCCTCAAAGTAGCCATACCCTTGTTCAGCTACGTGACGAGGGATACGGATTGAGCAGCCACGATTAGCGACACCAGATGAGAATTCAGTAATTTTACCAGTCTCATTCTTGCCGGTTAAGCGGAGTTCATTGCCCTCTCCGTATGCAGCGATATGCTCGATGTGCTTGCCTTCAAGCTTCTTGATCATTGTTTCAATAGCTTTCATACCAGTACCTGGCATTCTCGTGGAATTCACTGAGAAGTTTACGTGAGCCCCGCTACCTGCGAGATCCATCTTAGGGAAGAGCTTTGGATGGAAAGTGATCTTGACGTTCCAATCTTCAGACATACGATGTAAGATAAATCTTGCGAGCATGAGCTGGTCTCCCATTTCAATACCAGAACATGGACCAACTTGGAATTCCCATTGTGATGGCATAACTTCAGCATTTATACCAGAAATCTTGATTCCAGCATACAAACAAGCGCGATAGTGTGCTTCGATGAGATCACGGGCAAAGATCTTTCCAGCACCAACACCACAGTAATAAGGTCCTTGTGGGGCAGGGAAACCACCTATAGATTGAATGTTAGTGACGAAAACTTTCAGACGGAGAAACCTACCCTTTGGCCATCCAAGTGGATAATTGTCTGTGTCGAGGATGGTGTATTCTTGCTCAATACCGAACCAAGGTTCTTCGCCCTTGGCGAGGTCCATAGTTTTCTTAGCGTGGTGGCGGTAGTTGGTCTTGTTTGGTGTACCGTCACTGTTGTAGCATTCGGCAATTACCTTATTAGATATGAGTATTTTTATTTAAACACGATGCTGTGCTTACCAGAATGTTGTCACCTCCGCGGAATGGATCTCTGTAGAACGCAGCCGGGCGTAAATAAATATCACTATCGTGTCCTGGTGCTTGGTTTGTCGAACTACCGTCGAAATTCCATTCTTTGAGTTCTTTAATATCGTTGATTTTCTGGTCACAAGTCTGAAAATAACGTCAACTATATAGGATTGGGTCTATAACGAAAAACGCACAGTAGTCTTGCTACGAAATTCACCGTCACCGTCAATCCAGATATCTAGGTTAGGTGAGTATATTTGCTGATAGCGTGATATGCAGGGACTACTAACATTCGGCTTGAATCTTCTTGCCTTGGTCTAGCTTAAGATAATGCTTAAGCAAATCTGGACGTGACTCTATCGACATTTCTTTGAATGATGACCGTTATAAAATAAAATTGTGTGATAAGGCAAGGCCTCGAATGAGTCACACAGATTTCGATCAAATTAGGAAAGTGATAAGGAATAGACTACCCTTTAAAGACATAGTCTTTTTTATGACACTTCTGTAATAATTCTATTTATGCTGCTTTTTTTATTCTTAATATTTATTTTTCGGCATCTTGGGGGAGGCTGTGGCTAATAGGGGGGAGTATGCACATGAATATAAAAAGCGATAAACAAGCAAGTTATATACATGAAAGCGCGTACATGCAATTTTTTGATGCTTACAACCTCACTTATGACGCAAATTCGGACGAAGCCGCTAATCGAGGGGATCACATCGATAATGATGTTTCGTATTAAACTTTGATGTTATCGCGCAGCTGGATAAACTATAAAAAGCTCAAACTTGCTTAATACTTCTTTAACACTTACAACGAACTAGTAAACTATGGTCAGTACCTCTGACTTATAAGAAAATTTTCTTAACACAGAACAGATCGCCCAACTTACTCTCGTCAACGGCCACCAATGCTCATCGTAGGGTCTAAACATTAGCTTTCTTCCTCTTACACTTCTCACAGATGCTCAACTACTAACTGCCAATGCACTGGCTGTTCACACTAAATGGCCTCCTTGGGATAATCATGTAGTGATAGAAATTGGATTTTAAATTTTCTTTTGAAATAACGCGTTCTCTTATTGTGTAACCTTGTCTTTCTTTCGAACTACGATTACCATGAAAGTAAATGAGAGGAAATAGTGAAATGACGTATGAAACCAGTGCTTAGCAATTTAAGGTAGCTTATAAATTTATAGAAATGTCATAATAGGATTTCGGAATCTCACCTGGAAAGATAAGAGACTAATTGGTTACTTCCTAATATAGAAGGTGAACAGAGATTCACACATAATGGTATAAATATGAGCTATATATGGTTATTACTTAAATATAATCTATTCCGAGTAGCAATAGAACGTATTTTATATCCAAACTAGTTTTGTCCATTATCAAAACACCAAAAGTACCGGCCGTTATGGAGTTATGAATATTCATTCATTCATTATCCAATTTCTTATCAGGTTATCAGCTCACCAAAAATTTATAGTCATTCGGGTAATGCGCTTAGTGGATGTCAATTCAACATTCGCTCGGGTAAATCTTCGTCTTCATACCAAATATTGACAATGGCCATATTTGCTATGGGCTCCCTATGAGATAATCAGTGAACATGACAAAAGATTGCTCAAAGTTAGGAGATAACGATAGTAACTTGAATGAAGCTGTCGATAGTAAAACAGCTGAAGCTGAATATGATCGATCAATCTTAGCTGAGGAAAAGAGAGTGCTTAGAAAGATAGACCTGAGAATTCTAAGCTTAACTGCCTTAGCATATCTACTCAATCTTATAGATAGAACCAACTTAGGTGTGTCAATAGTATCAAAGTTCTAATTCTAATTCTAATATGGAACAGCGAATGCTAAAATCATGAATACTGATACTGACTCATCTATGGTCGAGCAACTGGATTTACATGGAAATAGGTATGGAAATGTGATCACCGCATTTTACTGTGCTTTCATCGTGGCGGAAATTCCTAGCAACCTGATTATGAAGAAAATGAGGCCATCTTTACATATCTCTCGCATTGTCGTTGGTTATGGCATAGTTACTTGCTGCTCTGCAGCCGTACAATCGTTCGAAGGTCTTCTTATTAGCCGATTCTTTTTAGGAATTGCTCAGGTAGGTAGGTTCTAATATAGAATACCTACTCATCCAGTATAGGCTGGATTCTATCCAGGTATCTTGTATTACTTTTCTCTGTGGTACAATGACGATGAAAGAGCTTTCAGGTGAGTAGTCTCAAGCCTATCAATCAAATTAATCAATATAGGTTTGCATTTTTCGTCTCTTTCTCAAGTCTTTCGACTGCATTTTCCGGTTTATTAGCAACCGCGTGTTCTTATCTTAATGGTTTAGGACACCCCGCACTTGCTGGGTTTAGATGGCTTTTCATACTTGAGGGTGGGTACATTATACGACAATAAAGCTTACCTGACGTAATGAAAGGTATTCCAACTATTATTTTGGGCGTGTGTATCTTTTTCATGCTGCCTGATTATCCAGAAAGCGCCAAAGTGAGTGTTATTTCATCTTTACAGAACCATTTATTAACAAAATACGCGAGTTCCTTACGCCAGACGAGCGCACGATTGCAACTAAAAGATTAGGTGATTCGGTCGTGAATAACGAGGAAGAATTTAAGATGTCGTCAGTTTGGGGTGTTTTAAAACAATGGGATTTCTGGTTCATTGCAATTATGTGGATGCTATTGGCACATGGGACAGCCGCGTTTTTCTTCTTTGCACCTACTATCATAAATGAGTAGGTATCGATTATTTTCATTAAACCAAATTTAAGACATCATAGTTTGGATGCCAGCTTTCAGGGGGTGAAAGCGCAGCTTCTATCAGTCCCACCGTCAATATTAGCTTGCTTGATGACGATTGCTTGTGGGTTTTTATCGGATAGAGTCAAGAATAGACCACTTTTCATTATAATTGGCGTTGCTTTTGTCACTGTAGGGTATCTTATTCTAGCAGTCGACAAGAATGTATTAGTTGGACGGATGGCTGCGGTATTCTTGATTGCCCTCGCAAATGTAGCTATTATTCCTGTATGTGAATTTTTCCTATATGGGTCCTCTACTAACCGAAACAGGTTGCTGCCTACAGAGTTAGTATACAAAGTATGAGAGGAGCTGATAGTACCGCTATAGGTTTCGCTAGTAGTGCTACCGTCGCCATATCAAACATTTCTGGTATTACAGCACCATTAGTTTTTGACAGTGGCATGAGATTTGATTACATTTGCTATACAATCATGTCTTTTTTTTTGACAGCAGGTATCCAAGCAATGGTCTGCTGGTTCTGGTACGGACCTGGCGTTACTACAGTCAATAAACAACAATCAGATAAAGCTGCTGATAAGGAGGGGAACACTTGCTAGTGTTTTACTTTTTTATTCCACAATTAGGATATTTATACTAGAATTACATCGCACCAAAGTTGCCTCTGCTTAGTTTTGTAATGATTTTCTATTTATTTTAATGAATACATGCGTCTCCGAAACTTCAAGCTATCCAATCGATGGACAAATGTTTGTATTTTACCTCAACTAAAAAGACATACTTTACTAAATGATATGAACTGCTTTGGGCTTATGCTGAAGACATGGATATTATCCCCATACATCCTGAATGTAATGTTTATTAACAGCGATCAAATAGTATAGTAAGAACATCGTATATTTCGTTATTCTCTCTGTATATGGATTTTCTAAACCATAAAGGATGTTATATATATGACCAATAATGCTATCGTTGCGAAGATCTTCCACTGCTCTATGTCAGTATTATTACAAAAGTATTATCTGCGCAACAGCGCTGTGAGCTCGTGCAAATTACTGGTACTCATTTGCTTCCTTTCAGTACTTTTACTTATAGAATCATATGCTTATGATGAAGATATACAAAAGTTTGATTGATTTAATAAACAAACTTTGAGATTTTCCTGCTTTTCCCTATCAAAAATCACTCCACTCATACCACACACATTCATATTACTTGAATGCAAACTTTTGATGGCGGATTAATTGGATTTCACCAGCTTAATTTCTTATCTGCCAGAAGTAAATACAACAACAGCAAAAAAACCTGTAGATGTTTATAACTACAGATAAGATAGAAAGGTAGACCATCTAAAAAGAGATAGCGAAGATTTCTTTTGGAGTCGAAGATATCAAGATAAGCTGGCGTGTTCCGAAATTTATTAATAATCTCCATGAAAATTCCACATTATGTGGTACATTTTCTTCTGATTATTTAAACAAGGTACAGTGTTGAATCATGCTGACAGTGAAACATTTACTTGGCTGGAGTTTATGTGTTATATCGATACTAATCTTATATCCACAACATATAAACTTCCTGATATGTGTAAGTCCCTTTATCAATGTCAAATTATCATACATTCCGCCACGATGAAGTCGATCTGAAGTAATGAGAGCTTATAGGTCTATACCCTGAGTTTTTTGTACCTATTTATCTTACTATAGGAAACTAGAGACTGTATGTTTCTCCTTAATGCTGTCTGAGCTTATTTCATGTATTATTAAATGCTAATGTTCACGAATTTCGTGACTGTTTTGTTGAAAGGCTTGTTGAGAAGCTACAGCACCATGCCAACTTTTGCATGGCGTGAAAAAGCGCATTTTTTAACACATTATATAAATACTTAATCAAAATTAAAGCCTGGTATGCAACAGATTTACCTCTGAAATACATGTTAAATTTTGATTGTGTCAAACGCATAATTTGGTGTGTCATCGAATTTCGAAAGTAAGACAGATCCCCTTAGCGAATAACATGATATGTTGCGTACTGAAGGTTACTGTAACATCTAAGGAGTGTTGTCATCAAGAATATCTTGCCTATAAAATGATAATATAGCGAGTATTTTACATTGAGCCCTTGTGGACGCAATTCTTACATCATCCGATACAGAAAGTATCCTTGCAAGTTTAGATACTAGAATCATAAGAATTGCTATTCCATAATTTGATATTTATTTCACGCTAAATCCACAATCAAGGTTGCTGTTAAGTTTTTGTTTCACTAAGGATTTCTATTCTTTATAATCTTCCCTTAAGAGGCCATAGCTTTACCATAATCTGCATTGCATAAGTTCATAGTTAGTTACTATATTTACCTTTTTTGATTTTGAGCCTTGGTAGTAGTTGTAACATCTAGATGGTTTGATTCTAACCTTAAAGACAGAGTAAGAGTAAATATGCAGACACAACAAATATGTTGAGTAAGTCGAAGCAATAAGCCATATTCTAAGCAAAGGCTATAGTAATGAAACCACAGCAATAAGAAATTCCATCTTTAGCATGGATAATTTCGTGCAGCGTAATCTAAAGTTTGTTGGTTCCTACCCAAATTAATCTAAGTAAGATGTTTTCTCTCTAAAATGTGTTCTTTACGCCTGCGACAGCCTCCCGGCCCGAAAAGAAGGTGGAGGCTTGCAGGTTTGAAAATAAAATAATTGACACGAAAATGTTGCTTGATCGCTTTCCTCTTATAATGCAATCAATTCAAACTTCAAAAATGAGTTCATCAGTTTCTGGCAAGGTCTTCCTTATAACTGGGAGTGCTTCAGGAATTGGACTCGCAACTGCGATCGCTCTGCTCTCCAAAGGAGCCTTTCTAGGTTTGTGTGATACGAATAAGGATGGTTTGACCAGTTTTTTCCGTAATCTCGATGAGGATGAAAGAAGCAGAGTAATCACGCACGTAGTCGATATCTCCAATCGTTCGAACATTGCATCATTTCTCCAGTTGACCAAGGAGAAGTTCGGTAGGGTTGATGGTATTGCTAATGTTGCAGGTACCCCGGGCCATAAGTTAGGACATCAAAAAATCTGGGAGATTGATGATAAGGAGTACAACTTCATTATGGATGTTAATGTTAGAGGTATTTTCAACGTTCTCAGCGAAGGTCTCAAACCTGGATTTTTACAAGAGCCAGGAAGTATCGTACACATAGGAAGTATGTTCTCTGAGCGTGGATTTTCAAAAGGCTCAGTTTTTAGTGCAAGTAAACATGCCGGTGTTGGTATGATTAAAAGCAGTGCAATCGAGGCTGGCAAACGGGGAATCCGAGTCAACATGGTATTGCCGTAAGCTCTCAGTAACTCTATCTTAAACAAGCTAAAGCTTCCATTAGTGGTCCTATCGATACCCCGATGCTTCGAGCAAATGAGGACAGTGGTGCTGAGGGTACTGCTCCAGCTGTACCACTAGAACGACTTGGAGAAGCACAGGAGGTTGCGAATGTAGTTACTTTTCTCCTAGGTGATGAAGCTGGATATGTGACGGGAGCCACTTGGGATGTAGATGGTGGAGCCAATGCATGAAGGTCTTACTTTTAGAATGAATCCTATTCCTATTGTTATTCACTATGTAACTCAGATAAATTAACATCCTTGAGAGCACTGAGATACTCCACAATCTTAAATTATAGCTTAACGGTATTGATAACCTAAATTATAAATGCGTAAGTAGATTCAAAAGAATTATTCTATTATGAAATTTGAAACTCGAATGTTCGAATAAGAGATACGGACCAGAAGCACCTATAGTGTAATTTTCTAAGCTGTTTAGGCAGTGTAATACGTCTTTGCGAAGCTTACGCAATGTCGTGGTTGAGTCTTAACTTTTGAAGTTTTTATGTTGGTGGAATTTCCCTTTCAGAAGTAGTGCAGATGTACCAGAGCTACTTAGATAACCTAGTTCACGTACTTGTATATAGGAAGCCAGTCAGGAGTTCTTGTGTGACGAAAACAATATGTGAGACATCACGTGTTAAAGTTGCCCAGACATTGATACAAATCGTCATCGAGGGTTCCCGCCAACAATATGCTAGTATCGTTCTTGGAGTAGAATTTGGAAGCTTGGCATTTGGGACACCTCCACTCATTTACATCATTCGGGAACCGTAGTGGGCTGCATATTTAAACACAACATAGAAGACTACCAATCATGTAGTTTATTAGTTATGTGGAGAGTTACTAGCGTCTCAGTAGCCTATTTGTATTTAATCGCCATAGTTCAACCAATTCTAGGTGTCGACATTCGCAGTGTCCAATTTTTAAGCAAAGGGATTCCAATTTCTGGAAATCTTTATATTCCTGATAATATTGAAACGGATTCAAGCCTTCCAGGTATTGTTGTTGGTCACCCTTGGGGTGGTGAGTATATATTTATTATAATTTAATAAATTGTAACTCTTTTTAAAGGTGTTAAAGAACAAACGGCTGGCCTCCACGCAAGACAACTAGCCGAACATGGGTTCGTTACTCTCGCGTTTGATGCAGCAACTCAAGGCGAATCAGGCTCAGGTACATTACCAAGGTTAATTGAAGATCCTTATCAAAGGGTTGAAGATATAAAGAACGCAGTTACTTTCCTGTCTGTGCAAGATAGCCTCGTTGATAGTGAACGAATCGGTGCATTAGGAATTTGTGCTTCTGGGGGTTATGTTTCATTTGCTGCTCAAACAGACAAGCGTATAAAGGCTATCGCTACTGTTAGTGCTTTTGATGTCGGCCGAATTACACGTGAACCTTTTGGTGGTGGCGAAATTCAATACGATACACTCAACGACAGCCTTAAAAGTGCTAGCAACAATAGAACTGGTATCGAAAAGGGTGCTCCTCCAACAATAGCATGGAACACACCTAATTCTACAGTCACTTTCACGCCAGAGACACCAACATTATATCAGGAAGGTTATGAGTACTATCACACACCACGCGGCCAACATAAAAATGCTCCTATGCTTTATGTTCCAGAGAGCGTCGATTTGATGGCAACGTATAGCTCTTTCGCTTTCGTAGATCTAATCGCACCAAGGCCATATTTGATGATAGCAGGCTCGATCGCTGATACATTATATTTTAGTAGAGATGCAATCGAAAGAGCTTTGGAGCCAAAAGAACTGTTTTTGGTTGAAAACGCTACTCACATTGATTTATATGACCATTTGGATGTAACGTTACCAAAGTTAGTTGATTTCATGAGCCAAAATCTTTAAAATTGCTATGAGCTGGTTGTATTTGCAATGAAGTAATTATCTTTTTTTTTTTTTTTTTTGACATAATATATTGTTGAAAAATTTGTGTACAACACCTTCTCTACATAGATCCTTATTTTGACAATTAAGGTCAATAGAATAAATGTTAGCATATGGGTAGTAGTAAGCCCTTTACCACACCTTTTTAGATAGTTACTGAGCCGTCAGTATTTCCGCATATGATGTGAGACAGAAAACCGAAACATTTTGCGTATAATGGTTGCTTCAATTGCTAATGATCTAAGCCGACTCTTATAGTTCATGTAGGCAATCTAACAAGGTTGAATACACATAATATAAGCATGGATGTCACGTTCGTTGACAATGCTGGCAGCAATATACTTTCAAAACATGATAAATCTAGTTTCAGGGATGTGTTTGATGATTAAATCCTGCAAATTCACGCTAAAGTCAATTTGCACAAGGATTCCAATGTTTTGTCACGACTGAAAATTATGAAATCTTAACGTCCAAGCTATAACCAAATATGATGTACTAGTGACTCTAGCAATGTTACTGAAATTGCTGTTACTAGTCTCAAAGCGTATGTTATCTTTTGACACAGAATAATTAAAGATATTCAGCGTGTTTTTTGAAATTCTACAGAATATTCCTGGTTCTCCGGTCGTACTTCATGTTGAGCAGAACTATAGAAAATATCGTATTAGTTACTTCTGCCTGTTATCACGTTCAAGAGTACGCGTCGGAAGCTGGCAAACTTTAGTCGTCCATTTTTTACGCGATAGAAAAATGGCATATCATAATTACAATCTGTTGTTACATCTCTTTCTTTACGTCATTTAGCTAGTTCCAAGAGATGTTCAATGGAGCGTTTAGTGATTGTTTGAGGCCACTGATGGTGAGGACTTGCGTATCAGCATCGTGTTCGAACTCGACATCCATATCGTTATTCTTGACTTGTTTTGGGGCCATCTCACAGCCCGCAACGGTAACTTTATCAAGGTTCTGAGCAAGTTGGTAGTCGTTCCGGCCAAAGTCACTAGTAATACCGTTAGCGTTAACCTGGATATTGAGCTGTGTGACTGAGGTGTTGCCGAACTCAGACGAACCATCGTCAAACCAGTATGAACCCTTAGCAGACTTTTCTCTGTTGAGTGCGACCATGATGTTAAATGGTGACGCAGTCGTCTGTGTGACTGTCAAATCAGCCTTTGAGTGTTTGACGAGTACGGAACCACCGCGGACATGAACATTGATATGAGTGAGTGGTGCATCGAGGATGACCTTGTCAGCGCTTGGAGCGAGCTTCTCACCAGTGTAAATATCGTAATATGGCTCATCACCTGGGAAGTATCCCTCAACGGTCGTCGTGTTCGGCCTCAGGACCGGTGTGATAAGTAATTCATCACCGAGGAAATATTGCTCATCCCAGGCAAATAGCTCTTGCATTTCTGGCCATTCGTACCACAATGGCTTCACAACTGCAGATCCATCAATACTTGCTTGGTAGAGTTTCGTATAGAAAAATGGCAAGAGTTCGTAACGAGATTTCAGAGCCTTTCTTGATGCGTCTGCGGTTGAGTCCCAAGTGTACGGGAATTGATCAATTGCATTGTAGGTGTTGTGCGATCTCATGAATGGACTAAAAGCAGCGAGCTCCATCCATCTGGTACATAGCTCTTCGACGGTATTACCTATTACAGTTAGCGAACTATCAAATTGTCAAATGTCAAGACAACACCCACCACCAAAGCCACATGCGTCGGCGCCAGTGAAAGGCATTTGGAAAGCACTAAATTGGAACAGGCCCTTTATAGAGTCTCTCATACTTTGCCAGGTCGAATAATTGTCACCGAGCCACAGTTGTGTATACTTTCCGCTTCCAGCGAAGGTTGATCTTGTAATGATGAAAGAGCGCTGCTTGTTGTAGATTCTTTCTAATGCCTCACGAGTGAACCTAGCCAACATGTGTCCATTAGCGTTATGGACATCATACTCAGCAACTCCATTTGCGTGTGTGGCGTTTCCACTAATAGTGGTTAAATCGAGTTGGTTAAACTTGTTTGGTGGGCCATTGTGTAATTGATATGGTGGACGAGCGAGCAAGTCTTCAGCTTTATCTTTATCGATAGTGTCAACAGTACCCATTCGGCGCCCGAGCTGTTCACGGCGAGTGGGCATTGGAGATTGCATGTAAGTGAGTTGGCCGTCTACCGTGATATTACCGCTATTGCCGCTGACTTCTGGATTGTAGCCTTCTGCCCAGTAGGTCACGTCCTCAGCCTCATATTGTTCAAGCTCTGTGCTTCCAGTACCGCATGATCCAGAACAGAACGATGATGCTTCATTCATGTCCAACCAGACGGAATCAAAAGGTACCTCCTTGTGCCATTTTGCAAGACTTTCATACCACCATTCCTTGGTATTAGCAGCGTAAGGATCGGGAAAGACTGTCCATCCAGGCCATACCTCACCTTCATATTCTGTGCCATTGAAATTTTTCATGAAGACATCTTTTTCATGTCCACTGTCGTAATAAGGATATTTATCTGAGCTATTCCTTGGCACTGGAATACCGTTATCAATCATTGGTATAAACTTCTGACCATGTTCGTGCAAATCTGCGACAATGTTGGTGAGGTTGCTGAATGAGTCTGGGTCAACAGTAAAGTCTCTCATCTTTACCATGTATTCGATATCCATCCATTGCGACTCTTGTGGTATTCTTTCTTCACGCATCCTGTAGATTGATGCCTTCAAAGCAGTGTCATTGTAGTACCCCCATCTGAGAAGATGGAAACCAAGGCTCCAGTAAGGAATTAAGTATGGCTTGCCGACGAGGTCAGAGTACTGTTGAATGACATCATTGGGCTTGTTCTGACCTTCACCACCTGAGATAACGTAGAAGTCAACAATACCTGACATTGCTCTGAACTGGATAAGACCGTCTCTTAGCCAAGTTTCGAGACCACCAGTATGTAAGAAGAAGAGACCGTGATTGTAAGAAGCACCACCCCTGACCCTATTCTCAAGATAGAATGGATGTGTCCCGTAGAGGTTGGTGTCGGTTGGTGTGCCTGCAGACTGAGGTTAGCGACGGACATTTTCTCCAAAAGCAAAGCCACCTTGGTCTGCATTCCAGAATGATTGACGGGTGTATGAGCTGTTGCGGCGGTAGCTCGGTGAGGTTACTTGACCAAGACCATAGATGTTGGCGTTTTGAGTGAGAGCTGAGGAGAGTTGGATGTATTGTGGCTCAAAGATTATGTTGTGGTTTGGCATGACTGATATGCTTGCTGAAGTGTCATTCGCATTATATGGTTCGTCATACGATGGGATCTCTGAAAGGCGAGTATCGAACAATATATCACCATCTGATCTTCTCGAGATCCAGAATGCGAACGGTGCCTCGGAATACTCGAACTGTAAGTCACTGTTGTCTTTGAGTGACTCGTCAGCTGTAAATTGAGGGCGCTCGAAGATTTCCTCTGGGACTTGAAAGTGCTTTTTTTTCTTTTTTGAGTTTTTTTTTTTTTGAGTTTCATGTTCTCGTCATCATAAAACACTCACTTCATCGTAGATTTGAATGTGGAGACGCTCCTTAGTCTCGTAAGTAGCCTCCAATACAAGATTCTGAACGTCGTCTCCAAAAGCATCGCAAGCATCGCCCGCTAGTTGAAGATGTGCTTTGAGTCCGTTCACTGTCTGCTCAGTTTTAGCACCGTTAACAGCATAACCAGGACAATTTCTGATCCTATTCCCGTAGTCCTCTGAAGACAGCGGAGTGAGTGCGAATGCTGAAGACAGTAGCGAGGCAGTAACTACTGGGAGATATTTCATGATAGTTGATGGTAGTTCAATAAATTGAGCATTTCATTCAATAACAATTATAGCCTGGGATCATATGAGAAAGTAAAGATCTAGGAACAGGAAGTGCTCATCACGGGGGACGCTCCGCGCTGGAGCTAATATGATCGACTTCAGGGACAGTTTAGATACTCAACAGTAAATTTAAATATATTCCTCACATTCTCTAGATCTTGTGTTTGCGTTCAAAAGCTGCCCTGTCATAAGCTCTACGGTGAAGATGCTTCTTCCTCGGTGCAAAGATCATAAACATAACTGTTGAATGGAACGGTCGGCTCGCGAGAAGGAATTTAAAAGATCAAAACTTTATTTATATATATTTCATTCATTTCACGTGTGGTATATGCATTTCCTAAAACACATCATATTTCAGGTTAATTAATAGAAAACTAAAGATGCTATAGATGATATGATATGGATGTACATAACTCCTGATTACGTCTGACTAACTGGATTCCTAATAAATTATGTACTTCCATCTATGATCACTTTATATCAGCTGGAAGAAGGATTTGTAAATCAAATTACCGATTTTACATAGACGGACCGATGTACTTGCGTCATTTAATGGAAAAGTTGAATTTACTCGATAATATACAAATATGCGCAAAAAATTGTCATCAATAGATATAATGGTGTTTTAGTTCTATTAAAAGGACTATGATGTCTTAAAATCTCTTGGCTTCGTTCCTTAAGAATGGTGAGCGGTCCGACTGTTTAGTATAATACACGGGAAAACTCTTCCTGATTTACCCAATAGACGAAAGATGAAGTTACCTTAATCGACACTCACATCCGCTTCACTATTAGCCAGTAGAGCAAATGGACGAGATAACAATCAATGTTTTGGAAGTTCGACAGGAAAGCCATTATCTGAGGACACCTACGATGAGACCCTTAGACCACAACTACACCACACTCGTTAGTGCTTATCTGTCTACAATTTATAATCTGACACTATTACAGCTTCTGAGAATTTCATGAATGATCCCAATGGTTTGGTCTACGCCAACGACGTCTATCATCTGTACCATCAATGGAATGATAAAGATAATATACCAGGATATCAAAATTGGGGGCATGCTACGAGCGAAGACCTCGTACATTGGCAATTGCATCCTCCTGCTATCACACCAGACAGTGATGATGGACCTTTCATCATATCAGGAAGTGCAGTCGTTGATGAACATAATACGTCTGACCTATTCAACGAATCGACGACACCTTCAAACAGGTTGGTAGCCATTTACACGAGCTAGGACTAAGAGGCGTCGTTACAGACACAAAGCATTGCTCACTCAACAGATGGAGGGTATACATACACGAAGAGACCGTAGCCCGTGCTAAACACCAACAACTCGCAGTTTAGAGGTTAGTATGCTGTATGAATTTATTTTTAAGCTCACTGGCTATAGATCCAAAGGCATTCTGGTATGAACAAGACTCTAAGTGGGTAATGCTAGTTGCTTTGGCTTCTCAACACCAGATGATTATTTACGAATCGAGAAACCTGATAGACTGGTTTGAGACATCTAGGTTCGGAAACGCCGGTCAACCAGGTTATGAATACGAGTGTCCAGACCTTTTCCCACTCGAGGTAGAAGATACCGATGAGGTCAGATGGGTTTTAATAACATATGTAAACCCAGGTGCTATTCGCGGTGGTGGATCAGGTACTAGCTACTTTATTGGCGATTTCGACGGCAAAACATTTACACCGATCGATACATCAATCAGAGAAATGGACTTCGGCTATGACGATTATGCAGGTGTTACTTTCAATAATGTACCAGATGGTCGTAGACTATGGATTGGATGGGCTAGCAATTGGCTCTACACTGGTGTCGTTCCAACAGAGCCGTGGAGATCATCTCTGACACTCGTTCATGAATTGTCACTCACGCGAGCCAATATAACTGACCAGCATCAGTCTTTAACACTCAGGCATAAACCAGTTGATCTTTCAAGTCTCATCTCCGATACTGTCAAAGAAACAAATTCCCCAATGAAACCTGACTCGATTGATTTTCCAACAGATGGTGCAGTCGACATGTCGATCGATGTTGCATTTTCATCGGATACAGAGTCATCAGAATTGTCAAAGTCAGCATCGCGTATCACGATCGAAAGTGAGGATGGTGTAAACTCCATTGAGTTTGGTGTTCAATTTGCCGATCATATCGTTTACATTAACAGAGCTAACTCTGGTTGGTCTTCGCCAACATTTGGTTCTCTCGGTGCAACTTCTAGTAATATCCCAAATAACAACAAAGTTAAACTAAGAGCAGTAATTGATCGCTCCCAAATTGAATTATTCGTCCAGGACCGTATACACTTCGCTTCAATGGTCTTTTTTTTCCAAGAAGGTCGTGTACCTGCACGCCTACGCTACGAGAATGATGAAGGAGTCATGATCGATCATCTCAAGTTAGATGCTTTGAAGAGTATTTGGGAATGTTGAAATATCAACCCATAATAAATATCTGATTTAGATACTCCAAAAACACCTTCTTAAATGGAAGATTGTAATATCGCGAATAAACTGTAAGGTAGTCGTCCTCCTCAGAACGAGTGCAGGTTATTTTTGTGAGGGGAGGTGCTAGATAGTCCTTTTATTGACGTATATGCGCTCTGTCTTAACCTAAAATCCACATCTTTCGACGTTGCTTAGATTCGATTTGACTGCCAATGACGACACCAGACGATGTGTGTGCCTGAAATCGCCCAATATAGGCCCAATTAACTACTGACCAGTACCACTGGATGGTTTACGCGTAGTGTACTGTTATGTGTCTTTGTACGCTGGACTTCGTTCTAGTATGTGAGAGCATACTCAGCAATGCGACACAAAATACGAGAACGCTATGTAGCGCCAAACCTCCAGAAAATAGAGGGCTCAAATCCTTTAGTAATCAAGTCTAACCTTTCAAAAGCGTCGGTAAAGTTGCAACGTAAATATCAAACACGCTTTATCATTGGTTGAGGAGTATGAATACGTTATATTATGATAATGAAAGATCATGTTTGTATAAAAGATGAGTCTTCTTGTACATTTTTCAGTGTCCGCATGTTCACATTTGACCTCTTAACGATTCCACACCTTGGCACTTTCCTGCTACTAAGTCATACCACTACATTTTAAAAACCAGTGCTTTAATTGGAATGCAGGTTATTAGACACAGATGGCCCTATATTACACCTAGTTCTGTTTGCAGAAGCACTCTATAAGCCTTCTAAACCACACTCCTATGCGGAAGCACGAATTACAATGGCTCCGTGTAACTATCAGGGATATAAAGTGTTTAGAACGATGGAAAACATCCATGCAATTGGAGAAAATAAAAATAAGAAATAACTCGACTTGTTAACCTGGAGAGCATTCAGTGCTGACCGAAGGTTGGTAGTTTCTGACTAGAGTACACACTATTACCTACTTAGAATCTAGCTAGAGTAGTGAATTCATCAACAAAGCTCCTTAAGGTCATAGCTATCGTAACAGAAAAGTTAAGGTGGTAGATGAAAATTTAGATCACGGGTTTTGTTCCACAATTCAAGCAAGCAACAAGCAACGAGAGGTGTGGTTTCAGGGATATATCCCTTATTATTTACAAATCATATCGGTTCCCCCGAACCTTCTATTTCTGACTCAGAATTGGTTATCAATGTCAAATAAAGTAATGAATCCATGGTGCTCATATAGGACATCCTTCTACAACGAAAGTGAATAAGCTATACGGAATGCTCACAATAAAGTGGTTTGTTCAGTACATACTTAAAGGACTCACAACTTCATGACAACACACGGTTTAACAATGATTGCATCCGACAAAGTGTCAAATTAAAGTTATAGAAATAACACACTATAGACATGTCACGATCCTGAGAGCGTAATATACTCAATATGCTAGTGCCTTTTATAATCAGTGGTTTGGAACAATAGTTGAAGGGTTAATTAGTTACGGGCAATCAAGTATAATAAATTACAAACTGGCAGGTAAGTTTGATAGAAAATTTATTAACAATCAATGCAAAGAACTATACAATGGGGCGCGATTGAAAAAAGCGAAGTAACTCACACGGATACATTTATCATCTAAAATTTCACTAAAATTCTTTAGAATAAAAGTCAATATCAATGCATCACTATAATTGTGGTATTCACGTTTTAGGCTCCTCGGCTTGCCATTTTGCAATCATAATCGAGAACAGCTTGAAGCAAGACTTGAGCACCAGTAGCACAATCATCTGAAGAAGTATATTCTCTAGGATTATGAGTAATTCCATCCCTGCTGGGACAAAATATCATAGCTGCAGGAATACCAGTACTGCTGACAGCACAGCAATCATGACCTGCCCACGTACGCATAGGTATATGTTTATCATCCCCTACTGTATCAGTAGCGGCTTTAGTTATAGATCTAACTACCTCACTATCGAATTGGCGCACATCGCTACGAATACTCTTCTCCCATTCCAGCTCGCACTTCATTTGCTTCGCTATGTCAACTGATGTTTTAATTACTTCACTTTCCAACACATCTAATATCTCATTGGACCTAAATTTGGTTAGTTAGAATTCATTGGCCTATGATGTATAATCAATCCTTACTCATGGCGTAAGTCCACACTCATTTCCACATAACTGGCGGTTGTATTCACACTCCCAGGCTTTGCTTCAAAGATCCCCGTGCTGAATAGACCCTCTAAACGCTTGGCAATCTCTGTGCTCGTTAATATGATCTGTGCACCTGTCAAAACCGAATCTGAACGTCGGTCAAACGGGGTAGCACCAGTGTGTGATCTGATTATGCCATTATTAAAATTTGCACTTAACCAGGAATAGGAGCACTCACTCTCTTCCCTTAATTCTCAAAGTAAACCACCGATAACATGTAGCTTGATGTACCACACCGATTTTCATTTGGTTTTCTGATTCATCGAGAATATGACCTTGCTCGATGTGATATTCAAAATATGCCTTGAGAGGGTTTGCTTTGTAGTTACATTCATGAATACCATGGTAATTAATGCGCTTGAGTTCGTCGAGTGTTGAAACACCTTCTCCTATAACTGCTTTGAGTGAATGAGCTTGTTCTAGTGGAAGTATACCCGCGTATACACTTGATCCGTGTAGTGAATTTGGGAATCTGGAGGGATTACACGTTAATATGAAAGTGAAAGTTGTTTAACTCTGGAACACACCTGGCACCTTCCTCGTTAGTCCAATTGATAAGGCAAATAGGATGAAATGTTTCGTATTTAGTTTCGTTTAGCGTTCGTAGTATTTCAAGAGCAGATTGTACACCTAGTATACCATCATAACGACCACCCATCGGTTGAGTGTCAAGGTGACTTCCAATCCCTATTGGCGAGGAGTTTAGTCTACCTGGACGAATGCAAAACATATTTCCCATCTTATCTATTCTGACTTCACAGCCTAGCTTAGTTACTTCGTTTACTAACCAATCGCGAATACCTTTATCAGCATCTGTCAATGCTAACCTACACATACCAGTTTCTTCCCGTCTATCACCATATCTGTGGTCCGTACCATATTCATCGCAGGTCTCCTGCAACGTTGCGTTTAACCTTGGGCCATTTATCTTCAGCGTTTCATATTGCATTTTTAGTTGTTTAATCTGGCGATACAAATAACTTCAGTATAAAGATTTTGATTAAGAGCTTCTTTATTTGATTTTCCTGGAAGGTTATATACTTAAGCGATGGAAAAGATAGCTGTAAGTTCATTGCGCTGATGATGTCATCGATAAGCCTAAGCCAATGAATAATCTATAATTTGAAATTTGTTACGATATTCAGTGGACTAGAAAATTCAATTTTCATTAAAGTGATACAATATTTGTCCTAATTTTGCCGAACGGTTTAAGCTTGTACCGAATAGTACCTGAACTCATTGATAAGCTTTATCTAAAATTTAGTATAAATCAATGCGTTCTTATATCAAATGCTTTAGCAACCTTAATGGATTTACTTAAGAATATGTCTCTAGAGCGCAGGCTTCTGTGTAAAGTCGGTGCATGCTACGGTCATCATCAGAACTAACAAAAAGTCACAGATAGATTTCACAATATTGAGCTTCTTATTCTGCTTTTACTATGTTTCGTATATAGACAAGGCCAATATCTCAAATGCTTTTATATCTGGCATGAAAGAAGATCTGGGTATGGCTCAGGGAGACTTATCTAATATAGTTAGCACTTACACAGCAGGTTACTGCCTTGCACAAATTCCAAGTACCTTGATGTTACTTGTAATTAGGCCCTCGTACTGGTTTCCACTAAATGGCGTAGGATGGGCAATATTAACATGTTGCTGCGCAGTAGCCAAAAATAGTAATACGATATATGCTATTAGATTTCTTCAGGGCATGTTTGAAAGTGTAGCATTTTCTGGTGCAATGTTTGTACTCGGTAGTTGGTATAAGCCGGAAGAGCTCACAAAACGTACTGCTTTATTCTGTATAAGTGGTCATTTAGGTAGTGTCTCAGCAAGTCTCATCCAGTCAGCAATACATAGTAACTTGAATGGAGTAACGAGTCTTGCAACGTGGCAGTTAATGTTCGTTATAGACGGCGTTATTGTTTTCCCAGTGGTCGTATATGGTTTCCTTTGTTTCCCAGATTTACCTAACTCAACAAAAGCATGGTATCTCACACAAGAAGAACGTGAATTAGCTGTTAACAGACTTCCACCATCATTCGATGTAAGCTTCACGCCTGAAGCTTCCAAAGAAACTTTCAAACGTACGGTTGGAAATTGGCATATTTATGTGCTTACATTGCTATTTGCTGTCGGTAATTTACCTGAGGGATATGGCATGAATAATGCGATGTCATTGTGGTTGAAAGGATTGGATTATAGTGTAACTGATGCCAACAACTATGGTACAGGCGTTTATGGCGTTGCTGCCTTCACAACGTTACTAGCCAGCTACATCGCTGATAAATGGTCATGTCACTGGGTTCTTGTTTGTTTCATGGGTGTTTTAGATCTGGTGAGCGTCGTCTCTAGGTACTTAACAACAATCTGCTAATTCAAGGATTTACAGGTAACTTCTATCATTATAGTCATATATCCTCGCAATATGGGCGTACTTTACTTTGCATTCTACTTGTCTGGTACAGCATATCTGGGTCAATCAGTTATATTCAGCTGGGCTAATATAATATGTAAACGTGATCCAGTCGAGCGGTTGATAGTCCTAACCAGTATGAATTTGCTATCATTTATATTCAATATCTGGTGGAATGTAACTGCATTCTCCAGCCAATACGCTATAGAAGAAGAATACACACCGTACAATCCCGCTGCTATTGGTTGTATTGCAAGCGTTGGTATTTACATCCCAATGACATTCTTGACTTTGTATTTACACCGTAAGCAAAACCGCACTGACGAAGTTGCTGAGATTATAGACAAAGTTAAGAGTGTTACTAGTTATAGTATTGATAAAGACGACCTTGAGAAGAGTACAATGTAGTTATTCGTGTATTTATTTTTATTTCATATGTTGGTTAATTATGACATACTAGGTTTTTAAGAGATTGTACGAGAATTCAGGCAGGTATGAATACATCTGTTTGTGCATAAATATCATTCTTTCGTATGCAAAGTCAATAAAAATAATATGTCGAAAACATATTTGCACAATCCAGTCTCGAGTTCAATTAACCAAAAACAATTGAACGATTTTAACGCTGTAATAGTGGATTCAAGCACATTTACATTATCTGAAATGTTGATTTTAGGAAAAAAAATCTGTATTTCGGAAGTGTACGATATCACCATTTCAATAAGCAGTAAACAGGCATCAATTACTAACCACCTACAATGAGGTTCTCACAGTGGATAATTTAGATATTAAATTTTACCTCGCTTACGCTAAGGTTTAATTCTAACTTCACGCTGTAGGTTTACACCGACACCAATTACGTATTTAAGATAAAGGCTGTACCTCAACATGTCGACTTTCATGAACATGTCAAAAGAAGAGTTACCGCAAAACAAAAAAAGAGAGCAAATAGTCGAGCATGTGTTGCTGATAGGCACAGGAGCTATAGGTATATTGCACGGCTACCTACTAGAGAAATCAGGGAAGATAAAAGTGACGGCTATATGTCGATCAAATTACGATACAATGAAAGACAGTGGGATTACTATTAAATCGAGTAGTTTTGGAAGCTGTATTTGGAGACCACACAGAGTGATGCGTAGCATCGAGGAAGCTTCCGATCGCGAATACAATTACGCCGTATGTGCATTCAAGTGTCTACCTGATGTAATACCCACTGAAAGAGTTCTGGGTGAGGTGCTTACTCGCGTCAAGTGTGTAGTATTGCTGCAAAATGGTGTAGGTATCGAACGGTCTTTACAGATGGCTCGGCCTGATATTCCTATTATCTCGGGCATAGTTTGGGTCGGTGTTAATATACGTGACAATATACTTGTACACGAGGATTTCGTGAGTTTGGATGTGTCAGTTTTGGGCACTACTGACATGCTCAATAGGAGAAGCTGTACATAGGAATATATAAGAATGTACATGGTCGTAATAATGCTGAGTTGGTGAATCACTTTGCTGAGTTAATGGGTAGGGAGCAGGAGTACGTAATTGTGAAAGAACATATCCAACAGTCGAGATGGCACAAATTACTATGGAACGCGACATTCAATACCCTTGCTACTCTAAGCGGTTTGCCAATGAGAAGACTGATGCGTGGGGTTGGCGTATTGCCAATAGCTAAATCCATTATGGATGAGATCGCAGCAACTGCTGCTGCTATAGGTATTGGTAGGTTTTACATTAGGTCCAAGGTCCACTTTTAGGGGATGGGGTCATGCTGACAACGCTCATCAGATCTTCCAGAAGAGACGATTTCAGACAGTTTGGACATGACGATGAAGTATTATGGAGATATTGGTGATGATAAGTCAGAAGAAGACTTTAAACCATCTATGCTTATTGACTATGAAATGAACAGACCAATGGAGATTGAGTGTATTCTGGGTGAAGTTGTTAGGATGGCTGGCATGTATCGTGTACCTGTACCGCACATAGAGCTGGCTTACTTTATTCTTAAGATAAAGCAGGTTAGCCTAGTTGGTGCAGTTTAATATTATCCGACAGTGCTGTGGATTTGAGAAGTTGATTTGAAAAGTAATCAAGACTAGTAGGAAAATTCAAAAAGTAAAGCCAAAATAAATTTATGTTTCGCTACTGGTAAATACTATTATTGTTTATGTTCGCCTTTGCAACGCACTTCTGTACTTCTGAACTAGTTTGTCATATTTAGCCAGAATCACGTTTATAGAGGAGAAAACATACGAGAGTGTTTCCATCAAGCCAACCCACGCTCTCATTTCCAGTTTGGTCGAATGTGAATTGAGCAGCTTCCTGTGAGATGATTTTGGGAGATGCGTTACCTTTGGAAGCAGCATCGACAAGTAGCTGTACCTGACATTGTTTCTCCATACCTAGAAGTATGAGAGTGGCTGTACTTGAGATATATATTTACACTTACTATAGAACCAGAATGTCGCACTTTCAATTGTTGTCCCTACTGTCAGAACACCATGGTTAGCCATTAAAAGGGCTTTATTCTGACCGAGAGCCCTAACTATGGCCTTTGATTCTTCACCTTTAAGTACAACACCGCCTGATAGAGAACGTTAAATTGTTGCTTGCCAGCATATAAAGAAAACACGCGCACCGAAAGTTTCGTAAACAGCATGGTCATTATAAAATAGGCAAGCATCCTGACTAACCATTGAAAGTGGCTTAGAAAATGCACAGAATGCTTTACTGTATGGCGAGTGTCTGTTGTGACATTAGAAAGGCGGATATGCAGGAGCAAACGCACGAGTGACAAACAGCATTGGCATCAGGTCGTGCTGAGTGAACAGCGGCATGTATGACATATGCCGCCTCGTTGTAAAACATCTGATCGGATCTGCCACCCTCTATTATAGCGCCAGTATGGTCGATTCGTAGGAGATCAGTCACCGTCATTGTATCAAATGGCACTCCAAAGGGATTCACCCAGAAGGTTGACCCATCTAAGCTATCCCTCACGGTTAGATGACCTGCCGCTCCCTCGTCCAGACCGTTCTGGGCCATCACTCTAAACGCTAATGCTAACCTTTCCTTTATGTACTCTCGTTTAACATGCTTATCTGTTATCTGTGGATGTTCAATACAGATTCTGGTGCTCAGTCTGACCATACCTTCTCGTATGGTGTGGGTGGAATGTGAAACCCCTTGAAATCTTCATTGGCTGATGTTTGCAAAGGAGATCTAGTTGAATTTTGCATCGTTGAGCTGTAATTTGTCGAGTGTGGTAATTTGCAAGTTTTATATTGTCGGCGTTTCGCTTATCTCTCCATACGGTGTAAGCTTCTACCGAGGATATAATAGTAGTTTCTGCGCACGTTGACATCTGATTTTGTTGCAGATATTTGCAAATGTTACTAGTTCTAGTAGACGAGTTATCCGCATTTTCGACATTACTTGAAAATAAAGATGTGCGATCAGTTCCGAGCTAGACCTTATAAGGTATTTCAGGAATGGCATGAAGTTATTTTTTTATTGAATTTTGTGTAGTATTTTTAATTCCATGTAGATAAACCTACTCAACCTTCTTATCTCTCGCTACGTTGATAAGGAATAATATGCCAAAAATAGCGAAAACAGGAGCAGCAACGACACCTGTCAGCTGTGTAGGCTGTCGTAAACGCAAGATAAAGTGTAGCTACGGAACACCATGTCAGCAGTGTATGACGAAAGGCATAGATTGTGCTTACAGAGACAGGCTTAAATCGGGATTTCGTAAGGGACAATTCAAAGATATGACAATGCGACTGGAAGTATTAGAAAATGAGAATTCAGCATTGAGAGCAGCGTCTATTGCATCTGGGTCTTCGATACTTCCACCAGCAGATACGGTGATGTACCTGACTGATGTCTTTTTGAAGGCCACATCATTATCGCCCATCACAGGTGACTTAGATGTTGATGATGTGACCACGCACGCTATCGTTAGTTTTACCTTAGGTAGGCTAAAGTATAGTCGTTTTGATATAAGCATGCTGGTTAGGTTAGGTTAGGTTAGGTTAGGTTAGGTTAGGTTAGGTTAGGTTAGGTTAGGTTA